GTGGCTCAAATAGCCTCGGCTATCACTTCCTTTTGACGGCCGTGATGGTCAAGCGGATTAAGGCGCCCTGTAGTTACCAGTTGCGTTGCTTCTGGGAGTATGGGTTCGAGTCACTTCTGGGGTGTGAGTTTTCATTCACATATAGTCCTGGGGACCATTCAGGCTTGTTCGCATTTGTGTTCCTCACGTGTGCCCCAAAGAATGAGGTGATTTGGTGAAATGCTATGCCCAAGATTACCATCCGAGTTGCCGTCGGGGAAGTGGCTCAAATAGCCTCGGCTATCACTTCCTTTTGACGGCCGTGATGGTCAAGCGGATTAAGGCGCCCTGTAGTTACCAGTTGCGTTGCTTCTGGGAGTATGGGTTCGAGTCACTTCTGGGGTGTGAGTTTTCATTCGCATATAGTCCTGGGGACCATTCAGGCTTGTTCGCATTTGTGTTCCTCACGTGTGCCCCAAAGAATGAGGTGATTTGGTGAAATGCTATGCCCAAGATTACCATCCGAGTTGCCGTCGGGGAAGTGGCTCAAATAGCCTCGGCTATCACTTCCTTTTGACGGCCGTGATGGTCAAGCGGATTAAGGCGCCCTGTAGTTACCAGTTGCGTTGCTTCTGGGAGTATGGGTTCGAGTCACTTCTGGGGTGTGAGTTTTCATTCGCATATAGTCCTGGGGACCATTCAGGCTTGTTCGCATTTGTGTTCCTCACGTGTGCCCCAAAGAATGAGGTGATTTGGTGAAATGCTATGCCCAAGATTACCATCCGAGTTGCCGTCGGGGAAGTGGCTCAAATAGCCTCGGCTATCACTTCCTTTTGACGGCCGTGATGGTCAAGCGGATTAAGGCGCCCTGTAGTTACCAGTTGCGTTGCTTCTGGGAGTATGGGTTCGAGTCACTTCTGGGGTGTGAGTTTTCATTCGCATATAGTCCTGGGGACCATTCAGGCTTGTTCGCATTTGTGTTCCTCACGTGTGCCCCAAAGAATGAGGTGATTTGGTGAAATGCTATGCCCAAGATTACCATCCGAGTTGCCGTCGGGGAAGTGGCTCAAATAGCCTCGGCTATCACTTCCTTTTGACGGCCGTGATGGTCAAGCGGATTAAGGCGCCCTGTAGTTACCAGTTGCGTTGCTTCTGGGAGTATGGGTTCGAGTCACTTTTGGGGTGTGAGTTTTCATTCGCATATAGTCCTGGGGACCATTCAGGCTTGTTCGCATTTGTGTTCCTCACGTGTGCCCCAAAGAATGAGGTGATTTGGTGAAATGCTATGCCCAAGATTACCATCCGAGTTGCCGTCGGGGAAGTGGCTCAAATAGCCTCGGCTATCACTTCCTTTTGACGGCCGTGATGGTCAAGCGGATTAAGGCGCCCTGTAGTTACCAGTTGCGTTGCTTCTGGGAGTATGGGTTCGAGTCACTTCTGGGGTGTGAGTTTTCATTTTCATATATATATATATATATATATATATATATATATATATATATATATATATATATATATATATAATTATACCAGTATAATCTAATAATATATACTGGTCTAATAAAATAATTTGACCAGTTAATACTCTCACTCGTTGTGTTAGGATATGTTAGCTTGATAAAACTGACTGTTCATTGTTGAGAAATGTGTTAACAAACAATATATCTGACTTATCAAGACTGGGGGATGGGATGGGGAGGAATGGTGCCAAACCACTTGGACGGCGGTCGGGGATTGAACGCCTAGGACTGCTACTGTGCATTTAAATTACTAACTTACCTGAGGGTCTATATCCCTACATGTCAATGTTTGTGTATACTGGTAATGTGAGGAACATACAGAAGATAAGGGTAGCTGAACACCACAAAATGCTGATGGACAACTTTATTAAAGTTGCATAATGAAATGTGTAAGTACTTCATTCATAATGATGTGCTGCCCGAAATCTTAGCGAAGTATCAAAAATTTGCTTACTGTAGGTAATGCATGCACATGACTGTAAAACTGCCGCCCAGTTGGGTGGGTGTGGAGCACATGACTGTAAAGCTGCCGCCCAGTTGGGTGGGTTTGCAGCAAGACTAGTAACTGTGTGACTCACTATAGATGTAAAGTGCCTTTTATAGTGACTGTTGTGAGCCTCTTGTTGATCACCTGTGACACAAAGATTATTGATGTGTGTATTTGTGTAGGTGATTAAATATGTATGTGTATGTGTATGTATATATATATATATATATATATATATATATATATATATATATATATATATATATATATATATATATATATATATATATATATATATATATATAATTTTGTAACTAGCGTCAAACATTGTTATTTGCTTAGCTAAACGAACTAGAGGGTTCAGTTCCTGAACCGATTATGTGCCTCTGTAATCCTTTACACCACCGCCCACGGGATGGGTATGGGGTGCATAATAAAGAAAGAAATAGAAGAAATTGAAATTGCATAATACGGTTATTGACATTCAATAATAGTAAGATAAAGCAATGAGGACCAAATGGGAGACCAGTGATCAGATGAATATTACAGACTCAAGGGTAGCCTTCTCTTCTTGTATATAAATGAAAAAATAAATTCGTTTGTTTAATTCTAATGCTTGTAGGCGAGAACAGTTGTGAACGCCAGCTAGCGCACAAGTACATGAGCGCCCAAAATACTTTTACACAAAAGACATGTACAGACAGGCGTGTGGCTTCTGACTTCTTTTTTATTGATTAATATTAAATATTAGGCGCTTACCTATAATAGTTATCATTTTATACATGTATAACTCTCACATAATAAATATAAAAGGAGTTTATCCAAAAACTGACAGAAGTGTTGTGTTTTGTGCGTTGTATCGTGTTTGTAGGCATTCGGGTGTGTTGTGTTTACGCTGGCGGGCGGCGTCCTTACCAACTCCGGATTATGTCTATTACATCACTAAACTTCATTTAATAACTATATGCCTGTTAAATAGAAGATTTTAATTGTTAATAGCATTATATTGTCGTTTTAATATGGAACACGTACACATATGCGAAACGTCGAAAGCTGGTGTCCGAAGTGGTAAAAATATTAGTGTGCGATGGTGTCAATGTACGGAGTGTCTTGTATCCGGGTTGGCGCTGCCAGATGTAAAAATAAACTAAATAAATTATTGTACTCCCATTATATTGCATTTGTTTTGTAAAATGTGAATGAAATGTATATTCAATTGTTATTATCTAGACTGTACGTTTATAATTAATGAAAATACTTGGTAGAAGATCTATCTGAGTGACACGCCCTACGTCTGGCATATAAACCTTACTGTCAATCGAACTACTTAAGTCTGATCTATTTTCATCAATAACAGACAATTATAAATTAATATTGCACATTGCAATTATTTATATATAATATTAATGTATATGTGAACAAATGTTTTCATTGCAACTTTTTATTACTAAGTTTGGTTATAAAATAGGTGTTCATTTGTTAGAATTGCTAGTGCTCTGGAGATTGTTTACATCGGCAGAAAATCTGGCGTCCTCATTTTGCTGTAAGTTTTGTACAGCTTCACTCTAGTTACGATGAATGCATCGGAGCCCGCGGTAATTATCTTACCCGTGTAGACTACAAATGGGGTTAATTATTACAAGTTTTCTACCACAAAACGGGTGTGCCTGAGGGGAAAAGTACTGCGGTAATAAACACAATGGCTCCATCAGCTGGGCAGTCGTCGATATTTTGTCAAATCTGACGAGTTTAGAGAGGCTATCGCTAAGATTTTGAGAGTAATTACTAAGGTCTTTCATAATGATCAGTTTAGAGGTAAAACGATTATGAAGGTGGTAAGCTGAGGTGAGGAAGGCATGTGGAGGGGCCTGAGTGACAAGGGGGAAGGTCACCCAGCTGGGGCTTGAGTGACAAGGGGCGAGGAGGAGGGTCATCCAACTCTGGCTTTAGTGTTGGAGATGGGAGGGAAGGTCACCCAGCTGGGGCCTTAGTGGCAGTGGGTGAGGCACCCAGCTGGGGCTTGAGGGACATGGGAGAGTCACTCAGCTGGGGTGGAGTGACAGGAGTTGGGAGGGAGAGTCACCCAGCGACAAGGGGCGAGGAGTGGAAAGGTCCCTGAGCTTGTGCCTGAGTGATGGGTCAAAGGGGGAGTCATTGTGCAGTCATCGGGAGGACAAACCCTTCATGCAAACTGCACCTACTATCAAGAAGAAGACAAAGGGGGAGTCACCCAGCTGGGTCATGAGTAACAGGGGAGGGGCCCCTGTCACTCAGCCGGGGCCCTGAGTGACAGGGGGCAAGGGTGACCATTGCTTCCTATAAAAACATTTTTCACACTGAATATTTCTCTTAATAAATTCAGATTTTAAAAAGTATTGTCACAAGAATCTCCCTAGAAAAGGAGATTAAGCCTATTCCATCATCACCTGTTCAACCTATGTCTGGGTGTGTATGTCTGGGTGGGATTATATCACACTTTGTAATGTGGGCCTGCAGATGTGTTATTTGCACACTATGTGAGCTTTTCAAGTCAATGCATTGTCATCCCTGTGTCAACATTATTTGTTCCAAGGTCTGATTTTCCCATGACATGCAAAACTTTGCTGCTTTTGCAGCTTTCTTTACTGATAAAATACTATATATCCGTTATTAATATCTTCTCTCGGAGCTTTTGGTGATCCAACAGGGGTGTTGGTCTCTCCCTATTTGATGTCCCTTAGCTTGCTGTGATTATGTTGCACTTGTCTCCGTGGTGTAGTGGTAAGACACTCGCCTGGCGTTCCGCGAGCGCCATGTCATGGGTTCGTATCCTGGCCGGGGAGGATTTACTGGGCGCAATTCCTTAACTGTAGCCTCTGTTTAACGCAACAGTAAAATGTGTACTTGGATGAAAAAACAATTCTTCGCGGCAGGGGATCGTATTCCAGGGACCTGCCCGAAACGCTACGCGTACTAGTGGCTGTACAAGAATGTAACAACTCTTGTATGTATCTCAAAAAAAAAAAAAAAAAAAAAAAACACTTGTGTGCTTGGTATGCAGCCGACGGTCTTCTGTTCTAGGCTTCCCTCTCTGGTCATTTGGTTTTTGCCATGGGTATCCCCCAAGTCAGTTTTTTTATATTTTACGGCACTTATTACTTTTTCTTTCCAGAAAATCCGGTTTCCTGTACCAAGGTGCTGTTGTGAGTAAATTCTAGCAGTTACGGAGGGGGTTCCTTCCAGAAATCAAACTTTGATTGTAATGAAATGCACTTTTCTGGTGGGCCTCCAGTAGCTCCCTGCCCAGTTCCCTATTTTTCTGCGGGGTTGGGAGTTCAGCATGAGCAGCTACAGAGTGAGAGGGCAGGCTGACTGCGACTTCAGATTACCATGGCTGCCATCTAGTGGTGGTCAGGTGCATAAAGGTTAGGGTATTTGTATTGTGGCAATGATCATTTGCCTTGTTTACCTTGGGGTACCTAATTTTCTTTAAGCAGTTGCTTATTTTGTTGTGCTTATGCTTTCTGGTGGGTTCTGAGTAAGCTTCTGTCAGTATTTCCCCAAGCTACCTACCTGGAGTCTTCTAAATCCAGGTACCACATCAAGCTCTAATGAATTAAAAACGTCTAACAGAGAATCTGGCCTTCTCAGTAAAGACATAGGATAGTGGGGATACAAGATCCTACATAACCGAAGGAAAAAATTATCATTTGCAACCCCTTATTTGAACTATTCACACACACACACTCGCCCAAGGCCAACTGCTAGTTAGCCCCAACCCTCAACACTAGATCTCAACTTCAGCAATCCAGAGGTTCGGGGCAGCTTCCGCAGTCATTTCACACACCTGTTGTGTAACAGTGCAGTAAACCTGCTCATGTTTGTTCCTTTGCTACTTCACGTGTGTATCGTATTTGTGTGCTGACCTATTGTATATGCCTTGATTATCTTTGTTTATCTGTACTCTACTGTATTTCAATTTGTGTCAGCTCTTTGCTGATAGATTAAAGTTGAGAGCTTACAGATTCCTGTCGTTGCTCAGTCACTTTGTTTTGTGTTGGATTTGTTTGTCCGGCTGGGTCTGTGCTTGCACTGTGTTTATTGGTACCCTCTAATACTGTATTTTTGTTTTGTAGTCCATCTATTGTCTCCACATACCTGGGGTCTCCTTTATGTTTCATTTGCATTTCTCTGAAATTTCTGAGCATACGTTAAAGAGGGAATTCCTATCCTTTACAGAAGAAATAATTGTCAGAAATTATGCTATTTTCAGGTACATGCAATTATCCCCATTGCAAATCCATTATATTGAGTTATTAGCCATTCCTTTTTTCCTTAACCACTGCACTGCGCAAAGCGCCTTTAGGCGCTCAGAGAGTTGTGCTTTTTGTTTTTTAATTTGGCTATATTTTAATGTTTTTTAATGTTTTCATTACTATTTGTGTTTTGAAATGGAAATAGTTGACATTGGAAACATTTTGACATTAAATTTACCTGAACATTTGTAAAAATAACAAAAATATGTCCTTGTCAATTGCACCAAGACGTTTTTGCCGAAAATAGGTGAGCAGTGCAAGGGTTAAAGCATTTATAAGATTGACACATTTAGTGTGTGACTACAGAACACAATTGACAATTTATATAATTTGGGTACTTTACAATTTTGTTGCATTTCATACTAGACACAGTTGTGGCCATACTTGCTTAATTCAACTTGACTATACAGGTATTATTCCACAGTGTAGACACAGTAATACCCTTTGCAGTGGACAATGTGTATGAGCCTGTTTGGGGTCTGATGAGTGTTGCTGCCCTAATGTGTAGGCTTTAATGTTTTGCTTAATTTATTTACAGTATATGTTAATTATTATAATCTGACTTGGTTTTTGTTTTGTTTTCCCTGTCCTAGTGAAAGTTGGTAGATACGGGACTGCTTTGATATTTAGCACTAATATCTTTGCGGCATTTCACTTAATGAAAACACTAGTGTAGACTGATGGTAGCAGCTGGACCGTGTGATACTGGCCTACTGGCCGTGTGGTACTACTGTACACTCATTAACTACTAAAAATTTGGTTTTGTTGTTATATATGTAAGTTAGAATAATGTTTAGCACTTGATGGTTAACTGGAATTATTTAAATTAAAAAATAATAATATTTTTAATGACACTTTTCAAACAGTGAGTCAAAATGATTTAGATGTGGTCTTGGCAATTTTATGACACTGGTTGGCGATTCCACGTATTACGATATTTTTCTTACTGTACTTCAAAATTCAATATCGATCACTATGATTAATTTTGTATCTGTCGTGAAACACTTTATGAGATCGTTGGTTGTGTTTCATATCAATATTTCTTAAATGTCCCAAAATATACAATATTTTGCACTAGCACATGGACATGTGTGTCTTTCTTACTCAAAGAGCTACAAAAAGCAGGAAAGATTATTTTAGAAGACTAATCTATATGATGATTAGATCATATAGATTAGTTTGTGTCTGCAGACTTAACACTTCTTTTGTGTTATTTTAGTTTGTTATTTAATAGTGTTTGGCCAGTTTCACCAATGTATTGGAGAGGACAAGAAGACTAGGAAATAGAGTAAACTCCAACAGCATTGGAAGTAGAAGGAGCAGTGTAAACCAGATTACCATAAAGTGAGTTGGTTTTTCAAAAGGTAAGTTTTATATTGAGAGGATGAAGGGTGTTAGTAAGATTTTATACTTCAGATATGAAGGGAAGGCACAGCACAATGTTTCTAGTGTTGGAACTGAATTTAAGTTGAAAGTAAGTGCACTTAGTTTGAGAATAGGTACAGTTGATAAACTTTAAAGAATTACCAAGGCAAAAGAAGGACTTGGAGAGAAGAGAAATTTCTGAATATAGAAACTTTTTCACTGCACGACTATAATAATCCAGGACCACCTGAAATGTCGTCAATTCCCTTTTTCAAATTTCTAGGGTGGGTGTCTACATGTGTTATATTTGCTTGCCATTGTTTTATTATTCGACCATTTTTTCATTAATGTCTAGGATATTTTTGCACATTTTGTACCGCATATGATGTTCTGTGTCTAATCCCCATTCCTTTATCAGGAATGTCTAGCAGCTGCCAGGGTAGCCTGTCAGTGTAGGTTCGACCGTCGGCATATTCTGTGTTAGATGGCACTACTGTACCATCGGCCTTCCACACTTACTGTACCATCTACCGACACAACATCTGTCACCCCCATGTACAATGACCATTATGTAGTAACTGTCCACCACTTGCAGCCTTCCTCATCGTACCATCCACATCAGAGAGTGTGAGCACAACTCATGGTTGGTTTTGGTCATTGGACTGCCTTGGCTAATCTATGGTTATAATTATTATAATTGATGCACATGTTAATAAGACACTTAACAAACTTACCATTGTTGTGATCCAATCTTGATATAGTACTGTCTTCACACTGAGTTCTTATTTATAATTTAATAATAAAAGATTTATGTATAAATGTCAAGTTGAGTAACTATCTCTACGTATGTGATTAAGGTGTAATTTTGTCGTGACAGCTTTTCTCTCTACTCTTCCACTCACTCTTACCTCATGGAGTGCTCTTTGCCTCGGGGTGGAATTGTTGCATGTTGCATTGCCTGTTTATTTCAACCTTTTCATAGTTGGTGGTATTGAAGGAGCAGCTTCCTCAGTTCAGCTCTGGTTTCTGGGCTTTCTCTTTGTCCCCGTCTCCTTCATTCCTGGGCCCTGAAATGAAGGGGACAGGCAGGGGAGGAAGAATGGCATTCCTGCCAGCCTGGATGGTTCATGTGTGTCTGATGTTCTTTGCACCTAAAGATGTTGGCTCATCTTTGCCGTCTCTTAATGGGAATCATGTGGTAGTTCTCTTTGTATCGCATTTCTGTCCATCTTTGCCTCAGCAGTACTGTATGAGGTAACTTGGTAATCCTTCTGTCTTTTTTTCATTCTCTTTAATTACCCAAGTGTAGTTACAGGATGAGAGCTACACTTGTGGTGCCCCGTCTTCCCAGCACTCTTTGTCCTATAATGACAAAGAGTGTCGTTAGGCAAAGAGTGTCTCTGTTGGTTGTCCTGTGCCAGTGATCATGTTGCTTCATTCTTAGCTCTTGTTATCTCATTTGCAATACTGTTGCCATCTAACATACACCCTTGTGTAGCCTCTCTTCCATGCTTTTGGGGTGCATGTTTTTGTCCCCACTTATTACAAGTGGATACAGGCCACTTTTTTCACCTTCGTCTGACTCATGCTTCCTCTCACCCTACTTTATCATTGAAATAGGTCCTTTTGTTTTTGTCTTCTCCTTGGTTTCCCATACTCACCTAGTTGTGCTTGCGTGGGTTGAGCTTCGGCTCTTTGGTCCCGCCTCTCAACAGTCAATCTACTGGTGTACAGATTCCTGAACTTCTCGAGCTCTATCATATGTCTTTCCTTTATCCTTTCAGTTGAGGATTCTATTTTCATGGTAGCCTTCATGACAGCTCCTGCTTCTGGTAGTTGCATTAGTGAATTTATTGTCTTCTGTCATAAGAGGAGGTTTTACTCTTTTCATTCTATCTCAGAGAGATAGCTTCAGGGAGTCACTGGGGCTTACCTAGAAATTGGCGTTTCGTTGCATTCAATGCTGGTTTTTTCAACTTGGAGCTATATTTTGCCTTCCTTGTGTGCATTCATTAATATATGCATGATATGTGCATGTTTGTTAGTACTGTAATTAATTTGTAAAATTAAGAGTTTTGTTGATAGAATTACTGAAGCTATTTGCAGAAATATATATTACGACCTTAATGAGTTGAATTTCAAAGGTGAAAAACAGCTCTAATAGTGACATGGTTTTCTGTTGTTGCAGACATGCTTCATGGAGTGACAAATGATGGAGTCTGCTCCTCCCCTTAATCTGTCCACCACTGTTAAAGTGGAGGACCTGAAGGCAATGGTTCCAGATGAAAATGCTCATGAATACACTGTTGAAGGTGAGCTGGTCGATGAGGCTAGTGATGCTGTCGGTGAGGATGGCAATACACTTGCTATGGATGAGGAGGAAGGCCATGAAGATACAAAAGAAAATCTCATGACTGAAGCCAAACTGTTGGCATCAAGTCCTCTAGATTCAAAAGAAAAAGAATACAAGTGTTCCGAGTGCCCCTCAGCATTTGCCAGAGCTAGTCAGCTGCGAGCACATGAAAGGACACATTATGAAGAACAAGTAAGTTAAAATGGCTAATATATTGTAATTTGGGTGTATTATTGAATTTTTCTGGAGGGTGCCCCCTCTCCTCAGTGGTTCCCTGAAGCTATCTTACTGATATTGCTACACATTCAAGGATCAAATAAGTCATGGAAGTTGTGCTTGGCCTACAGGGATCAGAACCAGAGCCTGGCCCTCCTCACAGAGGTGTAGGTGACAGTCTACCCCCCCCCCCTCCCCCTTCCCCCCAGAAGCTTCCAGAGAGTCAGTGAGGGTTCACAGAAAAAGATGCCTTGAAACTCAAGTGATTCACACAGAACATGGGATTCACTCACACTAGTTAGAAAAGCTTTAGTACCAATTACTGCAACCAAGCAGCCTGACCCCCAGCGCTGAGTCGTCTCACCACCACATTTCTGTTGCTGATGTCACACTTACTGATATAGCTTGTAGTACTACTGGTCTGTCAGATTGCCGGTAAGTCCCACTGCAAGGCCCTCATGGTAGATATCTTTTGGTCGGATTGGTCAAGCTGTGTCTTTCTTTTTCTTTTTTTCTTCTCCTCGGTCTGGCTGTTGTTCTAAATCCTGGTGTGATGAAGTCTTACAAGGGAAGGTTGATCCTTCTGGCTCCTTGGTGGCTCCCCTGGATCAGTCATGGTTTCACGCGCTGATTGCTGGTGTCTGAACCTGGCTGTTTTTCAGCAGTTCTGCCTTTTTCAGAAGGTCAGCCCATTGACATACAGTGGAACCTTAGTTTTCAAATCTAATCCGTTTTCAGAGACTGCTGGTAAATCAAAAATTTGCATACCGAAGTGAATTTTCCCATAAAAAATAATCTAAATTGAATTAATTCATTCCACACTCCCAAAAATATTAATTTCAAAATACATTTGACACATAATACACACAAATATTTTGTACTATAGTATGTACAAGTTATAGCTTACCTTTATTGATGACTCTTGTTGGCATATGGAAGACGGTGAGGAGAAGAGGTGTTAGTGTTTGGAAGGGGAGTCCCCGTCCATTATAACATCAGGCAGTGATGGGGGTACTCATCACTACCAGATGACCCCAAATGACTTTTCTGGGGTACTCTGTCTTCTGTTTTGCAGGCATACTACTAGGACCTGGTTGTGACTCACTGCTTGCTTTTCTTACTAAGAATCTGTCTAAAAGACACTTGTTTTTCCCTACATTTTATCACTTGTCTGTAGTGAGACATCACATTGTCATTGAAAAGGTCAATGTAACGGTCTGCTACAATATTATCTGGGTGAGTTTTTTTTCACAAAACTTTGCAGTTCTTCCCATACTTCACACATTTTCTTAACAAAGAAGGGACATTCTCTACTGCCTTTACTCACAACCATTTTCTTAAGTTGAACCTTACCACTGACTTTCTTGGGACCCATGGCATGGTATATAATAATTACTTTTATTTTCAAAAACTAAAAAAAGCTGAAAAAAATGACATTCTTAAAAAAAAAAAAATCAACACTGGTAAACTGAAGCACGGTTGCCCGTGCCACCATGAACCACACGCTCATTGGCATTTCATTACCTTCAATGCTGCATTTTTATAAGGTAAATGTAAATACTGTATTATTATTATTAACTGTACAGTTGAGTAGTGGTATATAACAATGTATCATTCTTGTTTTATATTTGTATACAGTATTTAAAAAAGTATCGTTCAAATGCTTCCTGAAGGCATCTCCACTGCAATGAATTGGAGTTGGTCCCACATAGTTCACCAAGGTTTCACTGTACTGTATATTTTAATAATAATAATAATAATAATAATAATAATAATAATTTTTGTGTGCATCAGTTCATACCCCAGCATTAACACTGTACTGTACATATTCATTTGATCTAAACTTTGCACTGTCATTGGTATTCCTATAAACTTTCTTTATTGACAGGCGTATGAATGTGACCAGTGTGACGGAGTGTTTGTCCGGATTGGGCTACTCATGAGCCACCGCAGGGAGCACCACCGCCAGAGTTTCTCCTGTAATGAATGTGATGCAAAGTTTTCCCATTATAATAGTTATAAGCTTCACTTTCGACGACACAAAGGTGAAAAGCCTCATAAGTGCTCAGACTGTAACATGGCCTTTGTGCAGCAGTGTCATCTCAATATTCACCGTCGAATACACACAGGAGAAAAGCCTTTCAAGTGTGAAGTATGCCATCAAAGATTTAAGCAAGTGTCTCATTTAACAACACATGTAAGAATCCATACCAATGACAAGCCATTTATTTGTTCCCTTTGTAAAGCATCTTTTTCTCAAACCAGTAGTTTAAAAAGACATAAAAGAAGACATACTGGAGAGAAGCCTTTCAAATGTGATAAATGTGGTGCGCTCTTTGTTGAAAGAAGAAATCTTTCACGTCATCAGCTTACTCATACTGGTGAGAAGCCTTTTAAATGTGAAAAATGTCCAGCATCATTTACTCAGATGATTGATCTAAAACGTCATCAAATGTCACATTCTGGATTGAAACCATTCAAGTGTGATATTTGTGATGCTGCTTTCAGTCGGAAGAATAACCTCCGTTGGCATAAATTAACTCACGAGGGAGATACTCCCTATAGATGTGAAAGATGTAATGCTGGTTTTAGTCTTCAGAGAGATATGAAAGCTCACATGAGGACACATTCTGGTACAAAACCATTTAGTTGTGATCAATGTGGGGCAACATTTTCCCAGTTCAGCACTTTAAAGCGACATAGGCAGGGTCACACAGGAGAACGGCACTATGTTTGTTCCAAATGTCATGGTGCCTTTAAAGATAAGAGTGCCCTTAAGAGACACATGTTGCGACACGATGGAGTAAGACCATTTGCTTGCCAAAAATGTGACTCGACTTTTATTGAATATCGTAATCTTAAAAGACATAAAGTAACGGTTCATGGGGAAGAGCGCTTTGAAGGTGATGGCTTAACTGAACCAAGAGAAAGTGAAAATAATCAGAACATTCCTCCTCTGAAGAAGAGACCTGGAAAAGTTGAGGAGGATGAGGCATTAAGTCAGCTCTATGATGCAGGTTATCAAACGGCTTCATTAGTCCACCATCAAGAAACTACTCAACAACATCAGCAGGTTAATCAGCCTGTATCTATAGGGCCACCAACATCTCTTCAACCAAATCAACAGCAACCTCATTCATCTGCAGTACAAACACACCCTCAACCACCAATGATTAATGAAATTGTTACCATTCCTGCTCAGGGCCCAGGTCAAGTGCCTACCCTGTTGTTAACACAGCCTGGCCAACCACCAAAGACTGCCCGTCCTGCAAATAACTGCCAGAATCACCAGTCTCATGTGTTAACATTTGTAGAAGGCACTTATAATCATTGGCAGTCCTGGTGTTTTTGTGAAACTCCAAACATTCCTGATGCTTCACAGACCATAATAGATAGTGGAGGTGAAGTGGGTCATCCCTCAACATCTGCTCTACCCTCTGCTCCTATTCAGCAGCAGCAGCAACAAATGACATACACAGAGCTTCAACAGTCACAGCCACAGCAACATCCACAGCAGCAACAACAACAAACTGTGGGAGTACAAGATGTGAGTCAGACTGAGTATCACCAGACCTCCCAGTTTAATAGTGGTTATCCAGAGCCTATTCACCATTATGATGAAGGTCATCATCAGGAGTCATTAGACCCTCTCTCGCATCACCATCACCACCATCAGCAGCACCAGCTTCATCAAGCACACAATCATCAAGAAGAAGTTAAAATTGCAATTGAATCTCCACGATTATTTACTGTGTCAGACATTCACCAAGATGAACAGCAGCAGCAGCCCCAGCAGCAACAGCAACAGCAGCAGCAACACCAGCAACACCTTCAATCTCACCAGGAACAAGAACATCAAGAACAAGCTGATCCTCAGGTCACTTTTCAATATAGTTTAACTGTTAATAATCCTGCCACAGGTGACATACAAATTCAAAGTGAAGCATTTCCTGCTAACCCTCCTGATGCACCTGCTGACCCACCTATCAAGAAAAGACGTGTGACAAAGACCACCGAGTCTCAAGAAGTTCGAACTTATACGTGTAATTCATGCCCAAAAACATTTTCAAGAATAAATCACTTACTTATACATCAGCGTACTCACACTGGGGAGAAACCATTCCAGTGTGGTGTTTGCTATCAGTCATTTACTCACAAAAACAGTTTGACCATTCATATGCGAGGGCACACTGGGGAACGTCCATATGTATGTGGAATTTGTGGGTCGTCATTCACTCAGAAGAGTAATTTAAGAGTTCATTCACGTACTCATACAGGAGAAAAACCATTTAAATGTGATATGTGTGATGTAGCTTTTACTCAAGGAAGCCACTTAACTGCACATAGGCGAATTCATAATAATGATCGTCCATTTGCATGTGAAAATTGCCATCAAACATTTACACAACGTAGTGCTTTGAAGCGTCACCTTATGACACATACTGGGGACAAGCCACATAAATGTGATGACTGCACTGCAAAATTTTCGCAGAGAGATGATCTTCGAAGGCATCAGCGTGTCCATTCTAATGATAAATCCATTGCCTGCACATGTAAATATTGTTCCATATCCTTTAGTGACAGAACTGCCTTGGCTAGGCATATTAGAACAGCTCATCAGAGCAAACTAGAAGCCACCGGAGATATACCAAAAAAGAAGAAGAAGAAGTCAATAGAAAAGCAAAGTACAAGTCAAGACAACAGCCTTAGAAATCCCAAACCCAAATCTAAGGTTGCAGAACCTATACGGACAAGTCGACGGCTTCGTGAAGCAGCAGAGAAGAAGAAAGATAAGCAAGAAGAATCCGATTTTATAATCGGTGATTTTGTAGAAATTGAAGAAGATGTAAAGCCTTTGGCTCGCCAAAGAGTAGCAAAGAGAATTGTAAAATTAGAGGATTTGAAAGGTGAAGCCAAAAATAAAATGGAATCTTGGTGCTTTTGTGAAGTTCCTCACGGACCTGATGAGCCTCACACACACACTGCAGTGGAAGCCAAATCCAGGAGTGATCAGAACACAAATATTTTGCCAACTGCAGAAGAGGTTAACACTCATATGTCAGTTCAAGAGTCTACTAGTTTAGTTGCTAGTGCTGATGCTTCAGGTGCAACCTCTCTACTTCAGCTGTCCATGGAGCATGTAACACACACTCCAACATCAGGAGCCATTGGCGGAGGCCTTCAAGCCCAGTCTGTTGGAGGTACTGTTACTCTTGGTGCTTCATCTGTCGTGGGAGCTTCACAGGTGACAGAAACACCTGTTATTACGGCATCCTCCAACCAACAAACACAGATGACCACAGTTGGTCAGGCAGAATCCTCAGTTAATCAGAATTTAGGAAATGGACAGGTTGTTACAACCGTAAACCAGCCAGGGTCTGGTCAGGCTAATGGTCGACTAGTTCCTCAACCCATGTTAACCACGGGTCAGGTTTTGTCTGCTGGGCAGATAGTTGGTGCTAGTCAGTTGATGACACAAGATGGAGCAATATTCATAGAAGCGGGAGAGATGCTGAGTAGTGGTGCTGTGGTTATCAACCCAGGACATGGCACCTTTATCAGCTATGATCAAATCACTATCAGCCCAGATGGCCAGGTATGATAAGAGTAATTTTGGTTTTCTTTCAATAATAAAAACTTAGTAGTGTGGCTAAATATCACCTCTTCATGCTTAAAGTACAAATCTTGAATAAAAAACATAGAATTTAAGAACAAACTTAATTCATGATATGTTGCCTTGTTGCATTAGTATTAATGATGTTTTTCTCATTAAGAATTCTTTCCTGGGTGAGCCCCTAGGTGGCTACCTGAAGCAGGCTGAGGTGGCTTCTAACTAATGAGTCACAACAGCCATAGGAGTCCTGTTGGCCTACCAGGAACCAGACCCTTGCCCTCCCATCCCACCGTCAGAGGCACACGGAGCAAGGGATTGTTATGATTACCCCCACCAAGAAAAGATACATAAAATCAGCTAAGCGATGCAGACAACTGCAAGGTTCATATAAAATGAAGTGCGGAAACCGCCAAAGACTCTGCAAGCAATTTGTTCAAAGCAAATAGTTCACTCAAAACTGGCGCAAACTACCTAATGCAAATTGCTGCTCTCAATATTTATGTTGATTTTTACCTAAGCTAAGACTTTTGCCCTATGAGTAGTTTCACTTAGTTGTCCTCCTAGGGATTAATTATCATTAATTGCAGCCTGCTGATAAAGGTCCAGGGGAAATCCCCAAAGGAACACAAACACCTAGGCAGTGTGAGAGTATAAAATTATATACTGTATATGTATATGTATATCTTGAGGTTATCTTGAGTTGATTTCAGGGCGTTTTAGTGTTCCCTTGCGGCCTTGTCCTCAACCAGGCCTCCACCCTCGAGAAGCAGCCCGTGACAGCTGACTAACTCCCAGGTACCTATTTACTGCTAGGTAACAGGGGCATCAGGGTGAAAGAAACTCTGCCTATCGCGTCTCGCCGGCGCCCGGGATCGAACCCAGGACCACAGGGTCACGTGTCCAGCGTGCTGTCTACTCAGCCGGCCGGCCCGTGTGTATATGTATATGTATATATATATATATATATATATATATATATATAATTTATTATATTTTTACAAAGAAATAAAATAAACATAATTACTCAGTGGAGCTCCCACATATCCTTCATGTACCTTGATTAATATGAAAGAATCAGAAATATAAAGATAGGCAGAATATTCACAATACCCTGTATTACTTACATAAAGGCCAACCTAGACACTCTAGTCTTACAAACATAAATTAAAGGGTTATCCCCTCAGGCAAGATCATCATCAAGACATAACTGGATATTCTGGAATCTGAATTCTATATAACTACTCCATAGTCACTCAATAGTATGATATCCTGCAAGTTAAATGAATATAAATTGTGGCTTGTCTGTCTGGAGGGGTGAAACTTGCTAGAAACGTGCACCTCTGTCCAACACGACTACCCTTTCCACCTGTCAATACCAGACGCCCAATCACCACTGAATACTCCCATTTAACAATATGGGTAGCCCATATGAAAGTCTATTTCTGGGGGTGAGCCCTTTGTGGCTTCCTGAAGCTGCTACACTGATTCAGTGTCATCCTTTGTGAATTGGATACCTTTTGATATCGCTCGTTTCATGCGCTTTTGTTCTCGTATTAGCATCCTTGGCAATATCTAGCTCCTTTTGAACATCATGCAACTTTAATGGTGCTACATAGTACCACTAGCTTGACGCCTTTTTTTTTTTTTTTTTTTTTATAATTACCTACTAGGTGCTAGTCGTAGAGGTCTTACTGACCTACTGAGGACTGCAAGCCAGAACCTGGTCCCCCTCAGAGAGGTGCATGGAGTTGTGGCACTATGAAAACTATTTATGTAAAGTTATTCATGTCTGCCACCACCAAAGGATGGCACCCAGAAAGTCATTGAAACAAAACGGACCACTGCTTGTTTAGAAACGAGACCACAGCCTGAAAACTGCCAAAAGAACTCTCCCAATAATGTAAACAATAAAAAAAAACTTGCGAAAGTAGCACAAGTTAGTTCGCCCTTCCCCCGCCTTGTTTGGCCGGAGGAGGGAAGCAGACCGGGTTAGTCGGCTGCACCACCACCAGTTCTTGTGCTGATGTAGATTACCATGCGGATTACTATCTATGTTTTTCTTTCAGGTATTAGGTGTACCAGTTGGTGGCACTGGAACAGAAACATTGATGATCCAGCCAGCTGCAGTGTCTGTTGATGGATCTACATCTTCAGGTAATGTTACTTACTCAACTGCAGCACAGATGCCCAGTGCTGCCCAGCCCGTCCAGTACACAACTCTTGGCAGTGATGTTATCAGTCTCTTTTCACAAGTCGAAACCAACAAGGAAGGTGTTGGCTCTGATGTTTCAGCTGAAAAATCCCTCCCTGTAGTGGCTAAGCCTCTTGAGTGTTCCGTTTGTGCAAAATCATTTGCTCAAAAACGTACTTTATGGGCACACATGCTAGGGGCTCATCCTGAGTTACATAGCTGCTCAGAATGTTGTGCTGCATTTACCACATCAGAGTATCTTAGCCACCACAAAGCCCAGCACCAAAAGCTTCATGTATGCTCAAGATGTGGCATGGCCTTTACAAATAAATCATCACTGAACAGACATCGTCAACAGATGCACTCGGGAAATACTATAACAGCAGAAGATAAAGTTTTTGCTTGTGAAATTTGCGATGCTAGGTTTCATCAGCAAAGTGATTTAAAACGACATATGCTTGGACACACAGGTGAAAAGCCATACAGATGTAAACATTGCGATGCTGGCTTTACCCGGACGTCCAGTCTTAACAAGCATATGCGAATTCACACAGGAGAAAAACCATATGTCTGTGAAGGATGTGACCAGGCTTTTTCATATCGGTATCAGTTCAACAGACACAGGGTTTCTCATAGACAAGATGATCAGAGAAGCAATTATTCCATGCCCTATGTCTATGCAGAATAAGTGAGTTGCAATGACTATAATTATCTAGCATTACATTGGAGTGACAGATATCACCAGCAATTAAAATGAAGTCTTTGTACAACTATTTTTTGCTGAGGAAAATGTACAGTCTGGAACATTTTCTTCTTAATTCACTTTGTTATACAATTGTGATGGTTACCACAAGTCTGTCATTTACTGTCTCGATAAATTGAGCTCCTTCCTCACGTTTCATTATCATACATTACACCAAGCACATACATCTCATGTCTTTTCATAGGAGTATAGTTGAAAAACTATTAGTCATGAATAGTTTAGAATGTAATTAGTGTTTAAATTTTACATACTCATAATCATGATCAAACTTTTAAGTTAATATTTTGTTTATATATAATTTACCATAATAATACTGACACTAATAGAGAATTATTTTAGCTGTATTTTTGACTATATCAAATTTTATTCCATCATAATCCCACTTTGTAATGAATATGAATATTATCATACAGGAAAATGTATAGAGATATATTAATATTGAATGTATATGACTTAAATTAGTAAAGATTAATACGAGATGGTGTCTTACAATCCACATGTCTTGTGTGAATATTACATAATGAAGAGAACCCAGAGTGTAAATAGTCAACAATGTAAAATCTGGATCATCCATCATGAAAAGCTTAGCCCCTTCCCCTGGGTACTGTGCTTGCTCCAGTACTTTTTCTCATCCTCATATCAGACAGACAAGGTTACAAACTATAGTACTGAATCATCCTTTGCAAATGACACTAGAATCTTCATAAGAGTAGACAGTATAGAGGACACTGCAAATCTCCAATCAGATGTTAATGAGGTTATTCAGTGGGCCACAGAAAATAATACACATGTTTAATGAGGATATGTTGCACTGAAGACAAAATTAAAAATATTAATTAATAGAGAAATATAAAATGCAGTCAAACCCCAACTATTGAAAGAAAAAACAATGTAAAAGATTTAGGAAGTAATTATGTCGATAGTACATAATTACAACATATACGTAGTTAATTGACAAACAAAATTAATTAGGAAAATCAAGCAACCACATTTTTTAAAGTATTTATTAATAAATATGTTTTCAGAGCACAAAATTATATTATCAGCACAAAATTATAATACTGTATATTATCAAAGCACAAAATTAAAATATATATTTAATTGTGAAAACACTTGTGTAATTATTTACATTCTGGTTTGAACAAACAGTAGTCTGTACTGATGACAATTACACAAGAACATTATAAATAGGAAATAAAACTGGCCATAAATAAGGTTCCAGAGGCTCACTAAGTGAGCCTCTTCCCAAGTTATTAGTGAATAACTTGGAAATGGACAACAAAGAACCCAACCGCCACACAGCTGATTGCTAAAAGCTTCTGCACAAACAAGATGAACCGAGCGGCTGCCAAACGAAGGTGACCAAAACTCGAAAGGAGTTGAGATCCATCGCTAAAGTTTGGATCCAGCTCTGAAGCAGGAATGAAGGCAGGTCCTGGCCAGGGGAAATATGAGATGAAGATAACATGAAGAATGGGCTAGTCCAAAATACTCAGGGGCCCAGGCACACACCACCCAAGAACAGCTGAGCACACCACCTGAAAATGGCTGGGCACATTGCTAAGGAACAGCAGGGCACACATCCCAGAAACAGGGAAAACTACAGCCAGGACAGAGCTGGACATACAACCATGTCAGATCCAGGCAGTCAGATCAGAGTGGTTCAGAACCAGACATACAAAAGAGCTGGGCACATTGCCCAGGAATACGCAGGTGGATAGCCAAGGAACACCTGAGCATACTACCCAAGAATAATCTGGGTACACGAGGGGAAAAGTCGAGTCCACAGCAGGCAAATCCCAAACTCACTCACCAGCCTCGACAAAAAACAGGTGACCAAGAGAAAGAAAATAGAGGAAGGGCCAAACCTGGAAAAAATAGGCAGAACAAAATTACGCAGGAATCAGTAAGCATGATCCCCTCTGGGAAAACTAGGTAAGCTATGACACCCCACTCGAGAATGCAAACAAGACCGGGATGAGGGAAACCAATCACCCGGATTGTCTATACAAACAAGCACGTATGCCAGGCACGTGCTAGTGTCTCGTGCACGTGGTTAGTGTCTTTGATGAACAAACCTCAAGCCGAATCATAAACATTCAGCAGGGAAAGGCATAGGCACCTTCCACAAAAGCTTAAAGGCCCCAAACATGCACAGAAGCTAGGTTAGGCACAATAATAGTTAATATAGCAACACCGCAAATGCTGTGCACTACCCTAAAATGAAGTGACTCAAGAGGATTCAGCTTATATAGGAGGGAACCCCAACTCCTCAGAGCAGGTAGGGCAAGTGAAATACAAGCCAACTACCAAGGAATGGAACCCTTGCCTACAGGTAGGGCAAAATACAAAGTCTGGGCACACAATGTGGGTGGCATAAAACACAATTGTTGAGGAGAAATATAACAATAACACAGCAATGGCCCTGACAGAACTAACATTTCAAGGATAGTCTACACTTATGAATGAAGCAGAGGATGAGTCCCATTCAAGATTCTGTGCCTCAGAGGCTGTGATCAGGAAAGTGGTGGGTTGCCAGGGGCCGAGTGACCTGGACTGCACCTGGTGGTAGTTAGAAACAATGGCAAGGGTGTTTACACCATGAAAATAATCATTTGCCTTATTATCTAAGGACACTTAAATTTTTTTTCAACAATAGACTTTGTTTCACTTATGCTTTATAGTGTTTTCTTAACATTTGGGCTGGTCCCTAATCCCAAAGCTTTCCCTGCTTCATATAGAGCTAGATTTTGGTCATGGCCTCCAAGCAAGCAAGCAAGCAAGGGTGGGTCTCAGGGGCATAGTGCATTTCCCTAAGGCTTGGCTTGACTAGCGATTTGCTTAGGGAGCTACTGAAGAGGCCCCTGCCAGAAACTACACACAGTAATACAGCATTTAAAAATAAATTATGCTATACCTAACACCAGTAAACTTGGAAAGACAAGACATTTGCTAAATAAGGTGTCACAGGCAAGCTTTATGTGAATTTCAAGTCAGCAAAGATACTTGAATAAGGTACCATTTACTGAAAGTTAATTTTAATGCAATGGATCAAAGTCAGATTAAACCATAAATGAGAAGAAAGTGGTATTGAACAAAATTTGCTTCGGGAAGTAAAAGGGTAGAAGCAGGCACAATATAGCACTAGAAAATCAGTTAGGAATTATTGCAAAGCACCTGGTAGCGAAGAAATTGGTCCCAAAACCTGGCGCTCAAAACCCTTAAGACACAGGTGAGAACATATATTCATTTATATAAATTCTAATACTGATGAGAAGGAAGACTTTCCTCACTACATTGTGAGGAATAATTGTGTATACTGTAATTTCTATGATTTCATCATAATATAATATATTTTAGCCCCACATGGAGTACCTCAAACCCAACAAATTCCAAAATGATATTGCACAATGTTAAATATTCATTATTTTTCAAACTACAGTATTGTATTCAGTTATCATTATTATGAAAGCTAGGATATCTTCATTGCAAACGCCCAACCACTTGGGCTGGACGGTAGAGTGCTGGTCTCACTTCATGCAGGTCAGCATTCAATCCCCAAGTGGTTGGGCACCATCCCTTTCCCCCATCCCATCCCAAATCCTTATCCTTATCTTTTCCAAGTGCTATATAGTCGTGATGGCTTGGCACTTACTCCTGATAATTCCCTTCCTCTATTCCTCAACAGAATTTTCATTTAGTACTTCAACACTGCCATAACCATCTACTTGTTCTCCATGATCTTGGCTTTCATTATCATTCAGAAGATTCTGTTCTTCCTCTGTTGTCCCTGAGTCTTGGACTGCTGAACTCTTTATCCTGCAAAGAGTGAACAAGGGATATAATTATTCTTTGTTTAATCCTGAGTAATGATATACTATTGCACTACCGAGTCAAACATAATCCTGGCTCACCGGCTCCTTATGTTTACATCTACACCAACACCTATCATATACGAATTTCTGGGGAACTCTTGGTGGCTCTTCCATACTGAGTCACTTCTGCTTTCCTAAATGGCCTACTGGGGACCAGAGTCAGGATTTGAACTCCTGAAAGAGGCACAGGGAGCAAGGGATTGTTATGATCACATTCATAGAGAAAGCATTGAAAAATAGCAAGCAAAGCTATACAGACAGCTGCAAGATTCATAGAAAATTAATTGCCAAAACAATTCCTCAAGTAATACATTCAGACCCGAGTGATTTTCTCAGTACTAGTTCACACCACCAGGTGCAAATGGTTGCCAATGTGTCATGGTTACAGGGAAGCCCAGCTCCCACACCATCTTGCCTTAGTCCTCAGTCTGTGGATACTGACCCCTTTGAAATTGAAATAAGTTTATTGAGGTAAAATACACATGAGGATGCAGTAGCTCAAGCTATCCTCACCCCATTCAATACAACATGTTCATACGTAAATAGACACATACACATGTCTATGTTTATGTGTCTATTTGTGTATGTATACACATTATGTGTATACACAACTCTGTAGTTATGTATACACATAACTACAGAGCTCTAGTCAGAAAGTGAGAGGTGCTACAATGTTGCATGTACTTCTCACACCTTACCAGGTTTCAGCAGCTGTGTCAACAGTTAATAAGTCTAGGCAAGGTCAGGTCTTGAGGTCAGATAAGCAGCAAGCATCCTCATAACGAGTGTTAAGCCTTGATAGTATTAGATAAATTGTCAAATCTTTCTTTCCAAACTGTACATGTGGTAGCCTAGTGCTATATGCAATAGGTGGGAGAAAGAAACGGCAAAAGATTATGGAAAGATTTGAATAGAGAAAAATAGTATACAGTATAAAATTACCTGCTGACTTATTACTAATCGGATTTGTGAAAGTTTCCCTAAAGTTTTCCTTACTTTCGGAAATGGAGGGCATCTGCCACACTGTCAGGGAGTATGGTGTGTAGAGTCTCTGGCATAACAACATTCAATAACCCTGCCACAAATGAAAGCACTCCAAAGACAATCATGGGCAGAGGGATATATATCTCTTCCTGAAAAGAAAACCATTAATTTGTCAAATATATAACTAACAGTTTGGCCTCTTAACTGTATATCACATCCAGGAATGTTTGACTAGTGGTACTCATCACATCCTGATATATTTTTTATGTACTGTACTGTGAAACATTTGCTACTCCTGCAGGTACTTATGGGGTTCACATCCACTTCCTCAGGCTTCCTGTAAACAAATGCCATCTTGGAAAAAATCATGGCCACACCCAATCTATGTGTGAGGGCATGAGTACAGTACAGCTAACATGGGTATCGTATGCAGCAGCAGCTCACAGCAATGCCATGCAGCTCGTGCCTACAGCATCACTTAACGATGAAATAAATAAGAAACTGCAATAATTTAATACTGATAGTGATGGAGAATATCCTGGCAGTGATAAAGATTTTATACAAGGTTCAGTTAACGTTGAGCTCGATGCAGATGATGACATTACCAGTGCAAGGCCCACAGCTGTAGTTTGGTGCATTTACATATCATGCAACAGCACTCCACGTTCCTTTGAAAAGTGAATGTGTGGAAAATTATTCATAATCAGGATTTAGTGAAAAGGATTCTGATGATAACAGCAGCATTCTTGTTAGTGTTAACAATGTGCACAGTATATCAGGTGGGCCTTTGCTTCATCGTGCCAACTGTGTTGGATCTCACCCCACCAGAACTGCTTAGTGGTTCACAACGATGCAGAGACATGTAGATAGTTATATATATAACATGTAATGACCTAAGTGTAATATGTGTATACAGTGGATACCAGTAAAAGCAGTACTGTATTTATTGTATTTATTTTCTAATATTATACATTATTGGGTTTGCATATTAATGACAAGAATGTACCTGTGATTATCAATGTTCTACTCATTGTGATATATGTAACACTGACATCCCAATACATCATTTAAGTTGAAGAAAACTATGGTGAAAAATATTAAATATTAGAAAATAATATCTGTTCAATGCGTGCAGTTGCGACTTGGAGCAAAGTATGTGCGGCAAGGTGAGCTTGGATTACTAGTTACAAGATTATCACACCCACCACAACTGCCGAGTGTTTTGTAATGCGTCAACTGTACCGCTCTCAGTTCTATGATGATGGAAAAACCACCCCTGACTACCTGGAGAAGGGAGAGTGTCAGGGAGCCACTGGGGGTTCACACTGAAATTGGCACTTCATTACATTTCTGGGAGGGAGCCCCTTGTGTCTCCCTGAAGCTACTTATCCACGGAGAAGAAAAAAAAGGGGGGCATACCAGGAGGGATGGAGCACGGCAAGTACCATAAGGAAGACGAACTCATGGACCATGACACAAGGTCCAAGGCCACAAAAGGCCGACAAGGACTAAGAACAGTCACAAGATACGTGGCTACCAGGACCCTGTTTGACCCCCCAAAACCCCCCGTGCAAGAAAATTGGCCCAAGACATATTGGCAAAACACAGTCGATAGAGCAGTTAACTGACGAATGTCATGAACATGAGGGTAGCCCGTAGGATGGCTAGACATAATGACTCTGCGAACAACCTGAGAAATATGAGTTCTGGAACAAGGAGTCGGGAACAGAAAAACAGAGGTGCCAAAAACATTACAAAGTTTTTTTTTGCTAACAGTTGTAGATGATTGGAGCAAGTTAAGTGAGAAAGTGGGGGAGGCCAAAACTGTCTGTAGTTTTAAAGCGTTGTATGACAAGTGTGTTGAGAAGACGGGACACCATGAGCATAGCTTTTATCCTGTAACTCCACTTGGGTAATAAATTACACAAACACCCCTCACTCATACTCCATGTACCCCACACTCATCCACACACACACACACCCATTAGCACACACACGCAAATTTCCCTACAAAGTGTGTTGTTGTGAATACAAAAGCAAATAAATTAACATTTATTATGGGTTGGCAACTTACCAGGTCACTGGAGAAGGGAGCCAACATAGCACCAATTCGGGCAAATGTGGAGCACAGCCCTAATATGGTGCCACGGACGCTAGTTGGGAACATCTCCGAGGCAAATACATATATGATGCCAAATGCGCATGTGATGAAACACTTGCCAAAAAGGGCAGGTATCAAAACATACTTTTTGTTGTACTCTGGAAAATATGAACAAAAGGCACCCTTAATCTTTGAGCTGCATAATTGATTTATTCTGTACAAATAATGGTTACTAGTTTATTGTTGCAAAATATTATATAATAAACTAACCGTTGAATGTTAGGCCACTTTTCTTTGGAACCCATCTTTTCCTGGTGGCTGGTTCACTATGAGATGAGGGAGGCTTGGGAATCAGAGATCTGCCCACAGCCAAATAAATCAAATCAAATAAACCAGGGTCATTTGATCAGTGGTGGACATATCAACCAGGGTAGTTTGATCAGTTGTGGGCATATCAACTAGAGTAGTATTTAGGTCCTGCTTAAGTTTCAAAACTCCTGTGGGTATAAGGGGCTCACTTCTGCTTTTGTTTTTGATGGATATCTTTTATTTTGAGTTTATTTGTTTTAGGTAGGAGGTCCCATCCTCAGGACTTATAGACACTCTTATTTTGCCTTAGTGGGTTTGGTGCAGTTTCTGCTGTACCAAAACACTTGAGTGGTGGGAGGCCAGTCATCTTTCACTGCACAAGAACCCCTCCCTGTTTGCACTTACATTGCCCCCATAATGTGGGCACTTGACAACTCCATTCAGGTTTGCCTTTGCATTTTATCACTCAGATAACAAATGATTGCAGGGCACACCTCTGACTGGCATTTGTTTTCTACATATGGGCTATCCATGGGCTGTTTTGTCCACTTTTGTGGAGGTCTGGATGTCTTGGTATAGGTGCCTGGTGGTGGACACTTTGTTGCCTGCAATCAGTGAGGCAGAGGTAGAGCTCAAGTTGTTTGCCCCTCTCTCCTCTGTGAAGCGATGGTGGACCTCTCTACAATTCATTTGGCATGACGGTGGGACGTTTTTACCCACGGTTTGGATTTAGCTTGGTCCCTTTCCTTCATGCCTGCACTGCCATATTCTCCCTTTCTGTTCCTTGAGGTGTTGGTGGTCTTAGTTTTGTCTTTTACAGGTGTGAATTTTCAGCCTTCCATCTGGGTTTTCTAGCAACCGGGCTGTCTCCATTGTGGGCAGGTGATTCTTGGTGCTTTGGGCTTCACTGCCTCTTGGTCAGGGTAGGGATTTTGTGGCTCCAGTTTCTGGGGTTATAACGCTGTCTTCGGTTTTGGCTTTCTTCCTCTTAGTAATATTTGGGTGCATCTCGGAGGTGGGCTGCTCGTCGTGTCAGCCCTTTTTTGCAGTTTACCCTTTTAGTGCCACAGTGGGGAGATGGCTAAGGACCTTCTGCAGGGTTTGGACTCATGATGGTTAGGACTTTTAGGTGGTGACGGAACTGTTCAGGTTATTCAGTGCCTTCTCAAAATATTACACTTAAGCTTGTCAAAATAAAACATTTACAAAGCAAAGCCACAAGTTACTGCATCCTTGTAAAGTATATCTAATTACTGTATCATCACACTACATTTGATGTATTATAATGCACTTGAACCTACCAGAGGCAAACCCTGCTCCAGCACATGATATGCCTGCTAGTATTAACGAGAGTGCCAAAGATCCTCTTCTTCCCCACAAACTCATGCCCATCCATGCTAATGTATAGCCTGAAAAAAAAAGTGTTATTAAACATTTGTGTTCATATTATGTTTCATGTAAGTTGCACAATGAACCATTCAGATATAAAATGCAATAATTTTATCTTAAAAATGTCAAATGTTGCATTTAGTAAAATGTCCTTTCTGGTTGACCTTCAGTGGCTCCTTAAACTCTGGTGCCTCGGTGTAAGGGCACGAGTTTGTCATCGTAACCTAGAGTATGAACTCACGAAACCCGTCCTTTACTTTCTTATTTACAGTATAGGTACATTACTTTAAAACAGGAATATAGAACCAATATGCATTTGTAAACACTTCAGACAATAATAACCACATTGGGCCGGTACTGTATTTTTGAATTGGCGAGACTCAACAAACAACCAGAGTGCATGCCAATAAATTGATTAAAACACTAACAAGGATTAATTTCTCACTCACCAGATTAACAATAGTGTTCCAGTCACTCAGAAATAATGGAGGTCAATAATCTCATGAGCACACACCACACAACCCACGTGTATGTGTGTGTGGAGTCTCAGACATCTCTCTGTCCTCATGGAGTGCAAGGATGCTACTCTCACCAAAATGCATGAGGAAAACGTTACACACACATTTATTATTACCACACTCAACATACTCTCAAACACTTACATGAAATTTAACACAAATAAAACAAACTTGTATTTTAACTAAGAGAAACATTTACAGTAATAACAACAAAAGCTAGACTATATATACTATTCAATCCATTATTGTAGACAGGAATTTGGTGCCAAAAATGAAAAAAAAATACAATAATATATCTAAAAACAAAAATACTTATGGCAAGTAATTTGAGTACAGGTATCAAAATGTACTGAAAAGCATATTGCAGCATATACAATAACATTATCAAACCTAATAATATTCTGTATAAAATACTGTAGCAAAAGAATGCAACAGAATTCTGGTTGCAGTGGAAAAGTGCAAATTAAATGTGTGTTGGAGCAGGTGTTAAGTGTATGTACTACCTGGCTTAGTGTCATTCAGATTTAACACAATGACTCTGAATCTCCAAACACAACTCTTCACTCAACACTACTTTGTTTACAAGTTAACAAAGTAAAGATACAAGAATACCTGGCAACTCCACAAGGGCGCTGAATATGAAGTCCACATACGGTGAAGAAGTGGTGTTACTGGAGCTTAGCTTAGTCGAGTTGATGCTCAGTCCGTAGTACACAAGGGTGGTGACAATCCTGGTGATATGTAACACACACACAATACTTATTTAAATGAACAGCAACATACTTTGACAGTAAATACTTTGATATAAATATAAATATTATACGTACATACAGTACATACATACATGCCTGACCCTTCAATTCCTAAGAAACAACCTTGTCATGAGGTATTCATGAATCATACACAAATACAAAATGAAGAAAAACAAATATATTCACATAAAACACTTGAAAATAGGATAATGATGAACATCAGGTGGCAAGAATCCCCCATAGTAAGAAAGCATTACATTTTGGGCAGTGCTAATCTTGTGTATAAATACATAAATTAAAAAGTTACATAGAAAAATCTATGATAATATAGTTACACATGGGATTCCTGAGGAAGGCATCAATTGCCTCCTATCATACAGTAGTAAACCTCTCAAAACATAAATGTTTATTAAATCTATACATGCAAATAATTCTCTGTCTCTGTCATCACATGTCCTTACCATGTGTCTCTAGGCATGCAAAACTGCACACCCTCCCTCCCTTCCCACTCCATCCATAAAATCAACATTGAATGTAATGAAATGCCAATTTCTGGGCGAATCCCAGTGGCTCCCTATAACTAACATCTCCGATGTGTGTAATGTCTGAAAGTGGCCATCAGTTGTGGAGGTTTCTGGCCTACCAGAGACACAGAGCCAAAACCTGGTCTTCTTACTACAGGGAGCAGTGGCATGTACAGGTATCTTTTTTATATGCCACCACCAGGGTAGACACCCAGTAAGTCAGCAAGACAAAACAGACCACAACTGGCTACTTCCTACACATGCAGACTTGAAAACGGCCATAGAACTGCCCCACATTAGATAAACAAACAACAGAAAATGTTTTCCAGCTAATGCTCATTTAACCCCCCCCCCACTCTCATTTGGGATACATGGGTGGGCAGTCCCATGTCCTAGGCCATGAGATGGTCAGTTCGACAGATGATGTGAAGCACCCGACTTTCTGGGGAAGGGAGGGTGACACAGCCACTGGGGTTCACACGGATATTAAACCCCCATCCCTCCCTCCCCATAAGAGTTACAGGAGCGGGGTGTACAAGCGTACGTTTGTTTTAAGAGATTTTCAGTAGTTTTTTTTACACTGCTGGGAAGTTTATTCAGCAGGTTGTGAGGATTCGGTCTTTTTTTGAACCCAGCAGTGGTTTGAATTGGTTCGCTGACTTTCCGAGTGCCTTCCCCGATGAGTTGACAGTGTCACTTGCTTCCTGTGCCTCTGTGAGGACAGGTTTTGGCTCTAGTCCCTATAGGCCAAACTGAACTCCATGGCTGATGTAATCATGCAGTTGGGAGCCATCTAGGAGATAGCTTCAGAAAGCTACAAGGAACTCCCTGATAAAATCATGGTAAAAACATTAATAATATTGAACCAGGCTGAACTCTGATGATCACTGTATGTGAGGGATGCATCAAAGCTAATGTGTACTGGCCTCTCGATGGCTTGACATAATTTACAATAAATCTTTGGTCATACACACAACCAGGAATAACAGACAGACAGGATTGTTAATGGGAAGAAGATGGTACAAAAAGAATTACAAATAAAATTGTACCTATTAAACATCCTGAACTGAATAAGTACAGTGCCATACTTAGAACAAGACCTTACCAGATGAAGAACATGGAGAACATTCTGCAGCAGAGGAGAGGAGTTTTCAAAATATCCAGCAAGGTGACTACATTAATAATTTTCACATCCGGTTCATCATTATCAGCATTCTCACTGCTGTCATTCTGTTGGAATAATAAGGATTTGAGTGCATATAAAAAGATCGTTTCTGAGCTAGATACTGCTTCTCCCATATATAGACTATGCACAGTCAGAGCAGGTTGGTATTCCACGTTGGTAAAACTGGTTGGTATCAATATTTCAAACAATCTTAATATGTCATAATGGTGTAAAGAATACTCAGACCAGCCAGGAATGACCTATACCCAGAGACCTCTTCGGTACCGAATCCGGGTGGTTGAACACCAAGATGTGCAGACAAGTATTCAATGTCTGTACTTTTGTGTATATACATGCAAAGACAGCCAGTTGCAGACCAAAGGCATTTTTTAGTTCATTTTTATATTTGTATTCATCTTCACCTATTCTCACCTATTGCAACAGTCTTCAAGGTACCAAACAATTAAATTTTTCTTCTCGCCCGCTCCCTTTGCAACACACACATCCTCTGCAGAACATATAACCTAAATATTTATCAATGTAACTTTCTCTTCAGATTTCAAAGAATTTATAGAATTTCTAAACATGTTAGGTGGAAGAGTCATACTCTCAGCATGTGAGGAGGGATTCTTCTGCCATTTCCCTTTGCAGCCTTCTCAAGAAGAGCAGCAACTTTTTGATCCCTGCCTTGAGCGTGTAACCACCTTGGCGATTCTGGAATGAACCTGAAACAGTATAAAAATAAAGTTAACATTCAAATAGTTCATTTGGAGACCTCTATCTTGGTTAAAGATATAGAGTACTTGTCCACAAACTATACCTCACAACAATCATTATAATGCATATTACTGTAAACAAAATTCAGGTTATGTTTTGTGTGCGTGATGAGAAGTGTCCACTCTGCACTGTACATGCTTAAGTAATCTCACCACCAGTAAAAAACAAAGCAGGATACCGGGGCAGATATGATGAGCTGTATCATTCGCCAGTCCTTCAGCCACCAGGCTATCAGCCCGAGTAGCACTTCCCCAAGTGCGAAGAAATACTCCCCAATAATTCCACACATCACCCGTTTACTTGGACCCACAAATTCCATTCCTGAAATGGTTGTCACAATTTGAAAGTGTACTGTAGTTCTATTAGGCTGACAATTATTGAGCAATTGATATATATATAACATGAACACCTTCAAACTTAAAACAAAAAATCATACCTACCTAAAACAAAAGCAGTTTGAAATACTGCAGTTGTCACCATGGCATTAAAAAAGCGCACTACATTGAATGCTCTCAAACCCGTAACAAGTGCTATGATTATTCCAGATGATGCCATACCGATGAGTCCAATCATAATAGTCGGCTTGCGTCCAATCCTGAAAAAATCATTTAATTAATATAGCAACCCATAATAGCTCTAGCACAAGTGTTACACTATTTTCTGGTAGGCCTATCAGTACTTGTAGCTTCGAGATGAAGCACTGGTACTGTCAAGCTTTAGGAAATTACACGAAGCCACCGAAACTAACCTAGCTTACAGAAGGCTAAAACTAGAATCTAGCGCTCACCTATTTTATTTATTTATTTATTTATTTATTTATTTATTTATATGCAAGAAAAACTGTATATGCTGTAAATAAATCAATTTAACCCATCAAAAAGCAGGGTGCCAACAATGGGCAGTACAAGCCCAGCATCACCAAGGAAATGTCACGCAGAAAACCTCAGTATGAGGGGGATGGGGTGGCCATGGCCAACACTTGGGGCAAACCATTAAGTACTGGGGACAAAAGTTCAACAATACCAGAGCGGAGTAAGAGGAGAAAGAAGGGTAACCTGCAACAGACTATTAATTAAGCCAAGGAACATCCACAAATACCAGGGCTGCCATCTGGTGGTGGTGAGGTCCAGTTAAATGTTTTGGTACACTATCTTTTTTCTCTTGGTTACTGTGGTGATCCGTCATCTCCACACGCCCCTCTAATGAAGGGGCTAGATTTTGGGAATGTTCTCCCAAGAATTTCACATGTTGACCAGATCACACACTAGAGGGTGAAGGGATGACGACGTTTCGGTCCGTCCTGGACCATTCTCAAGTCGATTGTGACTTGAGAATGGTCGATGGTCAACATACTTCAGCCACGTTATTGTGACTCATCGCCTGCATACAAAATTTCACATACTACAAATGACATCAAGCATTTTCCCATCAACCAAATATTGAGCAGCCTTGCTGTATACTGAGTCAGGTGGATTGGAATATTAAGCCATCTGACCACAGCATCAGGGCATTCCTAACACAGCTCAGACAGAAGCAATACCTCTAATCTGCACACACCTGAAGTATGCGGCCCTAACATAGAGTCTTTACCTTGTCAAGCACAAGACGAAGCTGGAAAAAGTTCAGCGGTATGCCCCTAGATTAGTCCTAGAACTAAGAGGCATGATTTATGAGGAAAGGCTGCATGAATTGCACCTCAAATGCTGGAAGACAGAGTAGCTTGTAGCTCATAATTATCACATTCAAAATTTTCAGGGCAATCGACAGGATAGATAAGGATGGATTATTTAACATGGGTGGTAAGGTAATTATGGAGGTGAATGGCTGGGTGTAATTCTGGACCCTACTGGGTTCCAGAATTGAGCCCAAAAGGGCTCAATTGTTGCCCTATTGAGCTATAATAGGGGCAATTGTCCTATTAAATAGGGCAAGATAAGCGAGTTCATACAGTATTCTTAGTTACCATACTGTTTTTTTATTGTCCAACCTGTCATAATGTTACAACTATCAAACAGATAGCTAGCCATGCCAGGCACAAGAAAAGTTTTTGCTGAACAAACCCTAACTGTAAACACCAGGCATGGGAAGGCATATGCAGCCACAGACAAGAACAGTCTCATATATGACCCAAGTTCACCCTTGGCAATAGTGCAAGCACCCAACACTCATATGAAGCTGGGTCAGATGTGATGGTGAAAAATATGCACAGCTAATTACTACACTTCCTATAAACAGTGATACAAGTTCATCCACTAACCTGAACAAAGGTGATTTAAGAGGAATCATCTCATAGAGGAGAAACCCAAATACCTAATGTCTAATTAGGGATAAATCCCTAATCTAATGGGAGGGGGTAAGGAAACACACACACAGCGAGTTGAAGCAAAATACAACGCTAGGACACACAATGCAGATGGCATTAAACACATGAAAGAGAAAGGAAACAATAACAAAGCAATGGCTTCCGGTTGAACTAATGTTCCACTACTTAGCTGAAAGTGAGTAAGTTGTGGCAGGAAGGCTGGAGCCCTTGGTGACCTAAGCTACCACCTAGAAGTGATTGGATGCATCAAGATTTCCCAGTGGTAAAAATTGCTTGCATCATTACTTCTGGGTACCAAATTTTCATCAAGCAGTTGTTTGTTTTAATGCACTTAAGTTTTATGGAGGAATTATTCTTAATTTTGGGTTCTCTGATCCTCAAACTTTCCTTGCCTTAGAGAGTTACATTCTGGTCCTGGCTCCCAGTAGGTAAGGGGTGGGTCTCGGCAGCCTGGTGCTTCCCCATGAGGTATAGCTCAACCAGAGCTTAGCTCATGATGCTACAGAGGGGGCCCACTCAAAAAAATTCTGTTAAGATTATCTGATTACAGAGAAATGTATAATAATTAAAAAAAAATTAATAGGAAAAATCTGCAAAGAATTGTATATCAAATGATCAGTGGTGGTAAACTTTCATTGTCCTTAATGTAAGTGATGGAGTACAGTCGGGTTCATTCTTGAGTCACACTCGCGACGTCTGGATTCGAATCCTCGTCAAGACAGAAATGGATGGGCATGCTTCCTCTCACTTAATGGGCCTGTTCATCTAGCAGTAAATAGTTACCCACAACACAAAGAAATCACAATAATGTGATATATCAAATGAACAAATCCACAAGGGCCTTGATGAGGGTTCCAACCTATATGCCGAGTGTTCCCAGACACGCTCTAGTCAACTGTACCACCACATGGTCAAAACAATTGCAACCTGGAGTGCTACTGTCCTCACAAGTAAAGCAACCAAAACACACCTAAGGAGTCCCAGAGCACGTACCCCAGAGTCCCAAGCCACACACACACGGAGTCCCGGAGCACACACCCCAGAGTCTCAAGACACACACATACCCCAGAGTCTCAGGACACACACACACGGAGTCCCGGAGCACAAACCCCAGAGTCCCAAGACACACCCATGGAGTCTTAGAGAACACATCCTGAAGTCTCAGAACACTTACCCCCCCCCCTAAGAGTTCCATGGCCTTGTATAGAATCAGGCAGCAGCACATTGCTATGTGTACCTAAGCTTGTTAATTAATAAACAAATAAAATTCGATGATTACACAAATATATACGTTATTAACAGGGATAATTAATAGGTTATTAATTTCTTGTATAATTATACAGTACTGCCATCTTCTGAATCACATTTCTAATAAGACATGACATTCATCGAATCAAAATACACTAAGGATACAATCACACTAAGCTTCTAGAAGTAGCAATGGACAAAATATTGCTGTCATAATTACTTCCTGTCATCCAAATATGATAGTAGTGTACTTACAGCAGTCAACTGGTCAAACGTACATTTAAAAATTGTTGCACCTACTAAAGCTCACTTTTTTGTACTGTTAATTTTGTAGAGGGCACAAGAGAGGCAACAAGCAAACCTATACTGAACCTAATATAAAACACACACACACACATGAACTAAATTAAGCCTAAAATGGAATATATCAGGCCAAGGACAGATTAGATTAGGTTGTATAGATATTGCTTCATTTTCTAGCTTGCCATTGTTCCAGAAGAACAAAATGCATTATTTTTCAGGGTACAACAATCCATTTATATATATATCCAGCCAATAGTGTTCATAAGTACTTTACTTTAATTTTTGGAGGAAGGGTTTCATAATTATCACACAGTTAATATCATTACCTCATCATTAAACACTACTACAATGTCAGGATCCAATATGCCAGAGGCTTAGGGCCTGCGCAGGAATATCCCTGCAAAAAAAAAAAAAAAAGGCTCCAATACAAAACATTACATAGGCTAACCCAAAGTAACTTACAGGTCAGCCACTAGGCCAAAGGAAAATGCCCCAACTAAAACACCAGCAAAGTACACCGTCTGAGCCATCTGGGATTTCCATGCATGGTGACAAGTCAGGTTAAACTGTTGAATAAATAACAAGACTTCATCATTTACTTTATAGAGTGTAATCAACTTTGAAGGCAAATTATCAAAGCTACAATAATATAAAATGTTAAATGTCCAGCTGTCAGATTAAGCTAAAGTATTTTTTAAAGCTAATTCAAAATGTTATTCATAATAATATTATTCAAAACATTTATCAAATTCTTATTCAAAACATTACAGGATTTATTTATTAATGAGGTTTTAAATAATTTTACAAACATTTGATACAATTAAATGTCTACAGAAAATCTTCCACAATTAATAAATTAATACCATTAACTAACTTTCTTCCCATCATCCACAACAACACAATTATATCATTTCATAATCCTGCTATTTCTGGAAGAGCTTCTGGTGGCTACTTGAAGCTATTTTGCCGAGACGGCTTTCCCCTACTGAGTCACATCTGCCATAGAAGGAAGCTTATCTAAATGCTTCTTGAAGAGTTCCACCTTTGTTCCACTAATATTTCTAATGCTTGCTGGGTGTATATTGAACAGCTGATGTTCAGACAGTGCTCTCTGATTGTGCCTATGGCACCTCTACTCCTCACTGATTCTATTCTGCATTTCCTTCCATATCTTTTGTTCCTGCAGGTTGTTATTACACTGTGCAAATTTGGGCCCAGGTACCTATTTACTAAGTGAGCAGGGGGCATCAGATGAAAGAAACTGCTCATTTGTTCCTGCCTCAGCCGGGAATCAAACCTTAGGACTATGGTTCCCGAGCACACAGACGATATATGATTTGTGCATTTTCTTTAATTTTGAATGCAGATCTACCATTACATAAGAAAAATAAGTAAAATAATTTTTATTTTTGGCTCACTGTCAGGATGGCAATTTGTATGATAGCCAAATCTTGAGATAAAAAATAAGGGCTTGAGATAAAAACAAGAATATGCATTTGCAATTTTTTTTATGAATATTCACTAGCAAACTATGACACGAGTAATTGGTGATAATGATTAAACACGTTTTTTTTAATAGTATATACTTCGTATTTTGACACATACATCCATAAGGTCAGAAACTGACAAACTGAAAATCATGCTGTTCACAACACTGACAGGATGGCCCATTTTCTATTCGTGGGTACTCTGTTAGTTTAGGTTTGGACAATTTAGTACTTCATTTTAGTGACGTTGTGAACACTCGAGTGGAAGGGGTGATTTACCAGGTCTACTGAATTTTTTTTAACTTACCTCTGTGACAAGAGTTGAAATATAGATATCATCTGCAAATATTTGTCCTTCAGGGCAGTCAGTAATATTTATTGTACTGTAATCTTCAGGTAAACATGAATCCTCATCATCTAATCGCTGATATCGGTGGCATTCATCATAGCTTGCAGATGCATTGATGTATGGAATGGTGAAGTTAACAAAGGTCTCATTATAGACTGGGCTGGTGCTGTTGCAATCACATTTAGGTACCAGACATCTGAGGGAAATAAAGGCACCAGTATATATTAATATTCAGGATTAGCATTATTCTGGATAGCTAGTGTAGTGATGGAGATATATTAAATTAATGTTCACTGACAATATTCATATAACAAAAGGTCTTTTCTGAGCAAGGCACTCAGGTGCTTTCTTAGGCAAGATTCTCCTGTTTCCAGAGGCAAGACTAATATGATCAGGACACAGGTCAACACTTTGCACTGACACACTGGGGATGTGTTCAAATATCCCCTCTATGTAATACTGGGGCAAGTATTACTTGCCAACTGTACATTCACCAATTGTACTGTACAGTCAAAACCTTTCTATGCAATACTCAGCATCAGACTGACTACCACAACCTGCAACTATTACCACATGTCAGCACCTACATGTCAATGCAGTACCAAGGCACTGTTCAACCAAGGGCTTAGCTCAGGAAAAAGCCAGACCCTTAGGACTACGAACCCCGAGCTCTGTCCACTCAGGCAAGTTTCTCAAAAATTAAATTGATCAAAAATTACCCTGCATTTAATGGGCCTAGTTAGGAGCCAGTGCAATTGGTGCCAATGTCATCTATCTAGTACTGTACAATGAAATACAGTATACTTAAAAAAAGAATTCCATAAAATATTCTTGTTAAATAGAGGCAAGTCTTGTATGTGGAAATGTCTCATATGCTGGAAAATACGGTAATTATGTTTGGCCACTGATATCATTACATTTACCAATATGTAAAAGTGAGTGTGATAGCTCTGATTTATTTGTTAATAACATCATTTGATAAATTATGACTAATTAATCATGCTCCAAAGCAAATGTATTTACCTATATTGTGGGGTTGCAGCAATAAACACATAAGCTAGATTCCCTGCGCCAACAAATATTATTGGAAGACACAACAGAAAGTAAATACGTCTCTGATAAGGCCCAAAGTCCCCTATCTCCTTCAAAATGTCATCAATATTCATCGCCATGTCACCAGGTAGCAGAAATCTGCAACAAAAGTAATAAAGATAAATTAAAATACTGTACAGAGAACTGGATTAATTCTATAATGCCTTAATCCAAAATAATTCCTGAAGCTTAGTTCCCCAAAATCCAGGGTTGAAGGTAATGCTATGCTTCTTTCTTATGGACCCCTTGGTAGCTCTCCTAGCTACCTGCTCTGGCTATCTAGCATGTTTAAGAACTCCTCCAAACTCGATCAATTTACAAATGAATATTGGAGGACCAGAATTTGGCCCCTCAGTTGGAGCAGGGGAGTCTGGGGAACTATGATCAACCACAGTACCTAGGAGAAAAACCACCAGAAAGGTAGAGCACACCAAAACAGATGACTACATAATAAACATTAGCAGTTTTGTTACTATGTAAACGATCACTATTTGAGTTGGAACACTCGTTTGTCACTCATGGCAGCATCACTCACCTCTGGGGAAGCAGATGGCAGCACAGATATATGACCTCTATGCTTCCCAGTCTGGCTATACCCAACATTTATACACGCCAATATTCAGAATGCCTGAAAAGGGTCAACAAAGGAGAAGTGGTATATATCTCATGCCCAAACTGCTCACAAACCATTATGCATTGAATGAGGGGAAAGCATGGAGACATCATTTTCAGAAGGACATACCTGCTCTGGAGAAGGTACAACACCGGGCAACAAAAATCATTCCAGAGCGGATCTCATCGAGTCTTAAAAAACTGAACAAGTTTGAGCATGTTGATCCAGATATTTTCTTCAGAAGGTCAGATGTAACACAAACAAGAAGTAACGGTTTCAAGCTCAACAAGCCAAATGTAGGACTGAGAACAGGAGATGTTTTTTCACCCAAAGGGTTATTAACTTATAGAACTGCCTACCTGCCAAAGCAGTAACTGCCAAAACTGTGCTGAATTTCAAAATATACCTGGAAAAGATCATCAAGGCAAATGAGGGGACCTTCAACAAGCCACTGGCTTCCTGTCCTCGTCGAGGCCACTAGGGGGTAGTGGCACTCAGGTAAATCAGGTATACCCATTGTATCTTCTTGTAAATAAATAGTATTATTATTATGCAAGTAATTACCAAAAGAAAGCATAAAGCTAGGAAGACTATGTAACAACCCAAACCACAAGCAAACTACTGCAGACCCTCATACTCCATCAGCATCTTGCCTTCAGCACCATGTACACTTTTGCTGATCACTTGTGCTTTTGGGTTATAGATTGTATCCCATTCAAATGAATCATTGATTAATTATTGACAACTGTGATTCCGATTCTAAAGAATACAATATTTGGGTATCACAAGTCTACAATGGATGTTGTAGATAGGGGGGGAAGGGGCAGGCCACGCCCCCTTAGACAAAACTTTCCTTCTTAAAGCATCACCGGCTCGTGGCTCCCTCACTTAACTACAGTACCTAACACGAGGGTTACGGTGACACAAAGGACACCACAGCTTCCCTTAACCTCACCTTTCTTTTGTAGCCTTCCACCTCAGGCTACAGACAGGACTCCTGGGAGGCGTGTTCACTCACCCAGTGTCAACACACTGGCAGGTGTACTAGCTTCTCGGTGAACATGTGTTCACTGAGAGTTTGCTTTGGTCCTGAGCAATGTTCAGGACTAAAGTACACTTGCTGACTGGTCAACACGCTACTGTGGGGCTGATGAACCTTTCCCAGTTGATCCCTAGCACAACCAACCTCAAATCTCACGATACCACGAATTATACGTCACCAACACATTTTGAAACCTACCAAACTCAACCTATCTAACCCAATCGAGCCCAATACAGCATAACCTAAGCTATTATATCCTAGCATAACAATATATTCAGCTTTAACCAACCTAAAACCGAGGTTTGGTGAATCATCCGGTGTCCGGACGGACCATACCCGAACACTTGGGAAAGGATAACACCACAGCGATCATATACTCTAGAGTGGGTTTAGTGTAAGGCCTTGGCTGACGTAATTTGATCGCCATATTGAAGTTCCAAGCTTAGAGCTTGATATAGGTTCAAAAACAGTATTTTGGAAGGGGAATGATACTCGTGTGGGCTAAATATGGATTTTATATAAGTAAAAGCCAAATTTGGTAATATAATTGAAAGTAGATAATTAGTATTTTATAAGGCTTACAATAATTGTGGCAATTATATTATTATGCCAATTATAAGTGGCATAATTGAAGTAAATAATAATTTATAACAATCAATAATAATGAATGATAAGTAAATGATGTAAATGGTTAATAAGCAAATGATAAGGCTTACAATAAGTGGCATTATAATTGAATTAACAGTACAAAATGGTGATGTATAACCCGTAAATGATGCATAATATGTAATTAACCTCTTAGTATGGAACTACCCAACAGGTAAAACAATATATTGTAATATTGTTATTACATAATGTTATATGTTATATATAACATGTATTGGTGTATTTGCGGCGAGGCAGTGGCCGACAGGTACGGACGGCATGGCCTTCTCTGCCAAAGGACGGGAGGATGGCATGCAAGACACGGCGAGGTTAATGACATTATTAAGAGAAGCCCTACCACAGCTGGTTGTCCAGCAGAGAGAGAGCCCCGTTACCTAGTGCCCCGCAACTCTGATGAGCCTGTCAGTCACCCAGACGGGATCACGGTGAACCCCTGGAAGAATGGTAGACAGTTGGTGTGGGACTACACTTGCGTTTCAACTTTAGCCAACACCTATGAGATGAGTTACAAACATAATGCTGGATTTATAGATAGAGCTAGAACATACAATACCTAAAGCCACTAATACGCACAGCGTTTCGGGCAAGGTGTGGGGAAAAATATCAGACATATTTGTTTTTGATGTGATGCTGAGCTGAGAGAGAGAGAGAGAGAGAGAGAGAGAGAGAGAGAGAGAGAGAGAGAGAGAGAGAGAGAGAGAGAGAGAGAGAGAGAGAGAGAGAGAGATGTGACCTTGGTGATGGAGCTGTCCAGTCTCCACTAACAATTCTCGCAGATAACAAGATACCAAATACCCGCAACTTTCATAACTTACAGTAATTGTTATGCTATCACCTAATCACTTATATTTATACATAAGCATTAAAATATGTTGTATAATAATTCGTCGCATATGTTTCTCTATAAATAGGTATTTATATTAAAGTTCTAGAGGTTTATGTTAGCGTAGAGGACGAGAGGTGTTGATGCGAGGCGCCACCAGTGCCTGCCTGGCGCCCTGGTGCCACAGGCCACCAGTGTTATAGTGGCTGCACCACACACACACGCCACCAATATGGCCGTCTGCCTGGATAACGTGTTGGACGCACACTGCCGTAAGAATATATGTATTACGTTTGTAATGTACCGCATGCTACCCAGTCATATTAAACATGTTATGCTCCGGTCAGTACCTGGATGGGTACCCACGTCCACCTGGGTATAAATGTCCTCCCACTGATAACCTAACCACTGTTGAGGTTATAACCTATGTTAGTCTACAAGCAACACCACACTAGTACACATAAACCCCCCATTTATACCTAATTTCCTCTGGAATACGACCCGCCAAGTCGTTTAACAACCAGGCACCCATTCACTGTTGGGTGAACAGAGGCAACAGTTAAGGGTTGGCCCCAAGTAAATCCTCCCCGGCCAGGATATGAACCCAGGCCAACGCCCTCGCGAAACGCCGGGCGAGTGTGTAACCAATTCGCCACGGGGGCGCTAATAACATATACATATCTTCACCCTCAGCGTTATAAACCCCATGGAACCGCCTACCGTAAACCCCATGGAAGCCGTAAATGCCAAAACTCTGTTATCATTTAAAGTACAACTAGAAAAGATCATTAAGGCAAATGAGAGGACCTTCGACAAGCCGATGGCTTCCTGTCCTCAACGAGGCCACTAGTGTTAGTGGCCCTCGGGTAAACCATGATGATGGTTGGGCAAGTATTTATTTAGGAAAAAAGTACATACAAAGTGAGTTACAAGCAGAATGTTGTACAATAATAGGAAGACATATTGGTAGGCTAATGTTGCTTAATGTTGCAGACTTGTGGGAGCTGGGACGGTTCAAGTACCCGTGGCCGACGCCAGACATGACCATCCACCAGGACCACCTGCCGCAGGATCTCCAGCAGGCCATGAAGGACACCCCCGTCACCGACGTTATCTTCGTCCAGTGTCTCAATGACTCCCCGGAGGAAGCCGGTGAGTCTGGCAGACACGGAGGGCACGGGGAAGACGGGGCGGGAAAGAGGGAGACAGGGAGGGCAGGAAGAAGACAAGGAGGGGAGGCCGGAAACAGGGACATATTAATTTATCATTTTCTGTTCGCAGAATGGGTGATGAGTTTGGCCAGGCAGTTCCCGTTCATCAGAGGTATAGTGGCTGGCCTTGACCCTTCTCATCCCCAGGTCAGTCAAGGGCACGGCACGGCTAGGTCGTTGTGAACCCCATGCCTATCCTGTGGGTGGTAGTGGACCCCATGCCTATCCTGTGGGTGGTTGTGAACCCCATGCCTATCCTGTGGGTGGTAGTGGACCCCATTCCCAATGCTGTGGGCGCTACTGGGAAGGGTTACAGAGGTAGATAATGGATTCAAGAATTGAACCCCAAAATTAATTTTGCTAATTAGGTTGCAGTCTTGATATACATGTCAAATAGTTCGTTAAGATATACATTAACGGGTTATTCCCAGTCGTTATCAATGTAAGACATCCGTGACCCCCAAGAGGCTCTAACACAACGAGTGCGAGATGTAGTTAGTATAATTACCTTATTCAGGACCCCCACACCCGTCTGGTAGGTGAGTGACAGAACGACTTCAACGTCATATAATGGGTCCAAGAACTCGACCACAACAATCTCTGAACCAAACACCAGACGCGCGTTGCTCAACTGGACAGGTGTGTGATCACGCATCACACACCTGTCCAGTTGTAGCGGCGGAAAGTATATTATTACCTTGCCATAAACATTAGCAAAGTCCATGTAAACTACATCTGCTGGAAGTCCTTTGGCTGATAGTTTACATTTGGTCAGATCCACTTCGTATGTTAAATCAAGGATCTGCCCGAAACGCTATGCGTGCTAATGGCTTTACAAGAATGTATAACTTCAAGTTTCTGTACTCTAATAAACCCAATGTACCTTCATCAGAGGCCCGAGACTGTTCAACACGCTTCCACTACACATAAGGGGCATAATTGGTCGACCCCTCAGTGTTCAAGAGTGAACTTCATAAACAATAACAAAGAATACCTGATCAACCAGGCTGTGGTTCATTCGTTAGGTTGCGAGAGAGAGAGAATTACCAGGGAAAACGCCATGCCATTGTGACTATATACGTCAGGCTGCGAGCAGCTGCGTCCAACAGCCTGACTTACCAGACCACCAATCAGGAAGCCTGGTCAGAGACCGGGCCGCGAGGACGTTGATCCTCGGAATCACCACAAGGTAACTACTAATTTGAGTTTCGGCGTATCTCAAGTCTATTAAATGTTATAGCAGTTCTTGGTATATTACTGTCCTCAGGCTGCTGAAGACCATTCAAGGTGGTAATCAACTCCCTCTTTAAGAATCTAAAACAACAACAACAGCGCCTGTGTCTCGTTTGCCCATCCAACGAGACACAGGCGCTGTTGTTGTCCAACCACGTGGGTTGGATGGTAGAGCGACGGTCTCGCTTCATGCAGGTCGGTATTCAATCCCCGACCGTCCAAGTGGTTGGACACCATTCCTTTCCTGCCCCGTCTCATCCCAAATCCTTATCCTGATCTCTTCCCAGTGCTATATAGTCGTCATGGCTTGGCGCTTTCCCGAGAATTCCCTTCCCTTCCCTCTGTAAGAACTTATACTTTGAGTAACTCATCAATTCTATTATGCATTCGGAGGCCAATATGTTTGTTACATCGTGTCTTCAAAAAGTAGCCAAGTGATGTGTAGAGGTGCTCAAAGCTGTCCACCTTACAACAGTAACTTGAGACATGTGTGTTGGGACAGTTTGAGAGCCGGCTGGTGCTGCTGAAGGAGGCTGTGCCGCTCCTGGTCGGCCTCCGACACATTCCCAACTTCCAGGATCACCCCGACTACCTACTGAGGGAGGACCTGGCCGCCGGGATCATCGCTTTGCAAAAACACAACCTCACCTTCGACCTCCTCCTTAGGTAGGTCTATCTGCCCCGATGGCTCTAACATGGATAGGGAAAAAGAGAGAGAGAGAGAGAGAGAGAGAGAGAGAGAGAGAGAGAGAGAGAGAGAGAGAGAGAGAGAGAGAGAGAGAGAGAGAGAGAGAGAGAGAGAGAGAGAGAGAGAGAGAGAGAGAGAGAGAGAGAGAGAGACAGAGAGACAGAGAGAGAGAGAGACGTGCAGGAGTACTAAATCTGTGCAGCTGAATAGAAAACCGAAGCCTCATTCGCCTAGCAGTAAAGTTGGACATGTACAAGTGCTATGTGCTATATGGTGCAATGGCACCATATAGATATTTGTGTGTATGTATGGTGAAGGATTGACGTTGGAAGCTTACACAGTAAATCTAACTCGTGGCGACATATTCCAGGCCTCAGCAGCTGGAGGCAGCTGGTGTCCTGGCCGGGCGGGTGTCCCAAGTGGGAGCCAAGCTGGTGGTTGATCACCTGGCCAAGCCTGACATCGCTGCCAGCAAGATGGACCCCTGGCGCCAACACATGTCAAGCCTCGCCCGACATCCCAACGTCTTTTGCAAGTTGTGAGTTGTGTCTAGTACTGTGATAGAGTAAACATATGTACAAACACGTCTCCCCCCCTAAACACCAACACACACACACAAACACATTACAACTAGGTGAGTACACACACAAGTACTTTCAAAATACTTGAAAGAATAATCAGGTTAAGACTAGTTACACACCTAGAGAATACTAGGTTTGTAAACAAACACCAACATGGGTTCAGGGAAGGGAAATCATGCCTAACAATTGGAAGTCTATGATAAAGTAACAAGAATAAGGCAGGACAGGTAAAGATGGGCATATTTCTGGACTGCCAAAAAGCCTTTGATACAGTACCGCACAGGAGACTGGTATTCAAACTTGAGAGGCAGGCGGGAGTAAGCAGAAAAAAGCCTTAGCTTTAGTAAGGAATGACTTAACAGGCAGGAGTCAGAGAGTAACCGATGTCTCTCCCTGGCGGCAGGTCCGGCCTGGTAACTGAGGCTCACCTCGAGAAGTGGCAGGTCGACGACTTCCGCCCTTATGTCGAGGTAAGTGGTGGCGAGTAGTGGGTGGTCTCCACTAATAGTGATGGTCTCGCCTCTTGCAGGCGAGACCATCACCCTAAGAGATAATGATACCCTAAGTGGTTGGGTACCATTCCTTTCCTCCATCCTATTCTAAATTATTGTCCTCTAAGTGCTATATAGTTGTAATGACCTAGTACTTCAACTAGATAAGTGCCTTACCTTACCTTTTAGTATTCATTTAAGTTAAGAACATCAATTCTAATCCTATGGAACCATAGTTTTAGTTAAATAAAAAAAAGATAAGATTGATTGATTGACTCAGATGAATAGCAGACTCAGACGTGATGGTAGCATGACTTACACGGTTTATGGACAGTTTTCTATGGCAAGATGTGTGTGTGTGTGTGTGATGTTGCCCCTTGGTGCCTTCCTCAGCACGTGTTGTCGGTGTTCGGGGCGGAGCGGGTCATGTTCGGCTCGGACTGGCCGGTGTGTCGTCTAGCCGCCAACACAGACTACGACCGGGTCTTCTCCACCTTCAGGCAGCTCCTCCACCACCTCCCTCATCACCAACAAGAGATGATCTTCTCCACCAACGCCAGAACCTTCTATAACATATAAACCCGTCCTTACAGATCGCTAGGACAACCTGTCTTAGAAAGAACGTCGTATTTCGATCGCATGCGTTACCTTTGGCCAAAAATTGTCGTACTAGAAAATGGAAGCGGCTGGCGAAAGTGACGCACTGTCCCGTTTTCTGTTAGGTTATGAGAGAACACTTTAAATTTATATTTTTCTTGACTTTGGGAAACCTTAAGAGGACGGGCTAAGGTTTTAGCCTCTTCATTACTTCAAGAACATTTGTACTTGTACACAAAACTGCAAGACCTTACAGTCATCAATGTGGACATTAAGTTCAAATTATTATCATGTTAATAATACGGGACTCATCTACATAATTCACAGTGGACGGAGAATCCTTAAGGTGTACTGGCCTCACCTCAACATTCACACAGTGGGAGCTACTGTCCAAGATATCGACGTCTTTCCTTATATCTCTGACATCTCCTCAACAGCAATGTATCTTTAAGTCTTAGACTGTCAAATTTAAATAATTTAGAGCTAGATTTAATACATATATTGAGAGAAAGTTTATTGTGGATTAAAAACAGTTGAAATCGACACATCGCATCAATTATAATTATTACCTTGTATACAAATTGCAATATTAAATTTTCTTTCCATTACCAATTTTGCAATACAATACAGTGATGAGTGAATGTTTGACTCCAGTGTTTATGCCACATTCCAAGCATTAAATGTGCTCTTATATGTATGAGTTCGCGATCACTGCGATTATAATACTATACATTCCTTATGTACGAATTAAAATAACCTTCCATATGTCACATAAAATACAAAAATTCACGTCAGGAAACACCAACTGAACTAGCTCAAACTAGCCTAGTGTGAGTAACGCCCACCAGGTAACTAGCCTAGTGTGAGTAACGCCCACCAGGTAACTAGCCTAGTGTGAGTAACGCCCACCAGGTAACTAGCCTAGTGTGAGTAACGCCCACCAGGTAACTAGCCTAGTGTGAGTAACGCCCACCAGGTAACTAGCCTAGTGTGAGTAACGCCCACCAGGTAACTAGCCTAGGGTGAGTAACGCCCACCAGGTAACTAGCCTAGGGTGAGTAACGCCCACCAGGTAACTAGCTTAGTGTGAGTAACGCCCACCAGGTAACTAACCTAGTGTGAGTAACGCCCACCAGGTAACTAGCCTAGTGTGAGTAACGCCCACCAGGTAACTAGCCTAGTGTGAGTAACGCCCACCAGGTAACTAGCCTAGTGTGAGTAACGCCCACCAGGTAACTCGTCAATCGTGAAAAGCTAAAAGAAGCACATCTGTTATTTCTGGTCCCGCCCTCCCCTCTCTCCCTGTCAACCGCTGGCGGTCAGCAAGTCGACCCCCTCCCATGGTAAGTTAACCCTCCCCACTCCCCTCCCAGGCTTATGCAAGCATGTAGGCCCCCCCCCCTTACTTCTCCAGCTGCTGTTTGCTTGCTCATCACCCCCCCTCCCCCGCCCCCCCCTCGCTCCGGCAAGGGCCAAGGAGCCTCCCTATTGCCCACCTTAGTGCCTCCTGCAGACGTTTCACGCCCCACACGTCTCTTATATCGACACTTCTCGTGTTTCCTGACGATGTTTTAGCCCCTGGGGGAGTTCCGGGGGATGAACGTGGGATGACGGTAATCTGAGGGCAGACAGGAGGAGGAGGAGGGGGCAGGGTGAAGGGTGAGGGGGTGCTTGTGGAGGGTAGCATGTAGTGGCAGACGCCCCGCGGCCTGAGTACCATCCAAAGTGTCCCCTCCTCTCTCAAGATCGTCTGTGAGACACCTGCCTCTCAAGCACTCACCTCTCAACTGTACCAGCACCTCACCAGTGTCCCGGGGTTGTCCCACTGCAGTCTCGCCCGATACTGTCCTCAAGGTAGGCTGAAAGCTCCTTGTGTAGTCTCACCTTGTGTAGTCTCACCTTCTGTAGTCTCTCCTTGTGTAGTCTCTCCTTGTGTAGTCTCTCCTTGTGTAGTCTCTCTCTCTCTCAAAAAAAAAATGTAATATCTTAACCCGAATCAATTCACGTTTATTCTTTTCGAATAAACAAAGAAAATGTACAGGACTTTTTGTTATTAATACATGAGGTACATCTGCATTAGTGCAGCTACCCTAGACTATATGAAGTGGAGTACAGTGTGTCAAAAAAGCTAACTACATGATGCTAAAAAATCCCCATCACACAGGATGGTTAGTCATACAGAGGCATGTGATAGGCAGTCTGCACTGGCAGACTCCGGATGCATTATGAGGATATCATCAACACAAGATTGAATAAGGTAGCAGTGATACTAAAAGTCCCCATCTCGCAGGATGGTTAGTCATACAGGGCCATATGTTTAGTAGCCTACACTGGCAAATTTTGGGTACACTGTGAGGATATCTTCAAGGGGAATACGGTGGGAGTAAGTATCAGAATTCTTCGGAAAATACAGCCCCTATTTTTATATTAGACTGTGAAAATTGTCGTGGTTCAATTGCCATGAAAATCCATGGATGTGTATTAAACGCTGGCACTTGGGGCAACACCAACTGTGCTATGATACATAACCCAATGTTGGAAAGTTGGATGAGACTAGCCCCAAGCATCTGGCCTCGTACGTCGGACAGACTGACACATTCAACCGCTGATGTGTGGAAAGAGTTAGGAATCTCAGGCACTTTTAATCACTTGTTTAGTTTCGATTCTTCTGGGCATTTTAAGTAATGTGGCTTTGTGTTATGTACGAGGGAGAATGTATGCCGCAAGGATAACCAAAACAAAGTATATAAGAAATGAGAGCCGTAATAACATTGTTGATACGATGACTGAGAGGATGGTGATGGTTGACATTGCAGGACAGCGATACAGCCATGTTGACCAGCGGCCCCTGGGCGAGGCTCCTCTTGCTCTATCTCACGCTGGGTAAGTTCACCACATTTCCTTTACCCACTTATTTGTTATATTTATTGATGCAAATTATAATTTGTAATCGTGTTAATGTTAGTTTACAATGTGATTCTTACTTTAGAGTTAACAAGTGCATTATGGAGTTATTAAGCCGGGTGAGTGTGGGGAATAATACTGGGGATAATGTTACCGAGAGTGTGATGTAGGCGCACTTCTCACACTACACCACACAAGCCTCGCACAAACACTTCCAGTCACTATAGCCCACTATGTCATGCTCGGCCAGTTACCACACATTAGTATGCGTCACTTGATACATGCAGCCATTTACAAACATTAGTATTCTGTAGCTTTATTTGTTGACCTACGTAAGGATTTTGAGACCGTCAACCACAATAACCTTCTTAAACTGTAATAGTATGTGGTCAGAGGTCACTCCATTCAGTATCTGAAATCTATACCTCGATAACTGGTTTTAGTACGTGAGCGTACTAAAAAGTTTACTGTGAGCGAGGCTACTTCTCACTCTACCAATTAACACTGGCCTTCCACGACACTATAATTGCTCCACCCCGTTTTCTTATTTACTTCAATGTCCAAATGACTCTCAACACATGAAGACAATTCTGTTTGCTGAGGACACAGCCTTCATTTTCTATGATCCTAACACTCTTATTCTAAACGACAGTCAATACTGAACTAAAAAAAACTCTAATTTTGGCTAACTGCTAACAAGTAAGTAAGTAATTATCAATAGAAGGCACCAAAGCGGGAAGGCTATGAGCACCATCTAACTGCTAACAAACTCACCCTTAACATTAATCAAACGTTCTACATTTTGCTTGGTAACAAATTCACCAATCAAATTAACCGAAGAATTAACAATACCCAAATTATTAACAGTAAATAATTAACAGATAGTAAATTCCTTGATGTTCGCATTGATAACAGGTCGAATTTCCAGTACTTATTCTAAATAACTCTTCACTGATAAATGTTTATTTATTTATTTATATATATATATACAAGAAGGTATATTGGGTTTATGAGAGTACATAGCAATGAGGATTTTACATTCTTGTAAATTCACTTAGCGTTTCGGGCAGGTCCTTAAACTAGCAGATGGTAAGTAGGTAATTTCCTACCTTAAGTAGGTAATTTCTGGCAAAATTTATTAAATGATAACAGGTACATTGTAAGAAAATTTGACGATTAGTAGGTACAATAAAGTAAATATTTGAGGGCTATAAACAGGTACATGGTAGCATAATTTGAGGATTATTTCAAGGCATAATACAATATAATATGTGTTCAATATAACAACCATGATATAAGATAATAACAATGATTACAACAGTAAAGTTGTATGGCTTAGGTACATAAATTGGAGGATTGGGTAACACAAGATACAATGCGAGTTTAAAGCATTAAAGATAGGAAACTATGAAGATGAAATTAGGTACTTTTTGTTTTTGTTTTTCAATAAGGCAAATGTTGGACAGCTTCTCAACTCGTTAGGGAGTGAGTTCCATAGACGCAGATTAAGTTTGACTCTGGGGATATCAAAGAGATATTTTTTTCTGGTGTGGTGATTATGGGTTCTATTACATCTGTCCAGGGAGAGTTTCAGAACAGGGTTTTGTAAATGTAATTGGCATAGGAGAATGTGTGGAGTAAGTTTATGTTTATCATGTTTAGGGATTTAAAAGAGGGAGGGGGGGGGGGCTGAGTGTTGTCTGAAAGCAGAGTTTGTTATTGTTCTGATAGCAGATTTTTGCTGGGTGATGATGGGCTTGAGGTAGTTTGCAGTGGTTGAAGCCCATGCACAGATACCATATGTAAGATAGGGATAGATTAGTGCGTAGTATAGTGAGAGGAGAGCAGAATTAGGTACCTAATATCTGATTTTAGAGAGAATACCAACTGTTTTAGAGACTTTCTTGGTTATGTGTTGTATGTGGGTGCTGAAGTTGAGTCTCTTGTTTAAGTATGGGTACTAAGTACTCCTTAGCCGCTGCGCGCGCAGCAACACGCAAGTCACTATAGTCACTTGTTTGACCCCAGAGAGAAATCCCCGCGTTTCTCGAAACTACAGATCCTGTATGGAAGACATTTAAGAATAACACAAGATCCACCACATATATTGTATACAAGACTAAAGGATTGCCCCTTGTCACCTGTAGGCTGTGGGTGCGTGCGGTCGCAGGCGCCTCCGTCCCCAACATTGTCACCTTCGTCACCTGCACCGTCGTCGTCACCTCTAGCGCCATTGTCGTTACTGCCACCGTATTCGTCCTCAGTGTCCTCGTCGTCCTCAATGTCACCATCATCGTCCTCATTTTCACCATCGCCATCATTATTGTCCTCATTATCACCATCGCCATCATTATTGTCCTCATTATCGCCATCACCATCATCGTCTTCATTATCACCATCATCGTCCTCATTATCACCATCATCGTCCTCATTGCCATCATCGTCCTCATTGCCATCATCGTCCTCATTATCACCATCGCTATCATCGTCCTCATTAGCACCGTCATGGTCACTACCATCATGGTCATTGCCATCATGGTCACCAGCATCATGGTCACCACCATCATGGTCACCACCACCGTCACCATCACGGTCCCCAGGACCATCACCATCACGGTCACCACCACCAGCACCATCACAGTCACCAGCACCATCACGGTGTGGGTGCTGGGGCCAGAACAAGGTGTACCTGCAGTACAAGGCCCCGGCCACCGGCTGGTACACAGCCTCCCCCGCCAGCAGACACCTCTATGAACGCGACCTCAACATCTCCGGCAGGAAGGTGCAGTACGTCCTCGAGTACAAGAACAGACTCAAGCCCGCCTACTGGATGCTCTTCGAGAACAGGCCCGACGGAGCGGTAAGATCTCCAGGCATTTTATTTCATTTATATACATTAAGGTACATTGACAATGAATACATTTTATTTATGTACGGGAAGGAGCAGTACTGATGGGAAAGATATGAAAGGTAACGCTTGAATGGATATAAGATATATTTATGCATAATATATCTTATTAACTTTAATTCATTTCAGACAAAAGTAATCAGCAACAGGAAGGAGAAGATGCTCGTCTCCTGCCCGTGTAAGTACCACAAATTATGACTAAATTTTAGCCTAAAATGAAGCTGATCTCTTGTGCTGTTTGTCAGACTGCATGGCACGGTGCTGTCGCAGCTCTGGGCATACCTGGTTGATGGGGTTCTGGGAGTTCTTCTACTCCCCAAGCCCGGCCCGAGGCCAAACTTGACTTGTGAGAGTTTGGTCCACCAGGCTGATGCTTGGAGCGGCCCGCAGGCCCACATACCCACCACAGCCCGGTTGGTCCGGCACTCCTTGGAGGAAACAACCTAGTTTCCTCTTGAAGATGTCCACGGGCATGTTTACCTTTTTACTCTCATTAACAGTCTATGCCACGTATCTTTCAACAATCTGTCAATGTTACTTTATCGATTAATTTTAAGTATTGTCCCTTAAATCTTCATTTTCTCCTATTTTTTATTGTTTTACCCTCCTTGAAAGCTGTATTGAATATCAGTTCCTAATTTTTTTTAGACAATATATGTTATTTTACTTCCTGTTTAGTATGGCCTTATTATAACTACATACTATCTAATCATTAAAATACCCCTGTTTAATATTCCTGTGTATTTTCTGTGCATTGGAAGAAAAACATCCACATAGTTTGGGATAATTTATTATGTGGAGAGTTCGGTAGCTGGAAGTGGAAGGAGGTCGCGGAGATCTCTGTATTAGTAATTAATTTTCGATGTACACATTTCATTTTTGTACCAATGTGTTCGCAATAGAATGTTCTAGAAGAACATATGTATAAAATGTCACACAAGGATGTGTTAGACCGGCACCATATAAAGAAACTTCGTTGATTACACTTCGCGTGTCAACAATACAATAGTTTTACCACGAAGATACAAGACAATTCCGTTCTCCCAAATAGGCTATGTGGCTATTAGAGAAAACGTAAATTTCATGGCAAACATCTTCATACTATCCCCAACTCGATCGGATAAGAATTAAATATTTTATTTATTTATTTTTTTTTATTTATATATATATACAAGAAGGTACATTGGGTTTGTGAGAATACATTGGATAGTACAGTATTTATACTCTTGTAAAGCCACTAGTACGCGCAGCGTTTCGGGCAGGTCCTTAATCTAACAGATAATTTTAAGTAGGTAATTTCTATCAGAATTCATAAATGATAAAGATACATTGCAAGAGAGAAATGAGATGAGAAAGCTTAGTAAGTATATTAAAGCACATTGTTATATTAAAGCTCTGATTGATTACATTGACAGCTTGATTAGTAATTTAAACAAGATTAATAGACACCATACAGCAGATTGACAGCACATATAAGACAGTAATGATCACAATGGTAAAGATGTTCAGATTGGGTACATCAAGATTGGGAGACTGGGTAGCAATAGATACAGATAAACAAGATTAATAAACACCATACAGCAGATTGGCAGCACATTTATTTATTTATTTATTTATTTATGCATATACAAGAATGTACATAAGGAATGTGAGGATACAATTATGGTAATTACAGTCTTGTAAAGCCACTAGCACGCGCAGCGTTTCGGGCAGGTCCTTAATCTAAGAAAATTTTAAGGAGGTAAATACTTGCAAAATTTATAGACAAAAAAATGATAACAGATTACATGGAATGAAAAAAAAAAAAGATGAGAGAGAAAATTATAGGTACAGTATATTAAAGCACATAGGTAGCTATGATTGATTGCAATGACAGCTTAAAATGGTAGTTGACAACAAATTGGTAGGCACAATACAGCAGAAACAATATAAGATTGATTGCAATGACAGCTTGAATGGTAGTTGACAAAAATTGGTAGTCACAATACAGCATATGGCTAGCACATAAAAGAAGACAGCAATGAACACAATGATAAGGTTTGATATATTTTTTTATAGAACTGTTTGTTCGTCAGACATAAAAATATGTCGCACGCTCATATTCAGGAGAAAAACAGTTGTCCCGTTTTTGTGTCCGAATCGGAGGAAAGTGTAGTTACTTTACAGGATACTATTAAAAAATGGGAGATATAGTTTCACAGGTCGATCTCGAACCCATTGTTGATGTGACGACTTATATTGAATTTTGTAACTAGCTCATCAAGATTGTAACTTGCTCAGCTAAATGAATTGTGGGGTTCATTCCCTGAGCCCATTATGTGCCTCTGTAACCCTTTCCACTACCGCCCACACGATGGGTATGGGGGTGCATAATAAATGAACTAAACTAACAGAACATGCACTTCCCATAAGAATTACTTTAAATACTGGACCTACTAAAACAGGGACTTAAAATTAGTTACGTTACTTAATTTACACTCTTTTCACAATTTGACTGGTAACTGATAAATGTAATAACACAAAGGCTTTACTAGTAAACACTTGACTAATATTACTAATATGACTGGTAGAACACAAAACACATGCCCAGTAATACCCACACTGATTAGTGAATACAAAACACTTACCAAAACAGTCAAACACAGGGGAAACATGTACACAACTTAAATCGATCAATGTATCCTACACCTAACTAAATAAAAGCACCACTATTACCTAAAAGTCCTGCACTTATCGTAAATATATTAGACCACTGAACCTCGGCCATCCTCCACTGTCGCTACCAGCCAAGTGGACCGTGGACGTTGTTAAGCCACCACAAGAGGTGCCACGGACATGAATAGCACGTCGGTAGTAAACGGTTTGAAGTGAATGACTTGCTCGTACTTGGCTGTACTAGTAGCCCATGAAACGTCGGTAGTAAAGGTTTGAAGTGAATGTGCTCTTTGGCCTAGTAGCCCAAACACTTGGGCTGGACGGTAGAGGGACCGTCTCGTTTCATGCAGGTCGGTGTTCGATTCCCAACCGTCCAAGTGGTTGGGCACCATTCCTTTCCCCCCGTCCCATCCCAAATCCAATACAATACAACAATACAATTTTATTTAGGTAAGGTACATACATACAATAAATATTTACAAGGATTGTTTAACAGATAGTGATGAAGAGATGAGTAGTATTTTTAATAAATATTTTGTATCTGTATTTACTAAAGAGGAACTTAACAATATGCCTTCAGCCGAACAAGTCTATGTGGGTGGGGACGAGGACAGGTTGACGAGTTTAGCAGTTACCAGGGAGGATGTTCTTAAACAAATAGTAAAACTCAAACCAAACAAATCCCCAGGGCCGGATGAAGTGTTTGCTAGGGTGCTTAAAGAATGCAAAGAGGAGCTTTGTGACCCACTGTCAACCATATTTAATAAATCAATAGAGTCAGGCAGAGTGCCAGAGTTTTGGAAAGTTGCTAATGTGATACCAGTTTTTAAGAAAGGAGATAGATCACTTGCGTCTAACTATCGACCAATTAGCCTAACGTCTATTGTGGGAAAATTACTCGAATCTATAATAGCAAATAAAATTCGTCTTCATCTTGAAAAACATAAATTAATAATTGAGTCGCAACATGGTTTTATAAATGGCCGTTCATGTTTAACAAATTTGTTATCTTTTTATTCTAGCATTGTTGAGGCAGTTGATAGTGGTAAGGATTGCGATGTTGTATACCTTGACTTTAGCAAAGCTTTTGATACAGTGCCACATGAAAGACTGATTAAAAAAATAGAGTCTCATGGTATTGGGGGTGCTATATTAAGCTGGATTAGGGCATGGCTATACCAAAGGAAACAGAGAGTTAGTATAAATGGAATCAAGTCAGAGTGGGAAAATGTTGTAAGTGGAGTGCCTCAAGGCTCTGTCCTGGGACCTCTGTTGTTTATAATATATATAAATGATTTAGATTCAGGTTTGAGTAGCAACATTTGCAAATTTGCCGATGATACGAAAATCGGTAGGGAAATTAATTCGGAGGAGGACTCACTATCACTTCAAGTTGATCTAGATAGGGTTTTGAAATGGTCAAAGGATTGGCAGATGCAGTTTAATGCTGATAAATGTAAAGTTCTGAGGTTAGGTAATGATGATAGAGTTACAAGATACGAGCTAGATGGTGTTGTGATTGCGAAGTCGGATTGCGAAAGGGATCTGGGAGTTATGATTAGTAAGAATTTAAAACAAAAGGATCAATGCATAAATGTTCGTAATAAGGCAAACCGGACACTTGGATTTATTAATCGCAGCGTTAGTAACAAGACACCTGGTGTGGTTCTCAAGCTATATCTTGCTCTAGTTAGGCCCCATTTAGATTATGCAGTTCAGTTTTGGTCGCCATATTATAGAATGGATATAAATTCACTTGAACGTGTCCAGCGTAGGATGACTAAGTTAATTCCCCAAATTAGAAATCTTTCATATGAAGAAAGATTAACAAAGCTTAAGTTGCATTCACTGGAAAGGCGAAGAGTTAGGGGTGACATGATAGAGGTTTACAAGTGGATGAATGGACATAACCGGGGGGATATTAATAGGGTATTAAAAGTATCAACACAGGACAGAACACGAAACAATGGATATAAATTGGATAAGTTTAGATTTAGGAAAGACTTGGGTAAATACTGGTTCAGTAACAGGGTTGTTGATTTGTGGAACCAATTGCCGCGTAACATTGTGGAGGTGGGGTCCCTCGATTGTTTCAAGCACGGGTTGGACAAGTATATGAGTGGGATTGGGTGGTTATAGAATAGGAGCTGCCTCGTATGGGCCAATAGGCCTTCTGCAGTTACCTTTGTTCTTATGTTCTTATGTTCTTATGTTTAACTTATAGGTATAGCTAGTACATACAATGCCTAAAGCCACTATTACGCAAAGCGTTTCGGGCATGATAAACTTAAATGACAAGCTTAATACTAATTGAGCATAGTGAGTAGAATGAAAACAAGAAATGAAAACATAGATGAAAAAGCAGCACAAATACAATTATGTCGACAAACAGCGCTCTTTAAAGAAAAAAACAGACATTGGTTGACAATAGAAGGGTAAGGTAGGTTACAGGGAATTTATTAGGTATAGCTTCGCTTTTAACTTAAACTGGTTGAGAGAGGTACAGTCTTTAACATGGTTGGGAAGGTCATTCCACATTCTGGGCCCCTTGATTTGTAGAGCATTTCTAGTTTGATTAAGTCGTACTCTAGGAATATCAAAACTGTATTTATTTCTGGTGTGATGCTCATGGGTTCTGATACAACCTTCTATGAAGCTTTTGAGATCAGGATTGGCATTATAGTTTAGCGTTTTATATATGTATAATACACATGAGAGAATGTGCAGTGACTTAATGTCTAACATATTCAGAGATTTAAGTAGGGGTACCGAGTGGTGTCTGGGGCCAGAATTGGATATTGTCCTAATAGCAGCTTTGTGTTGAGTAATTAGAGGACGTAAGTGATTTTGGGTAGTAGAGCCCCAAGCACAAATACCATAGTTGAGATATGGATAGATAAGGGAGTAATAGAGAGTCACCAGGGCAGGGCGTGGTACATAATATCTGATCCTGACCCCTTCCCAGTGCTATATAGCCGTAATGGCTTGGCACTTCCTCTTCATAGTTCCTTCCTTCCTTTGGCCTCGTAACATCTTGAAGTATTACTGCCTTACTTGCCCACACGTCCACGGGCCTCGGGCTGTGGATGAATTACCAGCGCGTTTCCCCGTCCACCCGCCTGCGTTCCAGCAATGTTTCACTCAAACTCGTATCCCCAATTTGTTTATTTATGTGTAATTATTGAGTTCCAGACTGGTTTTCTACATATAACACTGATTTTTAGGCATATTTCCCAACCACTGAATGTCCTTGAGAATATTTGTTTTCTTTTATTGAATTGATGTTTACATTGTTTTAGGGAGAAACGTCCTAACGTTGTGACCATACACTGCGCATGTGCAGAACTACCCAGTGCACTGGCGGGAATTCCAAATATCTTTCCTTGACTAGTTGAGTAAATAGTCTCACTTGCTTAGCTAAATGAATTTTGGGGTTCAGTCCCAGAGTTGTTGTTAAAGATTCGCTACCTGGAACAAAAAGTACCAAGTAGCACGGGCTATGATGAGCCCGTAATGCCTTGGTTCCTGAGCCATCATTTTACAAAAACACGAGGTTAAAGACACAGGTCTATACTCTCCATTGGCTTTAGGGATAGGGATGATCATAGCTTTTTTCCATTTACTGGGAATACTGCCCTCTTTATAACTAATATTAAAGAGGTCTAAAAGTGGGCTTTTCGTCATAGTGGCAAGTTCATTAAGTATTTCATAAGTTACTCCATCCTCCCCAGGTGCGGTAGATTTCCCAACTTTAATCGCCGTTATTAGTTCTTCTCTGGTAATACCTGTGCAAGTGACATCACCACTGTTACCTGCTATAAGTATAAAATCCTTTCTTAGATCTTTCCAAGAATCTAATGACTCTCTCGTTACAGCGGGTAATGAACTAAGTTTGGCAGCTTCCGCCCATTTATTTACGAGCTCATTTGCAATTCCTTGCGGGTCTGGATGTGCAACAAAATTGTGCTTTTTACCCCTTATTTTATTTACGTCTTGCCAGATTTCCTTCAAGTTTCTGTTACTCCCAACTTTCTCTGCAAATTCCTGCCAATACTTGCTCCTAATTTCCTTTCTCTTCTCCCCACACAGCCTAGCAACTGCCAGTAAAGCATTCTTCCCTTCCTCAGTCCTACCATTCCTATTCCAATCCCTGTGAGCTCTCCTCATTGTTAATGTCCACCCCTTAAGCATCTTATCATGTGTATAATTTTCTTTTCTGGGGGGATGCCTTTTTATACTAGATGGTTTCCGGTTCAATGTTGCATTAAATACATCTACCTCCTTAATTAAATCTTCATAAAATGCTTCTGCCGAAACCGGCTTATAAGTATCATACCAAGACTTAATATGGCCGACAAGACCCCTTAATTCTCCCTCATTAAACTTTAACCTTTTCCTCTGAAGGCAGGCATGCTTTTTATCTAGTTTAAGCTGTATTTGTAATGCAAAATGATCACTTAGCATTTCATCCACAGTAAGACAATTCCCCTCTATGCCCTCAGCATTTATTAAACAAGCATAATCTAATCTCCCTCCCCTCAAATGAGCAGGCTGAACTCCAAGGAGTATTAACAGGATTACAGGAAGTAGTCAAATGTGGAAAAAATGCTTGCTTCTTTATTGACAGCAGAGGAGCGTTAGAGTCTTTAAATAGCAGACGCCCAGTATATCAGAATATTGTGATAGAGTGTAGAGAGAATGTTAAGAGACTAGAAAAAACTGGGTATAAAGTAAGATTCATGTGGATCCCTTCACATGTGGGAATACTGTTGAATGAGGTAGTTGATGACATAGCGAAGAGAGCCACTGAAAAAACTCTTGTTGATGTTGTATGTCAGTTAACCTTGAAACAAATAAAAACAAGACTCAAGGTGATTCAGGAGGGTGAAGAAATGATAAAGAGAATGGCAATGGTGGACAGTAGTAACACACTTAAGAATTATTCCATAATAAATACAAATTCGTCCTTCACTTATGGTAAAGGAAAGTCTACTTGGAAGGATTCAATTTACATGAGATTACGATTAGGATATGCCTTGGTTCCTGAGCCCATTGGGCCTTTATAACTCTTTCCACTACCGCCCACAGGAAGGGTGTGTGGTGCATAATAAATTAACTAAACTAACATTCTTCGAAAAAGGACCCGTTCCTTACACTATGACAAAAAAGGGTTGGCCCCAAAATGGACCCTTGTGGTACCCCCCTCTCACCACATTCATGCAGTTAGATTCACTCCCGTGTATCATTTTATTTTTTATTTAATTATTTATTTATATATACAAGAAGGCACATTTAGTTGTGAGAGTACATAAAATTAATGTTCTTACATTCCTACAAAGCCACTAACGCTCATAGCGTTTCGGGCAGTAACCAAGATTGGGTTAAAAAAAAAAATAAAAAAAATAAAATGTTTATTTAGGTAAGGTACATACATACAATAAATTTTTACAAAGATTGGTTGACTTATAGGTAGAGCTAGTACATACAATGCCTAAAGCCACTATTACGCAAAGCGTTTCGTGCATGATAAACTTAAATGACAAGCTTAATACTAATTGAGCATAATTGAGTATATATATACAAACTGATTGAGTAATATATATATAATTGAGTATAAAACTAATTGAGTATATATATACAAACTGGGATACAAGCAGAATGTTTGATGTGTAGATAGAGCAAGTATACACTATGCCTAAAGCCACTAATGTGTAAAGTGTTTCCCACATGATGTGGTAAAAATAAACTTAAAAACTGAAACCTAAAATTAATTGAAATTAAAATAAAAAAAAGTAAAAAGTAAAAAAAAAAGTAAAAAAAATCATAAAAATGATAATAATTACATGGTGAATGTTACAGAAGAAGTTTCAACAGACGAGCAGATAGTAATCATCTGCGTGGTGCCACTTACCATCCATGAACTAACCCGCTACAACTCCCGTTTCATCTGTGTCCCTGATTACTGTAAGTGGGAGATTAACCAGCTACACTCGGCACCCTTCGTGGGTGCTAACTTTCTGGGTACAGATAACTGGTTAATCGCCTACAATTCCTCACACACCCCTCGTTCGTTGTTATTCTTATTGGCCTTATACCTGCTTCACTATATGACTTATTATATGATTTGGGTTTACTGGATACTACTCCTTCTGATTCACTTAGCAGGCATTCCACTTCTGGTAGTAGCCTTAGTATACATAGCTTGGTTAACTTCTGTAACTCATTTAACCCATAATTAAGACTGATTAATTTTTACTTAAAGAATAAATTCACACTGCACAAATGAATTACGGGAAGAATGTACGATTGCTAGGTACATGCAAGTTACTAAGCTATAAATAATTATAATTAATAACTGTAAATATTAATACTATTTAATAAAATAGTCCCAATACAATACAGAGTTTTCTTCCAAGCACAGAAAATTGGCATTTCATTACATTCAAAACTGCTTTTTTCTAGTAAGAGGGAGAGGCAAACATCTGGAAATGTTGTGTGTCACATTTGTCTCCCACTCTCCCTATCTAGCTCGATGTTCCTGTCGGAAGGTGTCAGTTACGGGAACGTGTTGGGCAATCAGTGGTAACTACACTAGAAATGGTACCCCTGAAGATTCTCTCGCTCTCATAGAACGTGCGATGCGTGCTGAACAGTCTGCACCTAAGAATAAAACTAAGAGTTTAAGTGCCCTTGAACAGTCAAATTGTTTATTAGCTGAACTTGCTAAGTGCATAGAGAGTGAAGATGAGACTAATGGCCAGTCATCCATCCCTCAAGAGGACAGCACCACCACCACAGCGGAGGATGGCTGCCACCAGCACATCCAGGTCCTCACTGACACCTCACAGCATGGCTCTGGGATGCCCCTTAGTGATACAAGACATCACGAAGCATACATTAAAGAAGGGACGAAGATTTATTTTTTGAAACAAGCTGACGAGGAAGACTTTTGGTGGATTGGTAGGTATATTTATTTCAGACTCATTTTAATTATTTTGTAGCAAGGGTAAAAGTGGCAACTAGGACAGGATGACAGCCCCTGATGGCTGCTGGCACTATTCTTTCAACTATATCTTTTGTTAGCATATTCAGTACCAATGTTTTTTCACTTACTGCACAGCTGAAAGAATTTTTAAACACAACTCTATTCCAAAAAATTTTCACATGTAATTTTTTTTCCAAATGGAGATCAAAGATGTTAAGAAGCACAGTCAGTAGGTTGGTTGGCTCGGGTTCGTTCTCGCTGCACAATCGAGAATTCCGGGTTTGAATCTTGGTTGGGCACATTTATTTTCATCCAATGCCTCTGTTCACCTAGCAGTGAGTAGGTACTCAGGAGTTAGTTAGCTTGTTGTGGGGTTGCATCCTGGGCGGGGTCATTAATTCTTCCTTGGGGCAGGGGTGGACCTTGATAAAAGTCAAAACGTGTATGAATACACTTTGGCTTCCTGTCCCCTGACACAATGAATCATTATCATCATCATCATCATTTGAAACTGTGTGAAAAGTTTATTTCCTCCAACTCACTTCATAGTGCATTCCATTTGTAAACTACTCTGACACTAAACAAATTCTTTGTCTGCAGTTCATTTAAGTACTCAGTTTCCTCCTGTCTTCCATTGTGAAAGTCGTATGTGCTTCAGTAGACAGGTACGGTGTGATGTAACTCCCTACCTTATGATGGTTCTGAGAAGTGACATCTCTGCGGCTCGGTCTCTGACCGGGCCTCCTAGTTGGTAGTCTGGTCAACCAGATTGTTGGATGTGGCTGCTTGTAGCCAGACATAAATCACAGTCTGGTTGTCCAGGTATCCTTTGGAGGCATTTGTAGAGTTCTCTTTTAACACTGTGGGAGGTAGGCCAGATATGTCCCTTATGTGTAGCAGGAGCATCTTGACCAATTATTGAAATTTCTAATTACCAAAAATGGAATGGAAAAATAAGAAATGTCAAATAAAGCAAAATTTACTTACTAGCCTGTTTTGTAATGTAAGGATCATGAAAACTAATTTCTTAATTTCTATCTACAGTGGATGATACAGATGTATACGCAATGAGTGAAGATGCTGGGCCATGCCCTGACCAGTTACCTACCGATTGCAAATGGATTTCTGTGGAAGACATGAAAATCGATCCTAATATTAGTGTCACTTGTGTTGCCTGGGACACCCCAGGAGGAGACTGAGTCGGTGAATAATAATGAGCCAATGTTTCTACATTCTTATCCATTACTATATTCCCCATACTGTACTTCGTGCTATGTGGATCACAAAAATCTCTAAGTAACTCATCAGTCACTTCACACCGTGATACATGTCACTTTAGCCCAAAGTCAATGCATGAAGCATTTACTAGATAATTCTGCAGCTTTTATTCGACAATAATTAATAAATGAATTTAAATTTGATGAGACTGCTTATCCAAGCAGGTGACAAATTAATTATGAAATACCATGAAGGAGATTAAAAATCATGATCAACAGACATTAATATATTGTTTTATTTAAATGAATTTGTTTGCCATCTCAATAGTGAATCTTTAGGGTGAGTAGGCAGTCGTCTGTCTCCTTGTAGGTTTGTGTATTTCTAATTAAAAAAATACCAAAATAATATAAGTAAATATGAACAGAGAACCAAATAATTATTCCAACATGGAAAATATATAGTCAAAATACACCACCATCAAACAACTCAGGAAAGAGCAAACTCCACATTACTTGCTTCAAAGAATTACTTTGTAAACTGGCATTGTGTTATTGCTAAATATATACATATACTGTACTGTACATTCATATCGGTACAAGTTGTGTAATTAAAGTATCTTCTCTTTGAATACTAGAGGACATCACTTGCTGACCCAGCACTCCTGAGATGCTACACAAACACACCATCAAAGTCTTCTCACCACACCTACTTTACATGCATGTCCCTGCATATAGAAATTCAGTAATTCCTTTCTCATCACTTTTGTACCTTCAGAATATTACACCAAACATTGCAATGTATATTTTACTTCAAAGTTATTTACATTTGACTTGTAAAGCATTGTTATTTTATGTAACATGTTTTGATATGCTATAATAAAGTAAGGCTAGCTTTACGATAATGATTAATATACATTGAACCTAATATGGTATAAATATGAAACACAGTAATGCCATACAGCAAATAATTTAAGGCTAAAGTTATCATATGATACATTAATTGCTTAATACAGTAATGATATATATCTGCAATACACTCAAATTAACCTTCATATAAATACAAAAGAATAGGCACTTTGTATGCTGAGGATCACAGTAGTGATAGCCTTCACAAATCAATTTATGACAAACTGTCTTTTCATAGTACAGTAGTTCCATTTATTATTATAAGCTTTGCTTAACTTTAAAATACAGTAACTCTAGATTCATTTCAGCTCTATGAAAGTTATGCACAGTTCCATTGTGTCTAGGAATAATATTTTCCTAAGAAAGAGTGCTGCAGCTTTGGGTTGTCCATTATAGAGCTGGCAAGATACAAACACCACACGCCCCAAAGAAGTGTATTAGACACGATCAGCCCCAGACAAGACTTGGGCGAGAGGACATTCAAGCAGCATGTGCAGTCAGTAAGTATGATGTGCAATACAGTTTTCATTAAGTTAATGTTTTTTCTTCATCTCTTCTCAATATTTTATTTCAGTACAGTATATTAAATTAATAATTTTAGTTTATCAAGACATTCTTTTCAATATGTATGTAGTGATTAAAAAAAATTGAACATAGGATTTCACAAAAGTATTCTTATAAGCAAGTGACTCTCAATCCCCCATCATAGTGAAAGCGTAGGTAATGACGATTAATACATGAACGACATCACTCCTTCATTAAACTAAGAATAAATTAGTGCATAAAACCATTACCACATGAGTCAGGAGCTCCTTTTTACTGTGTGCAGTTGCTGGGTAAATGAGTACAATGACCATAAAGAATTCCTAACTTTACATTAAGAATGTTTACAATTACTTTGTGAAACAGTCCTCAAAGGATCAGAATATAAGAATAAGAAAAACCAAAAAACTCAGAATTTTCCCAATCAATATTTAGTAAATATTATTTTTCGTTATTAGAACTGTTCGAACAAAATCTCTAAAATTTTCAATCCATTCTATGCTTACTCCTTCAAACCTTTATACACAATATATTAATGTAGAAAACATTTTCCTCTATAATATACACAATGCTTTATGCTGACTTCTCATCATTTTCATCTTTGGTATTGAATGCTAGATTACACCACTCAGGAACTAAGTCATTTATGATGTACTGGTCACGTAGCAGAGAGCGATGAACAACAGCTTCTGTTCCTCCTAAGATAGCACCTGGAGAGAGGGGTAAAAACAGTGTTAAATGTTCAACATCCATATAGAACTGAACTGAGAGCAGCCTGGCTGACCCAGGCCAGCTCCCTCCTCCACCCAGGTGAGTGGGGGTGGGGAAAACTAGTTTCACAAAATTTTGCTTTCATCGTGGGGGAATTCTTTTGGCAAATTTGAGGCTGCTGTTTAGTTTTTAACTATTAATTAGTCTGTTTTGATTTGCCTATCAAGTTACTCCTCACCTCAGTGAGAGCCAGAGTCTGATCTTGACACTCAGAAGGTCACTGTCAGGCTCAGAGGCTTGCTGCACTTCTCTAGGTTTGGCTCTATCAGAGTGCAACCTATGTAGAGCTATTGAGATTGCCTCCCAGTAATAAACAAAGTGCAAGCAAAATCCTTAAATTTTGTCATCAGGGACACTCGTAATTCTCATAAACCCATATTAATATTAAGCACATTAGCTATTCTGTGACTAAATTCTTCATATGTTGTACTTAGCTTAAAAAATTAGCAAATTATTTTTCAATACAGTGCAACAAAAGCAACTCACCTCCCAACCATGCCACATAGTTGTCTTTGGCTGGTGGCTGGTGAACCTTGAAAGAACTAATTTGTAACACATCAGCAAATGTCGGAGATTTCACCAGTGCCCGTATTTCTGTCAATATTCGATGCTTCATGCCTTTCATAGTTGCAGTACCTCCAATAAAAAATAAATTATCTGCCAGAGTTCTCCTTGTATCGATCGGACACTGAAAAAAAATAAAGCTTTATGGGTTGATTGAAAACTCTTTCTGAGCAGAACAGAACAAAAGACAGCCAGACACTGTTGACATTTCCTCTTCTATCTTTTCAATGATCTATGTGGAGCTTTTTAATTGCCCCCTACCAGCTCCCAGTTAGAAAAAGGAGTTACTGGAGATAACCAGTAATCAATCCAGCCCAGAATTACCACTAGTAGTTTCATTTATTTATACTTAAAACATTCAAAGTGATACTTTATCTCAGTTAAAAAGGCAGGCATCAATCTACCATTTATTAGTTGGCCAGCCATCAACATCACAGGTGTCAACAGAGTAGCAAGGAGCAACTTACCTCACATTTAACTAGATTCAAATCCTAGACATCACTGAAGAAGTTGGAACAAAACTAAAGGGAATATAATCGAATGGTCTGCTCAGAAAGAGAGATTTACAGTATTCTAAAGCTAAGCTACTTATTTTTTCTGTTTGGTAAAACTCCCAAAAGTATAACAAACCAGCATTGAATGTAATGAAATGCCAATTCCTGGGTGAGCCCCAGTGACTCCCTGAAGCTACTATTTCTGATAGTGTGCAAAACCACTAGGTGCTCAGAAATGTAAATAAACAAGACACCCAATGGGAATGAGGGACTCCTGCCACCCAAACTGGCACACAGACAAGCAGGCATGCCAGGCAGAGTGGATGCATCTTGACACACAAAACACCAAACCCCAACATTGTACTCTCAGAGAGGGAGGGCATAATTAGATATGGGGCATGTAAGTCATGTCCACTAACCAAATACAGCACTGGTTAAAGTGCAAGCCCCTAACACGCACAGGAGCAAGATCAACACAATATAATGGTCTTTAACATGCGTGTAACACAGTGGAACTATATCTCAATGGTTCTTCACTATCAATAAAATAAATCTTGTGTACAAGTACAACACTGTATGGAAGCAAGGTGCCTTGAGAGTAATCTGCTTGTTGAGAAAAGAGTGTACATCCCTTCTGAAAGGGTATCTGGTCCGATACAGGGAAGAGAACCCAAGAAATTTTAAAATTAAAATGGAATGTTAGGGCATACACATTCATACACGTTTATGCCATTCATTGAGTGGCATAAACACAACAGTAAGGCATAAGTAATACAAAGTAATAGATCCTGAGAAAATGTCATGTTCCAGGGAAAACCAACACCACTTAGCTGAGAGCGAGACGCTATCAATAGCTGATTGGTTAGTTGACAAGTGGAATGCACTGAAGGAAGAGGTCGAGGTCAATTCCATCCAAAACTTTAGAAAGAAATATAATGAAAATGCTAATGTTGAGAGAGGTAATTAGCATGTATGAGGTATAAATGGCTAGGAGGTGGGGCATAGAGAGCTAGATCTCACTTCCCTGTAGTTGCTGACAGGTAAGTACTGGCATTGAGTTAATGACACCATGCACTAGAGTGAGGAGGGGTGGGACAGGATTGGCTAGCAGAGACCTCTGGTGGCCTGAGCTGCTATCTGGTGATAGTCAGAACATAAGAACAAAGGCAATTGCAGAAGGCCTATTGGCCCATACGAGGCAGCTCTTATTTATAACCACCCAATCCCACTCATATACATGTCCAACCCACGCTTGAAACAATCGAGGGATCCCACCTCCACCACGTTACGGGCAACTGGTTCCACAAGAACCAATTCCACAAGTCAGGCATGCTATAATCAAGCTATTTACCCAGCAGCAATAATGATTTTTCTTGTTTAACTGAAGGTGCTTAATTTCTTTCAAGTTTGTTTTGTTGTACATAAGCAGTTTGGTGGGGTTTTCCAGTTTTTTTGGGTTGATCTTTAAATCCTCTGCTCCTCTTGCCTCAAAGAGTAAGTCAGATTCTGGCACTGACTCCCAGTAGGCAATGAATGGGTCTCAGAGGCCTGGTGTGTTGGATGATACTAGAGTTAAATTATGGGAGCTACTGAGGAGTCCCTCCCAGGAATGAGGATTGAATAATTAATGATTATTTTTATTTTACTTCATCCAATAAAACTAAAATTATTCAAGGAGAAGGATGTAAGAACTATTGTATGAAATTTAAAAGTTTAAATGTATGAAAAGCTACATCATCAGACTTTTAAAATGCCTCATACCTTGGCGAGGGCATTAAGTATCATAGAGGGAACACTGAGCAGGTCCTCATCTCGTTCAAAGAGGACTTCTGTTGCCATCTCCCTTACAGTACCAGGAATGGTCAGAATATGGCTACCAGACAATGGGTACTGAGCACTTGGAGCAGGAGGGGGTGGTTCCACAGATCTGTCATATTTGTTACTCTGCACACGTCCACTTCGTTCAAGATTGGTGACAAAACAAGTACGAACTGTTGAAAAATATTTATTTCACATAAACTGAGAGCAATTGTTTTATGAAAATTTAAGAAAACAAACAAAAAACAGAGCCTTAAATAGGGAATAAAACACAGACATCAACATAAAGCCTAACCATGCTTAACAAGTAATCCATATACTTCATTATTTTGTAAGGTGGCATCTTTCCAGGTGAGAAGGTACTACATACACATTAGGACCTTAGAAGTATTACCCATCCTCATATCATCATACATTGATTCTAACTATTATAGTCTGGGTTTTTATTCCAATGACACTAATATGGTTATAATTGTTATATTTAATAATAATAATAATAATACTTCTTTGTGTCCGGGGACAGGCAACCAATGTATATATACATGTAACCCTTATATTGAGGTCCTCTTCAGGGTCGAATTACTGACCCTCCCTAGGATGTTACCCCACAATAAGCTTACTAACTCCTAGGTACTTATTTACTGCTGGCAAACAGAGGCATTAGGTTATAGAAAACAAACACAGAAATCACAATAACATGATATATCAAATGAATAAATCCACAAAGGCCGTGATGAGGGTTCGAATTTATGTCCAGGATGATCCCAGACGTGCCTTATGTCATCCTGGACGTAAGTTCGACCCCTCATCACGGCCATTGTGGATTTATTTGTTTTTTTATTTATAGAAAACATGCCCAACCATTTCTGTCCTGCCCGGGATCTGAACTCGGAATTTCCGATTATATGTAGTGAAGTTTACAGTGACCCACAAAAAAAATTCTGCCATCATTTCACGATTACTAACTAAGTAAATGCAGCTACTGTCACAAATGTTACTATGACAATGCAGTAACCATGATATAAAATTCCATTATAATTACTTAATATGTATACTGTACCAATTATGTTCCTATGGTTTTTCACAACCATATCATTTGAACATAAGAATAAAGGAACTACAAAAGCCATATTGATTCGTGTGAGGCACCTTCTATTTATATCATGAAGCTGCCTCATATAGGACCAAACCTAACCTAACCTACTTAACCCAGCCTAACATGAAATCAGTACATTATCGTCTTAATATAAAAATATTAATTCAAATAAACCAACTAGAAAAATATTTTGAAAATAACAAAAATTACATTGCCCATTAGGCAAATGAGCCTTGCGTACTAGCCGAAATTGTTTGTAACTGACTGCTCTATCACATACCAGAGTCAAAATGAAGAAGTCATAATGTGTGAATATTTATATCGAGACTGATACAGTCTGCTTGTGCAGATCCTGGGCATTATATAATATTTGCAGATACAAATAACACTTCCTGTATATTGTTATGATTTTGATATGGAATTGTTCACCAATGATTGATCTATCATATGCCATGTTTAAAATTATAAATACATAATAAATTGATTTTCTGTGATTTTATTTTTTAGATGATAGATTTGTACTTAGCTAAATGTGCTTCAGGGTTATTCATGAGTCATAAAGGGTCCAGGTAGTACATTTGGGTTTGTTCTCGACCCACAATCAAGAATTCTTGGTTCGAAACGCAGGCAGAACAGAAATGGTTTGGTGCGTTTCCTATCACCTAATGCCCATATCCACCTAGCAGTAAATAAGTACCTGGGAGTTAGTCAGCTTGTTGTGGGGTTGTATCTTGGGTGGAGGTCACTAATTTGACCCTGAGTGGATGGGAAGGGGGGGGGGGGTTAGACATCGATATAAGCCTACCCTGTACTGTATGTATATACAGTACAAGCTGCCTGTCCCCCAATACAACCAATTAATTTATTTCACTGCACAACCTTTTTGGTACAGTAAAAAAAACTTTATATGTATTTATATTATATATATATTTATTTATTTTCGGAGGGAGGGGTAGCACAGGGGCTGACGAAAACAACAAAATTCCTGATGGGATGAATCAACCTTACCCCATATAGTTCATCCAAACAAGGACACCCTCTACCTGTATAACAGTTTTCATATTTTTGCTAAGTACTGTACTTCATTCTTGTCAATCCAACACTAAATTTAGATAATGTCAACTTGCCTTTGATGTCCTCCAAAACCTTGTCAGACAATTCCTGAGTAACAGCAGACAGCCTTTGTTCCTTCCCGTCTTCTCCTAAAGCCACGGCACGGTCTAGCAACAGTTCACATAAAGAACTGCAAATATAGAGAGGAACATTTCCAATGCAAAATTGAAACATAACTGCATTACATGAACAGTCATTAGGAAACTAAACATACAGTAGTTCTCATGACACAAACAGAAAATGGTGTAATGAATACAGGCTGGTTGATGGTGGTAGATGATTATGGTTGGTGGGATGGTGGTAATGGGTGATAGGATGATGGGAAAGATGGTGGGGTGTGGATGACTTGTAGATGTGGAAACTAGGTTTTTTCAGTAACAACAATATGTTAAGTTAGTCAGATGTAAATCTATCTTTGCATATGTAAATGAGCACAAAACAAGCCCAGTGCAGAGCAGGAATATGGACAATCAAGCTGCAAGCATCCTTCTGGACCAGCAAAACCCTCGAGGCCAAATAGGAGGCAAGGACACGTTCAAAAACAACATGGATAGTACCGCAAACTCACTAACAACATGGCCCCCACTTCACGTTTTGTTATCTGTGAACAATGCAGTTGTGTGTTTGCTTTGCTTACTGTCCGAATGTATCCTTGGCATGGGTAATCGTGACAATCTCCTGCTCCCTGCACCACTTTGAGTGGACCACGTTCTGGCTTTAGTCTCTGGTGGGCTATTAAGGGCTCAAGATTGGGGTGACTCGTGTGTAATGTGTGGAGCTAACTCAGTGTTAGTGCTACCTACAGGAAGCCACAGTTCAGCCTCCTCCAGAAAAGTTAGCTTTCTTCAGGCATTCAACCTGTTCAAGTATGCAGCAGAGACACTTGAGTGACAAGTACCCAAAATATATACTACTCAAGTTCTAAGACAAAATATTATATAGAAGTCACTACCTAACTAATTATGTTGACTCAAATTATTACAATTTCTGTAATATGCCCCAATCATTTGTTTTATTTGCCTGTTTACAGTTGACAGTCCAACCAAAACTTAATTACCTTGGATTATCTGCTAACTTCAACACTTGTCCAAAATGCTGTGTTTTAAGAAGCTCGGGGAGAATTTACCAATCACCAAAACCTCTAATAACACAACATATTTTACCTTCTAGAACATAAATAAAGTAACCCTAAAACTTGCCTGAACTACTATAGTTAAGGAAAAAGTCAAATTTTGGTTTTGGAACTGGTTGTGGACTGCTGGTGGCCACAAGCACAGGCAGTGCTTGGTAGTGGCCACAAGCACAGGCAGTGCTTCACTCCATATGGTAGTGCTGCCATATGGAGTGAAGGAAGAGTCACAAGCAGTAGTGTGATTTGTAGATAGGCTAATTAAAGTTTACTTTAGTGGTCAGGTATATGACACCATGGGGGACTCTTCAGTGTTGACAACAGACCCTTTCTGAATATATGTTGCTGTGGCCAGAGATATCTTTTCATCTGTGACTGCTAAGGACCTTTAACAGCTCCTACTAGGACACTGGTATTGTCATGCCAGTCAATGTCATGATCCCAATAAGACAGTTTACTACAATATCTTTGAGAGTAGCACATTAATAAAGCCCAGAAATAATGTGAAAATATTCAGGTATTCCAACCAGGAATATCTAATGAGAATAAAGATCTGTTATAATCAATTCAATAAGGAGAATATTTTGTAGCCCATATTGCAAAAAAAAAAAAAAAAAAAAAAAATTCTTAAGGCAAGTCACCTTTGATCTAAAAATTATCAATAACATCAGTTAATATTTCAAAATCAGATAGGTTATTAGGATCTCTAAATTTGTAAAGAAAAGATACTGTATTTCAATTCCCTGATTTCTCAAAAGTAAGGTTATCAAGATCTCAAGAGTTGTGAAAGCGGGTTATCTAAGAACTCAGTAAGAAGATAATACCTGTGAATGGCTTTAGCTCCTAAGGGTAAAGCTTGCCAAGAATTTAATATTGGCACATTTTCATAAATAGGCACAACTGTGGTCTCTTGGTAACCCATGTCGATCACCAACCCTGTGGTCACTCCTAACGTCATCAGTGACACCAGGTGGGATGGAACGAAAAGAACAGACAGGACCTGCAATACCAATCATACAATATATCATTTATGTGAAGATACTCTATGTTGACATAATAATATAAGCAGTTAAATTCTTATTCTACAATTAAATTTATATGAACAAATGATTTTGTTTAATTATTTTCTCCTGTACAGGTGAGTTTGAAAATTTTCATGACAGCTGCATTTTAAATTGAAGAGGGTTACTAAACCTTTCATTGACAAGAAGTTTACAGAGCATAAAACATTGTTTGTAAATATAGTTTAGAAAAATTATAATTTATAAATTATATACATTATGTAAAACTAATTTAGAAAATGAAAAATTAAATGTTAATACCTCATAGTGGCGGAAGAGAACCTTTGCTAAAGTATTGCGTACACTGCTTGGACCCAGAAGATTCTCAATCACCACAACACGTCTGTCTTTAGGGTTCACAAGGAGGTGCCTGCAACATTAAAAAAAAAAAAAAAAAAAGCAGCATTGAATGTAATGAAATGCCACTTTCTGGATGAATTCCAGTGGCACCCAGAAATTAACTTGCCGAGATGGCTCCCAACTACTAGATCACATCAGCCACAACGTTGTGTTTGGCCTGTGGGAGCCAGAGCCAAACCGGACCCCTCACAAAGGTGCAGAGCGCAGGGAACTCCTCCACCCCACTTGGAAAGCATCCAGAAAGTCAGCAAACCAACACAGACCACTGCTGGGTTTAAAAGAACTGAAACCTCAAAACTGCCAAATGAAATCCCCAAACAATGTAAATAAATGATAAAATTTCTTGAAACTAGTGAGAGCTTATTAACACCAAACCCCCGGCAATCAGGGGAGGGCAGGAGCTCCAGGTCTTCCCCAACCTTCAAGTCAGTTCTGAAGCAGATGTGAAGACCACAAACACCAACCCACGAACCTGGAAGGGAGGGAGGGATGGAATCAGGAAGCCATCGAGTCTCATCTAGAAGGAGGCATTTAATTACATTCAATGCTGGTTTTCTCGGGGAGCCCCTTGTTGTTCCCTGAAGCTAACTACCCAAGGTGAAATAAGATAAGGTACTTACTGGGGAGGAGGAAAGACTGCAGGTAATCAAAATGAAGAAAAGACAAATAGCCAAGAGAGAGATCAACCAAAGCAACACAGGCATGATGAGGCACTGGAACACTGACTAAATATCAGGTCACTAAGATGCCTGGTAGGTTGCCAAAACCCCCACGCCCAAATATAAGCCCAGAATATGTTAGCAATAACCACTGCACAAACAGTATACTTATGAACATCATGAAAAGGAGGGTAGACAGTAGGCAGGCTGGACTTAATGACACCGAGGATGACCTGACAAACATAAGCCATGGAACAGGGATACAAGGAAAAAAGATCAATCCACAAACCATCCACTGAGGCAGAACTGGTGGCAAGAAGGTAGTGGGGAAGAGCTGCCACCAGGCACATATCATGATGCTCCAATTGCAGAACCAACAAAGCATCAACAACCAAAGGACCCCTCTGAAAGCCTGTCGACATATCCTTTGCCAAAGAGGAAGGAGACGGCTGTAAATGAACAGAATACCCACCCAGGCATTCTGTTCAACTCCAATGACTGGAGGAACACACCAACAGAGAAACTGCTGTAAAGGAGGAATCGTGGACTGAAGGAAGTGAGACAGCTTGTCAGTGAGAACGTTGGACACTACTCAGAAATGAACAGCATGGAGAATCAAACCCCAGGGATCCAGTAGACAAGCTACCCCTTAGCTTCCAGCTCCAAAGTGCTATAAATCACTGGGGAACAGTCCGAATGAAGCTTGAGCACGGAACCTGGAAGAATCTAAATCCTCCACCTGTCAGGGCGGAGTCATGCACCTGTCAGGACATGCCTGACAGGTGCAAACTCTCACACTGTATCTGACAGAATGGACCTGACCAACAACCCTGGGCAGCCTGATCATTGGACACAAAACCACAGCCCAGAGACAACATGTCAGGAAAGGCACTGAACTATGGTGGACGATGGCACCAAGAACCTGAACTACAACAAGTGTGAAGAGTAAGGTGGCAAAGCACCAGCCAACCAAGGTAATCGGGATCCAGAACCCGACAGTCTCAGCAGGGCTTAAAACAAACTTATGAAGGGGTTAAATATCAATATTCAGTATTCATTGCTATTTACATACAGTAATATTGTACCTTAAACTTCTCATTAAGTTCTGCATTAAATGTATAATCTTCATCACTTACTATCTTGGAGCATCTATAGAACCTTCCCTCAAGTTAACCTACATATTCCCGCTCATTTCCTTTCCATGTTTCGCAGGCTTTCCACTTCTCTTTTCTTCTTTCACATTGCCAATATTCTCTTTAGCATATTGGAAATTGGAGGGTTTGTTAACATTCTTTGCTGTATATTTAGTACAGCTAAAAGGATTATTGATAACATGTCTTACCTGAAATAAAGCTTATGGATGAAATCTACAAGGTGGTGCCTCAGTTCCTCCTCATCCTTGACCTGGAACACTGGCACAGTCTCCCCACTCTCCCGGCATTTAACTTCTGATCTTGCTATTACGCGAGGTCCAGTTTCTCCAGCAAACCCAGCTCTGACATTGATGTATAATTTTTACCATTTTATTTATGGAAAAAACTTATAATTTTAGTACACAGCATAATACCTCTACCGCTACTATAACATATATGACTGAACAGGGCAAAAAATGAAAACAATGGTATAGAGCAATTCTACTGAATATTAAGGGTAGACTATTTTTACATAACATTTGTCTTACAGGCCTTAATTTCTCAGAGATATAGAGGGCTAGTGTTTATAAAGGAGGAAAATATGGGAGGGGCAAGGTCAGTGATGTGAAGGTAAGTTATAATGACAAATTGCAGGACATGCAGCAGAAGTGTATGAAAATACATTGCTGCAAAGGGAGTGGTAGACAGATGGAACATATTATTAAATATGGTCATTTATGTAAATATTATTTATTTATTTATTTAACTATTACGTTCTTACATTCTTGTATGTACTTCAGAGTTAAGCAAGTTGTTATATATATATATATATTATATATATATATATATATTATATATATATATATATATATATATATATATATATATATATATATATATATATATATATATATATATATATATATATATATATATATATATATATATATATATATATACATATACATGCATTACATATACATATATATGTACATTATTCACAGTGCACGAATCCGATGGAACAGCCTACCACGCCAAAGCCATAAATGGCAAGATATTACATCAGCTCAAAATCCAGGTGGGAAAAACTTCAGGAACAATGTAGATATCTTAGACCCCATCGAGGTCACCTGAGAGATAAGGGTCACTCAGGTAAACACTATAAGGTCCCAGCTGCCACCCCTAGGGTCCGCTAACAACCCCCCCCCCCCCCCCAGCAGGGAGTCACCCATTATGACTCACTTAGTATATGCCGCCCCAAAGTCGAAAACCACCGTAATATTTTTCTCGTTGATTAATCCAATGCTGCCTAAACCTTCGTAGAGTGGCATCTTGGAGGTGAACTAGATTGATCAGTTAATAATGGATGACAGCAGACAGTTTAGGAGGGGATCTGTTGTGTACGTCCAGCACCACCCTAGTCCATGACGTCAGTTTTGGCCGCGTTCGTATGTAAATGTACGTCGCAGTTTTCCACTATTGAACAAACTAACCAATCTATCAAGTCCTCCATAATTCATAGTATCAAACAGTAATACTGAAAAAATAGACACAGTGAGTGCTGAGAGTCACAATGCAGAAGGGTAAAAAAAAATCCGTGAATCATTTGATTAATGAATGCACCATTGTTGTTGTTGTGAGGTCCAGTGTCAACAACAATAACAACACCGTCACGGTGCCACTCTCACCGTGCCGTCACTACGGTGCGCTATCACACAGTAAGTCACTTACTTCCCCCACCTTCACCATTGGAAAATGTGCCAAAGTTTAGTTGAGCATTCTTGCAGCATTAGCCTGTAATGCAATAAGATGCAATTGGTGAATGATTAGTAATAATTGAGTGTTAGGTGTGTGTGCTGGCACCGGTGGTCACGTGACCACCCGTGCCAGTTCTGTCTAACCCTTCCCATTTCTTTCTTATGATTAAATTACTGTATAAATCAATAATTATTATGATATATTTACCAGAATTTGCCTGACGGCCACTAACACTAGTGGCCTTGATGAGGACAGGAAGCCCCCCTCCTATTTGCTCTGAGGATCTTTTCAAGTTGGATTTTAAAATATAAAATGTTTGGTATTTTTTGAGGAAAACACATGGAACAAAAATTTGAGGGAATAATATATTTTATGTGCATTGGGAAATTGTCATATTAAAATAATGTAAAGTACATTGGTTAATATCCCATGTCCTAGTCAGTCATGTGTTGCTTTAAACCGTGTCTCCCAGCCTGAATTCTCATCTTCATCTCAGTGCAAGACCCCTCTCCATCTTCCTGGTAAGTCCCATTTTTGTTCTCTGTGGTTATTTAGTTTCAGTGAGCCACTTGGAGGCTCCCTTCAGAAACTGCATTGAATGTAATGAAACATGAAACACTTCTTTCTGGATGAGCTGTGGTGACTCCTTGACTACCTCCCTCCCTACCAGGTTAGTCAGTTCATTAGTGTGCTGTTCGTCAGCTCCAAAACTGAAAAAGAAGATGGCTGCATGTGGAAGCTGGGCTGCATGGTGATGACATTTGGTAATTTTGGTGTCATGCTAATTTGTAATGTTTCTGTTCTGTGTGAATCGTTTGTGGAGTTGTTTTGCATTTTCAAGACCTTGATCTTTGTTAACCCTCCAGTCTCCAGTAGGGAGCCGGTCGGCCGAGCGGACAGCACGCTGGGCTTGTGATCCTGTGGTCCTGGGTTCGATCCCAGGCGGCGGCGAGAAACAATGGGCAGAGTTTCTTTCACCCTATCCCCCTGTTACCTAGCAGTAAAATAGGTACCTGGGTGTTAGTCAGCTGTCACGGGCTGCTTCCTGGGGGTGGAGGCCTGGTCGAGGACCGGGCCGCGGGGACACTAAAGCCCCGAAATCATCTCAAGATAACCTCAAGAGTTGCTTGTAGGTTTTGACTCTGGTCCCTGGTAGGCTAAACAGAACTTCTGCATCTGATGTGACCCTATTTGAGCATTATTGCCAAGATAGTTCCAGGGAGCCACTGGAGGCTCATCCTGAAAGAGGTGATTCATTAAATTCAATGCTGTGATTTTGTATACTTAGTCATTGCAAATAATATGTATACTGTTCCAAAATCTTTGTTTCTTTATGATATTATTTGCATGTCTCAATATGTTTAAATAAATATTATATTGCTTGCTGTAAGAAAAAGTCTCAAAATTTGATAGTAAATAGCCAGAAATGAGTAAATTTTCAGAAAACCGGATTTCATGATGTGGATCGGTTCTGGAACAAAATAATCCAGATTTTAGAGGTGTTCCCATATAAAGTTCTGAAAATAACCTTGTCTCCTATTGTTCAAGTTAAACATCACATTCAAAGGTTATCTGTGTATGATTCTTAATCTAATCTACTCGCTGTGCTTTGTGTAATATATATATGCCCACACCCTTGCATTATCTGTCTATAGTGTACTCTCTGTGTTATTAGTCAGAAGAGCTCAGATTTTATGTACAGTATGGAATTATTAAAATACAGTACCAGAAGGCTGTGTTAAATGATGTTGAGATACTAAGTAAATTGTATTATCTATCTCTAATTTTCATAATGGAGGGGGGGGGGTCAATGCAGGCAGATAAGAATGAAACTCTGGACTCGGCTCTCTTATCTTATCATTACGCAAGTGTTCCCTTGCAGCTTTCAGTACCTATGGAGATCTTTTGTCTCTTGTCATTCATAGACTTTTAGTAACCATAGTATCCTGCTAATTGCACTGGTTCTCATTTTGCTCCATTTTTTCTAATCCTTAGATAATCTACAAAAGACGTAAGTGTAACTTAAAAATGTGTTTGGTTGTATTTCCAAATAATACTTCATAAGATAGTTATGGAAGTACTACCATTGGTAGTACAACATTAGGTAATTCATCTTGGTGCCGTCATTTTTTAAGCCTGGTAAGGATTCACATTTATTATCCATTTCCTGTAGCATTGGTAGTAAAAGCTTGAATATTATCTCTTAACTGTATCATGTCCCTCTGATATTCTGCTTTGAATATGGAATCAAAGTTTGGGATCATTATATGGAATAAACAGTATGTAAATTCTCTTACAAGTATGCTGAGAAGTATGACTAAATTAAATATAGTTATTAGGAAACTCCCTTATAAAGAGCAACTTAAAGAATGAAATTTCAATTTCCTAGAGTTGCATATAGGTGTATACAGAGTATACAATTGATTAAAGGGTTTAATAAAGGTGTGAATATTTTTTTTTTTTTTAGAAATATCAGCACAAAGTTGAACATTAAACAATGGATTTAAATTTAATAACTTTAGATATTAATAACAAATTAGGTCAGAACTGGAGTTGCAGATCTGTTAAATGCAAATCTGTTGAACAATTTAGTAAGTAACATCCTACAGTGAAGCAAACACTGAAATTTTGCTATCACCAGCTGCATAAATACATTACCCTGTAGTGGGAGTGGTTTCATATAAATAGGAACTGCCTTGTATGGGCCAATAGGCTTTCTATAAATTCCTTAATTTTATGTTTTCCTCTATTTTGGGGAGGGGGAGTTGCTATAAAAAGCAATACCTTACCTTGAAGTGGTTTCGGAGCTTAGCATCCCCGCGGCCCAGTCATCGACCAGGCCTACTGGTAGACAGCACAATATGCTATGCTGTTTGTGCAGTTTAACTGAATTTACCCGAGAGCCACTAATTCTCTAGTGGCCTCAACAAGGATGGGAAGCTAGTGGCTTTTCAAGGGTCCCCCCATTTGCTATAAGACTTAGAAGAATTATAAGACTTAGGCACCTATAAATATTGGTAGAGTATGAATAAATACAGGATGGCCATATGTTTATGCACATATACTGACTATTTTACTCTCATTTATCTGGACTATTGGAGAAGGACCTCTCACCAGGTAGGTAGGACATCCAAAATAAACAAAAAATTTTACCGGGAAGTCCAAAAATTGACATTCGTAATGTTTTTTTACCACACCTAACATAATTCATATTTCATCATGCACCTTGCATAGTTAGATGATTTTCACAAACCAATGCAGTACCTACAGTATTTTCAAACAGTTTAGTAAAGGGAGCAGGTGACACTCCACCACCACCTCGTCGGCAAGGCACCCAGAAAGTCTGCGACTCAATACAGCTCAATACTAGGTTCAAAAAGAGACTGAAAGCCTCACAATCTACTGAATTATCTCCATAACAATGTAAACAAATGATCAAAAATCTTTCAAAACAAGCATGCCCTCATTCACTCCAACCCCTCCCACTTGTTTGGGGAAGGGAGGAGGAGGAGCCAGGGCTTACGCTGTCCACTGGCCCAAGCCCTCGGTTCTAAAGCTCATGCACACACCCAACATCCCTCCCCCCCCCCCCCCCCCAGCCAACAACCTGGAAGGGAAGGGTAATCGGGGAGCTACAGGGGCTCGCCCAGAAATTGACGTTTCATTACATTCAACACTGGTTTTCGGGAGGGGGGAGGAGGTTTTCTGGGTTTACAAAAAACTAACTATAAAAAAACTCCTCTGGGAGGAGGTTTTTTGTAGTTAGCTTCCCTGAAGCTAACTACAGAGTAGAAAACACAGGGAATATGTGTTCATCTGCTTCAGAACCGAGGGCTTGAGCAAGTAGACACCATAAGCCCTTCCCCTCCCTCCCCTCCCCTTCCCTTCCCCAAACTTGTGGGAGCAAATGAGGGCTTGCTTGGTTTGAAGGATTTTTATCATTTGTTTACATTGTTGTGGAGTTCATTTGGCAGGTTGTGAGGTTTTGTCTCACAATGACTTTCTGGGTGCCTTGCCGACGAGATGGTGGATTGTCACCTGCTCCCTGTGCCTCTTGTGAGGGGGGTCCATGTTCTGGCACACTAGGGAACTCCATGGCTAATGTGATCCAATGATTAGGGGCTATGAGATAGCTTCAGGGAGCCACTGGGGGTCACACAGAAATTGGAATTTTATTACATTCAACACTTATTTGTTTCTTTCACAGGCAAAATGGAAGCATTTCAAGATTACCTTGTTATGGCCCAGGAGTATGTAAATCATATATGTGATGGCAAGCCAGCATGGGAGATAATCTTGAGAACAGCAGGAGCAACCATCATCTTGATGTGGGCTAAAAATTTTCTATTCAGAGATGAATGTATGTATTTATTGTTTGGGATTTTTTTTCACTCGGCTCAAACCCAGAGCTTCTCCATTCTTAAGAAACCTAGTCACTATACAGCTCAGTATTAAAGAAAGTGTTCCCCATTATCAGTTGGAGTTTTAGTTCTTTCCAAGTCTTAATTTTATTGTTTATAGCAATAATTTATTGTGCATATTAATGCTTTTCCCTGGTTTAATTAAATATATTTTTCTTTAAAGCACTCCTGGAACGAGGAAAAAAGAAATTTTTTAAGTTGGCCAGAAAGGTTCCAGTAGTGAAGGACAGGATTGAGAAAGAAATGGAAAAGGTTTGTAATTATTAGTTATAATATTATCTTGATCCCTAAAGTGTGCTAATGTATATACAGTACAGATATGTCCGCCATGCGCAAAAAATGAAAAAAATATATACAGTACTGTACATGTAAGGAAAAGTGGAAGTAAAGTAAAGTAAATTGTAAATATCTACATCTCTACTGGTTTGGTAAGCTGTAGATGTTAGTCAGATGGCGGGCCCAACCAGATCTGTCGAGGCCTGACCTTAGGCTTTTGACATTGTACCAGATGATTAATGTTGACCTCAAATTTTCTATGATAGTTTCTTTACTTTTTAGCTGATTCACTTTAGTATTTATGTTGAATAACTAGATTTATGTACAGTGGAACCTCAGTTGATGAATGCCCCTCTTTATGAGTTTTTTGGTTTACGAGCTCAATTTCACTGGATGAATGAACAAACGAGTCGATGGATGGATGAATGAATGAACAAACAAACAAGTCGATGGATGGATGAATGAATGAACAAACGAGTCGATGGATGGATGAATGAATGAACAAACGAGTCGATGGATGAATGAATGGACGAGTGAGTTGATGGATGGATGAATGAACGAGTCGATGGATGGATGAATTAATGAACGAAGGAGTCGATGGATGGATGAATGAATGAATGAAGGAGTCGATGGATGAATGAATGAACGAACGAGTTGATGAAGGAATCAACAAACGAGTCGATGGATGGATGAATGAACGAACGAGTCAATGGATGGATGAATGAATGGGTCGATGGATGGATGAATGAATGAACAAATGAGTTGATGGATGAATGAATGAACTAGTCGATGGATGGATGAATGAACGAACGAGTCGATGGATGAATGAATGAACGAGTGGATGGATGGATTGATGAATGAATGAACGAACAAGTTGATGGATGAATGAATGAGTGGATAGATGGACAAACACACGAACGAGTCGACGGAGGGACAAATGAACGAACGAGTCAATGGACGGACAAATGAACGAGTCGACAGAGGGACAAACAAGCGAGCGAGTTTAAAGAGTTTAAACTCTAAACTCTTTAAGTTTAGTTGTGTTCTTTAAGTTCTTTAAGTTCTGGCAGAGCCAAACGTCTTGGCTCTGCCAGACGTTTGGGCGCCCGGAGGTGGACCTGTTCACGTCAACGTGGTCGGGGCGTCTTCCAGTGTATGTGACGCCCTTCCCCGGCTGCGAGGCTGTTGGGATAGATGTCTTTTGGCAGGACTGGTAGAGGTGGGGGTTCCTGTACCTCTTTTCCCCCGTTCAGCTGTTGCTCCAGATCCTGGCTCGCTTGGAGACTTAACAGGGGCGAGTAGTCCTCTTGGGCCCCATGGTGGCCGGCCCAGCCGTGGTTTCAGGCGCTACTTGCTTGGTGTCCGAACCCGGAGGTTTTTCTGCGGCCCCGCCTCTTTCAGGAGATCATTGTCATTATCATTGTATTCCACTGTAATACATAAAATGACATGTTTATGTATTTATAAGTGGAACCACTTGGGAGGGTATGACATGTAGCTGCTAATTAGATCTTTGAGGAAACAAGACGTTATAGAGTACAGACAATGAGTCACAATAACGTGGCTGAAGATATGATGCCCAAACCACACACCAGAAGATGAGGATATGACGATGTTTCAGTTCATCCTGGACCATTATCAAGTAGATTGTCAAATTGATTATGGTCCAGCCAGGATGGCCTGAAACATCGTCGTCTCCTCATTTTCTGGTGTGTGGTTTGGTCATCTTATAGTGTACAGATACATGTGTAATGGTGTCAATACAGTTATGCAATGTTGTATACCTTCTTTATTATAGTAAATGGTATCACACAATGTCTACATCAAACTTCCTGATATAGATGATCAGCTTGCAGTTTATTTCTTCCAACAATAATGAGCACATTTCCTACCAGTTAACAGTTTCGATGATAGATGATCTTAACAAGGCAGTCAACAACACGTCATACTTAACTGAACTTCCAGAGAACGGTTGGAGCCCTGAGAGGATTATGGAGGAGGCTGCTCAATATATCCAGTTTGGTAAGAATGATTTACATTGGGCAGTGGAGCGATATTTATAATGTGAAATTTGTATGGTGTAAACATGTATGGAAATAGCTAGTGATTTTCCTTTATAATTTTTAAAATTTAAGTTTGTTTTTATCTGATAACCAGATCAGTTTTATATACAAATTATGTGTTGAATAAGAAATAATCAGAATTGCTTTATTTACGTTAATTGAAATGTCTGCCTGTATGTTTGTCTGTGTCTGTTCAAGGCAATACATTTGAGGCTGATTTAATCCAATTTGTCTCGGTATTTGCTGTTGGATACATGTCCAAGATGGGCAGGTCAGGATAGATATCAAGGAAAAGGGTGTCACATGTTGGATCTTGCAATATCACCATGTGATATTGATCACCCTGTGATCTAAGGCCCTCCCCTTTGCCTCATAGAGGAGAACAAGAACAATTTACAAGGGCCCTTGTTCCCAATAGGCAGTTAGAGTGTGACGGATACCTGACAGTATCTAATGTAACCAGTAACAGCCAGGCCATAAACTGTGTCAAACCTCTTGTTGTGCAATACCCTTGAATAGTTTTTAATAAATACAATGCTTTAATGGAAATTTTATAAGTGTATATATGTTGCAGGTAGGTTTAAATGGGAAACTGGATGTGCATCCGGCACTGTCTACAATGGAAATCAAGCACTCACTGACATCATGACCAAAGTATACGGTACGTTAAAATTGCTAAACAAAAAAATTCTCCCAAAGCTTAATGTTGGAAATGACTTTTTGTGAATTGGTTATAATTTTGAAAATGTAGATTTGCTATCTCACTAAAAACCAGTGTAATTTCCTTTCCTTTAGTTAAAATTCTTCATAATACTAAATAACATTCACATTAACCCCTGGGCTGCCCCCTTTGTTTATACAAGAAGACAATGTCTTGGTGTGCATGGACAAATCTAAAAACTAATTATATTTAATACAGGAAGTCTTTGTCTTACAAACAAGTTTCATTCTGAGAATGTATTTGGAATGCAAAGCTAGATTTTCCATAGGCGTAGTATATAAATGGGGGGGAAGCACTTCTGGGCCACCAGAAATCCCCACAAAACCAATATTTCTGGGACATATAATATAAAAAAACACAGCATATTATTTATCTTGACTGATGGTGTTATCCTGCTTGTCAAGGTTACCAGTTTTTAAAGAGTGAAGTGTTCAAATTACATGAATAAATAAATTAAATTATGTGTATTGGCGGTTAACCATTTGTAATTCGTCTGTGAAGTAAACACCCCCCCCCCCCCCCACCTTCCAATCACCAGCCCATGGACGCTGCCCCACCAACAGAGTAAACACAATCTGATCTTGTACGACTCGTGAGAGTTTGTTGGTCACTGAGAACTTGTGAAAACCTCATATATCCTACCAGGCCTTCATGAATCATTAGAGCCAACAGGAGACCAGAAGTAAAATCCGTCCTACTCAATAGAGGCAGTGTGTCTGGATATACTAGATCAATCCAAGCCACGAGGAAATACAACCAAAAAGATAAAGTGCTCTAAAACAGTCAACTATAAACAAGAATATTATACAGATAATCTTAACAAAAGAAACATAAGAAATATAGGTACACCTGAAAAATCAGGAAAATGATCTTAAACTAGCCCCAGGAAGAAACCATAGCCCCCTGAAAATGGAAGGGTGGAAACAGGGAGCCACCGAGGGGTCCCACTAGAAAGAGGCGTTTCGTTAAATTCGACGCAGTTTATGTATATAACATCAAAAGCTATTATCTGTTGCTTCTTGTTAAACTCTGCAATGATCATAACTCTTTCCTTAGGAATGTCTGCATGGACTAATCCTCTCCATCCTGATGTGTTCCCGGGAGTGAGGAAGATGGAAGCTGAAGTGGTGCGCATGTGCTGTACATTGTTTAATGGAGATACTAAGAGCTGTGGTTGTGTAAGTGCTTCTTGGTACATTATTTCCTACAGTCTCTCCAGTCCTATTTGTCAACTATATTTACACTGATGTTCCATAAACATGAATTTTGTCATAATATTGTACAGTCTGTTCAAATCATGTGGGTGAAATATAGCACTTATGTAGTTGGTAGGTCACACTTCACAGCACCTTGTTGGAGTTGCATCTTATACAGTATATGATAATGTCAGCAAAGTTATTATCGGTTGTCGACAGATGTCTCTACAGAGCGCCATTGCACAACCTTTCACAACTCTTTCCAAACAGTAAAAATGTACATATTTATATTTTGTAAGTTTTTTTACATTTTGCATACAAATGAATAATTCTATAAGAAGAAAAATTATTTGTTGGAATTTTTAACATTTTTATGCATAGGCAGGAATGATCATTTTTCAATAACTGCACACTAAGGGTTAAGCAAAAAGTAACACTGCTAATGTTAGTTATCTCAGTTTACAGTTAATCATTGAACAATTATTAAAGGTAGGATTAGTTGACCTATATTCACAAATCTTGTGAAATTGTTTACACTCCATCCACAACTTCTTCCAAACATCATTCATTATGCTGTGCTTCACTTCTGCCCACACACCTTCGTATTCCTAATTGCATCACAAGAATAAAGCTACATAAAGAAGGCATGCAAACTGGTCACCAGCTAATCATGCCAGATATGGTATTCATTTTAAAAACCAGTTACTAGATAGTTTTATACAATCCTGGTTTTCATTCCATAAATGTGGCAAAGTGAGGTTAATGATGCATTTTATTTACTGGGATTTTTAGAAAGAAAATTTTAGTTATGAATCCTATAGTTTGAGTTAATTCTTTACCTTCTTATGCTGTCATATATTCTAAAATCTATTTGATGTTTATGAATGTTTACCAAATAATTTTGTATTACCTGTACTTTATATCAGATGACAGCTGGAGGCACAGAGAGCATCATCTTGGCATGCAAGGCCTATAGAGATTATGCCATCAATGTTAGAGGCATCAAATCACCAGAGATGCTAGTACCAGCGTCATCTCATGCTGCATTTGATAAAGGTATGAGTCAACCTCAAAAGTTTAATGAGGCACACTTGATGCTGTATTCATATATTTGTTTAAACTTCTAATAATTTTAACCCCTCAACTGCGCCAGCCAATAAATGTCGTTTTGAGAGTTGTCCTTTTTTTTTTAATTAAGCTATATTTTAATATTTTTTAATGTTTTCATCACTGTTTTTTGAAATGAAAATAGTTTAGTTTGGAAACATTTTGACATTAACACAACCTGAGCATTTATAAAAACAACAAAAATATGTTCTTAGCAATTGCACTTTGAAGTTCTTGCCAATAACAGGTGCGCAGTGCAGGGGTTAATGCTGTGTAAATTATAGTTATCTGCTGTTATTGGAAGAAGGTACATGTTTATTTGAATTGTTATCATACATGTACATGCATGATACAAAGTAATTTCTGGGAAGGAGCCCCTTGAGGCTTCCTGAAGCTATTACACTGATTCAGTGCCATTAGTGCAGTTCCAGCCTTAGCTGCCTTGCCCAAAATGCTAGTTTCTTTCCTTCTGCAGGCAGTGGTGGCATGTTACTTGGTTCACCTCATGTGTCAAAAGGCTGTCTTGGCCTGGTATTTAAATTCAGCTTAGTCCCTTACCTTTTTGTCTACCCGCCTCTTTCTCTCTGATCTTTTCTGAGAATGTTCTCTCCCAAGTTTTGTTGGCACAATCGGTCTTTTCTTGTTAGCCGATTGACTTTGTTTGCTTCATCAAAATAGGTCCTCGCCTCATGGTTCACACCAGACCTTTTGCAATTCTTCCCATTGGGAGGTGTCTTTTTTCATTTTGCCAACTCCTGATCCCACATTTCTTGGATGCTTTTGGTTGTCTCAGCCTGCATTGGAGTTGGTGGTTTGTCCCCCAACCGTTGTTCTCCCTCCTATGTAGCTCCGCTCCCTGATTGCAAGATCCTCATGGTGGATGCCTTTTGACTAGACTGGTGAAGGTAGGTTGAGATCACATACCTCTCTTCCCAGGCCATTTATTACTCTGGGTGTTGTCCAGACTGGAGTCCTATTCAGGGAGGGTGATTCTCCTATCGTCTTGATGGCTGGCTCAGCCTTGGTTTCTGGCACTTCTGGCCTGGTGTCCGAACCCGGGCATTTATCGCCACTTCAACTGTTTCAGCAGATTGGCCCGGCAACATACCTCGCTGGTTCGACCTTCTCCTCTGTTCTACTTGTTTGGAGTTTTTAATGTGAATTTATTGCCATTTGTATTGCAAGCTGGTGGATTGGTTGCCGATGTCCCACCTGTGTCTTTCTTTGCGACAGCAGTATGAAGTTGCCTTGCACTCATTTTGCCTCTTTCTCTTTGCTGCCTTTCTTCAGTTTTGGTCAGGGTGGTTCTGACCTTTTTGTCATGGTTTTTTCTTGGTAGGCATCTCACGCCTAATACTGTCACCTCTTATTGTTTGGCTTTGGCAGACCCGCTATTTCTCATGTTTGGCATGGATATTCAGCAGGGTGTGTTGTGCGGTTTTTCACCTCCAGCCACAGGCTGGAGGTGTTCCTCTCCTCACTTCACAATTTCTATTTCAGCTCGATGCATTTTTTAAGGTGCTGTTCTTGTTGGTTATTGCCTATGTGGGCCATGTTGGGGAGCTTAATGCTCTTCTCTACAGAGGATGTTGTTTTGCTCCTTTGGTACTGATTGGCATTTCGTTCATTTGCAGCCTTCTCTTTTTCTGGTGAAGAATGAGTTGGCTAGCTTCTGGTAGGTTCCTTTGGTTATTGATGCTTGGTTGGTCTGGCAAGAGTTGCATCATTTGTGGTGTTTGGTGATGGTTCTTTGTCTCTGATCTGCAGTCTACCCATTCTGTCCAGGTTGATGCTTTGTTGGTTGATCCTGTTTCCTTGCTTCCCTGTTCCTTGGGTCACATTGCCTAGGTCATCAGCAGTGTCATCAGGTTTAGCCAGTCAGCAGTATACTCTCAGGCCCACAATGTTCACACGTATGCTGCTTTGGTAAGTCTGCTCTAACATGTCCAGGCTGCTAATCAGGCTCGGGGGTTTTGGTGGTCTAATTGGGTTCTGGTGACTTGGTGTTTGGTTAATATTCCTGATCCCAGTCGATCTTGTGTTGCTTTGGGCCATGTCTTTTGGCCTGGATTTTTCTGTCGTCTTAGAACCTGGCACCTCTCCTCCTCCCTGGTACGTCTTGTGTTATTTGTTCTCCGTAGTTAGTTACCTTTGGGTGAGCCGGTGGAAGATTGCCCAGAGAACCACCATTGAATGTAATGAAATACTTCTTTCTGGTAGAACACAGGTGGCTCCCGAATTCCATTCCATCCCTTCAGGTTCGTTGGTGGTCTGTTCATCAGCTTCAGATCTAGCTGGTCAGGGAAGTCTGGTGTGTGCTCCATTGACTAGCTGGGTTGTTTGGTGGCTTTACTAGCTTTACTAGTGAATTTAAAAATTTTAAATGAATAGTGTTTTGTTTTAAGTGTTTGCAGAGTTGTTTGGCAGTTTCAAGGTTTCGTTTTCTATGAGCCCTCCAGTTGTCTGTGAAACTTCGTTTACTTTTTGTTCACTTTCATTGTAGGGGGGAGGGGTCCGAATTTTCACTTCCTCTATGCACCTCTATGAGAGGAACCATATTCTGGCTGTTTTAGTAGACTAAACAGAACTCCTGTGACTGATGTGATCCTTTTGATGGAGCAATCTGGTGACGATAACTTCAGGGAGTCATCAGGGCTTTACCAGAAAAAGGTGTTTCATTACATTTAATGCTGGGTTGTTGAAGATCTGGTACTACTTCTGTGTGCATTTTTTCTATTGTTTGAAAAATGTACTTATTATTTATGTAAACTTTTTTTTAGCATGTAATGAAATGTACTGTGAGTAGGTGTAACTGTGCAAAGGGAGAGTGGATATGTAAGTGAAAAGTTAGTTTTGATCATACAGTAATTGAGAATGTGCTATGGTACAGGAAACTGAAAGAATTTTAAACGAGGCATCTGTTGTGCTGTGGAAAATAACATGTTTTGTGTGATTATATAAAACATGGATCTATAATGTTACCTCTACTGTACAGCAATAGTGTTATTGTAATTGTACCCAGGTGCCCAGCTGCTGTCAGTGCGCATAAAACATGTGCCCATTGATCCTGTCACCATGAAAGTGGACATGAAGGCTATGAAATCAATGATTAACCGCAATACTTGCATGGTAAGTGACTAGTACAAAGATGTTGCTGTACTGCCTGTGATGTTTTCAACCTGTTTGCTATGTGCCTTTATTCTAATGTACAGCAGAAATGTTACTATATGCTGGTGGGGTGTGAACGGTAACTCCCTGTAGCTAGCTGCACTGAGATAGTTTCACACACGAATTATATCAGCCCTAGAAGTCCTTAACCCATCCACTGCGCCACACAGCTGGGGATGACCTCACTAGTTATCAGTAAACTACGCAACCTAGTTTGGGAAGATTTAAAACGCCTGTGGGTACATAGGGCTTACATCTGCTCCTTGGGCCTTCAGTAAGCAGATGCCATCTTGAAAATAAAAATCATGGGCACCCCTTCTGGGTGTGAGAGGGGCACTAATACTGTGAGGGCAACTATGAGTAGAGCATGCAGCAGCAGCTCACAACACTGCCTGCAGCTCATGCCCACAGCATCACTTAATGATGATGAAATAAATAAGAACTGCAATAATTTAATGAGGATAGTGACATAAAAGATCCTGGCAATTTTAAAAACGTTGGTCAAAGTTTAGATATTGGTGAACTCAATACAGGTGGTGATGTTCACATCGAGAGGCACACAGCTCTCCGAAAACTCATTTTGAAAACCCTCGAGAAGTTGACATAATGGGCATTGTAGGTCTGGAATTAGGATGAGAAACTGATAATTGTAAATGCCTACAGCCCATCAGCAAGCAACACATGGACAAAGGAGGAACTAGATGACAAATGAGAGGGCCTCATAATGGTCATGATTGAGATTCGTTGCTAGGTAAGGAAGTAAATGAGATGTATGCCAAATTTTGCGAAATATACAATGAAGGCGCACAAACATTCATACCAAAAGAGAGATGCAGGGCCAGAAAACAGGATTGGTTCAATAGAAATTGTGAGGACTAGAAAGGAAAAGACAAGAAAATGGGTTCAGTATCAGAAGAGGCCTAACCTGCAAACATACCAGCACTATAAGCAAGCAAGAAACAATTACATGACAGTGAGGAGAGAGGCAGAAAGGAACTTTGAGAAAGGTATAGCAGACAAATGTAAAACAGATCCAGGCATTTTCTATAAATTCATTAAAAGTAAGCTGCCTGTAAAGGATAAAATTCAGAGATTGAGAACAGGGAACAGGACTACTGAGAATGAAAAAGAAATGTCTGAAATGCTAAATGAACAGTTCCAAAGTGTTTGAACAGAAATTTGGATTTCAGAGAGCTGGACCCAATACCAATTCCAGAGCACACCATAGAATACATAGAGGTATCTCAAAACAAAGTGGAAAAATTACTCAAGGGGCCTAGGAAAAAAAAAAGTGGTTGGACCTGATGGAGTTTCACCTTGGGTGCTGCAAGAATGTGCAACTGAGCTGAGTATTTTACTCCAATTAATATTCCAAACATCCTTGTGCACAGGAATCTTAGTAGATATGTGGAAAAAGGCTAACATAGTACCAGTTAATAAAAATGGTAGCTGAGAAGAACCTCTAAATTATAGACCTGTATCATTACAAGCTTGGTAGTCAAAACACTAGAAAAAATAGTTAGTCAAGTGGGTTAAACATCTAAAGAGTAATGACATGATAAAAGATATACAGTATGGTTTTTGAACAGGTAGATCCTGTGTAACAGGATCCTACTTGGTTTTTATGATAGGGCCACAGAGATACTACAGGAAAGAGGTGGTTGGGTTGACTGTGTCTTATCTGGTTGTATATATAGTAGAGTTCATTAAGCAGGTCTTGAGATTCGGTCTCTTTTGAACCCAGCAGTGGTTTCTTTTGACTTGCTGGATCCCTTCCATAGTGCAGTGGCAAAATGTCACTGCTTCCTGTCCCTCTGTGAAGAAACCAGGTTCTGGCTTTGGTTCCTGGCAGGCCTAAGAGCTCCACGGTTGATGCGGCCTGGTAAATGGAAACCATCTCGGTGTTTAGCTTCAGGGAGCCACCGAGGCTCGCCCAGAAATTGGCCTTTTATCACATTCAACGTTGATTTTCTTATTCATCACCAACTAAATATGTATTATATTTACATGCACAATATCATTTGTTATTCTCTTCGAAACTACTTGAACATTACTTTCAATGAATGTATGATGAAATATACATAAATTGTGGTTTTCCATAAGATAGCCATGTAAAATATGTGGTTTATGTGATAAGTGTGTGGTACATGACTAACCTATCCAGATGCTTATGAAGAGCCAGGGAGACTTTACACAACACACATTTATCTCCACCTCAGTTTTAACATCTACAATTTATTCCCCCCTTCTCTCACATATGCTCTGTCATTCATATGAAAAGTTTTTAATGTTCTTGATCTCCCTCCCACTTCTTGGATAGTTAAACATTGCAGCAGTGCTTCATGATCATTCCACCCCCACATTAGAGTTTAACTCCATATGTACAAGTGGTGTTGATATGTTAATACTGTAGACTCGCTGGGCGTGCATGAATGAAATAAGGGAATCGTGTAGTAGAGTTAAATGACCGGTATCTTGGTAGGGAACAGTGAAACAATATATGAAAGGAAGGTTTGTGGGAAGAGTTAGAGTGCTTGAAATAGTGAAGGTTTGTGCGGTAATAGTCTTCTAAAGAAACTTGTACTATGACTACCCTTATTGGGAACTTTCAGAAAGCAGTAAAGCATTCTAGCTATAAACATTCAAATACATAATACATATTATTTTCACTAATAGTGGTACTTTAATACACACATGTATTAATTTGTTAAAAATTTGAGTCTTGGGTAATTTCTAAGTGCTCATCAGTGAAAAGTTTTAGCAGAAGTAGCAAAAGATTTGACGGGTATATATTGTCCATCAAGGTATTTAAATATATTTTAAGAAAAACTATGCATTGCTTAATATAATGAAAACATGTGATATTCAATTAATATTAATTATTTGGTTGTAGCTGGTAGGGTCAGCACCCCAGTTCCCACATGGTGTCATCGATCCTATTGAGGAGATTGCAGCATTGGGCATTAAGTACAACATCCCTGTTCATGTGGATTCCTGTCTTGGAGGTTTCCTTATTCCATTCATGGAAGAGGCTGGCTATCCCCTTCCATTGTTTGACTTCCGTGTAACAGGTGTGACAAGTATATCGGCAGATACTCATAAGGTAAGAATTATCTTGATCACAGATGAGTCTTAATACTGTATATAATCAAATAAAAATTAATCTGCACAAATTTGTATTTAGATGGTTTATATAGGTAGTCCAGGTTAATAATGTCCAAAATCCAGACCACCATATAACAGAACCCTCTAAACAATAGGTCAAATCCTCCCACTAGATCTCCTCCTCTGAAATTAGGATTTGAATGAAAAGTGGTAGAGCAGCTGGTAAGGGAGGCTGTTTCATCACTAAAAGTTAATGGTGCTAAACTCCTCTTAGTAAATACTAATCCAGTTGAAGCACAGGGGCCCCCCCACACCTGATTGAGAAGGAACCAAGCATCATACTAAAACTACTACTATGTCAATCTCGTATATAGGTCTTGTCCAGTGACCAAGTCCCAAGACACCACTTCAAATTTGGAAGGATTTGAAAAGGGTTCTCCCTAGGGAGATTCCTGTCATCCTCGGAAACAATTTTTTTTGTGCAGTGACACTTTAGGTAAAGATGGTTTTTGCTTAAAGTGCCAGGGAAGAGAGCACTGAAAACAAGGCTTGAGTGACTGGTAAACATTGTTGACCAAATCACACATTAGAAAATGAAGAGACGACGACGTTTCTGTCTGTCCTGGACCATTATCAAGTCAATTGTAGACAATCAACTTGATAATGGACAATGGACAATCATTATCACATTTGACTTGATAATGGTCCAGGACGGACTGAAACATCGTCGTCTCCATTTTCTGGTGTGTGGTTTGGTCAACATTTTTCAGCCACATTATTGTGACTCTTCATCTGCACTGGTAAACATTCTTGCTAAGAGCATATTAAGAATGAAACCCAACATTAGACCATTAAAGAAGAAATGGTAACACTTCTCTAAAAAAAAAAAAACACTGTACACAGGAGATGATGTGGGTGGTACCGGGCACCGGTGAGAGAGGAATTGGTTAGGCTGTTTTATTGTTTTATAAAATTATTGTTTTATCCATTCTAGTATTTTACCATTTATTCCATGCACTTGTAATTTCCTTGCTAGTCTTTCATGTGGTACCTTATCAAAAGCTTTAGAAAAGTCCATGTGTACTTTATTTACAACAAAGTCTGTTGTCTGAATAGGTGGTTACTCTTTCCAAAAATGTAAATTTGTAAGGCAGGATTTATTTTTAACAAACCCATGTTGCATACTGTAGTATCTGTTTAACATTCTTATTATTAATGAGTTGCAAAATATGAACAATTTTGTTATGTAATTTTGTCTGAATTTTTCAGTATGGCTATGCTCCCAAAGGCTCATCAGTGATAATGTATAGGGAAGCCAAGTGGCGCCACCATCAGTTCTTTGTCACCCCAGACTGGCAAGGTGGCATTTATGCAACGGCAACCATTGCCGGATCCAGATCAGGGGGTAAGAAAAGATATATAAGTAGCGACAATTTTGTTGTCATGCAGTAAACTTTTCAGTGCATTTCTTTTATTACACTCTGAACTGTTTATTAGGAAGTTAAAGATCCATTTCCCTACTTTACCAGCAATTATTTTTGTGCTCATTTTGTGTGCAATAACACCATGGTCACACTTGTTAAAAGCTTTTACAAAGTCTGTGTATGTTACATCAAGTTTTGTTTGTCTTCCATGGTATCTAAGGCCATGCCATAGTGGTTTAGCAATTGTGAGAGGCAGGAGTGCCCTGTTCTGAATCCGTGTTGCCCAGGGTTATGTAAACACTGTGATTCCCATGTATTTTGTGATCTTATTTCTCAGCACTCTTTCAAAGATTTTTATGATGTGTGTGTGATGTAAGAGTTATTGGTCTATAGGTTAGGTTAGGTGGATGTCTTTAGGTGGAGGTGGATGAATCTGGCTCTGGTTTTCAGTAAGTCAAACAGGACTTGTGCGACTGATGTGACCTTGTAGTGGGGAACCATCTCGGCAAGATAGCTTTAGGAAGTCATGGTGGCCCTACCAGGAAGAGGTGTTTTATTACATTAAGCACTGGTTTTTAGTAATTTGTAGATGATAACTAAAAGTAGTGGATAATAAAATTGTAGCAATGCAGTTTAAATTATCACTATTTAATAGCAGACAGCTCTTTAAAATACAAAGATACTGGATAAGGGCATTGTTCAAGTGTTATCGGGTGAAATTATAGAGTGTCAGAGTCCAATGGGTTCTTTTGAGTTGAGTCAGGCAGTTTCTTGGTGTTCTCATATCTACTAGTGAGTGAGGAATGTTTGGAGGTTTTCTTTGTTGGTTATTTCATCATTATTTTTCCTTCTGTAATAAAGCAATGTGTGATTAAATTCTTTTTGTAATCTGTAGAAAAAAAAAGTCCACTAATGCAGTGTTATTGTTATCAAGTGGGCATGTTGCAACAGGAATTGTGGCAGCCAGCTGGGCAGCCCTTGTGTACCATGGTCGCCAGGGTTATGTCGACTACACAAGGAAAATCATTGAGACAGCTAAGAAAATAGAGGAAGGGTAAGTTGTACTGAATCATTACACTTCCTATAATAAACTTTACTCTTTTTAATTAGTACTCTTAAATTAGTTGTTGTAAAAAGTCACTACAGTATTTAAAAATTTTACATTTATAGCTTATGCATGTGAAAATTGGATCAATTCATGTGGTACTCTTGTTGTTATAAACGTACACATAATGGTGGATTCATCCAAGCTCATGTTTGTTTACCTCCTGTCATGATGCAAGTTCTCGTACTGTTTCAGTCTTTTTCTTTCTTATGCAAATGAATGAATGAACAGCCCTCTCTTCAACCCCAGCTTTCAGTGTCGTTGAAAGCTTTATTTATTATTATATATATATATATATATATATATATATATATATATATATATATATATATATATATATATATATATATATATATATATATATATATATATATATATATTATTTTATATAAAATATACAGTATATAGAAGAGGTGGAAATTGTGGATGGGAGCCACCAAGTGACTTACACAGAAAGAGGTTTCTCATCTAAACTGATAGTTTTATTTTTCCAGATGTCGTGCAATTCCTGGGATCTTCGTGTGTGGCAAGCCAGATGTTTCTGTTGTAGCGTTTGGGTCCAACAAATTCAACATTTATAATCTCTCAGATATCATGACCAAGCGAGGGTGGAATTTAAATACACTGCAGTTCCCATCCAGGTAAACTTTTGTTATATTCACATTCAGTTGAAGTAGTTCAATGGCCTGGTTGATCAAACCAGCAACCAGCAGGCCTGGTTGATTGGACCGCAGGGACACTGATACCTGAAATTGTCAACAGATAGCCTTGGCTTGGGTATTAAAATGGCCAGGCCTGGTTCATATGCTCTCTCATAGACCATGTACCTTTTTGTTCTCTATAAGACCCTTATAGGTCTGCTATAACTAAGACATGCTGTACTCTATCTTTGGTAAATATTTTCCACAAGTTATGCCCCATATTTGTATAGGGAGAGTGTGGAAAAGTCTTGGCCCTTTGATATTGATAAGGGCCTCTCTCACCATGCCAAATGCACCTCTGCTTTTCAACCGGGCTATTTTGCACATCCTGCCATGCCTTCTGGTCTCCGTTGTGTTATTTGTGTGTGCAGATCTGGAACCAGTTCTCCTAGTATTTTCCAAGTGTAAATTACGGTATTATGCATCTCTTCCGGCTGCACACTACAGATTTAAAATTGTTAAGTGGTACCAATGATTTTGGTACCACAAACCATTAAAATTTTGTAAAACTAGCTCCCTGCTGGTTTGCCCCACTTCCTCAGCTTGTTTGGGGAGAGGAAGGAAGCGTTCCGGGCCATCTTCAGTTCTATTCTAATGGTGCCTGGTGCAGTCCTAGTTGCTCTGGGTCCAGTCTTCCATATTTTGTGTGTATTTTTCCTTTGGGCAGCTATTACACGGTTGTATGTGTGAACCTGGGGCCAGAGAGCTAAAGTTCATCCCTAGCAAGCACAACTAGGCGACTACCCGCGCCCCGCAGGCCAGATTCACGAAGCAGTTATGAACGTGTACATCTTTCCTCAGTTTCTGACAACTTTGGTTACACTTAATAAACATTTTACAAGCATGAAAATTTACCAATCAACTGTTGTCACTGTTATAAACAGCCTCCTGGTACTTCGGAGCTCATTAACTGTTAAATAATTGTAAACAAAGCTGCCAAAAATTGAGAAAAAATGTAAAGGTTCGTAAGTACTTGCGTAACTGCTTTGTGAATCTGGTCCCAGGAATTTAATTTACTTAAAGCTGCATGAGCTGAGGGTTATCTTCCCTGTACACTCTTTCAGTACTACCCTTGCACAGTCAGGGTTGTCTTCCTTGGGGTATTCGGGATACCCTTCCTACAGGGGGCCTCCTCGCTTGGGGTGGTCTTCGTCCTTCAGGTAAATTGGTGGTATATGACTATCTGTCTTCCCTCAGGTTGGAAGTGTTTTTGAATGGTGGGGCGCACTGGGTTTGCGTGACCAGTTATTCAGTTAACACATAGGTGCGCCACCATTTCTCCCTGGTTGCTCTTTCTCCACGGTTTGGTCTTGGGCTTTTTGTGCTTTATTTTGCTTTTCAATTATCACGTTGCCTCTTTTAATACTTTTGTGCAATTCTTTATGAATATAGAATTCCAGGAGGCAGGGCCTTGTGCAGAGTGCATGGCCATGCTGTCTATGGCTACTTCAAAGTAGAGTGAACCAGATTCGGCTTCTGGTTATCTTACGATGCTCGTGACTCGCATGGGCCTGGTAGGTGCATTAGGCTCTTGGCTACCAGTATGGAAACAATGTGGTGCCACCAAGGAAACTTACCAGAAAGTTGTATTTCATAACATGCAACGCTGGATTTATTAACTAGAGTTTAAAGTGAACTCTAGTACTGTTCCTGAATGGTCATATAAATTTAGTTTGCTATGTTTTTTTACATTCGTGCTGTGTATACTAGTACTATATAATGTAAAGAATATTGCAAATCTATTTGTTGTTAATTTTTCAAATAATTTTTGTATCTTTAGGAACTATAAGCTATTTCGTAGGTGTGAATGATGTCAGCTAACATCATAGTTGAGATCACTCATATATATTTAAAACAAATGTCATTATGCCTGGTTACATCTCTCTTTCTTGTTTATAGTATCCACCTGGCTGTGACAGTTCTGCACACTCAGCCAGGAGTTGCTGACCGTTTCATCAATGACGTCAGAGAAGTTACAGAGGATATCCTGAAAAATCCTTCTAAAGATGTTGGAGAAAATGTAAGTGTCACTTTTATGATTTTAAAATTCCAAACTATATTTTACTCTTGGTCCCCTCAATAGCTCATTGATACTACAACCTGGGGTGACACACAAGACCTCTATTGACTTCCAAGTGCCTACCAGGGACAATAACTGGAATCTACCCCTTCGGGCTCATAGAGTTTTAGTCAAGGTGAAGATCCAAGATCTTAATGAAATGCCAATTTTGGGAGGAAATTGGTGGTATCCTGAAGCTCTTTTTGCTTTTTCAGCTCTTTTTCACTATGTCTTGGACATGGAGGTTCTAGAGGTTGAACAGGGTGTTGGCAGCCCGGTATTTGCACCATGTTCCCTGGGCCTCGAAGCCTTTGTTTCTTCTTTGTGATATCTGTGGTGCTCTCTCCTCCCTGGTGTGTGCCCACTTCCTGGATAGTTAGCTTCAGGGAGCCCCCAAGAGGCTTCCCCCAGAAAACAAGCATTGAATGTAATGAAAAGCCAATTTCCGGTTGAACTCCATTGGCTCTGACACCGTTCCTTCTCTAGAGAATTGGGGTTCTTAAATCATTCGTCGAACTGACATGGGAGCGGCCAGTAAGCCTAGTGCTGGTCCGCCTCTTTCCCTCGGACAAGAATGGTGGGGCAAATGACCGGGCGCTTACTTATATCAATTTTGAGTGTTTACATAGTTTGGGGAGTTCTATGGCTGGTTTCAAGTCCGCATGTCTCAGAGGTAATCAGATATGGTTTGTTTTGACTTGCTGACTTTCTGGGTGCCTTTCTTGGTTGTGACATAAATGAATAACTTAATATATAAGTGCCACAGCTCCTTTTGACTCTGTGGAGAACCAGGTTCTGGCTCTAGGTCCCTCTGGACTGATGGCACCTAGTAGTTGGCATTAACATAGGAGATGATAGCTTCAGGGAGTCACGGGTTCACTGAGAAATTGGAGTTTCATTACATTCAACGCAGTTTTTTTTACAATAAGTATATTGCTCCAAAAAAGACTTTATTATTTAAGATAACTTGTGCCATAATACCTGACTTATACAAATTTTCTACCAAAAATGCCTAACCCTCAATGCTGTCCCTTACATGAAAATAAAGATAAGATACTGTTTACACCTAATTTCTACTTGCAGGCAGCATTATATGGAATGGCTCAAAGCATCCCTGATCGTGCTCTAGTGGGAGAGTTAGCTTGGTGTTACTTGGATGCTGTCTACTCTACAAAACTCTCCATAGGACCCAGCATGAAATAGTCTAGTCACTCAAGAAAACAGTAGTCATTAAACATGTTTTTCACTTCCAAATTTTGGGTCTGATACTGTATATAATCAAATAGTTGCAGTAAGTGATTCAGCATTTCATTTTTATTGCATGATTCTATATTTGGTAAATTTGTAGACATTGCCATGGAAAATGTTTGTTTATTGATTTATTAAAAAAAATTGTTAAATATGTCACATTCAAAGAGCTCTAACATTATGGGGAATCATGTGATTTTCTATTTGGATGAATAACCTTTTGTATAACGTAAAAGTAGTTATACATTACAGGTATATTAATAAAAGGAATAGTTTCAGAAGTGCCAATTAATTGTTTTTACTGTCAATTAATAAATGTTACACTTTGTCTTTAATTTTTATCTCCATTATTTTAACATACAAGAGTTTTACATACAAGAGTTTTTACATTCTTGTAAAGCCACTATTACGCGTAGCGTTTCGGGCAAACCCTAATTTCCCCGGAATACGACCCCGCCGAATCGCCATTCACTGCTGGGTGAACAGAGGCTACATTAAGGATTGGCGCCCGGAATCCTCCCCCCATGACTATACTGTGTTAAATATAATAAAATGCCACATTCATTGTGGAACCCTCAGTGGCTTTCCTTGGCTAAAGGTTACCCATGAGCTGTAGTTGACCCCATACCCCAACCTCTGAACCATAGTTGACCCCATACCCCAATCCATGAGCTGTAGTTGACCCCATACCCACACCCATTAGCTGTAGTTGACCCCATACCCCAACCTCTGAGCTGTAGTTGACCCCAACCCATGAGCTGTAGTTGACCCCATACCCAACCCATGAGCTGTAGTTGACCCCATACCCCAACCCATGAGCTGTAGTTGACCCCATACCCCAACCCATGAGCTGTAGTTGACCCCATACCCCAACCCATGAGCTGTAGTTGACCCCATACCCCAACCCATGAGCTGTAGTTGACCCCATACCCCAACCCATGAGCTGTAGTTGACCCCATACCCCAACCCATGAGCTGTAGTTGACCCCATACCCCAACCCATGAGCTGTAGTTGACCCCATACCCCAACCCATGAGCTGTAGTTTACCCCAACCCATGAGCTGTAGTTGACCCCATACCCCAACCCATGAGCTGTAGTTGACCCCATACCCCAACCCATGAGCTGTAGTTGACCCCATACCCCAACCCATGAGCTGTAGTTGACCCCATACCCCAACCTCTGAGCTGTAGTTGACCCCATACCCCAACCCATGAGCTGTAGTTGACCCCATACCCCAACCCATGAGCTGTAGTTGACCCCATACCCCAACCCATGAGCTGTAGTTGACCCCATACCCCAACCCATGAGCTGTAGTTGACCCCATACCCCAACCCATGAGCTGTAGTTGACCCCATACCCCAACCCATGAGCTGTAGTTGACCCCATACCCCAACCCATGAGCTGTAGTTGACCCCATACCCCAACCCATGAGCTGTAGTTGACCCCATACCCCAACCCATGAGCTGTAGTTGACCCCATACCCCAACCCATGAGCTGTAGTTGACCCCATACCCCAACCCATGAGCTGTAGTTGACCCCATACCCCAACCCATGAGCTGTAGTTGACCCCATACCCCAACCCATGAGCTGTAGTTGACCCCATACCCCAACCCATGAGCTGTAGTTGACCCCATACCCCAACCCATGAGCTGTAGTTGACCCCATACCCCAACCCATGAGCTGTAGTTGACCCCATACCCCAACCCATGAGCTGTAGTTGACCCCATACCCCAACCCATGAGCTGTAGTTGACCCCATACCCCAACCCATGAGCTGTAGTTGACCCCATACCCCAACCCATGAGCTGTAGTTGACCCCATACCCCAACCCATGAGCTGTAGTTGACCCCATACCCCAACCCATGAGCTGTAGTTGACCCCATACCCCAACCCATGAGCTGTAGTTGACCCCATACCCCAACCCATGAGCTGTAGTTGACCCCATACCCCAACCCATGAGCTGTAGTTGACCCCATACCCCAACCTCTGAGCTGTAGTTGACCCCATACCCCAACCCCTGAGCTGTAGTTGACCCCATACCCCAACCCCTGAGCTGTAGTTGACCCCATACCCCAACCCATGAGCTGTAGTTGACCCCGTACCCCAACCTGTGAGCTGTAGTTGACCCCGTACCCCAACCTGTGAGCTGTAGTTGACCCCGTACCCCAACCTGTGAGCTGTAGTTAATCCCATGTCCATCCAGAGGATGGCAATGGGGCCCCCATACCCATCCTGTGAGCTGTAGTGAACCCAACACTCATTCTATGGCGGTAGTGAACCCAAGACCCCCATCTTTTGTGTGTTAAGTAATTATCAAAAGAAGGCACCAAACCAGGAAGGCTATGTAGCACCACCAAATGTGCGGAATAATCAGAGGGCGCTAAATATCACCAAGGATGCCAATACGAGAACAAAAGTGCATAAGGTGAACGATATAAAAAGTATCCGATTCACCAAGGATTCTATCGAGGGACAATTGACCACGAGGGACGGTCGGAAAGCAAAACACACTGCACGACTGTAAGAGGAACAATGCAATTTGGACAATAAGGAGCAGGGCGGTATTTCATTAAGTGACCATGAGTTAAACGTGTATGGCCAATACGTAACCTAGCCAGAGCCATTTCCCACCACCGGTTACAGTGGTAGGAGGAAGGCCACAGGGACACACGACCCTTATGAGTATGCAGTTTGTTACCAATAACAGAAGACCAACAACCCTGCTAACGGGCAAGGATGGAGGAATGAATAACTGGGTAAAAATCGGAATACGGAATACCTTTACAGGAGATGGAACAAGTGCGGATATCTTCCTTAGCGGAAGCATCCGCACGTTCATTTAAAGAGACGCCAACATGGCTGGGAACCCAGCAAAACTCTACCGACTTAAATTTACTGGAGATAAGAAACAACCAATGTTGAATCTCAATGACCACCGGGTGGACCAGATTAAAGGACCCCAAAGCCATGAGGGCACTACGAGAGTCAACTACCACCACAAAGGAGGATTGACAACAAGAAAGTAGGAGACGAAGAGCATAGAGAATAGCATAAAGTTCTGCTGTGAAGTTGCTAGCCTCCGAAGGGAGGCGACTCATATAAGTATGGTCAGGAAAAACAACAGAGTAGCCCACACCGCCTTTGTGCGTTAGTGGATGGCTAAAACATCCTGTGGGTGGTAATGAACCCCATACCCATTCCGTGAGTTGTAATTGACCCCGTGTCCATCCTGTGGGAGGCAGTGAACCCCCATACCCATCCTGTGGGAGGCAGTGGACCCCCATACCCATCCTGTGGGAGGCAGTGGACCCCCATACCCATCCTGTGGGAGGCAGTGGACACCCCATACCTATGCCGGATCTGGAAATGGACATGTACCATACCCCTCCCATTGGTGTAATGAACCTTTACTTAATTAACATGTAGGCGGTAGGGGACCCCCATACCCATCCCATGAACGTGTAGTGGACTCCACACCCATCCCATGTATGTGTAGTGGACTCCATAGCCATCCCATGTACTTAAAATTCATACATATTCCCATCCTATGGACAGTACTGGACACCATAGCCATCCTGTGGGGAGTAGTGGACCCCATAACCATCCTACAGGTGGTAGTGGATCCTATATCTATCCTAAAGGTGATAGTGGACCCCATACCCATCCTGTAGGTGGTTGTGGGCTCCACACCCATCCAACAGGTGGTAATGAACTCCCATACCACCATCTAGGCCGTAGTGGGCCATATACCCATCATGTAGACGGTAATGGACCCCATACCCATCCTGTGGGTGGTTGTAGGGTCCACTACCACCCATAGGATGGGTTTGGGGTCCACTACCACCCATAGGATGGGTTTGGGGTCCACTACCACCCATAGGATGGGTTTGGGGTCCACTACCACCCGTAGGATGGGTTTGGGGTCCACTACCACCCGTAGGAGGGGTTTGGGGTCCACTACCACCCGTAGGATGGGTTTGGGGTCCACTACCACCCGTAGGAGGGGTTTGAGTGTCCACTACCACCCGTAGGAGGGGTTTGGGGTCCACTACCACCCGTAGGAGGGGTTTGGGGTCCACTACCGCCCGTAGGAGGGGTTTGAGTGTCCACTACCACCCGTAGGAGGGGTTTGGGGTCCACTACCGCCTGTAGGATGGGAATGGGGGTTCACAACAATCCGTAGGATAAGTTTGAGGTCCACTACCACCTTGAAGTAGTAGATTTTAAGGCTTAATAATCAAAATTTTAGTGAAATCGTCAGTGAAGATGATAGCTGTTGACAGATGAATACTTTCTACTAAAATTGAAATAGTTAAAAAAAGTTATAATATCTCCATTCTGTATCAACTAAAGTTTCAACCCATGATTTAAACCACTATTCTACAGTGCATCCTGTTAAAGGTTAGCACTTAGGAGAAATCTTGATGCTTCTCGGTAAATTATAATAAGCGCTCTATAAATTATTAACCAGCCCCATACTGGTTAATAATAATAATAACCAGCCCCATACGCTCGGCTGAGTAGACAGCGCTCGGGATTTGTAGTGCTAAGTGTCTGATATAACGCTGGAATGTGTATGGGGTACATTACTGCAAACAGGATGGATATATAGGGTCCACAACAAGTCACAAGATGTTTATGGGGCCCACTACCACCCAAAAGGATAGGTATGGGATCCACTACCACCAGTTGAAAAGGTATTGAGTCCACTACCACCAGTTGGATGGGGTATGGGGTTCACTACCATCTGTAGGATGGGTATGGGACCCACTACCGCCCACAAGATGGCTATGGGGTCCAGTACTGTCCACAGGATGAGTATGGGGTCCACTACCACCCACAGGATGAGTATGGGGTCCACTACCACCCACAGGATGAGTATGGGGTCCACTACCGCCCACTGAATGGGTATGGGGTCCATTACCGCCCACTGGATAGGTACAAGGTGCACTACCGGCCAGAGAATGAGTATGAGGTCCACTACTGTCCCTGCAGAATGGGTATGGGGTCCACTACTGCCCCCAGAAGATGGGTATGGGGTCCACTACTGCCCAAGATTACTGGGCTAGTGGTGGGTCTGGTGGTGGGGTGGTGGTGGAGGGGGCTAGTGGTGGGTCTGGTGGTGGAGTGTTGGTAGAGGGGCTAGTGGTGGGTCTGGTGGTGGGGTGGTGGTGGAGGGGGCTAGTGGTGGGTCTGGTGGTGGGGTGGTGGTGGAGGGGGCTAGTGGTGGGTCTGGTGGTGGTGGAGGGGGCTAGTGGTGGGTCTGGTGGTGGGGTGGTGGTGGAGGGGGCTAGTGGTGGGTCTGGTGGTGGGGTGTTGGTAGAGGGGCTAGTGGTGGGTCTGGTGGTGGGGTGTTGGTAGAGGGGCTAGTGGCGGGTCTGGTGGTGGGGTGTTGGTAGAGGGGCTAGTGGTGGGTCTGGTGGTGGGGTGTTGGTAGAGGGGCTAGTGGTGGGTCTGGTGGTGGGGTGTTGGTAGAGGGGCTAGTGGTGGGTCTGGTGGTGGGGTGTTGGTAGAGGGGCTGGTGGTGGGGTGTTGGTAGAGGGGCTAGTGGTGGGGTGTTGGTAGAGGGGCTAGTGGTGGGTCTGGTGGTGGGGTGTTGGTAGAGGGGCTAGTGGTGGGTCTGGTGGTGGGGTGTTGGTAGGTAGAGGGGCTAGTGGTGGGTCTGGTGGTGGGGCTAGTGGTGGTGGGGCTAGTGGTGGGTGTGGTGGGGTGTTGGAGGTGGGTCTGGTGGTGGGGTGTTGGAGGTGGGTCTGGTGGTGGGGTGTTGGAGGTGGGTCTGGTGGTGGGGTGTTGGAGGTGGGTCTGGTGGTGGGGTGTTTGTCCTCTTGCTAGTGATGGTGAAGCTGGTGGGGGCCTCCCTCCATACTTCCGCTATTCTAGCCAATACTTAAATTTTAAATTTTGCCCCGAGGGTCGAGTTTATTGGGCAGCGCCACTCATCCTGTGAGTGGACACACCGCCATAGTGACAGTACTGGGCAGCGCCACTCATCCTGTGAGTGGACACACCGCCATAGTGACAGTATTGGGCAGCGCCACTCATCCTGTGAGTGGACATACCGCCATAGTGACAGTATTGGGCAGCGCCACTCATCCTGTGAGTGGACACACCGCCAAAGTGACAGTATTGGGCAGCGCCACTCATCCTGTGAGTGGACACACCGCCAAAGTGACAGTATTGGGCAGCGCCACTCATCCTGTGATTGGACACACCGCCATAGTGACAGTATTGGGCAGCGCCACTCATCCTGTGAGTGGACACACCGCCATAGTGACAGCATTGGGCAGCGCCACTCATCCTGTGAGTGGACACACCGCCATAGTGACAGTATTGGGCAGCGCCACTCATCCTGTGAGTGGACACACCGCCATAGTGACAGTATTGGGCAGCACCACTCATTCTGTGAGTGGACACACCGCCATAGTGACAGTATTGGGCAGCGTCACTCATCCTGTGAGTGGACACACCGCCATAGTGACAGCATTGGGCAGCGCCACTCATCCTGTGAGTGGACACACCGCCATAGTGACAGTATTGGGCAGCGCCACTCATCCTGTGATTGGACACACCGCCATAGTGACAGCATTGGGCAGCGCCACTCATCCTGTGAGTGGACACACCGCCATAGTGACAGCATTGGGCAGCGCCACTCATCCTGTGAGTGGACACATCGCCATAGTGACAGTATTGGGCAGCGCCACTCATCCTGTGAGTGGACACACCGCCATAGTGACAGTATTGGGCAGCGTCACTCATCCTGTGAGTGGACACACCGCCATAGTGACAGTATTGGGCAGCGCCACTCATCCTGTGAGTGGACACACCGCCATAGCAGCATGTACAACACTCCCCAATAGGAAGAAAACCCGCTGGGTTGTTCATCCTGTCACTTGTACCCAGACACAGCTGGGACTTGCTTAACTGTCTCAAGTGAACAGCTCCTCAAACAAGAAGATTAACATCTATCAACCCTTAAAAGCTTACGTTATCTTGCGGGTACAAAATGGGGGAATCTTTTAAGAACAGTATCAATATTTGACAAATAGTGTTTTCCCAACTCAAACAATGGGGTGTTTATTATTCTACACATATTTCTAATGTGTCTCAGGTGTTCACATTCACGTAGATAGTGGTCAAGGCGGTGTCCATCACTCTCACCACAGATTCTGCAACTTCGCTGACCAACTGTTGTTTCCATTCCATATCTCCATGGATATTTGTATCCAAGACGGATTCTCGCTATTACTGATTCTCTCCCTCGTCCTCCTCCTCCTCGGCCATAATGACTGGGATTGCCAGCTGCAACCATGTTGTACCATCGTACAGATTCACTGGTTTGTGCTTCTATCCTCCTTTCCTCAGTTACCTTGTCACGGTGATGTTGCCTGACAATACCTCTAATTTGTAGTACTCTTGGGTATGAAGTATTCAATATGGTCTCCTTCAGCGCCTTCAGCAGCCAGTACATCTGCTCGTTCATTCCCACATATTCCAACATGGGAGGGGATCTACAGAAACTTGATGACTCTTCCCTGATTGGTAAGTACTCTCACAGCTCTCTTAATTTCAGCGACTATTGCAAGATTTTCTGCCCGATTTTTACTTAGGCTTTGCAGTGCTGCATTTGAATCGGTGCAAATCACTGCACCATTAGTGTTCCGTTCAAGAAACCTTAACGCCATAACAATGGCAGTTAGCTCTGCTTTCAAAGGAAAAGGAAACTATTCCAAAGGAAACAGAGAGTTAGTATAAATGGGGTTAAGTCAGAGTGGGATAATGTTGTTAGTGGAGTACCTCAGGGCTCTGTCCTGGGACCTCTGTTGTTTATAATATATATAAATGATTTAGATTCAGGTTTGAGTAGCAAAATCTGCAAATTTGCCGATGATACAAAAATCGGTAGGGAAATTAACACGAAAGAAGACTCGCTATCACTTCAAGTTGATCTAAATAGGGTTTTAAAATGGTCAAAAGACTGGCAGATGCAGTTTAATGCTAATAAATGTAAAGTTTTGAGGCTAGGTAATGATGATAGAGTTACAAGATACGAGCTAGATGGTGTTGAGATTGCGAAGTCGGATTGCGAAAGGGATCTGGGAGTTATGATTAGTAAGAATTTAAAACAAAAGGATCAATGCATCAATGTTCGTAATAAGGCGAATAGGACACTGGGATTTATTAATCGAAGCGTTAGTAACAAGACACCTGGTGTGGTTCTTCAGCTATATCTTGCTCTGGTTAGGCCCCATTTAGATTATGCAGTCCAGTTTTGGTCGCCGTACTATAGAATGGATATAAATTCACTTGAACGTGTCCAGCGTAGGATGACTAAGTTAATTCCCCAAATTAGAAATCTTTCATATGGAGAAAGATTAACAAAGCTTAAGTTGCATTCACTGGAAAGGCGAAGAGTTATGGGTGACATGATAGAAGTTTACAAGTGGATGAATGGATATAACAAAGGGGATATTAATAGGGTATTAACATTATCAACACAAGACAGAACACGAAACAATGGGTATAAATTGGATAAGTTTAGATTTAGGAAAGACTTGGGTAAATACTGGTTCAGTAACAGGGTTGTTGATTTGTGGAACCAATTGCCGCGTAACGTGGTGGAGATGGGGTCCCTCGATTGTTTCAAGCGCGGGTTGGACATGTATATGAGTGGGATTGGGTGGTTATAGATAGGAGCTGCCTCGTATGGGCCAATAGGCCTTCTGCAGTTACCTTTGTTCTTATGTTCTTATGTTGCGTTGAAGAGGCATAGTTCTGTGAACTGATGTGCACCCGAGCAAAGGATGTGAAGATTAAATGGATTTTTAAGCTGAATTTTTTGACATAACTACAATTAGTTTCCTGTCATACATTACCATTAATTCGTTTGTATTAAAGTGGAGGACACTATGTGTAGGTTCCTTAAGTCTCTTTTTTGCTGGCATTTGTTAACTCGTGTAGCCATATTTAGATAAGAGAAAGTGTGTTTTCCAAGTAGGTATGAGTGTGTGAGTGCGAAGGTTGCTAAGATGGCTCAGGAGGGGACTTTCCTATGTTTGCTCATCGATTTATTTCTCGGAGCCTCGACAGTTGCCGAGAAGCGGCCATGACACCAAACTGGCCGTGACGTCATCTTTCGGGAAGCGTTCCAATATTACTAATATCACTAACTTTCATTACTAACTCGCTCACACGGAAGTATTCCTGCACTCTATGCTAATATTTGACTGTGTATAATTTAGAGTATGTGATGTATGATAGCGTGGAGAGTGTAGTGCTAGAGGGGCCGCGGGTGTGGGCGAGGATGGAGAGGGTTTCAGGAGAGTGTGGAGGTGGCGGGGCGACGCAGCGCTCCCAGGTTGCGAAAGACCACCAGCCATTCTCTCCTTTCGGTGAGTTAACGTGAAGCTCTTGGTTATTTTGGCTGTGGTGAGTGTATTTGGTGGTGTAGCGGTGCAGCGAGGCTTGGGTGTGGTGCTGTGTGGCTATAGTGCACCTCCGTAAGGTTTTCTGGGGCCAAGGTAGTCAGTTAGTGGAAATATTGATCGGTAAATTAGTTGCGTCGTTCCGTGGGCGATGGCATGCCTTGTTAACGACCTTTGTTACTCTTCTCTACACCTCTTGCTCATCATTTACCTCCACAAGGATGGAATGATGAGTGTGGTTTTGGCGTGAGGTGATTGTCGTGGTGGTGGAGGAGTTGAGGGAGTGTTGGTGTTTGTGACGGGTGAGGGAGAGGGTGGAGCAGGCGTGCCCCCTGTGCCCCTCCCTGTGTGCTCTAGTCTCCAACACTGGTCCTCCTCCATCACTACCACACCTTCCTCGCCGCCTCCACCCCTCACAGGGAAGGCTGGGAGGCAGGGAGCCACGGCCGGCCTCCTGGCCTCGGCTCCACTTCCTGTAAGGCGGCCATTTTTGTTTCTGGAGCACTGGTTGGGTCATTAGGGCTGGAGTCATTTTGTGCACCCGTAGTGACCCCGGACGGTTCCTCACTGGGGGTTAAAAGTACCTCCAATAATCACGCCCAATAACCACTTCAACTCTCAGATCGCCTAACCAAACTTCAATATGTATATAGTTTTTAAGAATTACAAAAATGAGCTTTATTGTGTATTATCATTTCCTGTGTACAGTTTGATCCGTTGTTCTGACTTTCCTTGTAAGGTAATGAATCATAGACGAAGAGTAGGCCACAGGCAGTGTATACACACTGCAAAATATTCTCAAGTCACAATCGACTTGAGAATGGTCCAGGACGGACCGAAACGTCGTCGTCCCTTCAATTTCTAGTGTGTGGTCTGGTCAACATACTTCAGCCACGTTATTGTGACTCATCGCCTGCACTGCAAAATAGTTTGAGTGCTTTGGTAAACCTTTGGTGCCGAAGGTCAATGTTAAAGAGTTGATAACATTTTTCACCTGGGCTGTAGGAGAGAGAAATTATGGGTCCCAAGCATGCGAGGCAGAAGTTTTATCCATTAAGCAATGAGTAGTCTTAAGACTACTTGTAGCCGAGTGGATGGAGCTGCCTCGCGCGCGTGGGGTCCGTGGTTCGAGCCTCCCAGAGCCCAGCTGAATGAAATGCTTATTTCCACGGAAGTGTGGATGACAATTTAGGTGATAGAATATTAACGTTTGCAGCAAAGACCTTTCTTGTGGCCTCGTTGTGTAGGTCAGCGGCTAAATTATTGGTTGGACAAAATGACCTGCGGGAAATTACCGATGATGGGGAAAATATCGTGGCGGTTTTGGCAATTTTATAATGTTCATTGTTCGCTTCCCCAACCACTGGGACTGGTTGGTAAGGTGGTCATTTCGTGCAGGTTGGCGTACGATCCCCAATGGTCCAAGCGGATGGAATCCATTCTTTGTATCCTGCCCAGCTCCTTGTCGGTCAAAGTGCTGTATAGTTTTAATGACTTTGTGCTTTCTGATACTTTTTTGGCCTTTCTCTACTGAAGAAAAGGTATTAAGAGTTGCCGTAGATACCGTTGCTCCAAGGTGCACCTGGCATTCCATGGGAGCGTGCGGTAATACTGAAAATGATTACTGTTCAACTTTGTCATCTCAGTTCTAGTCCTAGGTTTTTAAATTTGGTATCGGTGTTTGCAAGAGAATTAATTCTCTACAGAACTAAATGCATATAAAGTCCAAAAGCCCGGCGTACCACCCGCAGCAAACAAAGTGAGAGCGGGTGGTACGCCCACTCTCACTTTGTACCTGTGAACACTCAAGAGCAATAAGATGTTTTCACTCTTTAACTTTGTCACCTCAATTCTCATCCTAGGTCTTTCATTTTGGTATCAATGTGTTGGCAATAAAATTCCCTATAGGAATATATGCATATAATATCCAAAACCGAGGCACTCCCCACCCACAGCCAAGCCGAAACAGGTCATTTTATTTTTCGACGCAATACTGCATCATTACTGCACATTTGTCTACTAAATTTTTTACGCCATACTGCATCATTACCGCGTTAAAGTGTTGAGATTGAGGAGTATTTGTTTCAGTTTGGTTAAACTGAGCATCCAGTTTGTGGCGAGAGCCACCGATCATTTGGACTGCTTTCTATTAACAAAAATTTAGTATTTTTCACTGCGGTTAAAAGATTTAATATCCTCTTATAGTTATCTAAAGTATAATTTGGTTGTGAAAATTTATCTTGTGGTTTAAGTGTTTTATTTATTCTTTCTTTCAGGAGCCCCATTTTTCCTGAAGAGAACCATTTTTTATCAGGGTGGGTTACCAACGAGCAACAACGGACGGGCAGAGGAGCCAGGGGGGTGCTTCTCGCTCCGTGGGAGGAAGGTCAGTTGGGTATCCCTGGTAGGGATGATTTGAAATTTTGAATGATTGTATTATGTTTTATGTTGTAAGTAGATTGCTAGCATGCTTTCCGACATGCTAGGTTGGTAGAGGCTTAGGGAAAAAGTTTCACAAAAGCAAATATATTTTGATACACTACAATGCAAGGGAGTACCACCTCTGGCTGGAAGACGGGGGACCAATAGCCTCGGAAGAAACCACACATAACACATTGGAGGGAATGTAGGTCCCCTCCAATACAGTTTGTGTGCTTTTCTCCTACCACCCCCTTCCTCTTTTTTTATACACTAAACAATTTGACCTGAACATGAACTGTTCGGGCAATACAGGAATTTGATAGTGTCCACAGTATGCGTGAATCCATATTGGTCTCTTTAACTATTATTAGGGGTCCCTGATAATTTCTCACAGGTGTTACTCTGGGCTTCCACCTAGTCAGGGAGCCTCAGATAAGAAAAAAAATAACTTACTACTAACACCAGCGGAGCACAAACTATAGTCACCTGTCAATGAATTTAAATACTTAAATATAGAGAAGGGGCTCAATGTCACGCTATTTGGGGATTCTGCTCAGAACTGGCCTAGTGTCATGAGCCCCTGAAAATACTTGGCTCATGTAATGCAAAGGTGAACAAGTTAATGACTTTAATGCAAAAATAAACTATAAACAATGAATAAAAGCATAAAGATATACTGGTGTACTGAAGACAGTTACCATACCACCATGGCATCAATCACACGACGTTGGCTGAAGGCGGATGACGGCTGAGAGAGAGACCAAGGTGTTCCAAGAGCACTAAGGGAGAGACTGGCTCTCCAGGGAGGCAACGCCCTTTATATAGTCCTGCTGTGATGACTCATCCAGTGTCAACACAAGGTGGACATCTGGTCAACTAGCAAACTGCTCGTTATGGCTGGTGGTGCCTTTGTGTTGAGCTGCACCACTGCCAGTTGAAGGTGGCTAACTGCTTGTTTGTGGGGGCAAACTACCGGTTAGCAGAGGTGCTGTGGCAGGACTGATGACTCATGTGGGCTGGTGTAGATGTATACTTCCAGTGCAGAGCCATTGAAGGTGATGGGAAAAGGCAGTTCCACTGCCATGCAGGGGATTCACATGACAGGTACCCAAAGAGCATACTGACCACCCTCTACACAGCTAGACAATTCATGCAGACAACGCCACCTCCGTCACCCAAATGGCTCCTCCCAACATAATCCTTTTGTTATTACACTAATACACACATATACAAGTATCTACATTTGTGTTCACCATAGAGAACCATTAAGCTGGTATGGTGAATGCAAACAATAACAGGTGGCCACACAGTAAACGATGCTCTCTCTCCGTAACTAAGCTTTACTCCTCCCACAGTGCTAATTATCACAATCCTGGTCATTTTTATCACAGTCAGGGGTCATCTGTAATACTGTCATTGCTAAATAATAGCAGTTTCATATTGACATTTTTAGGCGATGCTGTAGTCACAAGCTGAATAGCAATGCTGTTAGCTCATGCTGTGTGCGCCAGCCTTGATTGCTCCCACAGTACTGTGGTTCTCACACCGGAGAATATTGCCCACAATTTTTTTTAAACATGGCGTCATTTCACAAAAGCCCTGAGGAAGCTAATGTGAACACCGTGTAGCCGCGGGCCATTTGAATCGTGCCTGGCATCCTATGGCGTATATATATGCCATGTGCAGTTTAAGGGTTAACCACATATCTGTTGTGACAGATATATGGTTAATTAAAATACCTGGCAAACAAAATCCAATTAATGAGTAGTGCTTTTATAACCAGCTGTACTTGGATTTCCTATTTCATTTGAAATTTATTCAGAATTTACTTTCTGTAGGGACGACTTACGTTCCCTGTCCAGCAGCAAAAGGCGATGGATCCCTCCTTCTAGCTTGAGACGAGATGCACTTACCCCAGACAACAAATATGACCTCACTTTCCGAAAGGTAAGCGTATTAGGAGGTTAGTCTTTATTCAACCATTTTGTGTGTATAATTCCCTTAATCATAAATATCATCTACCTGTGCTCTACCATTTGACAAATCAATCTGTCCTAATAAAACATCTCATTTTGACATACCGTACCTAAGGCTAAAAATTGCCATACTAGAAAATGGTAGGAGTGTGTAAAATTGACTGTCCCATTTTCTGTTTTGGGTCCTCTAGTAGATTAGGATATGGACACTATAGTACAAGTTTCATGACATTGGGAAATGTTAGTAGGACAGGCTGGACAAATAGTGTCAGATGTTGTAAACTTGTTTACAATCGCCCATGGAAGTAAGGACTTGGATGTTAATGAAGGCGAGGTTATGCATGTTGTTATCTTCAAGTAAGTAGTTTCCAGAAATAAGTATTGGGGCAGGTTATTATTTATTACTGTATATCTCGAAGGATAATTTACAGTTTTCACTAAAATTTTATTATTTTGTGCATGCAATATTGACTTGAAACACTAAACCCTGGGTTGTGCGTCTGTTAATAGCTCACAACTGCCCGGTGCACAAGGGGAAAAAAATTCATTCTGATATTGTTAAAATTCATTTCCTGATGATGGGAAATTATAGTATAAAAAATGTATGCGATTTTGGTCATGGTTAAGCCTGGATCTTGTGTTGACTTTGCACTTGAGTGTTCATAAAGCAATTGCCCCGAGCCAGTCATGAAGTGGGGGTTGCCACGAAGATATTTTTTTCATATTTACTCTGTCTGATTAGGTTCTCTATTTTTTGTTGCAGTAATATTTATAATTCAATAGTATTTTTTGAGAAATTTGGGTAATAAAATATGTAGAACATTGTAATGCTCGAATATATTCATTTTACTAAGATGCTCACAGTATTATTTGCTTAGAACAAGAAAACATTATTTATGCTGTTATTACATGTTTAATTAAGGCAATTATCAGGAGAAAGCACTAAGCCGTTACGACTATACAGCATAGCTTAATGTTAAGAAATAACCTAAATTGTATTACAGTGTATACACTTTATTTATAACTCAAAATCAAGAACCATGAAGCTCTTCTGATGAGTGTGCTAATGAAATCAAAGGACAGCATAGCATGCACCACTGTTCCACCACCATGGAACAGTGGTGCTATGACTGTTCAGACTGACCTTGTGCGCCTTTAGAAAATAAACTTGTGCAAAATGATTAATATTAAGGATTTAGTGAAGAGGATGGTGATAATAGCAACATGTGCGTAGAGTTAGTGATGGGCGTGTTATATTGGCGGCATTATGTAGTCAGGTGACATCAGCTGACTAGCCTGTACATGTCTAGTTGTGCCTGTTGGGGTTGAGGTTTGGCCCTTTGGTCCCACCTCTCAATTGTTAATCAACCAGTGTACCGATTCCTGAACCTATTGGGCTGTATCATATCTACATTTGAAACTGTGTGGAATCTTCCTCCCCGACCGGGAGCCAGTCGGCCGAGCAGACAGCACGCTGGACTTGTGATCCTGTGGTCCCGGGTTCGATCCCAGGCGCCGGCGAGAAACAACGGGCAGAGTTTCTTTCACCCTATGCCCCTGTTACCTAGCAGTAAAATAGGTACCTAGGTGTTAGTCAGCTGTCACGGGCTGCTTCCTGGGGGTGGAGGCCTGGTCGAGGACCGGGCCACGGGGACACTAAGCCCCGGAAGCGCCTCAAGGTAACCACCACTAATGCATTCCATCTATTAATTACTCTACAGTGTCATGTAGAATGACTATAAATAAATATAAATAACATATAGTTCAGTTATTTATTGAAGTGTCAACCACAGGATGACATAGGCAATCAAATTGGGGCTTATATGCAGTTCTACCCTGAAATTCATATCATGTGAAACTCAAAACTAAAAGTGTGAAAGTGCAGAAGTTTGCAAAAGGATTAGTGCCAGAACTAAGACAGTTAAGCTAAGGGTTATCTTGAGATGATTTCGGGGCTTTAGTGTCCCCGCGGCCCGGTCCTCGACCAGGCCTCCACCCCCAGGAAGCAGCCCGTGACAGCTGACTAACTCCCAGGTACCTATTTACTGCTAGGTAACAGAGGCATTCAGGATGAAAGAAACTTTGCCCATGTGTTTCTGCCTCGTGCGGGAACCGAACCCGCGCCACAGAATTAAGAGTCCTGCGCGCTATCCACCAGGCTACGAGGCCCCATTACTATGTAGGGTAATGAAACTAAATTTCTCAATTCTAGAGGTGAGAAGAAACAGATAATTAGAACACAAGATATTGAGTGGCATAGAAAAGGGGAACAAATTTGAGAGAAAATAGCTGAAAATGCAAATGGGTCGAAGAAATGTAAGGAAATATTTATACCCTGTACGAGTGGTACTGAAAGCCATGTCCACCCATAACTTCAAGGCCAGATTCAAGAGAGATTTTGAATGTCAAGATAATGTAATAAGTATAGCAAGGCTAGAAAACTAAATCATAAAGAGCTAGACCTCAATTTCCCATAGTCACTGATGAGTGACTATGGGAAATTGAGGTCTATTTGGGATTGAGGAAATTACTCAACACCCAGAACTCTGTATTCTGCAGATTGACTTGCCTAGGATACCTCTCTTGATTATGATAAAAGGTATCTATAAATGTTTGTATTATAATAAAAGTTTGTGTTCTAGTTTAGTTGTAAACTAATGAAAGGAATATATTTTAGGTTCGAGGTGTTCTCAACAAACTCGCCCCCGAGAAGTTTCATAAGCTAAGCAATGACATCCTAAATGTAGGCCTCGATTCAACAACAATTCTGAAAGGGGTCATTTTGTTGGTAAGTTTTAAATGTGTATTTGTGTTGAAATAGTTTGGGATGAAAAAATACATTTTGTACATAGTATTTGTTATTGGGATGCTAATTTTATTGTGCATAACTTCTCTCTTAACAGATCTTCGAAAAGGCCCTAGATGAACCGAAATATTGTTCTATGTACGCACAGCTGTGCAAGCGGCTGTCAGAAGAGGCTCCTAACTTTGATCCACCAGACGGACCTTGTACTTATAACCGCCTACTTTTGAGCAAGTGCCAGGTTTGTAGTGGAGCTTATGCTGTATTGGAGACATATATATGTTTGTATATATAAATAAAGTTGAATAATATGCATGTAATGATTAAGGATGTTTTGTTATACAAGTTTGGTCAGTTTTAAAATGTGCTTGCTTGTTTACCTACAGGATGAATTCGAGCGTCGGCGACGTGCCTCGGAGGCATGGGACGGATCGGAGGAGGCGGTCCTCACCCCAGAACAAGAGGAAGAACGAACAGCAGCAAAACGCAAGATGGTCGGCAACCTCCGTTTCATTGGAGAGCTTGGCAAGCTGGAGATTATTCACGAGTCCATCCTTCATCGCTGCATCCAACAGGTACAATTTTGAGGATTTAGTTTGAGTAACAAGGTTGAAAATTCTATACATTTGTTAATGGAACGTTATATTTAATATATTTGTATATACCAGTATATACATTTATAAAAATGTGTATGTATGTGTGTGTGTATGTGTAATATAAATAAATGTATCTATATCAATCTTAGAGGTGTACCGATAGTGCATTATCTGCTATTGATATTCCGTTACTATGAAAAGACCAATACTATCAATGCTTGGTAATATGAACCACATGGACAATCCATTTGAATTATCCGTCTTAAAAATTAACATTTCAAACATTCTGTAGTTTCTTATTTGGTAAAACTTTTTAACCCTAATTCCTATTTGGGTTAACCCCTGGGCTGCACAGCTATTAATGGCTTGACAACCCTCCTCCCCCCCTCCTTTCCCCCTGTGCACAAGAAAAAAAAATGATTTTTGTTCTTTATATTGTTAAAATGTGTTCCCTGATCACGGAAAGGAAATACAAATTGTATGTTACATGCTTTGGCTGTGATGGGGTGAGGAAATCTGGCAACATACATGCGCTGACAGTACATGTCTGGGCCAGTCTGCTCTATCCAAGCCATGTAGCAGGAGTTATTAAATTTATATTAAATTGTGTTGGACTGTTGCTCTTCTCAAAAATAAGCAGGTGGAAGGTTGGATGCATGTGTGGATAAGCAAGTGTCAGGTTTGATGAACGAGTGAATAAGCAAGTAGCAGGTTACTAAAGTTGCAGCTCGAGTTCGCTACATTAACATACAAGTGGGGCTGATAGAATGTTAAATTTGCTTATATATTGCAAATGGAGTATACAATAAGATCCAATGTGAGTGAGTGTAGGTAGGGGGGAAGAATCAGCATAGTAAATGTTTTGTTTGTATCACAGTAACACCTTCCCCTACCTATCTATCCCACTCACTACCCTACCCACATTAACATCTACCCACCAACAAGCTCTCCCCACAAAATCCCTGCATGTCAGATAAGCAAACTCCAACATAACGCTCTACCTCCAGGATGCCCAAGCACCCAGAAGCTAGCTAGACATCCCTCCCTCCCTCCACCCCCCAACCCACTTGCCCATTCACCTAAACAGCAACAATTGTTCAACTGACAAATTTTAATATAAATGTTATGGATTGTCATCATAAACATATTCAACATTGTAGAGATATTATATGGAGGTTGAGCAGTAGGGCCTTGTGCACTGATACAGTATATGGAGAGGGTTGACAACTTAATCTTGGACATAATCCATGTAAATCACTGGTTGAATAATTGAGAAGGTTCTCCATTTCTCTTAACCCTTCAATGGCACAAAGTTATAACCTCCTGTTCACAAGAAAAATTAAGAAAATCTTTTCAATAATTGTTGAAATAAAATTAACAAGTCAATTACTTGGGTGTAGTGGAGTGAAGAAGTTTTGACCACAGCATTAAATTTTGATCACTGATGAAGCAAAATATGGGCTGGGTCCCTCCTGAATAGGGGTTGATTTGCTCTAAACATTTAATTAATTTTTTCCCCATACTTTTAAGTTGTCATTTTTTTAGTACAATTATCTATGGGCTGTTATAACATAATGTTCCACATTCCATATGTAAATTGATATGCACAAGTATATTTGCTACTAATGTATGCACCATAATTATATTCTTACAAGTATAAGTAATACCATTTTTGCTGTTTCACACTGTACACATTTTATATAACTGTCAACATGTTTATGCACCACTATGAGCCACCAAGTCATTCTGAAGTGATAATCTCATAACAAGTGATCCAAGCACGGCTTAGCCCCACACATTTTGCATCTAATTCTAACGGCACACGTTAATAAATAAAATATAATATATATATATATATATATATCGTACCTAGTAGCCAGAACGCACTTTTTGGCCTACTATGCAAGGCCTGATTTGCCTAATAAGCCAAGTTTTCCTGAATTAATATATTTTCTCTAATTTTTTTCTTATGAAATGATAAAGCTACCAATTTCATTATGTATGAGGTCAGTTTTTTTTTATTGAAGGTAAAATTAACCTAGATATATGACCGAACCTAACCAACCCTACCTAACCTAACCTAACCTAACCTATCTTTATAGGTTAGGTTAGGTTAGGTAGCCGAAAAAGTTAGGTTAGGTTAGGTAGGTTAGGTTGTCGAAAAACAATTAATTCATGAAAACTTGGCTTATTAGGCAAATCGGGCCTTGCATAGTAGGCTGACAAGTGCGTTCTGGCTACTAGGTACGACATATATATATATATATACGACATATATATATATATATATATATATATATATATATATATATATATATATATATATATATATATATATATATATATATATATATATATATATATATATATATATATATATATATATATATATATATATATATATATATATATATATATATATATATATATATATATATATATATATATATATATATATATATATATATATAATATTATTATATATATATATATTATAAAAATATTTATATATATGTATATAAAATACATATACACATGCTTCTTGTACAGTATCACTTGCAGGATATTCTGTCACTGTCAAATTCTTGTTATCCTAGGTATTTCATTGTAAATGATAATGTAGTGCAAGGCCACATGGTGATGCTGTGTGCTGCTGCTGCAGCAAGTGCTGTTTATGGTGGTTGTGTTAGTACTGAGGCTCTTGCACCCACAATTTTTTCCCCTCCCAAGATGGTTGATGTTTACTAGATGCTTCAGGCGGTGTATTGATGCCCCGTTTACAGCATGGTAGTTTTTTGAATGGATCCTGAGAATCTGATATGAACCCTGTGTAGCCACATGACTTAAATCTTACACAGTACTTAAATCATAATATATATATACTGTATATGGTATGTGCTATGCAGGCAGGTAGACCAAAATCATAATGCTGTTTATGCAATTTGTGCCATTTTAGGGTTAATTATAATGTGATTTTAAGTAACCCAGTGTGTAAGGTGCACATGTGTGTTGTGTGTAAGAATGTTTCACGCTGTTTTGAAGCATTTCTGATATGATATGCTAGAAAAAGACTGAAAGAGAGTCAATCATTATTTAATGTTCTTTATTTTGGGACTGGTACCTCCCACCCTGTAAAAGTGGGAAATGGTAGTGGTGTTGATCATTTTGATTGTAGACATTAATTACCCTATTGCTCTTTTTTTCTGTAGACCATAATAGCAGTATAGAAAAAAATTAAAAAGATTAAAGGTGTTCAGTGTGACACGTGAATCTAAATAACCCCTTCTGTACTTTGTTTTGTAGCATCAGGTTAAACTAGTGCCATCACACACACACACACGTCAGTCATAGCAGTGCCTCATTCCATACCTTTCTTTCCTTGCACATCTACTTCCACATTCACTAGGAATTTACTTCCTTAACACTACCATCCATTTATTATACCATCATCGTACATTTGTCATCCATCATGACGCTGGTTGATAATCGCCAGCATTTGTACACCATTGTTCCACGACAATCATGGTAATTTACTTCATATTTAGATCATATCATTCTGCAGATTGTTTCCAGTGTTCTTGGTTTACACACAGTGCTACTCAGCATCTTGCTCCACAGTAATAGACTTCATCTCCAATTCCTTTATTGGTAATTTTCTTTACCTTCAATAACATTGTCTTATGCTCTCAACACTTGCATCAGTGCCTTTTGGTCTTGCTCGTAATTTCTACCTTTGTATTAAGTGATAATCACTAGGCACATTCTCTCTATCTATCTATCTATCTATCTATCTATCTATCTATCTATCTATCTATCTCTCTCTATTTCTCTCTCAGCAAAGTATACTACAAATCACATCCACTCGCTTTCTGCTTTCTTCTTTTTTAGCTTTTGCTCAGATGCACTTGCCTCTTGATTGTTTGTTGTAAATATGTTTAGTAATTATATTTGATTTGCTCTTTTGTAATATATATAATATATATATATATTAATTATAACTCAAGTAATCAGTTGAGAAAACGTAATACTTACGTCTCCTTTCTTGGTTATCTTTTATTGCCTGCATGCTTTTTATTACTATGGTAAACATTCCTTTATCTGAAAGGAACAGTTTCTTAAACCTTGTGCAATGGATTTTATGTGCAGGAGTAGGACCCCTTTTACACGTGACTTACATGTGGTGGTTGGGTTCATATTTGTAAGCCATCAAATATTTAACAGTAATTTACATTTGCTAATGATGCAACACATCATGCTAGTAAGATTATTATATTTTCATTAAACCCTCTTGTTCATTATCCAGATAAAGATGTGCAGCCATCTTGGCTAAATTTGCTCCTTTGTGATGTTTTGTTTCATCCTCTTTACCCTTGATTCGCAACGCATGCTTACATTTTGTAGTATCTTTGCTTGACATTAGGGTTACAATGACACTAAATAAAGTAATTAAGGAATAGGACATTGTATGTTTAGTGCAGCAGAGATTTTCCATTATGAGAAGCATGGGCAAATAGGTGGTAGGTTATGTATGGGAGTTCATTTACTGTGCATCCAATATTTCTCCAGTTGAATTTTGAAGGTGTTTATTGTTTTCTTTATTTATAATAAAATAGCTAGGATGGGCTGATGCAGCGGAGTTGACTACACAACGCACGAGAAGCATAAACAAACAGATGGTAGGTGGTGTGTGGGATTGCATATACAGTACAGTTCATACAGTATGTTTTATTCGTCTTGAAAGTATTTACTACTTTCGCATATATAATGTTACTTCTATATTTACTTTGGTAAAGATCCCCGGTGGATCCCTTATTGTTGTCAGGTTGGACCACCCGCCCCTTTTTCTAAAGAGGATGCTGTGTGATGGCTTAAATTCATCATCACATTGACTTAAAACTTTAAATAATTATGTATTGACTAGTTTTTTAAATTGAGCAGTTTAACTCTATGGTAACAACTATTCTTTTAAACAAATAAAAGTACTGTATAGATTTTACAGTACATTGCTTCCAATGAGATTTTTAGTGCACTCATTGTGTTGACTTGTAACCTTTAACTCATAAATGAGTTACCATATGTAATTCCCTCAGTGTAAAAAGCCATAAAATAAAAAGGTTAAACAAACATAGGAGTTTGTTGCCTTTCATTTTTAGACTGAATATCTCGCTGCTGTTTATAACGTCTCTTAATATTTAATGTTAGTCACTCCTGCCTGTGAACCTCATAAGAAGTCGACATATTCCTTCCGGGACTTAAGACTGAAAGCACACAGCATGTGGAATTAGTGGCGTGTGTAGGTAGATGAGAGTTTCTGGTCAAGATGAAGTGGAGTTAGACTTCTCTCCAGTTCCCCAGGATTATGCATGCCTTGGGGGGGGGGGGGGGGGCAGAGGGGGCCAAACATTGCCCCACCCCCCATTGCTAGCTACACTGAGATAACTCTGCGGTCACATTAGTGCCAGGAGTTCCTAATAGCCTGGCCTCCCTCACAGGTACATGGAGCTCTACGGTCACATTAGTGCCAGGAGTTCCTAATAGCCTGGCCTCCCTCACAGGTACATGGAGCTCTACGGTCACATTAGTGCCAGGAGTTCCTAATAGCCTGGCCTCCCTCACAGGTACATGGAGCTCTACGGTCACATTAGTGCCAGGAGTTCCTAATAGCCTGGCCTCCCTCACAGAGGTACATGGAGCAGAGGATTTATGATTACCCACATCAAAGAAACAGCCTCCCAGTAAGCACTTAAAGTTTAGGGAGCATAACCAAGCAAATGTTGCATCAGCTAGAAAAATTATAGGATTAAGAGAATCCTCAAATCCAGAGATCCCACTGCAGTGCTCATACTGTTCAAATCACTGGTTTAGAACCTTGAGTACTGCTCAAAACTTGCTTTCCTCCTTCAGAGTAGGAGATACTGCTGAAAGATGGAATTCAGAAAACACACACAGCATGCAAAGACTCTGTATAAAGCCCCTAAATTATTGGGATGGTCTGAAAGCTCTCAATGTACAGTCTGGAAAGGAGACTAGAGAAGTGCATCAGAGGTACACCGTTGTAAATTATCCTCCCAGCAAGTATAAGAAATGCTGCTGAAACAAAGTGGAAGGTCAAGAAAAAACTGGACAGTTTTCTGCAAGAAGTGCCAGACCAACCGGGCTGTGGTGAATATTTGGGCCTGCAGGCCACGTCAATCAACAGCCAGTCTCACAAGTCAAGCCTGAGCTGGGCTTGGGGACTAGAAGAACTGAGAATCTCATCCAGGTGCAGGTTTCTCTGCCTCAAAGCCTGTTACACTTGGGTTTGCTGGGTCCCTATCTTAGCTAGAGCCTTAATCTTCTGTTTGTTTAATTTTTTAAATGAAGTTCAACAGGTGGTAGCCGTTTTAAGTTCATTTGCTTGTTTGTGTTTTACGGCTTGATGCTAGTGTGGCTGTCCCGAGTCGGCCCTTTTTGGTTTTTAGAAAATTTTAGTTGGAGAGGCTGGTGAAATCTGCTTTTGTGATTTGCCCCTCCTTTTCTTCCCATTGTCTGTCTTACCTTGGTTCATCAGATTTGCATGTCCCTTTCCCCACTTTGCTCTAGTCTCTGGGATGTCTGAGGGTTGAGTTCTTCACACACTTCTTGGTCATTCTCCTCTCCCCGACCTTTAATCACATGGTCTTGCACCGTCTTCCTCCATGTATGGTTGTGCAACAGCTTTAGCTGAGTTTGCTTTTGCTGCAGTGTTCTCAGACTGCTGCCCTGCTCATTCTTGTGAACTCATTCCTAGCACTTGAAGTGCCTCCTTATGTCAACAATGATTAATCTGCTCTCTCCCCATTTCAACAATGATTAGTCCAGAGGAGGCTCTGGACTAATCACCATACTGATCATTGTTGACATGAGATGGCAGCTCCCATCGTGCTGCCACTTAGGCGTGGCCAGCTCTAGCTAAGGAGGGTATGATTTAATTGCTGGGTGGATAGTTTGCAGAGTTTCATGCATTTTCTTTCTGGAAGGTTGTTTGTTCAGGGTGGGTGATCACAAATATCCTGCTCCATGCAGCTGTCAGGGTGGTGGGGTAAGGTTTTTACTTTTGGTCTTCAGTATGTTATTCTGGATTCCTAGGGCTGATGTGACAAATGTGGTTACTTGTGTGGTTACCAAAAAAAAAAAAAAGCTATGCGCGTGGTGTTCCATCTTCCCATCACTGTCAGTTTGAAACTGCTGATGGTTTTATCATCCACCAGAAGTTTCAAATCCTCATGTGAAAAAAAAAACTGGGAAGACAGGACAATGGGCATAGCTTTAATTCTGTAACTACACTTGTCACTTCAGCCTGAGGGTTCCAAAAGATCTAGCAGAATACCAGAGGCCAAAACCTTGGCTTTTGGTCTCTGATTAGCAAAAGGAAGCCAGAAGATATGGTGCTACTTATTTCTCAGTCAACTGGTATACTAAAGGCTGTATTGTATTGGGTTAATAGTTGACTAATGTGGAGTTAAGGATCCAATTGTGTTTTAAAGTGTTAGTTACTTGGATTGGCAATTGTGGTATATTTAGATCAAAGGTTCTTCTGTTCTGTGTTTACTACCAATTACCTCCCCTTACTTTACTACCAATCTTAGTCTTACTACCAATTTCCTCTCCTCCCTTTTTTTCTGTTTCTTTAATATTCATGGTAAGATTTTCTGTTTTGCAAATTATTTGTCCTGTATTATCATTCACTTTCTTCTGTGCACTAATATTATCCTTGCTTTTATTGATCTTTTGTTTTCTAAATTTAAAAACACTACACCTTGTATTTTTCCCATGTGTTCTTTATATTAGTTTGCTTACTCATTTTGCTTCAGGTTCACAGCAAATTGTGATAGTTTATACAAATTAACGACACTTCAGTTTCTCCCGTACTCTTGCATATATTAACATTGCTGTTTCTGCAACTACACCAGGGGGCACATTACATATCTATTACCACATATTATCTGGCAATTGTTACTATACCTGTCAAGAACTCCTTTCTGTAATCTGATTTTGAATTATATTCCATTTTCACTTCAAGGTTATGCACTTTAAGTAGGCAATGTGGCAATAATCTCCATTTAAAAAGGAGGCAATATAGACAGTCCAGTTGTGTGTGGGGTAGTTGGCTTTGCATATCCAGTTGTGACACTGCCATTTTCTTAACTGTTTCTTTTTCTTTCCTTGGGTATCCTAATTCCAATCCTTTCTCTGTCCATGATTAAATCAGGACGTCCACTTCTTAGAAACTGACCAAAGAAAAAGTGGTGATTATTACATTGTATACTAAACAATCCTGTTTTTTCTGGATTTTTTCAATAAAATATATATATATAATATATATATATATATATATATATATATATATATATATATATATATATAATGTATGTATGTGTGGGTATGTGTAAATCACGAAAATTAACACATGATGAATGTCAGACCACGGAGGAAGAATTGAAACAGGAATTTCCATAAGTACTTTCGTATATTAATACATCTTCAGAAAGAATTCTGAAGATGTATTAATATACGAAAGTACTTAAGGAAATTTGTTTCAATTCTTCCTCGGTGGTCTGACACTGTCATATATATGTACATATATATGAGCTGCAAAGTTATATGTAGGTATAAAAGTGTTGTGTAAACTGTGCGTGATATTAATGAATGTATATTAATTTTTAAATCTTGACAAGCCTGTTCCGGACATACAGTATATGTAAAAATGGAATAAGCTTGGTGTAAATACCAATACAAAAATTCAATATTGGGCGAGTATATGGTAATGGATTTTGGTGTTGACAGCTGTTGGAGAAGCGTCGGCGTCGACCAATGGTTGACTTGGCTGAGGATCTGGAGTGTCTGTGCCAGATAATGAGGACTTGCGGAAAGGTGCTAGACAAGCCCAAGGCTAAGGTCAGTTATTCTTCATGTTAAATATTGGCACATAATAGATGAAAGCAATTTGATTCACCATTTCTTTATACATTAGATTTAATTTTTTTTTCTGATAATTCACAGCCCTTAATGGATCAGTACTTTGAGCGCATTTACCAGCTGAGCAGCAACATGGAACTTTTGGCACGTATCCGCTTCATGCTGCAGGATGTGCTGGACTTGCGTGCTGCAAACTGGATCCCTCGTAAGATTGCCCAGGTGGATGGCCCACGTACCATTCGTCAGGTAAACAAGCATTTGTTAACTGGCATTACTAACTGATCTTCCCTCTAATTCCATCCCTGCTGCACCCTTCACTCTCTCTTCCCCCTTGCACATTTCAGTCACCCCTTTTTCCCCAATGCTGCACTTTTCGGTTTCCTCCCTCTCCCACCCCTCTGCTGCTCCCTTTGGTCTCCCATCTTTTTGCAAACTCCACCTGTCACAAAGGTTAAAACTCAATATTTAGTCTAATTTCACTCCCAAGAATTTGCCTTTGTGTTACGGCCAGCTTAAGCCAGTAACCGAGTTCTTTCTGTTAAAATTAATGTGTTATATAACTACTGTATTTCTATGATCCTACCCCGTGTCGATGGCAAGTTCTCAAGAACTGGCGGTGTCAAGTATTAGTGCAAAGAATAAAGGGGGGATCAACAATACACAATTACACCTTCACCAAAATATTATCTGTAGAAGTATAACTACACACACTGTCGCTTTCACCCAGGACACTCGATAGATCTGCAGTGTTCATCAAATATCGGCGAGTCCACTACCTTCATATACACTTTGTCCACGCTCAATGGTAATCACCGACAAGTTCACCTTCCTCAACATGGGCCAGTCTAAACACTATCGTCGTGTAAGGAATTTCATTGCAAACACACCAAAATGAAAGACCTAGGAGAAGACTTGAGGTGACAAAGTTGAAAAGAGTATACACATTTTATTGTTCTTGAGCGCTCACGGGTTACGCAATGTCACTTTCTCTGGTGTGGGTGGTACGCCGCACTTTTAGACTTTATATGCATATACTCCTGTAAGGAATTCTATTGGGAACACTTTGATACCAAAATGAAAGACCTAGGATGAGAATTGACATGACAATATTGAAAAGAGTTAACACCAAAATTAAAAAACTGCGCGTTCCCGAGGCATGCGCGGCTCCTTGTGGTTGGCGCTCGCTCGCCCAGTGAGCGAAGTGTTAAGAAAACATGACATTCAAATGTGTGCATGAGGTCTTCATAGTTCATGAATAAAATTACTGTATTAAAGAAATGTGAAAACTTGGTATTGTTTGAGAAATTGGAATTTGTTTCTTATGCTAACAGGTTTGCAATTTATGCAATGGAAAATATGGATAGTTTCAAAATGCGCGCCATGAAATTCCCGTTCTCCCCAATAGGTCGCATGGCAATGGCATGGCATGGCCGACTCTTTCAAGGTGTACAATCCCAACAAAATCGCTGTTTGGCGCTCACAGCTAGTGATCGATGTTTTTTTTATTTGGTGCCGGTCTAATGCATCCTTGTATGACATTTTATACTTATGTTCTTCTAGAACATTCTGTTGTGAACACATTGCTAAAAAAATTAAATATGTACATCGAAAATTAAGGTAGAACAGTGAAGAGTATACACTTTTCAGTGTTGCCGCTCGATCGCCCGAAACGCCGCATGTACAAGGGGCAAGTTTGCTTTTTTTTGTTTGCCGAGAGCACGAAAGTGTTAATTATTATGCAACTTCTATAGTATACAGTGAATTAATGTATAATGTAATTGTTTACAAATTTTGGCTTTAAATCTTTTATTAAATCATTTTTTGTTAATTTTAATGTCGTCCTTAACAGGTGCGTGAGGAAGCAGCACACGACCTTGGTGTTTACATCCCACCACCTTCATCGCACGGACCACCACGGTCATCAGGACCCCTCTCTCCTCTGGCTGGTGGCTCATCCTTTTTCCCACAGGTTAGATTACATGCAATATTGGCATTGGTTTTGTAGTTTGATACGATAGGTCTTGTTATATAGCTTAGCTTTTGGCTCACCAAGGTATAGTTTCCTTTGTTGTTATTGATTTGTAATACAAAATGTCAAGTTCTCAAAATTTATATTGTCAGGTTGATTAATTTTTTGTTTACTTGCATGATAGTGAGAAGTTAGAAGTCATTGATCAGAAAGATAGAATGGTGTTGGTGTAAAAAGGTTAAGTATTTGGGAAAGAGAAATGCATAGAACATAAAATAACAAACTAAATATAGTTTATAGCGATGTAGAGCCTTTTTTCCCTTGTCATTTTAAGAGTAGTGTTTCACGGGATATTAATAAATAGGTGTAAAGAACACACAAATGGTTTAAACGTATTGATGTTTTCATGCAAACCGTTATCTTGGTAACTTGGCCATTTTCATTTACTAATCATCAATTCTGCCCCTAATGGCTATCATTGATTCATCAGCCGGGAGGGAATCGCACAGGCATGGAGGATGTATTTATGGGAGCAGTGACTTTAGGTACAGGACCTGGAGTCATATCCTCTCAGCCTGACAAGTATGGTTTTGACTCAAATGGATTTGGCTCTGGTGTCAGTGGAGGAGGAAGCTATAGACCACGTCAACAGCAAGGGGTAAGTTAAGGGTTATACTCTAGACGTGTTTAGATTTATGCGAGAAATGTTTAGGTTTTCATTGGTAAGGTGATAAAAAATGTTGGGAACTCCTTAGTTAATTATGAACTCTCTCACATTGGTTGTGTGAGGGGGCAGGGGCATACCATTAATGTTGGCAAGTAATTTTTAAGTTAGAATGTAATAATATTTTGGTAGTTTCATAATTGTTGTTGTCAAGTAATGTTGTGGAGCTAACATTGAGATTAATACTCTGAAAGTATACTTGCCATACAGTGCTGGGTTAAGCGTTTTGTATTTTTTTTTTTTAAATCCTTTATTTCATCAAAAATTCTGGGAATGTTGCTGGGATTGTTTACAGTACAGTACTCCAGCAGGGATACTCGTGTGGTTTTTATTTTCAGGCTGGTTTCCATTCAAAATATCTAACTTGTGTTGACTTTAAATTAAAAACACCTCGAGATTGGAAACTGAACTGAACTTTCATTATTAGACAGCATAGAATCATGATTCCGAAGTGGATGGTTCTGTAATCTAGGCGCTGTAGACAAGTTTTCAGAAATGCTGCATTGAACATTGCCATGTAATTTGAGAATAGGTCATAATAATGCCATTGAAACTACAATATGGAGTATAGGAGCATCAGATGAGAGTTTATAGAACCAAGGGAGTGAAAGTAAAAAGAAAAAAAATTGAGAATCGCTGGACTATAATGACTATAACGTTTTTGGGTCTAAATTTTAAATTTTAAAATATTTGTTAAAATTCTATTTGTGCTATTATTATGGGACTAGTTTTAAAATGCACGCCTTTCTATTGCGAACAATTTGCTACCAAAACGAGCGATGTAACATGAAAATTGATGTTATCAAACAGAACAAGTATACACATTAGGTTGTGGTGTGCAAATTGGTGCTCGTTCATGGGTAATTTTAGGCTTTGCTACGGGGAGTCTCACCAGGCTTTTGGACATTATCATATACATTTGCTGGGAATTTAATTGTGAACACAATACCAAAACAAACGATGTAGCACAAGAATTAAGGTGAGAAAACTGAAATTAATATACACATTTTACTGATTTTGTGCGCTCACGGATAACTTTTCCGACTTTAGGCTTTGCTGTGGGGAGTCTTGCCAGGCTTTTGGACATTATATACATATACATCTGCAGGGAATTTAATTGCGAACACATTGATACCAAAACGAACGACATAGCACTAGAATTAAGGTGAGAAAACTGAAACGAGTATATACATTTAGGCGTCGCCGCACGCTCGCCCGCACCATTAGCTCCATGATGTCAGTCTGCTCTGCTCACGTGGCGCGCGCGATAGTGTTAAAATGTTTAAAAGTTCAATAACTAAAATTCTAATCAGTTTTTTGTTAGTTAATTTTGGATATCTATAGATTGAGTTTTAAAATAATACTTATTTCCTGTTATTTTATACCTTCCCTCAAACACCTGTGGACTCTTTGCAGCATGCTAAGGGGTTGCAGCACAGGCACAGTGGTTGAAAAATGCTGCAATAGGCAATGTTCAAGGTGTTTTGATACAGGGACAGGCACTTACTTTTTTATATTGCTGATATAATCCAAAGTAATGTGTTGCCTGCCCCACTAAAGAACCCCAACACTAACTGCTCAAGACTCTAGCTTGTCTCGAGTGTAGATTCCTCGAGGCCTTGAGAACAAGTAGGCCTCTGTGGTCTACCAACTGCACTCAATTTCTCACATAGCCCCTAGAGGCTTATCCAGGGCTAATGGCACTTGGGCTCTGCCTAGCCATCACTGTCACACTTTGTTGCCTAACCCAAACAACTGCGCAGAGGTCTCCAGCTAGACCCCAAATACCCAGCCAGTTGACGCTGACCCTAGAGTGGTTGTAGAGGAATGTTTCTTGAGTAAAAGGACACCTACGCCTAGTGAGGAGTGGGAGAGGGAGGAATTTTGTTTATTTAGGGTGTATATACATTGTAACACATCTTAAGGGTCCACACATACCAGAGGTTAGCCTCACGATCCCCTTGTAGTCCATATACTGTCACACGTCCAGTGGTTCACTCCCAACTTTATTTGCACAGATTTATATCACATTTTCAACACTATAGTTCTGTGTGAAAACATGTGTCAAGGCTTTGACTAGCTGTGCTGTATATCCAAAAGGAAAGGTGTTGTGCTATTGTTTTGCAAGTAAAGTACTGCATAATAAGGACAACACAATAAAGGAAAGTTGCAGGCGATGAGTCACAATAATGTGGCTGAAGAATGTTGACCAGACCACACGCTAGAAGGTGAAGGGACGACGACGTTTCGCTCCGTCCTGGGCCATTCTCAAGTCGATTGTCGAATGGTAAAGACAACCGACTTGACGTTTTGGTCCATCCTATACAATTCTCAAGTCGATTGTCTTTACCATTCGACAATCGACTTCAGAATGGCCCAGGACAGACCAAAACGTCGTCGTCCCTTCACCTTGTAGTGTGTGGTCTGGTCAATAAAGAAACGTTCTTAAACATATTAACTGATCATTGTTTTTAGTAAGCTTCGTGAATGTTGCATTCAAGCCTTAACCAATTCTCTCCTTCTAGAACAAACACTTCAACAACCAGAACTTCAGCAGGCAACAGCAGAACAACCAGTATAATCAGCAGCAGAATTACACCAATAGTAAGTATACTGTATATTATATTAAGCATAATAGATTAGTTGTGTGGGGAGGTACACTGAGCACACAAGAGATGCTTTGCTAACATTAATATGAACACATTCTCCCTACCACAAGAAATAATGTATGTACAATATATATACAGTACAGTGCAACCTTGATTCAGCGAATCTCTGGCTAGGTCGCACACTTTTCAAGCCGGATTTACTCGCCCGTTTTGACAAATTCTGGTTCACTGAAGCACGTGATGTGCGGATTTGCATAGGATGTTGAGATGGTTTACAGACTGGTGGAAATATTTTCCATCATGTCACAGGATAAAATGTTAAAATTACCTTCATATGACAGTTTGAAATTCAAATTTTCCTTGGTGATTCTTGCTCCTACCCTCACCAGCTCAACCTCCCTCACTGCCACTCCCTCCCATGCTCCTTCCCTCCCTCACTCACTCATTGCCATGCTCCCTCCCTCCCCCATTGCCATGCTCCCTCCCCTCTCAACTGTTCTGTTTCAGTATCACACCCTTTCATGCATGCTACCATACAGCTAGTTATCTACCATAACTGGATGTACACTCAACACCCTTAGCTCATCATCATCTGATTGGTCCAACCATAGACTCGTGTAATGTCAATGGGAATATGGAGACAGTAGCTCTCCCACCTTGGCCTAGTAAGGTCGTACTTACCTGACCCGAAGTATCTAGCCGCCATCTTGCCTCTACCAACCCCAAACAAAATGGTGGCATGTCATCAGTGTCTTAAAGTGAGAAGAATAAGCCTTCATTGTCTTGTTGTGCTCATACTTTATCTGAATTGTGAATAAGATTAGTGATCCAGGGTTGGAGCTCCAACCTGAGAATGACGATCATACCGCACAGTGCGCAATGCACAGCATGGCTGAGAACTACCATTCTCTCACAATGGTTCTATAATAAAGTTGACACAATCGACTTGAGAATGGTCCAGGACGGACCGAAACGTCGTCTTCCCTTCACCTTCTAGTGTGTGGTCTGGTCAACATAATAAAATTGACTCTTGCCCCTTAATATATTAAAAGAACAGTTTAATATAAATTATTGTAACTGTTGAAACACTGAAAATTCTTGTCCAATAATTTAATGAAATTTTCTCATTTTATATTGACCAAATGTTTACACAAGTGTCAAAATGTTATGTAAACTATTTCGTTAGATATATATTATAGCTATATTAAAAATAAATACTTAGGAATTAAATGCATTATTTTCCTTTGTTTACTTAGGAATTGTTATTGATGACCATCTGCAAGTTAGGCAAGCTGGTTTGTATTATAATTTACTGATGGTCTTTCTCTAGTCCCCACTAAGGATTTGCCTCCACGCTTCAAGAAGATTCTAAGCCATACAAATGCAGGAGGAACTGGTGGGTCGGATGGAGAAGTTTCATTGCGTCCTGCTGCCTCGAGCATGATGTTGAAGCCCAAGACTCCGGGGGTGCTGCCACAGAGTGCCCTGGGCATCCAGCAGAGTAGTGACCATCAATACCGTGACCATCAGTACCATCACCATTCCAGCCTTCCTCTTGCTCCACAGCCCCAACCACCCAACCAGAAGCCCAATCCACCACTTATGCACAAAGATCCTCCTATTCTCATCAAGCAAGCATCAACTGACAAATCTCGTGCCAACAAGAAGGATAGGGTAAGTGCTGTTTTGTGGCCATGTCATTAACAAAGTTGTTAATTTTTTTGTTCCTACATTCCCAGTTGCTCATATACAGATGAGATCCAAATTATAATAGTTGGTAATACCAAGAAGAAAATTCCTTTTAATATTTTTCTGAATTTTGCATCTCAGGGCCCAAGTCGTGAGGAGTGGCTTCGGCGTGTGAAGAATGTGTTTGAAGAGCTCATGAAGGAGCAGAATTTGGAAGTGGCAGTTGAAACCTACCGCTCCCTCAAACTACCAGAACGTCATACTGCCGAGGCTGTGCAAACTGTTATCAATTTTCTCCTCACTCAAGAAGGTCAGTTAAGCTGCAGTAAGACAAGACAGTGAGGGATATAGTCACAGATAGGTTTAGAAAGTAGGTTGGACATGTATATGAATAAGTTTAGATGGATATAAATAGGTGAACAAATCCACAAGGGCCGTGACGATCCTCGTCACGGCCCTTGTGGATTTGTTCATTTGATGCATCATGCAATTGTGATTTGTGTGTGTAATAAATAGGTGCTGCCACATATGGGCCAAAAGGCCTTCTGCAGTTTCCTTGATTATGTTGTGTTCTTGTATATAATTCTTATGAATATAGTACATAGAGTATGTGTACTAGAGCAGGCCTAGGAAAAGTTGCTTGGTTCCCTGGAAACACAAACCGAAACTGTCTCTATTTTCCGCTTGTTACAACTTGTAATAAAGTTGTTACATCTTGGCTTAACGTGTTTATGACGTATTAGAACGTTGTTACAACTTGCTATATTGATTGTTATAACTGGTTAGGAGGTGTTAAAACTTGTTCGAACGTTGTACCAACGTCTTAATTTCGGTGTGTGTTTGGCGGGTTGTTGCCTTTCTTGGGCCTTCTTCAAAATTAATATTTTAATATGATCTCTGGTGCAACAATATATGTTTGATACATTCTAGCCGTATGGGCTATTGTCATTTTTGAATGTTAGGTTGAAATATTCATGCCCATTAAATTATTAACATTAGCAATAAACACAAGAATACAATATATTGGTTTTGATGACGTGGTAATGAAAGTACATTGTACAAAGTATTGTTATGAATATATAAACTATCCAGATAATTTGTACCAGTCATCGTTAAAGATGATTATGTATTAGGGTATTGTTAATTACAGTACTGTCGGTGTCCACTGACTATGTATTTTGGTTTCCTTAGCAGAGAGCAACCGTGAGTTGGGTAGTCAGCTGTTCGATAGATTCCGTATTGAGGGTCTTATTAATGTTGACCGTCTCTTTGATGGAGTCAAGCAGGTAAGCACAATAGTCATTTGTATCTGAATTACTATTAATTTTATATATAAGATCTTATAATAAATCCAATGTTTGCTCAAGTTAGTTTCAGTAAATATTGTTAATCATTAAAATAAAATAAAATTCTTAGTTCAGCAAGTAAAGTGGTTAATTCCTTGTTACACCTGTTGTGAATGTATCAAGTACTCTACTGTATTTTCCACCATGATCTGCTGAACATGAAAGCAAATCTTAAACCAACTAAAACGTTGGAGAGAGGCTTGCAGTATATTATTTTGAGTAACTTCTCTCAGGTTCTTGGTCGGCTGGATGACTTGGTTACGGACATCCCTCGTGTCAAGTCCCACATGGCCGGAATCCTGGGTCACCTGGTAGGGTCAGGAAATTTATCATTAGCTGATGTGGCTGAACCTTTGGAAGGAGGTCAACACTTCCCACTGTTCCTGCTCACCCTCCAGACCTTGCACAAACTTCAGGGAAAATCTGCTCTTATTCAAACCTTCAATGATAGCAAGGTAATTCATTATTATACATTTATTTAGTTAGTGTTTTTACATCTTTTACATTTTACATATTTTTGGGGAAATTTGCATGTTGGCTTGATATTTTTAAACTTGTGTATAATAGTGCAAGCTCTTAATTTTGTACTTTGTAGCCCCATAGACAGTTTTGTACTATTAAAAAAAAATTGAAGATAAGGCAGTATGCAGTTCCTTGAGCACTTTCAAGATTGAATAAGTGTAGCTGCACCTAAATCTAGACATGTGGTCTGATTCTGGGGAACACTCCCAGTATTCTTGGTTGAAACTCATACTCTAGGCTGTATTGCAATAGTTTTTTTTTTCTTCTATTCAAACTTGGAAACTTTATATTGGAATCGTATATCCTGTTTAGACCAGTTTGCCCTTCTTGAGTTGCATCAGCCTAGTGACTTGTTTCTTTCTTGGATAAGTGCTGGCTATCCTTTGGACTTTATCCTGTGATGAGCATTTGCTTGTTTAGCATTCTTGTTTTATCATTATTTGCTTCCCAGGCATTGGTGGATTGGCGTGTTGCACTTTTTGTATGGCCCTTGCCAGTTCTTTGCTTTGAGCTGCATATGTCTAGTAGTGGTTATTTACTGGATAGTTTTCTTCAAGGAGTGCTGGACCAACCAGGTTGTGGTGGGTATGTGGGCCTATGGGCCGGGCTTGGGGAGTAAAATAACTCTCAGAATCCCATCAAGTAGGTATCAAGCAGGTAGTGTGTTCCCTGCACTGACAGAGTAACTTCCATTGTGTTCAGGAGTCCTTCCCAGAGAGGCCAAGCCTTCAAAGTGGAGAGCACAAGTTGACTCCTCTGAGGTGCTCTGGCTGGGGGCATTGTTGGTTGTGAATGGGGGTACACTAGTTCATACAACACAGTGGACATATACTGTTGGGCTCCATACCGGACATTATATGAGGTATGTAAAGTGGCGAATGATAAAAGTCAGCTGGAGGAGACAGTTTCCTCTGCTATACTGTACTGGTAAATTGAGAAAGACTGGTAACCCCCATGGATAAGTAAAATGGCTTGCATAGGCTTTAGATTTAGCCTTTCATCTGCTCTTTAAGAACAGGGCAGGGTGCTCTTGCCTATCACAGTTGCTGGACCACTATGACATGGCATTAGATGCCATGGAAGACAAACAAAACGGTGATGTAATTTACACAGATTTCGCAAGTCTTCAACAAATGTGACCATGGTGGTGGTGCACACAAAATGCATTCAAAAGGAATTACCGGAAAAAAGAGGCAGATGGATCTACAATTTCCTGACAGAAGCTGAACAGCAGTGCTGTGAGCTCATGCTGCGTGCATCAGGCTTGGTGGCTCACTCAATACCGAGGCCCTCACACCCGGGAATTTACCCGGGTGTGAGGCCCCCCCCCCCACACTCCTTGCATGCATGCACAAAAATCATGCAAACTTGCATGCATGCACAAAAATCATGCAAACTTGCATGCATGTGCACTGCACCTTGTGCACTCCCCATCAGGGGATACAAACACATGTGATATCCCTACAGTGACAGATTATACTCAATAATTTTTGTAATCTAGTGAAAAATTGTGATTTTAAAAACTTCATTATTATGTATACAGGTATTCTAACACTTTATATGATGCATTTGAGCATGAAAGGGTTAGATTAGCAATATAGGGGTTGAAGTAGATGTGTAGTAATTCAAAAGCTATTTGATGTACAATGATTATTCTAAAACTTATAATATCTTGCCTTCTAGGTAAACCTTCTCAACTTGCTACCTGAATCTGATCGCACCAAGGAAAAGTTAGCGGACCTTCTTGAAGACCGCGATCTTTCCTTCTTGTTCCCACTTTTACGCATCCAGTCTGACTTGTGGCGAGCCCTTATTGCCGATCCTACACCACATCTGTTTTACAAGTACATCAAGGACACGCTGGATGTAGAGCACCACACTGCTCCAGGATTTATCAGTGCTTTAATGACTGTCTTGGTAAAATATATAACACAGGTAAGGGGGGGGAGAAAATGTGTATAAACCCAAAACTTATTAATTTTATAATTTTATACGGCAATTAGCTAACACTAAATAAAACTGGAAGGATAATTGATGGGTAATTTTATTGTATGTTGTGATGAGCAAGATTTAATTCTTGAAACGTCCCGAATTCCCCCCTTACACCCACCCCACCCCCCTCTCCCCAATACTGTCACAATAAAAAGTTGAGGGAGTACATTTTTAAAACAATTATAGGATGTAAGTGATGAGACATACTGCCCTGCCAATACTTGAGTATGTAGCACTGTAAAAAGTGATAGCAATACAGCAAGTTTAGCACCGAGCATTGAGGGTAGTGACCATGTGGACGATCTGGGTCATGACACAAAGGACAGAACTGTGTGTTGAGGGCAGTTGAGAAAATAAATTATTTTTGCCATCATTTAGGGTGCTGTATTTGGCCTTGAAAGCTGTGGGAAGAGGTTGCTTCCACAACTTCCTCTTTCAATGCATTCTAAGTTGTTTACCCCCTTTAGAGTACAAGTATTTCCTTAAATTTCTTACGAATTTGAATTTCAACCAATGTCCCGTTTCCTTAAGAGGCCAAATTATCTATTCCTCTTAGTATCTTGTTTGTAGTGACCATGTCACTATTTCTAAAGGGGTGTAAGATTTAGTTGTCTTTACCTGTCCATAGAGCTCATGTCATCCTAATTCAGGCATTTGTTTTACTGCAAACCCTGGCACATTTTAAAGTTTGCATTTCACAAGGTACGAATTACATGTTTATACATGTTCTAGTATTGGTCTCGTTTTACGTGTAAATTATCTTGTAAGAGCTCTTATTTAGGTTTTAAAGTGGCATTCTAATCTTTGTCACTATATGGTGCAAGAAATAGAAAAACTCAAATACGGGTGGTGTGTAAATAATTGCATGATGGCCATAAATATAAATGTTCAACATGGTGCAAGCCATTCACTGCTACTCTTAGGTAACCTGAGTACCGTAATTTGGTGTTTTTCAATATTGTTTATTCGCTTTGTCTTGTGCCTGGCGAATGTGTATAAAAAAAATTATTCTTAATTTGTATTCATTTTAAACAGCACAAGACTAGCATGAAAGACAAAAAACTTTTAGTTTAAATTGTTAAACAGTTCAGTAATGTAGATGTGGAGGGGTAAGGTCTGTGCCTCCCACATCCCCCTTCTTGAGTTTTCCTTGTGATGATTTCGGGGCCTAGTGTCCCCGTGGTCTGGTCCTCGGACAGGCCTCCTTTTTATTACACATCCCCCGGAAGCAGCCCGTAGCAGCTGTCTAACTCCCAGGTACCTATTTACGGCTAGGTAACGAGAGCATCAGGGTGAAAGAAACTGCCCATTTGTTTCCGCCTCCACTGGGATTGAACCCGGGACCTCAGGGCTACAAATCCGAAGCGCTCTCCACTCGGCTGTCAGGCCCAATCTTTTATTCTCCTACTTTGAGGTGGGAGCTCTTATTATATGCAGTAACCTACTCACCCACCCATTCCTCCCTCATGTATTGCACTAAAGGCAACCTTGACTACCTACACATGAACCCAACAGACCACCACCACAAATACCTCGCATTATGGTCCATGTCATTATCATAATGGATATTCCTTAATTGACTATGAAAAATATATAGTTCCCATTTATTTACCTTTGTTAATGACTATTATATTCCAGGAAACTACTTTATCTACCGGATCTGACCCAACAGTCATCCCAGAGAAACTAGTTACCGAACAAGAGCAGGAACTTCTAGCAAAGTTCAAGGGTGTGTTGCAGGCTTTCCTACACGACCATCTTCCTCTTCAGGTCACGGCTGTGTATGCTTTGCAGGTCTTCACGTACACACACAATTTTCCCAAAGGTTAATATCCCAAAATATGGTTATTTTCTTGTTGCCTAGTAATAGTCATATGCTACTGATTGAGAGCAGGGTCTAGTGATGAAATAAGCTTTCATTATGCATGAAGGATGTCAGGAAGGTCTCTCAAGTGAATTTGCACAAATTAATGTTGCAGAGTTTTATCAAGTTTTGCCACTTCAAATACCCCAGACATACTGTATAGCATTTTAATTTAAAAGAGTTGAAACCGAAGTTCTACTGAACTTATTGGATCCCGTAGCCTCTCCGAGGCACAAACCAGGGTTTTACACAACTCTATTTGCACAACTATTTGTGCGTCGGAGAGGCTACGGGATCCAGTAAGTTCAGTAGAACTTCGGTTTCAACTCTTTTCAACCCTGTCGTAGCTCAGTCGATTAAGACAGTGTCTGGGATGCTCCCGGGCGCAGGTTCGAATCCTCGTCACGGCCCATGTGGATTTGTTCATTTGATGCATCACGTTAGTGTGATCTGTGTGTGTAATGATTAGTTAAGTGTTTATGGTGCCAATATAATGTCCAGTTTGTGCCACTGGTGGAAGCAAAGAACTTGTGTTCATTTGTTCATCATTACTACTCTCGTGCCTTACTTGTGGAGTGGAGACATCTGCAGTTATCATTGGTGTGAAAGACAAAATCTTTTTACATGTAGTGATAATTAACAAGATACCATGTTCGATACAAATTGGAGTAGGAATGGTGAAACAGTGAGTTTCGTGGGGACTGAGAGATCGTGGACTATGCTCAGCCCAGATGTGTTAGTGGAACATGGTTATGGAAAGGGCCAGAGTACAAGCCATGCATATTAGTTTTAAAAGCAGCATCTGGTCTTATGTGGAACGGTGTAACAATGAGGAAATATATTAGTTGTGAAGATGAGTAGACGTGATGAGAAAATGTGAAGCTGCTTAAATATGCCTAGCTGGTATTGACAAGTTATAAAGATGCCTGAGAATAGTTTAATGAGAAGGGTGGATGTCATTAACCATATAAATTTAAGGTTTAGGTTTGCAGATTTCACTATTAATGATAGGTCAAACCTCAATAAAACTAGTCTTGGGCTATTTCCTTAGTCACATTTTGTTTTCTTCATAATTTTCTTTTGTATTTCTTGTACAGGCATGTTGCTGAGGTGGTTTGTGAATCTGTACGACTTAGAGATTATAGAAGAGGATGCCTTCTTGACTTGGAAGGAGGATTTAAGCCAGGACTACCCTGGCAAAGGAAAAGCACTCTTCCAGGTGAGCTATGTAATTGTGATTTGTATAGCGAGGCTTATTCTGAAACCTATATTGAGTTGGTGGGAAGCTAAATTTACTCAAACTATAATAACTTTTGGTTTATCAGTGTTCTGTCAACAGCACCTGCAAGGCTAGTGTTGCAATTTGTTTTTAAACTGAAGTGAATTAGCTAAATGTTAGCATGGAAATTTTACAGGTGAATCAATGGCTTACTTGGCTGCAAGAGACAGAAGAGGATGATGAAGAGGAAGAGGATGCCTGATTTTCTCATTAGTTTCATTATATGAACAAGGAATAATGATAAGTGAATGTTAAAGAGAATGTTGGGAGATGGAAACAAATTACTGGTACAGTATAAGATACAGCTACTATATAAGTAAAATGAAAGGAGAACTAAAGAATTCAACCCCTTGCTCTGAGGAGACTGTCTTGTTTCTAGGCTTCATGGGTATTAAATCCTATTATTCTCTCCTGTTGTTGCTGCTGTTGTGTGTGCCCGTAGAGGCAGAGGCAGTCAGAACTCCTGGGAACAAGGCTTTAACTAGTGCTGTTGGATGAGGTAACTACACAAGCTTAATGAAACTGGATTTGAAGTAAGAGCATTGGAAAATAGTGAGTTTTGGCCTTTAATGGCAAAGGATTTTGGAATCTTTTTGACTAACACCAAAGTGTTTTCAAAACAATGTCATATGCTGGTGAAAAAATGTGTAAAAAGACAAAAAAAGAGGAAAAATGTCCTAAAAAACTGAAATGATGCCTTAGTGTTGTATGAGTTGCTACATAATCTCTTGTAATCCATTTATTGCTTCTCAAGCTGTCATCACTAAATGTTTATAGTTACAAAATTAGCAAGCACTTTAATATTTAAACGTTTTTAAACCTTTGTGGCTGATATTTTTATGTAATGGTTAGCCTTTTTTTTTTTTTTTTTTTTTTTTTTTTGTCATTTTCTTTTACCAAAATACATGTTATACATTGGATGAAATGAATCATGGTGAACTGGAGGTGATATCTCTTATTTATGAGAATTACAATGTTAGACTTTTCATTTTGTTCACGAATATTAAGTGTGTGTGTGTGTGTAACAAGTGTGCAAGATAAATTTTTTATCAAAGGTTTCCCCATTCTTGTTAGGAGTGTTCTTGGGTTAAACGTTACAAGGTTTGTCAACGTTTGGGTTAAATCACTACATTTTTCAATTTCCAGAGTTCTAAATATCATGGGGATATTGTCTTCAAAACTTTAGGCATTGAATGACTGAGTAAATCATTCCATAATTACTAGCCTGGAGTTTGGATGTCCATTTTCACTACTTGGCTGTCATTGCCTGCAGCTTTAGCACTGACCAATAAATATCTCACTGAAAGTGTTTGCATTCCTTAGATTTTATATAAATTGTAATTGTGTTACATATGAAATGTCAGACTGTTGCACTAAAGGCTGTTTCATACCTTTTACTCTGTACTTCATGTATGAACTATAAACATTATCAAGTTTTGTATCATTTAGTGCTTTTTCTTGCTATCCTAACTAAGAACTGTCACTATTGTGACTACGGTATCACTAATTGTCATTATTGTGAATAACTTTTCTGTCATTATGTTGTGCATTGCCCTGCACTGAGATTTGTCTTGCTATAGTTCAAGTGGGCTCGTGTCGTTGCCCCGGCCCCTTATCTCCAGGCATTGCTCATTGGTGAAGACAGTGCAGAGTACCTGTTCTAGTCCAAATCACGCACCATACGGGTCGCTCTTTGTGAGTTTTGGTGTTTGAGCTACGATGCGAGGGAGAAAATGGTCCTTTTTAGGGAGCTGAGCGGACAGCACGCTGGACTTGTGATCCTGTGGCGCCGGCGAGAAACAATGGGCAGAGTTTCTTTCGCCCTATGCCCCTGTTACCTGGCAGTAAAATAGGTACCTGGGTGTTAAATCAGCTGTCATGGGCTGCTTCTTGGGGGGGGGGGGTGGAGGCGTCGCGGACCAGGCCGCGGGGACACTAAAGCCCCGAAATCATCTCAAGATACACCCTCGTATTAAAAGGGAGCACCATTTGGGACAAAATACCTTTTCTTACAATGGCTAGGGCTCGGCCTCTTCTACCCTCGTAGGTGGAATCCCAGGGCTCATGGGGCATGCGACCAGGACTAACCCCCGAGTAGCACTGATTGAAGGTCGGGCATGGTAATTCTGACAGTTGGGCCTAGACCCCAAGGTTGGTGTCATTAGGTTGCCATTCAGACTCGTGCGTTTTCCTGGTATACTAATTTGTTACCACTGAGGTTTCCTGCATGCTTGTGCCTCCCCTTGTTGGGGTCTGATGACCAAGAGTGCAGAGAAGTGAAGTATTTTTTTTTCTCAATCCTGGTTTGGTGCCTTTTGATAATTGCTTGCTTTTTTCTCTACTGTCTTCAGCTTCCTCCTTGGCAGTGACTTCTCCCTATATGACCCCTAGCTGGTTGGTAAAGAACCCACTCTTCTGTTCCTTTCTTCAAAGGCTAGTTTGGTCCACCTGCATGAGCTAAATATTTGTCATATTCTGATTCCGATGTTTCACGCGTTTGCGAGTTCATTTAAAGTTTTTCTAGAAACGGGCTTATGAATTCCAGCATAGCCACTGTCATGCTCCCCTATCATGTCACCCCTAACTCTTCGCCTTTCTGGAGAATGCAATTTAAGCTTTGTTAATCTATATGCATATGATAGGTTTCTAATTTGGGGAATTAACTTTGTCATCCTACGCTGGACACGTTCAAGTGAATTTATATCCATTCTGTAGTACGGCAGCCAAAACTGAACTGCATAATCTAAGTGGGGCCTAACCAGAGCAAGATATAGCTGAACACCACCACCAGGTGTCTTGTTACTAACGCTTCGATTAATAAATCCCAGGGTCCTAGTTGCCTTATTACGAACATCTTTGCATTGATTGTTTGGTTTTAAATTCCTATTAATCATAACTGATCCCTTTCGCAATCTCAACACCATCTAGCTCGTATCTTGTAACTATCATCACTAACTAGCTTCAAAACTTTACATTTGTCACCGTTAAACTGCATCTACCAATCTTTTAACCATTTTAAAACACTATTTAGATCGCCTTGAAATAATAGTCCTTTTTTTCGTGTTTATTTCCCTCCCGATTTTTGTATCTGCAAATTTACAAATGTTGCTGCTTAAACCTGAATAAATCATTTATATGTATTATGAATAACAGGTCCCAGGACAGCGTCGAGGCACTCCACCTACAACATTTTCCCAGTCTTAACTCCATTTATACTAACACTTTCCTTTGGTATAGCCATGCCCTAATCCAACTTAATATAGCACCCCCAATACCATGAGCCTCTCTTTTTAACCAGTCTTTCATGTGACACTGTATCAAGAGCTTTGCTAAGGTACACATCACAAACCTTACCACTCGACTGCCTCAACTATGCTGGAATAAAATGATATCAAATTTATTAAACATGAATGGTCATTTGTAAAACCATGTGAATCATTTCTTGGGTTTTTCAAGATGAAGACGAATGGTATTTGCAATTATCGATTCGAGTAACTTTCCCACAATAGACGTTAATACATCATCTTTGCTATTCTAATATTAACACCGTAATTAGGGCTGTACCCCACTTCAGTTCTGAAAACCTTGAGTGTGTGTACAGTGTTGATGTAACTTATTGACTGTAGTTAAGGTACAAGGGACAATTCAATTTCTTTCTTTATTATGCACCCCATACCCATCCCGTGGACGAGTAGAACGGCCCACCGAGGCACAATTCGTTCAGGAACTGAACCCCATACCTCGTTTAGCTAAGCAAGTGACAATCTTTTGAAGCTAGTTACACAATTGACAATAGTACCAATTGACAGTCAATTGGTATGTTATCTATCTTAAGTTTCCGTGGTCCGCTTTTGCAATTACCAATTTGTCTGTTAAATACCTTAGTTTTAGCAGCGTTGATTACAAGACTAAGGCTCTCACAAGCTGTATGTATACAATTTTAAGATTGTTTGCATTTCGCGGTGGGTTTTAGTATGTACAAGGATGTCATCTGCATAGCTGATAGTGATGTTTGCCGGACTAGTTCTACGCACGCACGCGTGTACGTGTACACGTGTGGGGGGGGGGGGGGAAGACGGGACACTACGAGCATAGCTCTCATCCTGATTGATTGATTGATTGGTGAAGATTAAGCCACCCAAAAGGTGGCACGGGCATGAATAGCTCGTAAGTGGTGGCCCTTTTGAGCCATCACTAGTATCAAGAGCTGATACTGGGGATCTGTGGAGGTGCGACTGCACCCTGCGTGACGGGAGATGTCTCCCGGGTGACGAAGTGGAGCGCATCTCATCCTGTAACTACACTTAGGTAATTACTTAGGTAATTTTACACACACACCTGGCATCCGAGCTCTTCACCCCCGGCCTCACTTAGCTCTGCCCTGCTCCAGGCTTCGTCTCAACTACTACGACACTAAACTACATTGCCAAAGAAAGCGATTGCTGTAACCAAGACTATACTAAATAAATATATAAAAAACACCAAATTCTTTGTGTCTAATAAACCAAATACGTACACGTAAACATATGTAGATTGAGCCACCCGCCAATGCGTCCTCCGCTACAGCAATATAATAAATTAGTATCAGGGACGTAATTTATAGAGGTAACAGTAACTGCCCGATCTTTCACATAGTACTATCGCTGGGATTTATACTCGATATTATTAATGTATTAAACCTGTCGGCGGACATTTCCTCTTCATTTCTCAATGTAAACATAAAAAGTAGTCAATTTCAAGTGTTAGAGGTGCATGCGCCCTGTATTGACTGATGACGTCACGCATTCCTGGAGGAGAGTGGCGGCGGCGGGCTGGACGGCAGCTCTCTGTTTACTGTATTCCAACAACGGGGACGGCAGCTCTGTTTACTGTATTCAAACAACGGGGACGGCAGCTCTGTTTACTGTATTCCAACAGCGGGGACGGCAGCTCTGTTTACTGTATTCCAACAGTGGGGACGGCAGCTCTGTTTACTGTATTCCAACAGCGGGCACGGCAGCTCTGTTTACTGTATTTCAACAACGGCGGCGGACTGGACGGCAGCTCGGTTTATTCCAAGAGCGGCGGCAGCAGCAGCACACAAGGGAAGGTCAGTGCTGATGAACCTGTCAAATTAGTTAGTAACTGAACAACAAGAGTTACGAGGAGAGACTAGAGGCGTTAAACATGCCAAAGTTAGAAGAATAAGAGGTGATATAATCATACACTTACTAAATATTAACAGGAATCGACCAAATTGACAGAGGAATTCCTGAAACTAGCAACTTCACGAACATGAGGACACAGATTCAAACTAAGGAAACAAAAGTGCCGAAAAAAATATTTGTTTTATTTTATCTACAGTTTTAAGTGTAGATATGATAGAGCCCAGTAGGCTTAGAAATATGTACACTAGTTGATTGACAGTTGAGAGGCGGGACCAAAGAGCCAGAGCTCAACCCCCGCAAGCACGACTAGGTGAGTATACACACACACACACACGTGGGGCCTCGTAGCCTGGTGGATAGCGCGCAGGACTCGTAATTCTGTGGCGCGGGTTCGATTCCCGCACGAGGCAGAAACAAATGGGCAAAGTTTCTTTCACCCTAAGTGCCCCTGTTACCTAGCAGTAAATAGGTACCTGGGAGTTAGTCAGCTGTCACGGGCTGCTTCCTGGTGTGTGTGTGTGTGTGTGTGGTGTGGGAAAAAAAAAGTAGTTAGTAAACAGTTGATTGACAGTTGAGAGGCTGGCCGAAAGAGCAAAGCTCAACCCCGCAAAAAAAACACAACTAGTAAACACACACACATACACACACACACACATACACACACACACATACAAAAGGTTAGCATACCGAAAGGGAAACTATGAGGGGATAAGAAAATTCCTAACAGATATAGCATGGGAAACAGAGCTCAGGGGAAAGACGGCCCAAGATATGATGGATTACATCACGCAGAAGTGCAAGGACGCAGCAAACAAGTTTGTCCCAGTCCAAAAGGAAAACAGAGAAATGAAGATGAGAAACCCATGGTTTAATCAAAGATGTAGGCTAGCTAAGCAGCAAAGTAAAAGGGCATGGAGAAACTATAGGAATAACAGGACACTGGAGAGCAGAGAAAGATACCAGAATGCCAGGAATGAATATGTCAGGATGAGAAGAGAGGCAGAAAGACAATACGAAAATGACATCGCAAGCAAGGCAAAGACTCAGCCTAAATTGTTGCATAGCCACATTAGGAGAAAAACAACAGTAAAGGAACAGGTTATGAGATTAAGGATAGGGGCAGAAGGATTCACTACAAATGACAAGGAAGTGTGTGAGGAATTGAATAAGAAATTCCAGGAGGTCTTCACCTTAGAACAAGGAGAAATTCCAGAGGTAAGTGAGGGAATAGCTAACCAGGAACCACTGGAAGAGTTTGAGATTACCAGTGGGGAAGTAAGGAAGTGTTTACTAGAGTTGGACGTGACGAAGGCTATAGGCCCAGATGGAATCTCCCCTTGGGTTCTAAAGGAAGGAGCAAGAGAACTGAGCCTACCACTCTCCATAGTGTATAACAAATCACTGGCAACAGGGGAACTGCCAGATATTTGGAAAGCAGCTAACGTAGTCCCGATATACAAGAAAGGGGATAGACAGGAGGCACTGAACTACAGGCCACTGTCCCTAACCTGCATACCATGCAAGCTGATGGAGAAGATTGTGCGAAAAAAACTAGTGGAGCATCTGGAGCGAAGGAACTTTGTAACACAGCATCAACATGGGTTCAGGGATGGCAGGTCCTGCCTCACAGGGTTACTTGAATTCTACGACCAGGCAACAAAAATAAGGCAAGAAAGAGAAGGGTGGGCAGACTGCATATTTTTGGATTGTCAGAAAGCCTTTGATACAGTGCCACACAAGAGGCTAGTGCGAAAGTTGGAGATGCAGGCTGGAGTGAGAGGGAAGGTACTCCGGTGGATAGAGGAATACCTAAGCAACAGGAGACAACGAGTCTGTGTGAGGGGTGAGGTCTCAGATTGGCGAGACGTCACAAGTGGAGTCCCGCAGGGGTCAGTCCTTGGACCTATACTGTTTCTGGTATATGTAAATGATCTCCCAGAGGGTATAGATTCGTTCCTCTCAATGTTTGCCGACGATGCAAAAATTATGAGGAGGATTGAAACAGAGGATGATAGTAGGAGGCTACAAGATGACCTGGATAGACTGAGTGAATGGTCCAACAAATGGCTGTTGAAGTTCAACCCGAGTAAATGCAAAGTAATGAAACTAGGCAGTGGAAACAGGAGGCCAGGCACAGGATACAGAATAGGAGATGAAGTACTTAATGAAACAGACAGAGAGAAAGATTTAGGAGTTGATATCACACCAAACCTGTCTCCTGAAGCCCACATAAAGAGAATAACGTCTGCGGCATATGCGAGGCTGGCTAACATCAGAACGGCGTTCAGGAACCTGTGTAAGGAATCATTCAGAATCTTGTACACCACATATGTAAGACCAATCCTGGAGTATGCGGCCCCAGCATGGAGCCCGTACCTTGTCAAGCACAAGACGAAGCTGGAAAAAGTCCAAAGGTATGCTACTAGACTAGTCCCAGAACTAAGAGGCATGAGTTATGAGGAAAGGCTACGGGAAATGCACCTCACGACACTGGAAGACAGAAGAGTAAGGGGGGACATGATCACAACCTACAAAATCCTCAGGGGAATCGACCGGGTAAACAAGGATGAACTTTTCAACACTGGTGGGACGCGAACAAGGGGACACAGGTGGAAGCTGAGTACCCAAATGAGCCACAGAGACGTTAGAAAGAACTTTTTCAGTGTCAGAGTAGTTAGCAAATGGAATGCATTAGGAAGTGATGTGGTGGAGGCTGACTCCATTCACAGTTTCAAATGTAGATATGATAGAGCCCAATAGGCTCAGGAATCTGTACACCAGTTGATTGACGGTTGAGAGGCGGGACCAAAGAGCCAGAGCTCAACCCCCGCAAGCACAATTAGGTGAGTACACAAGGGGCCTCGCTTCTGAGTGGACAGCGCTCTGGGGTCGTAGTCCTAAGGGCCCGGATTTACAATAATATATGACGGGTAAGCCTGTAACACTTTCTCATTTTGTGAACGATAAACTAGAAACGTTAGCATGCTTAATACCTTACAATGGTACACACATTTCCGTTCTGGGTATATTCAACCTAGGTGGAACAATAAACTTAAATGAACTGGAATTCTATCGTGATCAATTACGACACCCAATCATTGTTACAGGCGATCTCAATGCTAACCACCACACATGGAGTAGAGGTACCGTCACACAGTAGATTAATATTTTTTAAATTTTGCCCCGAGGGGCGAGTTTATTGGGCAGCGCCACTCATCTTGTGAGTGGACACACCGCCATAGTGACAGTATTGGGCAGCGCCACTCATCTTTTGAGTGGACACACTGCCATAGTGACAGTATTGGGCAGCGCCACTCATCCTGTGAGTGGACACACCGCCATAGTGACAGTATTGGGCAGCGTCACTCATCCTGTGAGTGGACACACTGCCATAGTGACAGTATTGGGCAGCGCCACTCATCCTGTGAGTGGACACACCGCCATAGTGACAGTATTGGGCAGCGTCACTCATCCTGTGAGTGGACACACCGCCATAGTGACAGTATTGGGCAGCGCCACTCATCCTGTGAGTGGACACACCGCCATAGTGACAGTTGTCGGAAAGTCCGACACCATTTAATATATCATACAGATAATAGCTGTATTGTATAAACAAGTTACCCATAGAAAACGTAACTTGTAGTGGAATTACCGTCTAAAGAAAACGGGATATCATCACCACACACTATTATAATTCACCACCTATTATGGTGGGAATTATTCTTAAATACATTAGTCTTTGGACTTTACCATCATAAAAACATCTTATATAAATTAACTTAATTATCAATATTAAAGTAGAGTAAATGTGACCCTTCTATCACTTTCTGACATTTGGACAATGTAGGCCAGGCGTCAGTGAGGAAGGAGGGCGGCCACTTTTGTTGATACTAGACCAGAGGCTCACACGGGAGCAAATTCGGCTCCTGTTAATTTTACTTGGACGTAGTGTTATGGAAACCAAAGGTGTACCATTATCACACGCTGTCAACAAATTCAAGTTAAGTGTTCTTTCCGAAACCCATGTATCCTTCATTTATGGCCATTAATGTCATTATATAGGGTGATCCGATTAGAGCACGACATAGCCTCAAACTAAAGGTAATTAAGCCAGGTCTTTATTGTTCCATGTATAGTGTTTTCTCTGATATAGCTTGTCATATATAGGATTCTGGCTTCACAGCTAGCGCACTTTTGACAGGTCAAGACAAGGAAGCAAGATTTTGTGCACCAGTTACTGGGTGATGGAAGCTACCTCAAAGAGGATAATTTGGTGTCTACACCCTAGTTATACCTGGTGGACTAACCTGCTGTACTATAAGATAAGGAACCTTTTCAATGTATGTAGTCTAATTCTGTAGTTTGATTGGCTGCATATATATAAACTAATAAACCCCCCCTAATGTGTAGAGGATCGATTTGTGAGATTAAGAGATTATTGCAGAAATACAGTCCACTTATCATTATACAAATTGCTATCGAAGTATATAAATTAACGTAAATATAAATTCATATAAATTAAATAAATATAAATCTCACAGGTCGGTTCCCACAACAGTATTGGGCAGCGTCACTCATCCTGTGAGTGGACACACCGCCATAGTGACAGTATTGGGCAGCGCCACTCATCCTGTGAGTGGACACACCGCCATAGCAGCATGTACAACACTCCCCAATAGGAAGAAAACCCGCTGGGTTGTTCATCCTGTCACTTGTACCCAGACACAGCTGGGACTTGCTTAACTGTCTCAAGTGAACAGCTCCTCAAACAAGAAGATTAACATCTGTCAACACAGTAGAGGTACCCAGAATACTGCAGGCACCAATTTATATAACTACTTAGACACTGCACCATATATTCTTCTTTCGCCGCCCTACCTTATTTATTTTATTTTGATTTATTTATTTATATACAAGAAGGTCCATTGGGATTACGAGAGAACAGAGTAGTGATGTTTTACATTCTTGTAAAGCCACTAGCACGCATAGCGTTTCAGGCAGGTCCTTAATCTAACAGATAATTTTAAGAATGTAATTTCTAGCAAAATTAAAAAAGTGTTTACATGTACATTGTAAGATAGTATAAAAATACATTATATATGAAATTTGACAGGTTTAGTAGGTACATTAGAGTAAATTTAAGGGTTATCCACAGGTACGTTGTAGCATAATTTGAGGATTATTTCAAGGTATAATACAGAAAACTATGTGTTCAGTATAACAACCACGATATAAGATAACAGCAATGATTACAATGGTAAAGTTGGGGGATATAACAATTTACAATCCCCATATTTTGGGGGATTGGGTAGCACTAGATACTGTGCGAGTTTCAAGCACTAGGTAGAAACTATAGTTGCGAGGTAAGTAATTATAAAAAGAAGGCACTAAGCCGGGAAGGCTTATGTAGCACCATCAAATGTGCGGAATAATCAGAGGGCGCTAAATATCACGAAGGATGCCAATATGAGAACAGAAACGCATAAGGCGAACGATATCAAAAGTATCCGATTCACCAAGAATTCTATCGAGGAACAAGTGACCGCGAAGAACGATCAGAAAGCAAGAAACACGCTCGTCCTGGAAGTCAAGACATTCAACAAGAATATGCACGACTGTAAGAGGGACAATTAATGCAGTTTGGACAATAAGAAGCAGGGCGGTACTACATTGTGTTCATGCGTTAAGCATGTATGGCCGATACGCAACCTTGCCAGAGCCGTTTCCCACCGCCGGTTACGATGGTAGGAGGAGGCCACAGGGACACACTACTCTTAAGAGTGCGTAGTTTGTTACTAGTAACAGAAGACCAATATCATCTACTTGAAACTAGCTGACTAAGACTAGCCAGGAATATTTTCATTAACTTTGCAAGACGATCCAGAGGCCATCTGGGCTGACCTCTTGGAGAAGGCTTCCCTGGGTGTGAACTCTTGGGGGCGGGGGGGGTGTCTTGGGTGTTACAGCATCAGGGTGAAAGAAACTGCCCATATGTTTCCGCCTCCGCCGTGAATCGAACCTGGGCCATTAGGACTACGACCCCCAAGCGCTGTCCACTCAGCCGCGAGGCCCCCGTGTATGTTTCAAAATAGATGTTACTATATGAACATTTCTGTTACATAATTGCAATATGACCCAATTCTGTTCTTCAATCCCAGGCAAAACCGAAGCGTCTATGTACTTAGAACTTGTGGTATTATACGGTTGATAAGCAACTAAATCCCTCGGGGCTGGTCACGCGCTGGGTGAAGGGGCGTGTAGGAGCGAGAAGTGCGGCCAAGCATGGTGGTGTCAACCATGGGAGAGGCCAGGGTGCCAGCCGCTCTCCCACGTATCCTCAAAGACTACACCAAGGCTGCCATCCGCACACAGCCCAAAAATCTTCTAATTTGGTCTTCTGCTTACTTCAGGTAAGAGTTGCATTGGTCTTGTTACTTATTTTACTGGCTACATAACTACTGACTCCATGATGTAATAGTCTTCGCTTGTTATCCCTAGTTATCACCTTTTTTGTATTTGTTTATTTTCCTTGAATGTTCTTATTTTGTTAGCTTCTCTTTTACTATTAAAGTGTTCTACCCCTCACACCTTTAATTCATTATTTTTTTTTCTAGACGGGAAACTGTTTTTCTTTTTGCGGGAAACGCTTTTTATAATTATAGCTTCATTAGTATGTGTAACTCCTGTCCCTAGAATTGTACATGTCTCTTATGTTCTTTGTACATACCTTCTTTTGAATAAACATTATTATATTATTATTATTATTATTATTATTATTATTATTATTATTATTATTATTATTATTATTATTATTATTATTATTATTATTATTTTAGGTGTGAGACCTTCAGGGCACGAGAAGGATTTATGGTATGCTCCTTGAGTATATAGTAATATAACAGATGTATCTGTATACTAGACAGACTCGCCTGTTATACTACTTCCCCAGGGCATCATACAACACATAAATTAGATTTGTCGGGGGACAGACAGCGTGTGCATGTACATACGTTTGGCTTGTACTGAGGTCCCCCTTAAGGTGGAACGACTTGCTGACCCTCTCCAAGATACAACTATACAACAGTTCATTAACTCTCGGGTACCTACTTACTGCTAGGTGAACAGGGCCATTCGGTGAAAGGAGATGTCTCCGTGGTGTAGTGGTAAGACACTCGCCTGGCGTCTGGCGAACAGTCTCCGTGGTGTAGTGGTAAGACACTCGCCTGGCGTTCCGCGAGCGCTGTCATGGGTTCGTATCCTGGCCGGGGAGGATTTACTGGGCGCAATTCCTTAACTGTAGCCTCTGTTTAACGCAACAGTAAAATGTGTACTTGGATGAAAAAACGATTCTTCGCGGCAGGGGATCGTATTCCAGGGACCATAGGATTAAGGACTTGCCCGAAACGCTACGCGTACTAGTGGCTGTACAAGAATGTAACAACTCTTGTATATATCTCAAAAAAAAAAAAAAAAAAAAAAAAAAAAAAAAAAAAAAAAAAAAAAAAAAAAGTGTCCAACCATTTCTCTTTCATCCAGGACTCAAACCCGGGATTCCTGATTGTGAATCGAGGACAAACCAAACTGTATTGGGTTCGACAGAAATGGTGAGATCAATGATTCTAGTCCGAATCTTCTCAATTTTTCTTACCTTTCCGCAGAGAGCCCATCCGGCTCTCCGGAGCTGTACCGGGCTAATGTGTGTATATTAGACCATGACAATAGTCAGTCGATGGAGTTCTAGGGCTATCGTGGACCACGAGCCAGAACCTGGCCCCCCCCCCCCCCTCCCCGGCATGTGGGAAGGGGGGGCTCCCAGATCCCCTGCACCGGCAACCCAACCCCAGTTCTAAGACTGTTGTGTTAGGTGGCGGTCGATCGACTCTGGCTCCAAATCCTAGAGCAGGGACCTCTTTGCGTCGGCGTTGTCGAGGCATCTCCTGGTTTATGTGGCGCCCTTCCACGACAGTGAGGCCATCGGGGTTGATGCCTTTCGACTGGACTGGTGAAGGTGGGATTACCTGTACCTCTTCTCTCCGGTTCGGTTGTTGCTCCAGGTCTTGACTCGCTTGGAGACTTACTGGGGGAAAGTAGTCCTGTTGGTCCCTAGGTGGCCGGCCCAGCCGTGGTTTCAGGCGCTGCTTGCTCGGTGTCTGAACCCGAGGGTCTTCTCGTGACTCCGCCTCTTTCAGCAGATCGATCCAGTCCGGTACGCGGCTGGTTAGATCTTCTCCGGTCTTCTCGTCTGGTCTTTTTGACGCGGGTCTATCACCACTTGTATGGTGATCAGGTGGCTTCGTTGATGGTATCCCACCTGCGAGTCTTGTTTCGGCGGCAGTATGAAGTTTCCCGGCGGTCCTTTCGGCACCTCTTGACTCTTCGTAGGGCTCTTTCTCTCTTGGTTGTTTCAGGACCGTCATCTAATGCTGAATAGCAGTCCCCATGGTGTAGTTGTAAGGCGCTCACCTGGCGTTTCGCGAGTGGTTTGTCCTGGGTTCGTATCCTGGCTGGGGAGGATTTACTGGGCGCAAATGCTTAAATGTAGCCTCTGTTTAACCCAACAGTAAAATGGGTACCTGGCTGTTAAACGATTTGCCAATGTCGTATTCCGGGGAACATAAGATTAAGGACTTTGCCGACACGCCATACGGGCAAACGGCCAAATTCAGCCGTAATTTGTAAGAGGACAGCGGTCGCATAATAAATGAACTAAACTAAGATACTAATGTAGCTTAAGGATGTTATATTATGATAGTGTGAAGGTTTCTAGTTTTTAGTACCAGTTTATAATTATTGCAATATACAGTAATTGTATACAGTATTTTATTAATCCAGAAACCTAATATAATGTTCATACTAATGTGTTGACAACGTGTTCCCGGTGTGTGCGGCAGGAACATGACCAACGGCACCCCGCCGCCCGTGAAGGACCGGCTCGAGTTCCCCATCCCAGAGTCCAGCAGCGGCGTGTCCCCAGGCGTGCTGCGCGTCCTTCACAGTCAGGTATCATCCTGTGTTTAATACTCTTGTAATACATACGATAGTAAATGTACATATTTATAAAACAAGGTACAATAAAATAACAAAATTAAGATGTTGAATGCATACTCTGAATGCATGATAGGGCTGATGAGTTGCTCGAACAATCTGCCTTCAAGAAAGGAGTTTAGCATAACTTTGGATTATCTTTAAGCAACTTGAGAACAATAATACACCAAGAACATCAAGAAAATCTTGTATATCTGAGACAAAGTAAAATCTACACTTGGAGTTCCATCTAGCATCATACTATCTTGCAAGAAGAGCCACACATCTAAGGGTCATCCAATAAAATCAGCAGACTCCTAAGTGGTACTGCTGCTCGCCTTGGACTCCCCAATATTCTATGAGAATTTTCATTACTTGCTGATGTAGACCTGACCAAATGTAAACTGTGACAACACAATTATTCGCACACCCTCTGTCACTATATGACGGAGTGCGGAAAGATATGGCCACTGCTTATTTGAAATAAGCGGGGGAATTCTGGGAAGGAGTAAAACATTTACGCAGCGCTCCGTGAGAGCTGCGCGCGCAGTTAAGCTCAACCCCTGCAAGCACAATTAGGTGAGTAATATCAAGGAAAAGTCTGGTGAAGCTTTCTTATAACAGCATATAAGAGGTTTTTAAAGGCTGTCATTCTCTCTCAGTCCAGTTGGTCCGGGAGACATCTCCCGTCACGCAGGGTGCAGTCGCACCTCCACAGATCTCCAGTATCAGCTCTTGATACTGGTAATGGCTTAAAATGGCCACCACTTACGGGCTATTTATGCCCGTGCCACCTTTTGGGTGGCTTCATCTTCATCTTAACACATTCATAAGGGAGACATCTCCCGTCATGCAGGGTGCATTCGCACCTCCACAGATCTCCAGTATCAGCTCTTGATACTGGTAATGGCTTAAAAGGGCCACCACTTACGGGCTATTCATGCCCGTGCCACCTTTTGGGTGGCGTAATCTTCATCAATCGCTGTCATTCTGAATATTCAGACGATGAGTCACAATAATCATCACACTTGACTTGATAATGGTCCAGGAAGGACCGAAACGTCGTCGTCTTCTAGTATCTCTTTTAGTCTTCATTCTAAATAGTTTTAAATGTTCTTTTTTATATATATTGTTGTTAAATATTGTTGGAACAATGTTTTAAAGGCTGAATATTATTTGTTTGAGCAGTTGAGTGGGGCAGGAAGCGTGAGGTGGGAGGAGGTGCTGGAGGTGTGCGAAGCCATGGGCGTGGCGGAGGAGACGGCTCAGGATGCCTGGCACAGGTCAGGAGGCGGTGATGGTGGTGTCGTGGAGTGGGACCACATCCTCTCCCACATTGCTGCTCTCTCCACTCATGTGCGTAACTACCTCTTTATTACTGCCTCCAATATACAAACATGTGCGTAACTACCTTTTTATTACTGCCTCATATATACAAACATGTGCGTAACTACCTCATTATTACTGCCTCAAATATATAAACATGTGCGTAACTACCTCTTTATTACTGCCTCCAATATACAAACATAGCTACCATAGCATAGCTAACATTTTAGTATTAAAAATTAAACAGTAGGTTAGTAACAGTAATAAGTAATAAACAGTAATAAGTCAATATTGACTTATTAGTTGCGTGCATAGGTGACATACTAAACATAATAGTTTCCCTTGAAAAGCTTCATAGAAAACACCGACCTTACCTAACCTACTTAGTATGTTAAAATAAGCATCTTATAGCTTCGTAATTACAATTGTTACTCAACCTATTATAGGTATAGGTTAGGTAATAATTGTAATTACGAAGCAATAAGATGCTTATCTTTCTATACTAAGTAGGTTAGGTAAGGTTGGTGTTTTCTATGAAGCTTTTCAAGGGAAACTATTATGTTAAGTATGTCACCTATGCACATATTTAATAAGTCAATATTGACTTATTAAATTTGCGAGAACGGGTTGAGGTATAGGTTAGGTAATAATTGTAATTACGAAGCAATAAGATGCTTATTTTAACATACTAAGTAGGTTAGGTAAGGTCGGTGTTTTCTATGAAGCTTTTCAAGGGAAACTATTATGTTTAGTATGTCACCTATGCACGCAACAAATAAGTCAATATTGACTTATTAAATTTGCGAGAACGGGCTCGGCACACCAGGGCCCAGCCACCCGAGGCGCGGTGGTGTCCTCTTTGGGGCTCCTGGTATGTAACCTAGCTAAAGCCGTTTCCCAGCGTCTGTTACTGTGGTAGCAAGAAGGCCAAGGGGATATTGTTATTTTTTAAGAGTGTTATCTGCCACCTCAGACCAACGACCCTGAGAGCGTTCTAGGATTGAGGTATGTATGAGTGGGTAGAAGTCCGAATAAGAAATACCGTTTTGGAATAGGCCAAGTGCAAACAGCCTCCTTAGCGGCAGTGTCTGTACGTTCATTTAAGGTAATACCAATTAATATGGCTGGGAACCCAGCAAAACTCAACTGAATAAGACTAGATTACTAGATTAAGACTGAATAAGACTAGACTAGAAAACTACTAGAGATAAGAAATAGGCAATGTTGAATTTCGACTACCGCAAGATGCATAGTATCAAACGACTCAGGGCCTTGAGGGCAGCCAACCACAAAGACAAAGAAACATTGACATTGGGAAAACAGTTGAAGTGCATACAAGATGCATGCTGGGGTCCGCCTTGAAGATGCTAGTCTGTGGGGGTAGGCGGCACACACAGGTTTGGAAAGGCAAAGGAGTATCCTACACCGTCGGTAGACAGACCCATCTGTGAAGAGGGCAATGGAGAATGAGTGCAAAGAAAAGGCGTTTCATAATCGTAAGAGGGGTAGAAGCCTTTACCATGTGGGTCAAGGTCTTGCAAAACTTTGGAAGTTGGACCCTCCATGTGGGCAAAGATGAAACGGCATGAGGAGAGAGATTGCTAACATGAACTGAAAGGGAATCTTGCAAGCGTGACATCGATACAGAAAAAGGAAAGTGGGAGAAGAGAAGAGGGCCCACATGCGGGGTAATGGTAAGTGCACAACATAAACCAGTGAGGATATTGTGGGGACTGCAAGGTAGCGAAGACGGTAGCAATCATGACGATACTGTAGACACAGGACCAGTTCCAGCATACAATCTCTGGGTAGGGGATGACCAAAAGGCACCAGAGCTGAGACGTAACCCAGTATGGTGCAGAGCATCAAGATGAAGAAGAGTCCAGGACATTTTTTATATATATTTTTTGGGGGGGGGTGATGATGGGCTTGAGGTGGTTTGCAGCAATTGAATTTCATGCACAGATACCATCAATTAGATAAAGATAGATTAGTATAATGTGAGAAGGGCAGCGTGGGAGATAAAATATTTTAATATGATGTTTGCACCATTACAGTCACTGCTGGAAGCTCTGCAGCTGGTGATGTTAACTGTGAGTGAGGATCCAGTAGGCCACAGAGTTCTGTGCAGCACCGTCCTGGATCATTACCACCGTCTCCACACACACACCAACATCACACCCACAGACCAGTATACTGAGGCTGTCAACTACCTCAACGACATTGCTAACTACCAAGAAGGATATCTCACTCCAAGTGACCTTACACGATCATCCTGTCCACCTCTTCAGTAACTCTCGATATTGCTTACCATACTGTGAAAGCAGCATACCAGTCAATATAGGGTGAGGTGAGGAACGTATCTTATATCATTAAGGTGATATATTGTTAAAAACTTAGAATGATTTACGTACTGTACCAGAGCCAGACTTGACTATGCTGCACAACTTAACTGGACAACCTTATCTTTCACGCTTCTTGCACCAGTATAGTTAACAAGGGGATAACATTAATATTCACACAATCATTGACTATCTCTTCACCTTACGTTATAGATTGAGAACACTTAGAAACCCAATTAAGGCATACTGTTAATAGATGTATAGTAGTGTTTCTAGTTTATAAGGGAGTTTCAAGAAGAAACTGCTGGCCACTAAATGAAGTGAACAAAAAAAATACATTACATATTAGGCAATTTATCTACAATTGTTTTAAGTTAAATTTTTCAAATTGATATACAGTACTAGAACTTCTCAAGCAGTATACCAGCATTCCATTATATATTTTGTCTTAATCTTGAAACATTGTTTTAACTAAAAAATACTATTTGTGTTTATAATGAATATATAATAGTATTTTCCAATATACATTTTTTTTATTTTAGAAAATAACTTTTACCTACAAACAAAATTGTATAACTATATTAGACCAGATTTGTTCCAAAATCATTAGCTATTATCATAAATGCTAGATATCCAAGGTTAATGAATAAAATGGTTTGGTTATAGATATTTAATCTTAGTATATTGCACCATCACAACTTTGTTTTGGGTTAACTTGTTACTCAAGTATCAAAGCACATTATTAATACCTTTACAGAATCGTCTTTAGCAAAAAATATTGTATACAAGAATTACCTTAAAATATTGGTTATTCAAGTGATCTCCAATGCTAAAACTTTATATCACATCAAATTTACAGATCTGATATAAGCAGCAGAATATAATTTTCAATACTTAATGTAATATCTGATATGTGCAGATCATTTAAACCCAATATTTTCTGGTGAAAAATGCCATATTGATATATGCACTGTACCTCCAAAGGTGATAATAAAATATATTTATAAATTTCCAGTTTTATTACATAAAAGGACAAAGATCCTGACGTAACTTACCGCAGCCAAATGTCAGTGCTTGTGTTGGGATGTATATGGGCACAGTATTGACTTTGAGTAAGTTTTTCATAATGACTGATAAGTCAGTACCTTCCAACATCAAGAATGAAAGGGCTACTTTGATATGATATTCTTTTTTTCTCTCTCTCTCTCATTTTGTGATGCATAGCTGACCTACAAATTAGCCAAATGACTTGTAAATATTGCTCCTCATCCCCCCCCCCCCCTCAAACAAAAATTTACTCATTCACTCCAATCACACTTGTCTAATGGCAAATACAAGAGAATTTTCCCATTATTCTTTTAATATTATATATTTATAATTCACACGCTACCTCAACACATTGTACTATTCTGATTAAGGTTCTATTTTTAACACTAATATTTATGATACATATGCCACACATCACTCTTCCTTTCCCTTTAACAAAAATATAAAAACAGTATTGAATGTAACGAAACTTCTCTTTCTGGTTGAGCCCCATTTCACTGAGACTGCTTCATCTAATGGGTCAACTCAAGTCACAGGAGTTTTGTTTGGCCTACCAGGAACCAGAGCCACATCCTGGCACCTCTCAAGAGGAACAAGAAATGTGACAATTCTCCATCCCACCGGGAAAAAGTATCCATAACATCAGTGCTTAACAATACGAAGTCTAAAAACCGTAAGTTATCATAAGTCGATCCTGACCTCAGGCCGGACTCGGGGAGCAGAAACTCCCAGAACCATTCCCCAGTAAATCACCAAACTCTGAAAACAATTCAAAGATTATCTGGTTTCACACCACGTGATAAGCCACGTGCTTTACGAACGTCTGTTAACCAATTAGGGGTTGTTCGGATAACTGGATATCGGTTGAACCCCCTCCCCCAACTGGGGGTTGTTCGGATAACTGGATATCGGTTGAACCCCCTTCCCCCAACTGGGGGTTGTTCGGATAACTGGATATCGGTTGAACCCCCCTCCCCCAACTGGGGGTTGTTCGGATAATATTATAATATATATATATATATATATATAATGTCGTACCTAGTAGCCACAATGCACTTCTTGGCTTACTATGCAAGGCCCTATTTGCCTAATAGGCCGAGTGATTTTCTTTATTTTCAATAAATTGTTTCCAATTAGTTTCTTTAAATTATTATTATTATATTAGGAACATAAATTATTGACTTAGTTGTGTTGGTTTAGGTTAGGTTTAGATATGATAGGTTAGGTCGGGTTGGTTAGGTTCGGTCATATATCTACGTTAGTTTTAACTCAAATTTCAACAAATTAACTTATAAATAATGAAATGGACATATTTATCATTTCATAAGAAACATATATAAATTCAGGAAAACTTGGCTTATTAGGCAAATCGGACCTTGCATAGTAGGCAGAGTACGACGTTCTGGCTACAACATATATATATATAATATAATAATTTTGCATATAATATACAAAATATGCAATGATGGAACTAGTTTGCCCAGTGACCGTACACACCACCACTCGAGCAGTGTTAATACACTAATAGATGGCTCAGCAGCTTTCAACTCCACCATGGCATTAGGTACATTAAACCACATGGTAAAAAGCAGTCTGCCGTGGTTACCACACCACCATTAATCTCCACTTCAGTCAACCCAACACTATCATCATCCACCACCACCTTTTCTATCTAAATAACTTGAAGATTATAGTTGAAGCATTGTTAACAAGTATATCAGAACATCTATTGATGAGTACAAACACAACATTGTTGAATTCCTGCAACAAAATTTAAATATTCTTCCCCCTAGCTTTTCAGGATGACCAACCACTTACCTGAACACAACAGGTTATCCATTCAGTCTTAGTCCCAAGGGGTTCGGTTCGCCTCTCAGGGGTGAACTTCCAAACACACAAGAGAAGTGCATGGGTAGCATTAGCACTTAGGGATGAAAACCTGTGCATTTAAAAGAGCCAGGCTCTTAAATGCAACAGAAGCCAAGCCCACAAACCAAAGCCAGAGAGAGAAAACACCCATGTGAACCAACACCAAAATAAAGGAACGAAACAAGCTAATGGCCCATGCAGGACCGTAACATCAGTGACAGAACTGATCAGGGGAACTGGCTGAGGCTTGCCACTAGGAAACAAGGGCCACCTAGTAGCAGCTATCTGTACTTTTGAATGATTATCATGTTACATTTGAATCATTTGTAGAGTTCTTGGCAGTTTTAAGGCTTCATTTTCTATGGACCTGTAACACTTCACCGACTTACTGAATGCTTTCTCCGGTGGGAGGTAAACTGTCATTCACTCCTTGTGCCTTTGTGAGGAGGCCAGATTCTGGCTCTGGTCCCAAATAGAAGAAACAGAACTCCTGCGACTAATGAGACCCAATAGAGCAATTTCAGCAATATAGCTTCAGGGAGCCACTGTGGGGCTCCCCCAGAAAAACATCTCATGTACATTAATTTCCACAGAATACAAGTATAATGTAGGTAATTTCTCCAGCAAGTAAACCAAGCTATACAATCTTTTACTGTTATATGAAAGAGACATTGAAGTACAGAACAGTAGTTCTATTTGATCGATATGTATCAATTTCTAAATATCCTTTAGTCAAAAACACACATTTTGTTTCAATTATCTCAAAATTACTTTGCAATTTCTTACAACTCTCATGCAAATTCTCATACAAATGAAGAATATAATATTTCATACAGTATTTTCACATTTTCACTAATCCTCCCTCTATTTTAGGCCTTCAACTTCATTAGCAATTTCTTTACGAAGTAAATTTCAAAGCAAAGCGCTAACCAAGTATGGCTATATAGCACCGTATATGGTACATGACATACGAGAGCACCAAGATATTATTAATGTAGTCAGCTGGATTCATGCAAATTTAGATTAAGGAACATAGGGTGTATACGAATAGTAGGAAAGCAAAATTAACTTACAAAAGGACAAAGTGAGCAAAATGACTTCAAATTTCTCTAATTTAAATTTTAGTCTTCACTGTCATTGAAACCATTGAAACTTAAAACCAATTTAGAATCTTTCCTTTCTTTTGTGCTTTAAGTTTCTGGCAACAGTATTTGCTGGACAATAGGATGCCTTTTCACACTTTAACAAAAATAAATACTTCACTGCATCAATAATACTGAGGTCTAGTCTAGCATGGGCCACTATAATGTAATTATCATCGACCTGTCTCCAGCACTTGGCTAGTCTAGCACGTCTTAGATATCTTACCGTATGCTTAGGCATATTTTCACTGAAGGGTTACGAGGACTGTCTCTAGTTACCCTCATCAGAGCTACAAGCTCTAATGTCAGCACATCCCCACAACTTAAACACCGATACCAGACAGTGACACATTCATCAGTTACAGCCAATCAGTTATCTGCAGTGGATTAATCAACACGGTTAAAAAATTTAATTTACTAGTATTTTCTGGGGGTTGGGAGGGTCTATGCACACCAGTCAAAGATGTCCACAGTATCATCTGCAAGCCTACTCCATGCCCCAGTACTGACAGCCAACCAGACTATTTAACTAGTGTTTAGTTCCAAAAGCAGTAAACATTACAGAGGATTGCTGTATATTCACCAAAATATATTTACTAAATACTTTATAAAATCATGTTGCAACATATACACCACTCATTATGCAGCCCATCCTCCTAAGGTTTCCCAACGTCGAGAAAACTGTCAAATTAAGAGTGTCCACCATTAATGGACCCAATACAGAAAATGGGACAGCACGTCACTTTCGCCAGCCGCTTCCATTGTCAAGTACGACAACTTTTGGCCTTGTGTAATGCATACGATCGAAATGCGACGTTATTTGTAAGAGGACAGGTTGGTTGCAGTATGGAAGAGTATCAATGAGTATTGAATGAAAGTAGTGGTGAGAGTGGAGTCGAGTGAAAGAAGTGTGTTGAGCAAGAGCAGTGTTGAGTAAACAAGAATGTTCTGTGAAACTATGGAAAACTACGACATTTAAGTTATAACTAAGTAAACAGAGTGACTGGTAGTGCTGCTGGTGAAACAATTACTATCCTTCTTTATGGACTGGACAGAATAAAGCTTTCCCTAAATATTTAATTTATAATTCAGGGGGCATCCAATGTGACAGAGCATCCTGTGGGCCAGCAAATACATTGATAAGACAAATAAACTTCCTTTAGATTAACTCTGAAATTATGATCCTTAAGTAATTTTCTGGTGAACTGTCATATATGAGTACACTTAAAGAAATCTTTTAACATCATTCAACCAACTTCTGAACCAATAAAACTCATAGTTCGTAATCATGGATAAATGAAATTTATTAGGATATTTAAAACATATATAATGAAGACAACTCTTCATCGAAGACTCGTGATGTGAATATAAAGCTGGAAGTCTAGTCCAACCGTAAGGGTGAACTTTGTACACGAGATGTGATCCATGTGCTTTTTATGTACATTTACAAATGTCATCAAGTCTGCCAGTATGGCACACATTCTCGGCTAACAAATGCGATGAACTTCTTAATAATGATGAAATAATGTAAAATGATAGAAATGATTAGAATTAGACGGGTTGTTAACAAAAAGGCAAATTAAATATACTATTAGTTATACAACTGTCCATAGGACAGTTAGTCCTACCTTACACTCCCCTTTGTAGCCTCATTATGTGCCCACCAATACTTCCTGTCCTACCTAGACTGTAGTAGGTAGCACTCACATGCCAGCACTCACTTTCTATAGTACCCTCCCCCCCTCCTCCTCCTCCAATCAATGCAAAATAATTATCCCACTCTTTAGTTAAATACCCTTTGCACTTGCTGTCTGAAACCTAGAAGTAAAGCTTAGCATTAATACTATAATTAAATATTTATAACATTTCCCAATGACACTGAACCAAGGTATTTAATGTACTCAAATTGTGAAAAACTAGACACTAATGTGTATATATTTCAGATATACGTACAAGGGAAAAGTTCCCAGAAATTATTAACATCATGAAAAGAACTTTGTGAAACTACACAAAAATAAATGCAAATACATAGTCTCTAGCTTTTCACAAGTACTTTATGTTGCATTTCATGCATAGGTAAACCATTAGTCCTGAAAGAAAAAGAAAAAAAAAATATATACTGTACAAGAAACCCTATAAACACAACAGCCCATGCAATTGGGTATTTCTCTTAAATTGAGAAGGAAATTTTAGGACGAGTATTATTCTTCCCGAGGATAATTTTTTGTTCCTCACGCGTCCGCTTCTCCTGCTCTCTCTTAATCCTCTGCCGCTCCTCATCAATTTTCCGTTGCTCCTCGACCATCTGTAGCTGCTGCTCAGCCTGATAAACAAATGTGTCAGTGATCCTAAATCTAAAACTATACCGAATACTATACAATGAAATTTTATTTATAGTTATGGCAATGGGAATCCCCCCTTAATCAAATATTTACCATACCTTATTGTTCAGAAATTTCCTAGCACAGCAATTCACCAAAACTGGACTAACAAAATCCAGATCTGGACTTTTAAGGAATTACTAGTTCTTGATATCAACATCTTCCCTAATCATCTGAACTCATCATGTAATCCACATAAAATTCTTGGAGCAGTATGATTTCAATGAACCAGAGTTCTGGGTCATCCCAAATGCATGCCTTAACTCATGGGCCACAATACTGTACAGTACACTTAGAAGTTACACAACCTGGAGTCTGCCCAAACTCTAGGAATTTAGAGGCACGCTGGTTCGATCCAGCCATCCTGCTGGACCCATCCATGTGAAGCCATCCAGCCCCATAATTTTTCATAGATATCAAGTTATTGTGATTTCATTGTGTATTTCAAGGAGTGTTTGGTGGAGAACTACATTACCTATACCAGAGTGCATGTGGGTTACACGTAAAAATTGGATTGGGTACCAGCTCAGTGCTTCCATATTCCTAGTGAGTTCGGGGGAACTCCAGGTTGTGTCAAGGTGCATGTCTTGGTTGAGCCAGGACACCGGGTCAATACTGCCGCCCTGCTCCAAAGAATTTTTTCACATATATCACTATTGTAATTTCATTGCAATTGTAATCTACTTTATTGGTTTATGCTAGCCTGTGAGCACAACAGTACTTTACTCTGATTGAACAGGTGACCAGTTTCAACTAAACTTTCACTGAAGGCAACCAACAAAAAGCAAAAGACTTGTTCATGATCAAAAAAGGATAAACAGAGTGCATTCTATTTATGCCTAAATGTTTACAAAATGTGAATACCAGTGCAACAAGAAAACCACCTTTAAAGAGGAATTCTGAGCTGAGGAAGACAAGAATATGGGATGAAGACAAAAGTAATAGAATTTTCGATCCTATAACAAAGTAGACTCCAGAGGAACTTGAGGAAAGTGGAAGAAAAACTTCTACCCCAAAAGCAAGGAAGAAAGGCTCTGCCAAGGCTGAAATATATTGGGCATGATAAGGCACTTAATGAAGAGTAAAAGAGAAAGAACATGACCTCTGATGAAAGGCAAGGAAAATCCACACAAATGTAACTTTAAAAAGAGCAGCCACCAGACCCCTCACATAAAGGCAGCAGTACAAAATGCTACAAAACTCCACTTACAAAAAATTCAGAGGATACTCAAATATCCAGATAAGTCTGGCTGCTGATCATCTGAAAAAGGTGAAGTCACAGATACAGAAACGGGAAATGCCAGCCCACCCCAATGGCTCAAAGTGTCAAGAACTCGCAAGAGCTGATATCCTTTCACCACCCAACGATGTTTGTTGAGCATGAGTTGAGCATTAGGTTGAACCACTCCATCTGCTCCAGGTAAAGGTTTCCTGAAGATTCTCAACCCATGTTTTATATGTGGAGTGGATGGGGGTAAGCATTTCTGCTTATCCATCCAGTTTGTCCTCTTGCGATGGTACAAGCCAGAGCATGGTGCAGAACACAGTGCCACACCACACAACTTGCACTTATACCTGGTGTCCTTCCTTTTACCAGACTTGTAGCAGAAACGACACTTCAGACCTGTGTCAATGGTCAGAAACAATGACCAGGTAATGAACTGCCAGAACCCCTGGATACCTCCTAACCCTCACTGCTCTCCAGAGACAGAACCCAAGACAGATTAGAAAATACAGCAAGCAAAAATGCAAACTTCTTAAGAATATGAACCCAAAGGCAGACCACTGGCTGGCTAGATAGCCCACACCACGGCAAACCGGTGGTGTCTGTGGTGCAGATAATACAGTGAAACACCTGAATATGGGAGATATTCAGAATAGTCCCATATTCATTCAAAACACTGATATTCAAAACACCCCCCAGCTGAATAAGAGAGATACTTCCTGAATATGGAAGGAAGTATTCAAGATCACTACAGAACCGAATGCGAACTATGTTTAAACTATGTACACACTCGTCTGGGTCCTACCACTAGTTAATACCACTCGTCACCAGATAGCAGCCCTGGTGATCCAAGGGTTTTGGGAAGCCTTCCTAGTTATTCATGCAACTTCTGACCACCACGGGAAGGAAGGCAGGGTGCTCATACTCATTCCAAACTTCTTGACACACACACACACACACACACACACACACCCCATGTCTACCAACCTTATTCTGGGTCCTGCTTTTTTGCTCCTACCCTAAAGATCTATTCATTATTCTATCATCATCCATTCACACATGCCAAACTTGTAAAATAAAATTTATTACATTTAAAAGGCTAAGCACCACAAGCTTAGCTAAAATACAAGTATTTTTAGGTTGCAATGACCAATTTTTGTTTATATTATGCCCTTAAACACTTTCGGCAGGTGGGGGATGGAAATTGTGTCCATAAATAACTCTCAGATGGTAAGCGGGGATACATGTTGCGTTAAAAATTTAAATATTTGTTAAAACTCCATTTATTGTTTGATTTTTATGGAAAAAGTTTTAAAAAGCACTCCTTTAGATTGTCAACAATTTGATACAAAATGAATGATATAACACGATAATTGAGGTCAGATGACTGGAAAGATTATAAATACTTGTGTGGTGACGAGTGTCCAAAATTTAAATACTGTATGTTAAAATTACATTTATTGTTCCAATATTATGGGACTAGTTTTAAAATGTGTACCTTTAGATGGCAAACAATTTGATATTAAAATGAAAGAAGCAGTCTGAAAATTAAGGTCAAAACACTGAAAAGATCACTACTCAAAAGATCGCTCGACAAAAGATCGCTCATCACTTGTGTAGTGATGAGTGACCAAAATTAAAATATTGGTTAAAATTCCATTTACCGTTTGATTATTATGGGACTAGTTCTAAATGCACGCCTTTCGATTGTGAACAATTTGATACCAAAATGGACGATGCAGCATGAAAATTGAGGTGAGAAAACTGAAGTGTATATACATTTTAGTGCAGGTGTAGATAGGTGCTTGCTTATGGGTAATGCCTGGCAGATTTTCAGGTTTGCTGAAGCACAAAAGCGCACCCGCTTTTTTTTTAACCTTATATGCCTATATCCCTTTAGAAAATTCTATTGCCAACAATTTGATACCACAATGAACGACGTAGCACAAAAATTGAAGTAAAAAAACTGTAAAGAGTATACAAATTTTAGTGTTGGTGCGCGTTCACAAGAAACACCAGGCCGACCCTGGGATGGGCTAGGGAGCGCGTGCCTGGCCACGCAAAGTGTTAACTTTAGATATCCAGATCACTGTAAACCCAAATAAACATAGTTTCAGCAAACAGTGTATATTCAAACGGCCTCCAACAAAACTACAGTAACACAGGGGTTTTGGACAATAATCCATTTATCCTCATTTTCAAAGTGATCTATTTAATTATTGTAATTTTCCACACACTTAAATAGAGCTTTTCAAAATTATTAAGCCAACACTTCTTTAACTTATTTTAATATGGAGAATCAAAATTAAGAATATTAGAACTTACCAATTTCATCTGTGCAATTTCTATCTTTCTCTTATTCTCCTCCATAATCCGTTCCAGCTCCTCACGTTGCTTACGTTCCTCCTCCTAGAAAACAGAATAAGGCGTCACACAAGCGTCAGAATTGACTAAGTATGGTGGACAAGTAAATGGAAGCTAGTTACCAGACATCAACACTTCTGCAATATAACAACTTTGAAATTATCCTTCTTTATGTATATCATTAGTAAAATGCTGAGCTCATCAAAGACCCTACTGATCTCTAGTTCTGTAAGTAAACATTGTGGGAGGTGTACTTATGTCTTTAAACATATTTGTAAATATATATATTCAAGGACATGTGTAAACCTCTTACAATTCAATCTTTAATGACAAAAATCTTTATAAATTTTTATGAAATATACTGAGCAAGTCTGCGTGCAGACCTTGATATGAGAAGTGAAAGATATTTAATAACTAGCAGAAAATAACTACCATAAAATGAAATTCATATCAAACATCAATGGTCACATTGGGTACAAAGGCAAAGGGAAATATATGACAATACAGACTTTAAAATAGCACTTAATTCAGAGTTAAATAATTCTATTAGCAAGCATGTTGGTCTGACTAGTCAACAATGAAGAAAAAGAACAGGAAATTTGTGTATGTACAACATGCTTGCTTCAAACACTAAGACACAAGACACAGTAAAAAAAATCTCCCTGCAAAGGATCCATAACAACACTTTAATTTAACTCCTGAGCAACAAACTAAATAGAAATTGCTGATACTTTGCAAGAAGAATCTAGACACAACAAAACACATTAAACTGGCAAGCTTCCACTGCTAGCCATGAAAAATCAGTGTCTTATTTCATCAAGCAATAAAAAACATAGTTTAAGCTTTTACGTTCCATTCTTACTCATCTAATGGAAACATACTAGCTTAATGAATTTATGCTGCATCCATTATAAAAATCACTATACCTGTTATATAGTTACCATAAAGATGCCGTCAAATCCACTCCTAGAACTGCTCTGGCCTAAAATCCGCAGCTGACAATTCTTGGTTGCAAGCCGCCATTATTATGTCTAGTCTGTTTAGAGTGGTTGTCCACTAAAGTGCCTCATTGCCACACTGCTATGTTCGTGTGTTTCCAGACAAACATAAACGGATCATACACACAACCATCTACACACACACACACACCACACACACATGATGAGGAATATGAAGGATATACATAATATTCACAAGGAAATACACGTATACAACGGTATAATAATAAAACACAAATGATAGAGAAGGGGGGGGAGACAACAGCCAGTCACTTCACACTCAACATGGTAACTGTCTGGGAGCAACGTGATTAAACTTTATCACATACCAAAGTTTACAAAGTTTGTACAGCACATCTCTGGAATCTTTAATTGGCTCAAATTCACATTTCACTTTCAAAACACAAAGAATCAGCTGAAAGAGTGTGAGTTAGTCTTCATGCAGAATGGAAATTTATTGATCTTATCTTTTTTTTTTACCTAGTTATGAATTAAATAACAGTTATTAGACAAATGTATTACAGTATATTATTATTCTGCAGTCCTTTCCTGACAACCAACTGTAGAAATTATATTAATCCTATCACTCCTGATTTGATTGCAGAGTACAACATGATTGTCTACACTAATCACTGTGGATGACCTTAAAAAATAAAAATAATAATAATGCCATTGACCATAAGCAACTGAGGCCTCACATCACATTAAGTTGATTGTTTAGAGATCTCTTAATAAATATTGATTAAAAAGGTTCGTGAAACCCAGACCTACTCCAGAGAACGAGTCCCTCCCATGAATCAACCACCCAGGCTCCCACTCTGGTGCAAAAGCTTTAGCCTTCCTGAAATTGGTAGCTGCATAGGTATTGCCCTAGAAAGCAGCCCATCTGAATCTCCCACATTGAGAATGAAGTTAGGAGCACTGTGTAAACTTCCCTCCCTAAAAGTCTGCATTCTAGAGCTCCAGCAAATAAGGCTCAATAAAGCCAGCAAAAAATCCCCGGTGAAGCCCAGGGAGAGAAGCTCTACCTCTCGCTTCTTCTGATCCTCCTCCTGCTGACGACGTTTTTCTTGTAACTCCTCTAGCATCTGCTGTTCCATGAGGCACTTGGCCTCCTCCACTCGACGTAACACTTCAGCTTCTATTTCATCTCGTCTACGTTCCAGCTCCTCCTCTACTCTGCGTGCTACTAATTCTTCCAATCTTTTAGCTGCAACTTCCTCTACCAGTTTTTGTTCTGCTTCTCTCTGCCTCCTGAGATGTATAAAGTACAAACATAATTAACCAGTATGCATGTCATTAAAATGTTATTTAACTCTATTTATAATCTATTCTATTCTATATATAATTACTTATTCCTATATCCTAAATTTCAGCCAGCCTTAAATCATCTGTAGCTACATCTCATCTATACTTTCCTGACTTTTTTTCCTTTCATTTGAAAGACAGTAATAAGATTTTCTCCTTAGCACCATATATAGAAATTGTAACAAGCATTAACAGAAACGACACTTAAAATATAACATGCTTCAAAACAAGAAATAGTAGAATAACAAACCTAACTCTCTCCAGCTCAGCCAACCTGTCCACTTCATCAATCTTCTTTTCTCTTGTTCTAGGTTCCTCGTCACTGGTTGTGGATGATGATGATGAGCGTGACAATTTACGACTGGAAAAGCAGAATCATACAAATGATTAAAATTGTATGAACAAAATAACAGCAGTCGAGGGCAAACATAATAAAAACAACTGCATTAAATAATCAGATGAAATAAAGTAATGAAATACAGTGCAGATAAATCCCACCCTCCATACCTTCCCACTCCCCTCTTACTGCATGTGTACATGCTTGTACGTGTGTGTACCTGGCCTTGAGTAAAAGCATGTACTTGACAATGTGTGTGTGTAATTACCTAAGTGTAGTTACAGGATGAGAGCTACGCTCATGGTGTCCCGTCTTCCCACATATAACACTTTGAAACTACTGACGGTTTTGGCCTCCACCACCTTCTCACCTAACTTGTTCCAACCGTCTACCACTCTGTTTACAAAAGTGAATTTTCTTATATTTCTCTGGCAACTTTGTTTCATTAGTTTAAATCTATGACGTCTTGTTCTTGAAGTTCCGGGTCTCGGGAATTCTTCCCAATCAATTTTATCGAATCCTGTTACCATATTGTATCACCATTACCATTGTAGTGATCATATCGCCTCTTTTTCTTCTCTAGTTTTTGCACATTTAATGCCTCTAACCTCTCCTCGTAGCTCTTGTCCTTCAGTTCTGGGAGCCATTTAATGGCATGTCTTTGCACCTTTTCCAGTTTGTTGATGTGCTTCGTACGATATGGGCACCATACTACCGCTGCATATTCCAGCTTTGGTCAACAAAAGTCGTGAACAATTTCTTTAGTATTTCGCCATCCATGTACTTAAAAGCAATTCTGAAGTTAGAAAGTGTAGCACAGGCTCCTCGCATAATATTCTTAATGTGGTTCTCAGGTGACAGTGACAGTTTTCTATCTAGAAGCACCCCTAGATCCCTTTCTTTGTCAGAATTCTTTAAAGATTTCTCACATAATTTATAGGTTGTGTGGTACGTTATGTGGCATAGATAAATGCCACATTACATAACATGGCATTTATTCACATTAAATTCCATTTGCCAAGTAGTGCTCCATATACTTATTTTGTCCAGATCTTGAAGGGCATGACAATCATCTAGGTTTCTTATCTTCCCTATTCTCTTAGCATCATCAGCAAACATGTTCATATTATTCTGTATACCAACTGGTAGATCATTTATGTAGACAATAAACATCACTGGTGCAAGAACTGAACCCTGTGGTACTCCACTTGTGACATTCCTCCAATCCAATACATTGCCTCTGATTACAGCCCTCATTTTTCTATCAGTTAGGACATTTTTCATCCATTTTTCATCCATTTTCCATCCATTTTTCATCCATCCAGCTTACCTGTCACCCCTCCAATATGTTTCAGTTTCCAGAACAACCTCTTATGTGGAACTCTGTCAAAAGCCTTTTTTAGGTCCAGATAGATGCAGTCAAACCAACCATCTCTTTCCTGTAAAATATCTGTGGCTCGATCATAGAAACTGAGTAAATTCGTTACACAGTATCTTCCAGATTGAAAACCATACTGTCTGTCTGATATTATATCATTTCTCTCCAGGTGTTCTACCCATTTACTTTTATCTTTTCCAATATTTTGACTAATACACTTGTCAAAGATACGGGTCTATTATTGAGGGGGTCCCTTCTGCTACTTTGTAGATTAGAACTATGTTAGCCATTTTCCACACACATCTGCTATGATTCCTGTACACAGGGATGCCTGAAAAATCAGTTGAAGTGGAATGCTGAGCTCAGGTGCACATTCTATCAGAACCCATGGTGAAACTCCATCGGGACCAACTGCTTTGTTCTTACTTAGCTCTAAGGGGATTTTTTCCACTTCGTCTCTAGACACCTCTATGTGCTCTGTGTTGTTCTCTGGAACTCTTATTGTGTCTGGTTCCCTGATGATTTCATTTTGTACAAACACGCTTTGGAAATTTTCGTTTAATGTTTCACACATTTCCTTTTCATTTTCCGTGAATCTATTTCCCATATTCAACCTGTGAATATTATCCTTTACCTGCAATTTGTTGTTTATGAATTTATAGAATAGACCTGGTTCTGTTTTACATTTGTCTGCAATCCCTTTTTCAAAACTTCTTTCTGCCTCTCTCCTCACTGCCGTGTAGTAGTTTCTCGCATCTTTGTATCGCTGGTATGTTTGGGAGTTTGGCCAAAGTTTGGTGTATGTGTGTGTACCTGGCCTGGAGTACAAGCATGTACTTGACAATGAGTGTGTGTGTGTACCTGGCCTGGAGTACAAGCATGTACTTGACAATGAGTGTGTGTGTGTACCTGGCCTGGAGTACAAGCATGTACTTGACAATGAGTGTGAGTGTGTGTACCTGGCCTGGAGTACAAGCATGTACTTGACAATGAGTGTGTGTGTGTACCTGGCCTGGAGTACAAGCATGTACTTGACAATGAGTGAGTGTGTGTACCTGGCCTGGAGTACATGCATGTACTTGACAATGAGTGTGTGTGTACCTGGCCTGGAGTACAAGCATGTACTTGACAATGAGTGTGAGTGTGTACCTGGCCTGGAGTACAAGCATGTACTTGACAATGAGTGTGAGTGTGTGTACCTGGCCTTGGAGGGACGTTCCTTGGACCTCTCGCGGTCTCTATGTCTGCGCCGCTCCCTCTCGCGGGACCGAGACCTTCTCTTGTGTGACCTCTTGCTCTTGTGTCTCTTGGGAGTCCTGCTCCTGGAGCGTGATCTGCCCATGGCTGGTGGAGGCGGGGGTGGTGGTGCAGGTTACCGGGTCTCACAACACACTCCACAACACGACGCCATTTGCTACTGCAGCTAAACAACCTCCGTTTCCTCCCTATTTTCTCCTTCTTCTGAAAACGAATAACAAAGCATATTCAGTCTTGCTAGTCCCTTAGGATCATAGCGTAATTTTTTCCTAGATCGTATTTATATTCTGTATTTTAAAAGTCCTTTATATTTACTTACAGAAATAATAATGAAACTATAAGTTATAAGAGCAAATATTATTGGAAGGGTGGTCGGAGGAGGTCTCCTGGCATAATAATGGTACCGGCGGCTCCCACCTCTCTACCTAACTACCTCATCAAGATTGTAACTGGCTTAGCTAAATGAATTGTGAGGTTCAGTCCCTGAGCCCATTATGTGCCTCTGTAACCCTTTCCACTACCGCCCACAAGATGGGTATGGGGTGCATAATAAATGAACTAAACTAAACTCTCTACCCTTCCTCCCTTATCTTTACATACACAATTTGTAGGTTTACGTAAAGATAAATTAATTACATCTACATTACAACCAAAGCCAATTATTTAAGCCAATCATATATAATTGCCTTTGGATGTAATGTAGATGATTTGACTGCATTATCCTGCATATAATAATTCATTGATATAAATGGATCGAGGATGTCTATATACTCTTTATACTCTTTTGAAACAAATTCGGGTGTCGAATATGTCTTACGTAATACCCTGACACAAGGACAGAAAATCAGTGGGAGATTTGGACTAATACACATGTGCTACATGAGTCCTGGCTTAAGGCTTTCTTTTTATAATTACTTTACATGTGGTGATCAGTCTGTTAAAGGGGATTCTTGTATTGTGATTTGTGTATCTGTACTCACTGAATTTGTGCGCCCCTCGAGGGACTTGAAATAGAGGGGGGTAGAAATAGCCTGATACTCTATCCCTTTGAGATGTATATTTTTCTTGTCTCAATAAACACACTTGAACTTGCACTTGAGCAGTCTGTGGGCTGCCGGGTCAGAGTTCCAGTTACTTGTGAGAACTAAACCTCACACAACAAGATGAGACGACGACGTTTCGGTCCGTCCTGGACCATTATCAAGTCGATAGTTCACAGGCACCGCTCCTGTCAGGTAAGTCCACCACGGGCTCACTATATATAGCCCGTGCTACTTGCCCCGCTCCTCAAGTTCAAGTTCAAGTATGTTTATTGAGATAAGCAATAAATACATCTCAAAGGGATAGAGTAGCTTAGGCTATTTCTACCCCCCTCTACTTCAAGTCCCTCAAGGGGCGCACAAATTCAGTGAGTACAAATAGACATATAACAGTACAAGAATCCCATTTAACATTGCATACAGCAAGTACAGCATATAATTGTTACATTCTTGGGGCAAAATTCTTGTAGCTCCTAAGTATACTGTCTATTATACCATTATCACACATCCAAACAATTTGATGTGGTACACTATTTATTTCCTTATTTCTATATTTTTCAATAAGGTGACACTCTAATACATAATGTTCTAAGGTGTGGGCGTACGGCATACTACATAATTTACACTCCTTATCTTTTTCACTGACATCAACACCGTATTGCCAGATATATTTATATCCTAATCGTAATCTCATGTAAATTGAATCCTTCCAAGTAGACTTTCCTTTACCATAAGTGAAGGACGAATTTGTATTTATTATTGAATAATTCTTAAGTGTGTTACTACTGTCCACCATTGCCATTCTCTTTATCATTTCTTCACCCTCCTGAATCACCTTGAGTCTTGTTTTTATTTGTTTCAAGGTTAACTGACATACAACATCAACAAGAGTTTTTTCAGTGGCTCTCTTCGCTATGTCATCAACTACCTCATTCAACAGTATTCCCACATGTGAAGGGATCCACATGAATCTTACCTTATACCCAGTTTTTTCTAGTTTCTTAACATTCTCTCTACACTCTATCACAATATTCTGATATACTGGGCGTCTGCTATTTAAAGACTCTAACGCTCCTCTGCTGTCAATAAAGAAGCAAGCATTTTTACCACATTTGACTACTTCCTGTAATCCTGCTAATACTCCTTGGAGTTCAGCCTGCGTTGAAGAGACATTGTCAGTTAAGCGGCGTCCAATAACAGTATCTACAGTGCCGATGTCAGTGTACTCCCTGATCAAGACTCCACATCCTGCCTTCCCATCTCTAGCTACTGACCCATCACAATATACATGTAGAGTGTTTTCCGTAGGCAGTTTTCTAATTATACAATCATATGTTGCCCTCAGCTCTCCTATTTCATACATACTTTTTTTCTTATGCAAGGGAGTAATTACTACATCTACATTACAATCCTCCCATGGTGGTGTAAATTTTCTCTTGGGCACATCAATACACTCTGTAATAACATCATACTTTATAACATTATAACATAATTTATTCATATATACTCCCTTCTTCATCATACACTGTTCACTACTTCCCACCTTTTGAACCGAGAGGATTAATTCATTAGCTCCCCCACCTCTCATTAATCTAATGGCAGAGGCTACATTTATCTCTGAAATTCTATCCCCAATACTCTGCAGATTCAACTCCATCCTCATTATCTCAATCATAGCATTTCTTGGGCATCCTAAGATAATTCTCATTGCTTCATTTTGTACCTTCTCCAACTTGCCCATCCTACCTTTACCAAAACAAGAAACGACAGGTGCAGCATAATCAATATGAGATCTTACAGTACTCAAGTATAACATTCGTAGCACAGGGACTCCCACTCCGGCCTGTGCTACTTGCCCCACTCCTGTGCCAGGTAAGTCCACCACCGGCTCACTATAGCCCGTGCTACTTGCCCCGCTCCTGTGCCAGGTAAGTCCACCACGGGCTCACTATAGCCCGTGCTACTTGCCCCGCTCCTGTGGCAGGTAAGTCCACCACGGGCTCACCATAGCCCGCGCTACTTGGAACTTGTTCCGAGTAGCTGAATCTATAACAACAACAACAACAACAGTCCCTGAGCCCATTATGTGCCTCTGTAACCCTTTCCACTACCGTCCACAAGATGGGTATGGGGTGCATAATAAATGAACTAAACTAAACTTGTGGTGGGAGCCAGATTGATTGATTGATGAAGATTAAGGCACGGGCATGAATAGCCTGTAAGATGGCAAGGGCATGAATAGCCCGTAAGTGGTGGCCCTTTTGAGCCATTACCAGTATCAAGAGCTGATACTGGAGATCTGTGGAGGTGCGACATGAAGATTTTGCCACCCAAGAGGTAGCATGGGCATGAATAGCCCGTAAAGGGAGCGAGGTGGTTGTTGTTTTAGATTCAGCTACTCAGAACAAGATGTTCCAGTAGCACGGGCAATGGTGAGCCCGTAAGTGAAGGCTCTATGGAGCCTTTATCTGTATCAAACCTTTATCAGAGCCTCAAGGCTCTGTCTCAAGGCTGGGGACCTCTGATATTCATAAGATATATAAATGATTTAGATTCAGGTTTGAGCAGCAACATTTGCAAATTTGCCGATGATACAAAAATCGAGGGAAATAACCACGGAAATAGACTCACTATCATTTCAAGACGATCTAAACAGGGTTCTGAAATGGTCATCTCATCTATATATATAAAATGCTGAACTGTAATGTCAATCCTGACCTTAAAAGCTTCCTAGAAGGTTGTAACAAAACCCATGGGCACCACACCAGAAACAAATACCTATTTGATATTCCAAGAGTACGACTTAATGTCTTAATCAAACGAGAAATGCTCTACAAATCAAGGGACCCAGACTGTGGAATAACCTTCCCAATCATGTCAAAGGCTATATTTCTCTCAACCAGTTTAAAATAAAAACTAATACCTAATAAACTTGCGAGGCCCATGCGAGGCAAGACAAATCCTAAAGGGTTTTTTCAGTTATATCGTACTAAGACTAGGGAAAGGATAGGTCCATTAAAAACTGAGACAGGTCAAATAACAGATAGTGATGAAGAGATGAGTAGTATTTTTAATAAATATTTTGTATCTGTATTTACTAAAGAGGAACTTAACAATATGCCTTCAGCCGAACAAGTCTATGTGGGTGGGGACGAGGACAGGTTGACGAGTTTAGCAGTTACCAGGGAGGATGTTCTTAAACAAATAGTAAAACTCAAACCAAACAAATCCCCAGGGCCGGATGAAGTGTTTGCTAGGGTGCTTAAAGAATGCAAAGAGGAGCTTTGTGACCCACTGTCAACCATATTTAATAAATCAATAGAGTCAGGCAGAGTGCCAGAGTTTTGGAAAGTTGCTAATGTGATACCAGTTTTTAAGAAAGGAGATAGATCACTTGCGTCTAACTATCGACCAATTAGCCTAACGTCTATTGTGGGAAAGTTACTCGAATCTATAATAGCAAATAAAATTCGTCTTCATCTTGAAAAACATAAATTAATAATTGAGTCGCAACATGGTTTTATAAATGGCCGTTCATGTTTAACAAATTTGTTATCTTTTTATTCTAGCATTGTTGAGGCAGTTGATAGTGGTAAGGATTGCGATGTTGTATACCTTGACTTTAGCAAAGCTTTTGATACAGTGCCACATGAAAGACTGATTAAAAAAATAGAGTCTCATGGTATTGGGGGTGCTATATTAAGGGAGGATGTTCTTAAACAAATAGTAAAACTCAAACCAAACAAATCCCCAGGGCCGGATGAAGTGTTTGCTAGGGTGCTTAAAGAATGCAAAGAGGAGCTTTGTGACCCACTGTCAACCATATTTAATAAATCAATAGAGTCAGGCAGAGTGCCAGAGTTTTGGAAAGTTGCTAATGTGATACCAGTTTTTAAGAAAGGAGATAGATCACTTGCGTCTAACTATCGACCAATTAGCCTAACGTCTATTGTGGGAAAGTTACTCGAATCTATAATAGCAAATAAAATTCGTCTTCATCTTGAAAAACATAAATTAATAATTGAGTCGCAACATGGTTTTATAAATGGCCGTTCATGTTTAACAAATTTGTTATCTTTTTATTCTAGCATTGTTGAGGCAGTTGATAGTGGTAAGGATTGCGATGTTGTATACCTTGACTTTAGCAAAGCTTTTGATACAGTGCCACATGAAAGACTGATTAAAAAAATAGAGTCTCATGGTATTGGGGGTGCTATATTAAGCTGGATTAGGGCATGGCTATACCAAAGGAAACAGAGAGTTAGTATAAATGGAATCAAGTCAGAGTGGGAAAATGTTGTAAGTGGAGTGCCTCAAGGCTCTGTCCTGGGACCTCTGTTGTTTATAATATATATAAATGATTTAGATTCAGGTTTGAGTAGCAACATTTGCAAATTTGCCGATGATACGAAAATCGGTAGGGAAATTAATTCGGAGGAGGACTCACTATCACTTCAAGTTGATCTAGATAGGGTTTTGAAATGGTCAAAGGATTGGCAGATGCAGTTTAATGCTGATAAATGTAAAGTTCTGAGGTTAGGTAATGATGATAGAGTTACAAGATACGAGCTAGATGGTGTTGTGATTGCGAAGTCGGATTGCGAAAGGGATCTGGGAGTTATGATTAGTAAGAATTTAAAACAAAAGGATCAATGCATAAATGTTCGTAATAAGGCAAATCGGACACTTGGATTTATTAATCGCAGCGTTAGTAACAAGACACCTGGTGTGGTTCTCAAGCTATATCTTGCTCTAGTTAGGCCCCATTTAGATTATGCAGTTCAGTTTTGGTCGCCATATTATAGAATGGATATAAATTCACTTGAACGTGTCCAGCGTAGGATGACTAAGTTAATTCCCCAAATTAGAAATCTTTCATATGAAGAAGATTAACAAAGCTTAAGTTGCATTCACTGGAAAGGCGAAGAGTTAGGGGTGACATGATAGAGGTTTACAAGTGGATGAATGGACATAACCGGGGGGATATTAATAGGGTATTAAAAGTATCAACACAGGACAGAACACGAAACAATGGATATAAATTGGATAAGTTTAGATTTAGGAAAGACTTGGGTAAATACTGGTTCAGTAACAGGGTTGTTGATTTGTGGAACCAATTGCCGCGTAACATTGTGGAGGTGGGGTCCCTCGATTGTTTCAAGCACGGGTTGGACAAGTATATGAGTGGGATTGGGTGGTTATAGAATAGGAGCTGCCTCGTATGGGCCAATAGGCCTTCTGCAGTTACCTTTGTTCTTATGTTCTTATGTTCTTATTAAGCTGGATTAGGGCATGGCTATACCAAAGGAAACAGAGAGTTAGTATAAATGGAATCAAGTCAGAGTGGGAAAATGTTGTAAGTGGAGTGCCTCAAGGCTCTGTCCTGGGACCTCTGTTGTTTATAATATATATAAATGATTTAGATTCAGGTTTGAGTAGCAACATTTGCAAATTTGCCGATGATACGAAAATCGGTAGGGAAATTAATTCGGAGGAGGACTCACTATCACTTCAAGTTGATCTAGATAGGGTTTTGAAATGGTCAAAGGATTGGCAGATGCAGTTTAATGCTGATAAATGTAAAGTTCTGAGGTTAGGTAATGATGATAGAGTTACAAGATACGAGCTAGATGGTGTTGTGATTGCGAAGTCGGATTGCGAAAGGGATCTGGGAGTTATGATTAGTAAGAATTTAAAACAAAAGGATCAATGCATAAATTTTCGTAATAAGGCAAATCGGACACTTGGATTTATTAATCGCAGCGTTAGTAACAAGACACCTGGTGTGGTTCTCAAGCTATATCTTGCTCTAGTTAGGCCCCATTTAGATTATGCAGTTCAGTTTTGGTCGCCATATTATAGAATGGATATAAATTCACTTGAACGTGTCCAGCGTAGGATGACTAAGTTAATTCCCCAAATTAGAAATCTTTCATATGAAGAAAGATTAACAAAGCTGAAGTTGCATTCACTGGAAAGGCGAAGAGTTAGGGTGACATGATAGAGGTTTACAAGTGGATGAATGGACATAACCGGGGGGATATTAATAGGGTATTAAAAGTATCAACACAGAACAAAACACGAAACAATGGATATAAATTGGATAAGTTTAGATTTAGGAAAGACTTGGGTAAATACTGGTTCAGTAACAGGGTTGTTGATTTGTGGAACCAATTGCCGCGTAACATTGTGGAGGTGGGGTCCCTCGATTGTTTCAAGCACGGGTTGGACAAGTATATGAGTGGGATTGGGTGGTTATAGAATAGGAGCTGCCTCGTATGGGCCAATAGGCCTTCTGCAGTTACCTTTGTTCTTATGTTCTTAAACTCCCTATAACGTACCTTATCCCTAAATATCAACCCATGTCTTGCTATTTTTAACAATGCTGTTTGTCGACCAACTTGTATAATTGCTATTTTATGCCATGTCCCCCTCCCCTTTTTTTATTCCTTTTTTTTTCAACACAATTTATTCTTTAAGCTCAATTACTGTTAAGTTTTAGTCTAAATGTTTGTTCCCCCCACACCCCCACACCTTGCCCGGAACGCTAAGCGTATTAGTGGCTGTAGGTATTGTATGTACTAGCTCTATCTTTAAATCCAACATTATGTTTGTAACTCATCTTCAATGTATGTACCTTTACCTGAATAAAAAATCTAAATCTAAATCTAGTTTTGGTCGCCGTACTATAGAATGGATATAAATTCACTTGAACATGTCTAGCGTAGGATGACAAAGTTAATCTCCCAAATTAGAAACCTGTCATATGCAGAAAGATTAACAAAGCTTAAATTGCAATCACTGGAAAGGCGAAGAGTTAGGGGTGACATGATAGAGGTTTACAAGTGGGCGAATGGACATAACAAAGGGGATATTAATAGGGTATTAAAAGTATCAACACAAGACAGAACACGAAACAATGGGTATAAATTGGATAAGTTTAGATTTAAGAAAGACTTGGGTAAATACTGGTTCAGTAACAGGGTTGTTGATTTGTGGAACCAATTACCGCGTAACGTGGGGTAATTGGGTCCCTCAATTGTTTCAAGCGCGGGATGGACAAGTATATATAATAATAATAATAATAATAATTTTTATTTAGGCAAAGGTACATACATAAAGAGATTTTACAAAGTTTGTTGGCTTTATAGATAGGAGCTAGTACATACAATGCCTAAAGCCACTATTACGCAAAGCGTTTCGGGCAGGAAATATGAGTGGGATTGGGTGGTTATAAATAGGAGCTGCCTCGTATGGGCCAATAGGCCTTCTGCAGTTGCCTTTGTTCTTATGTTCTTATGTTTAACACAAGACAGAACACCAAACAATGCGTATAAATTGGATAAGTTTAGATTTAGGAAATACCTGGGTAAATACTGGTTCGGTAACAGGGTTGTTGATTTGTGGAACCAATTACCACGTAACATAACAAAAGTTGGATCTCTTAATTGTTTCAAGCGCAGGTTAGACATACGTATATATGAATATATGAATGAGATTGGATAGTATAAATAGGAGCTGCCTCGTATGGGCCAATAGGCCTTCTGCAGTTACCTTTATTCTTATGTTCTTATGAGTGTAAAAGTACCAATCTTATGTAATTTCACTAACCCATTGTACCTTCTTGTAAATAAAAATTATTATTATTATTATTATATTTTTATAAAGTGGCTGCTGGTCCCTGGATATAATGAATTATAAATAAATAAATATATTATATAATATATAAATACCAATTTATATAATTGTTAATTTATTTACGAGAGGAAGTATGATGAATCGTCTTTTTATTCATCTTCATATTACAGATCAATGAAAAATTCGTTGGCGTGTGAATGTGGCTGATATCTCCATCCTGAGCGGCCGGAACCAAGCTTCTGTTCCTGGCCACATATAACACATAGCCACACTACCAATGGCAACAAAGTACTTTTAAAGTATTTAGATAATTAATTGAACTGGGAAAAATCACTTAAAAATATTTTGTATGCGTAAATAAGAGGAATGTTGGGGAAGTGAGAGAGTGGCAACAGTGTCAGAGTGGAGTGTAAACAAACGTGTCCAGCAGAGGCCTGGACGCCTCCTGTGATGGGTGCTTAGAAAACGTCTTGAGACGTGGTAAGTACACGGGCTTCATGTCACATGGGTGGTGAGGGAAGAGCCACGTGACGGTGTGGAGGTGAGTGTGAGGGGCAGGTGAGGAGACCAATCCACCACTAGCGGCAGGTTTTGGCCGCCTCTACCGTAGGGCCTGTGTTTACCTTGAGCCTGAGTTTACTCTTGTTTACTGCTTTTATTGTGCTCTCCATACTCGTCCTGTGAGTGTCTAGTTTACTGCCGTTATTACTTTGCATGTGTGTATCCTCTAAGCCAGTTAGAGCATTGGTGAGCTTGTTAGGGAATACTGCATCTAATCATGTACATCAAGTATCACTCGTCTTGTGAGTGAACATAAGAATGAGGGTAACTACAGAAGGCTTATTCGCCCATACGGGGCAGCACCTATTTATATCCACCCAAACTCATTCATATATGAATGAGTGTCATATATGAAACTCATTCATATATGAATGAGTTTGTCTAACATAATGACAATGTCTGGTAATGTCTAACCTATGCTTGAAACAATCGAGGGATCCTACTTCTAGTATGTTACACGGTAATTGGTTCCACAAAACAACCCTGTTACTGAACAAGGTTGAACAGAACAATACTGAACATTTACCCTGGTCTTAACCTAAATCTAAACTTATCCAATTTATACCCATTGTTTTGTGTTCTATTTTGTGTTGACACTTTTAATACCCCATTAATATTCCCCTTTATGTCCATTCATCCACTTGTACACCTCTATCATGTCACCCACAATTCTTTGACTTTCTAGTGAATGTAAATTCAACTTTGTCATTTTTTTGTCATATGACAGATTTCAAATTTGAAGGATTAACTTTGTCATCCTACGCTGGATTTGTTCTAGTGAATTTATATACATTCTATAGTATGGTGACCAAAACTGAACTGCATAATCTAAATGGGGCCTAACAAGAGCAAAATATAGCTGGAGAATAACACCAGGTGTTTTATTACTAATGCTTTGAACATACTGCCATGGTTATCGTTGCCGGTGGAAATGAGGTAGGACGAGTTAGGAGTGAGGCACTGATACAGAGGTTTAAGACATCCATAGAATAGGAGCAAGGGAGGAATCCCAGTCATATGTGGCATTCTTCCAAGAAAGGGAGTTGGATATGAATGGTTGTTGAGAGCACTTGGTGTCAGTTGCCAGCTGGACAAATATTGTAAATCAAATGCAATATCCTTCTTTGATTCTATTTTATATTACTGTATTTGTATTTACAAAAAAAAATATTTTATTTCTAAGATATATGCTACATATGAGATACAGTACTGTACATTGTATGATGTGTTTCAGAATATTGTATATATCAAGAGATAACATCCTTTTGTACAATCAAATCTAGATTAAGTTTAATTTAATGTTTCAAATTATTTTTTTAACAGAATCCAGCAAGATGGCGGGGACAACACCCCTGTGTAGCATTATGGTCACGAAGTCTGTCAACTTTCATGGTCACCAGCTTCTGAAGCAGCTTACAGCTTCCAATCCCAAAGATATAGAGACTTTGAACCTTAAGGAAGTTGATTACAATGTTTACAAAGCCCGTCTTCCTGAGATCACGTATGTTAACAGACTATTAAGGAGTGGCTCCCATCTTTTGTATCAAATTGTTATCTGATATTGCAACATAAAATTTTCTGTGGGGAGCCCCTACAGCTCCCCGGAGCTTACCTGGCTGATATGTATGTACAGTATTAGACCGTGGCATCAGTTGCTTGGAGTTCTTACCTACCGAGGACCATGGGCAAAAACCTGGCCCCCTCAGAGAGGTACGAGGAGCAATGGCCTGAGAGAGAGAGGCAGAGAGAGAGAGAGAGAGAGAGAGAGGCAGAGAGAGAGAGAGAGGCAGAGAGAGAGAGAGAGAGGCAGAGAGAGAGAGAGAGAGAGAGGCAGAGAGAGAGAGAGAGAGAGAGAGAGAGAGAGGAGAGAGAGAGAGAGAGAGAGGAGAGAGAGAGAGAGAGGCAGAGAGAGAGAGAGAGAGGCAGAGAGAGAGAGAGAGAGAGAGAGAGCAGAGAGAGAGAGAGAGAGAGAGAGGCAGAGAGAGAGAGAGAGAGAGAGAGAGAGAGAGAGAGAGAGAGGCAGAGAGAGAGAGAGAGAGAGAGAGAGAGAGAGAGAGAGAGAGAGAGAGAGAGAGAGAGAGAGAGAGAGAGAGAGAGAGAGAGGAGAGAGAGAGAGAGAGAGAGGCAGAGAGAGAGAGAGAGAGAGAGAGAGAGAGAGAGAGAGAGAGAGAGAGAGAGAGAGAGAGAGAGAGAGAGAGAGAGAGAGAGAGAGAGAGAGAGAGAGAGAGAGAGAGGCAGAGAGAGAGAGAGAGAGAGAGAGAGAGAGAGAGAGAGAGAGAGAGAGAGAGAGAGAGAGAGAGAGAGAGAGAGAGAGAGAGAGAGAGAGAGAGAGAGCAGAGAGAGAGAGAGAGAGAGAGAAGAGAGAGAGAGAGAGAGAGAGAGGCAGAGAGAGAGAGAGAGAGAGAGAGAGAGAGGCAGAGAGAGAGAGAGAGAGAGAGAGAGAGAGAGAGAGAGAGAGAGAGAGAGAGAGAGAGAGAGGCGAGAGAGAGAGAGAGAGAGGCGAGAGAGAGAGAGAGAGGCGAGAGAGAGAGAGAGAGAGAGAGAGAGGCAGAGAGAGAGAGAGAGAGAGAGAGAGAGAGAGGCAGAGAGAGAGAGAGAGAGCAGAGAGAGAGAGAGAGAGAGGCAGAGAGAGAGAGAGAGAGAGAGAGGCAGAGAGAGAGGCAGAGAGAGAGAGAGAGAGAGAGAGAGAGAGAGAGAGAGGAGAGAGAGAGAGAGAGAGGCAGAGAGAGAGAGAGAGAGAGCAGAGAGAGAGAGAGAGAGGAGAGAGAGAGAGAGAGAGAGAGAGAGAGAGAGAGGAGAGAGAGAGAGAGAGAGAGAGAGAGAGAGGAGTAACAATACTCTACTGGTACCCTATATAAAGGAGTTCATTTTTTAATTTACAAAATGCTTATTTACCCGAGGGGGGGGGGGGGGCGCTAACCCAATGAGGACAGGAAGCTGGCGGCTTAATCAAGGTCCCCACATTTGCCTCTTATGATTTTTTTTCCAGGTAGATTTTTAAACTTAACACAGGGGGCCTGATAGCTGAGTGGACAGCATTTTGGATTCGTAGTCCTGAGGTTCCGGGTTCAATCCCCGGTGGAGGTGGAAACAAATGGGCAGAGTTTCTTTCACCCTGATGTACCTGTTCACCTAACAGTAAATAGGTACCTGGGAGTTAGACAGCTGCTACGGGCTGCTTCCTGGGGTTGTGTAACAAAATGGAGGCATGGTCATGGACCGGGCCGAAGGGACGCTAAGCCCCGAAATCATCTCAAGATAACAAGAAGAAGGGATCTATGGTGATATAATCAGAGATACAGTATAATGTATGCAGTGGTTAGGGTACATTTAGGAAAATTGTTGCTAATAGATTTGTATCAGTAAATGTGAAGAAACAAATAATAATTTAGTATACAGTACTGTGTAATAACATGTACAACAAATTTCTAATTATTGTTCTCCTTTCAGGAAACAAGGTAGTGTAAGACGACAAGAGTTACTAAATTTTATTACCAACAAATGCAAATTTCTGTATCTGCCCTGGGAAGCAAGCCTTGAAGGAGAGGGAAACGAAGATGATTATGGAATGAAAGGTAAATTTGCCTGGAATTTTTTGTTGATTAAATCTGAAATATTATGCTTATACAGTATTGCAGTATTAAATATGAAAACTGTTATTTCTATTCACAGTGCTCCTTTAGGTTTCCGGAAGCTATCTCGCTGCGATGGCTCCTAACTTTTCAGCCTTTCCTCCTAAGGTTTCTCATCAAGAAACTGTCATACTAAAGTGGCCTCTCCTAACCTACCAGAGGACCCAAAACAGAAATTGGGACAGTATGACAATTTTGTGAGCTGCTACCATTTTCTAGTAGGATGATTTTTAGCTTTTGAGCACACGTCAAAATGCGACGGTCTATTAGGACTGGTTGAACTATTGGATCTCATCAGCCATGGAGTTCTATTTGGCCTATTAGGGGCCAGAACCAGAACCTGGCCGCCCTCTCAGAGGTGCAGGGAGTGGGTTACACTCTGCCACCTCACCACGGAAGGCCTGCAGAAAATTGGTGAATCAGTATAGACCACTGCTATAAAGTAAAGGTAAAACCCTGGAGGGGGAAAATCAATTACTGAAAATAGCTTTTGAAGAAGTTAAAGCAAATCTAAACATAAATGAATACAATAGGCTAGGAAGGAACCGTATAGATGGAGAAAGTTATACAGGGAGTAGAAGAGTACAAGAAGGATATGCAACTTATCTTTGCACAAGTAGCCAGGGAGAAGGAAATAATAGAAGTGGTAAAGAGAGCCAAAAACTGCAGCAATCAGAAAAGCACAGATATTATACTGAAAGTCAGAAAGGAACTGGTTCACAATTGATCATAGCAGGTCCCTAATAATTTTTGGTTTCAAAGAAAAGGAGCTAATTGTTTAGGTCAGAAAGAGCCACACTGCATCTGTTTGGACCTAAAAAAGGCTTTCTACAGAATTCCACATAAGTAATTGTTCTGGAAACTGAAACATACTGGAGCAGTGACAGGAAGGCTTCTACCATGGTTTAAAAAAATTTTGACAGAAAAATGAGGGCAGTAATCAGAGGCAGTGTATTGGACTGGAAAAATATCACAAGTGAAGTTCCAAGGGGTTCGGTTCTTGCACCAGTAATGTTCATTTTCTACATAAATTACCTTACAGAAGAAATACAGAATGATATGAAATAAATTACCTTACAGAAGAAATACAGAATGATATGAAATAAATTACCTTACAGGAGAAATACAGAATATGAAATAAATTACCTTACAGAAGAAATACAGAATGATATGTACATATTTGCTGATGATGCTAAGTTACTAAGGAAGATAGGAGACGTAAATGATTGTAATGCCCTTCAAGAAGACCTGGACAAATGGTGGTGTATGGTTCACCACTTGGCAGATGGATTTTAATATGAATAAATGTTGTGTTATGAAATGTGGAATAGGAGAAAATAGGCCACACACATTCTACAAAATATACATATGTAAAATCTTTAAAGAATTCTAATAAAGAAAGAGATATAAAGGGTGTAGATATAAAACTGTCACTTGATGACCATATAAAGAACATTGTGTGAGGAGTTTATGCAATGCTTTCCATTTTCAGAATTACTTTTAAATAAATTGATGGCAAAGATCCAAAATTTGAATATGCAACGGTTGTATTGTGCCCATATCAAGAAGCACATCAACAAACTCGAAAAGGTGCAGTGCAAAGACATGCAACAAACTGGCTTCTAGAACTGAAAAACAACAGCTATGAGGAGAGGTTACAGGCATTAAATATGCCAAAAATAGAAGATAAAGAAGAAAAAAAGAGGTGATATGGTTACTATGTTCAAAATAGTAATGGGACTTGACAAAATTGACAAGGAAGAATTCTTGAAACCTGGAACTTCGAGAAGAAGAGGTCATAGATTTAAACTAATTTGCCAAAAAACTAGACAGTTTACTTTTGCAAACAAACGGGTAGATGGTTGGAACAAGTTAAGTGAAGTAGTGGTGGTGGAGGCCAAAATTATTAGTAGTTTCAAAGTATCACGTGACAAAGAGGGCTGGGAAGACGGGACACAATAAACATAACTCTCGTGTTGTAACAACACTTGGGTAATTATGCTTGCCACAATCACACCCCACCATAGCAACACTCAGCTTAATGATCAGCACCATACAACACCACAGCAGCATTCACCATAGCTGTCTTCACCACACACCGCAACAGCAATACACTTAGGTAATTACACACCTTAACTATCACTACCATACACTATCGCAACAACTGTCATCACCACACTCCACTACCATTATCTCTTTACCATCATTACTATCAATACTCTCTCCTACCATCACCATAACCAGTTACCACCATTACCATTCCCATTATCACTCATCATTACCATCACTTAATACTACCACCATTAATTACCACCATCACCACATACTACCACCATTAATTCCCACCATCACCACATACTACCACCATTAATTACCACCATCACCACATACTACCACCATTAATTACCACCATCACCACATACTACCACCATTAATTCCCACCATCACCACATACCACCATTAATTACCACCATCACCACATACTACCACCATTAATTCCCACCATCACCACATACTACCACCATTAATTACCACCATCACCACAACCTCAAGCTGATGGTTGCCTGTCACTGTCGAGGCTACTAGAGAGATTGGGGCACTTGAGTTATTTACGTCCCTCACCATCACTCAGTCACCTTCCCCTCACCCCTATCATCACTCACCATAAGTTACTGCCACCATCCATCATCATTGTCACTTGCCATCAGTACTAACACCATGATCATCATCATAACCACTATCATTACCACTCTCTTTCACTATTATCAGCAACATAATTATGATCACCACCACCATTACAGCAACTCTCTACCTACCATTATCTCTGTCATCACATTCACTCCAACAACCACCTCCCATCACAACAGTGATTATCATTAACCACCACTATTACCATCACCTGGCTTCACAATCACCCCAACCACAACCACCACTACAATATCACCAAATGACATTACATAACACCACAGCACCCCAACACCAGGTAACTCTACACCAAGGGTGACATTACACCCCATCACTTCACCCAAACACCAGCTTACACTCATTACAACAAAGGTGAGAAGGTGTGAAGTACACGGTTGGTCACATAAAGCAAGCATGATATGGCACATTAGAATTTCCCCTAAACATTATTAGTATGTAATGCACAAGAAGGAATTATCTAAGAAATGTCATTTTTATCCTGTTACAGACCGGGTTGATCATCTGCCACCAATTGAGTACTATATGAAAGTGTCTAGCAATATCCGAGAGGATATGTTTTTTAAGGTATGGACTTGCACATATAACAAAATTATTGTGTGTGTGATATTTTAGTAATACTTTATTTGATTATGCCTTCTACCAATTTTATTACAGTGCTTTTGTACTTGGCATGGTAATATTTCTAATAAATAAATCGATACTGTAATTACCTAAGTGGTAATACACTTGGGGTAACTGTGCTTATCTAATAATGTTTGTGTTCATGGTGTTCATCCAGCTTGAGAGGATGTGCAATGCTGTCTTTATTCCATAGGATTTGTTTTGTTTTTCTTTTGAATCTGTGACTGGGCTGGGCCCCTTGGTAGCTCCTCAGTGCTTACACACCTGAAGGTAAGAGAGTTAATAATTGAAAACCCTGCAGATATTGACATAATGGCATTGCAGGTCTGGAATCAGGATGATAAGCTGATAATTTTAAATGTCTACAGCCCACCAGCAAGCAACACACATGTACAAAAGAAGAACTGGATGACAAACGAGAGGGCCTCATAATGATCATGAGAGAGATTATGGTAAGAACAGTCAAAGATAAATCCTGATTGTTGGTATTGGGGGACTTCAACTTTAAGGCAATAGACTGAGAGGCCTACGAGGCAAGAACGGAGGACATTTGGACAGGCAGATTTGTAAACCTCATTTTGGAGACATTCATGTATCAACACTTCAAGCACATTCATTCTAAAACAGAGATGCAGACCTAGGAAACAGGGTTGGTTCAACAGAAATTGCAAGAGGGCCAGAGATCAAAAGACACAAGCATGGAATCATTATAAGAGGAGGCCAAGCCTCCAAACATACCAGTAATACAAAGATGCGAGAAACAACTACATGACAGTAAGGAGAGAGGCAGAGAGGAAATTTGAGAATGGTATAGCAGGCAAATGTAAATCAGATCCAGGCCTTTCCAATAAATTCATTAAAAGCAAGCTGCAGGTAAAGGATAATATTCAGAGGTTGAAAATGGGAGACAGATACACAGAAAATGAAAAGGAAATGTGCAAAACATTAAATGAAAAGTTCTAAAGTGTGTTTGTACAAAATGAGATATTCAGGGAACCAGACACAAAAAGAATTCCAGAGAACAACATAGAGCACATAGAGGTGTCTAGAGATGAAGTGAAAACAAAATGCCCTTAGAGCTAAGTAAGAACAAAGTGGTTGGCCCAGATGGAGTTTCACCATGGGTTCTGAGAGAATGTGCACCTGAGCTCAGCATTCCACTTCAGCTGATTTTTTCAGACATTTTTCAGACATCCCTGTGTACAGGAGTTATAGCAGATGTGTGGAAAAAGGCCAACATAGTTCCAATCTACAAAAGTGGCAGCAGGGAAGACCCCCTTCAGTTATAGACCTGTATCATTGACAAGTGTAATAGTCAAAATATCAGAAAAAATAATTAAAACTAAATGGGTAGAACATCTGGAGAGGAATGACATAATATTATGTTTTCGATCTGGAAGATCCTGTGTATCAAATTTACTCAGTTTCTATGATCGAGCCACAGATATTTTACTGTGAGAAGGAGATGGTTGGGTTGACTGCATCTATCTGGACCTAAAAAAGGCTTTCAACAGAGTTCCACATGAGAGGTTTGTTCTGAAAACTGGAACATATTGGAGGGGTGACAGGTAAGCTTTTAACATGGATGAAAAAATTTATGATAGAAAAATGAGGGCAGTAACCAGAGGCAATGTATCAGACTGGAGAAATGTCACAAGTGGAGTACCACAGGGTTCAGTTCTTGCACCGGTGATGTTCATTGTCTACATAAATGATCTGCCAGATGGAAATACAGAATTATATGAACATATTTGCTGATGATGCTAAGATAATAGGAAGGATAAGAAACTTAGATGATTGTATTGCCCTTCAAGAAGACCTGGACAAAATAAGTATATGAAGCACCACTTGGCAAATGGAATTTAATGTGCATAAATGTCATGTTATGGCATGTGGAATAGGAGAACATAGACCCCACACAACTCATAAATTATGTGGAAAATCTTTAAAGACTTCTATAAAGAAAGAAATCTAGGGGGTGGTTCTACATTGAAAACTATCACCTGAGGACCACATAAACAACATTGTGTGAGGAGCCTATGCTACGCTTTCTAACTAAAGAACTGCATTTAAATACATGGATGGCGAAATACGAAAGAAATTGTACATGACTTTTGGTAGACTCATGTCGGAAGACCTTACCTTTAAAGAACACAATAAAGTAGCCGTCACAACTGCAAGAAAAATGGCAGGTTGGATAACAAGAACTTTTCACACTAGAGATGCTGTACCGATGATGATACTTTTCAAAACGCTTGTGCTCTCTAGAGTGGAGTACTGCTGCACAATGACAGCCCCTTTCAAATCTGGAGAAATTGCTGACCTGGAGAGCGTGCAGAGATCCTTTACTGCTAGAATCCACTCAGTAAAACATCTAAACTACTGGGACCGACTAAAGAGCCTAAATCTGTATTCCCTTGAGCGCAGGTGGGAGAGATACATAATAATCTATACGTGGAAAATAATTGAGGGGCTGGTCCCAAACCTGCACACAAAAATAACATCACATGAGACCAGAAGACATGGCAGGATGTGCAGAATACCCCTGTTGAAAAGCAGAGGTGCAACAGGTACTCTGAGAGAGAACTCTATCAACATCAGAGGCCCGAGACTGTTCAACACGCTTCCACTACACATAAGGGGCATAACTGGCAGACCCCTCACAGTGTTCAAGAGAGAACTGGATAAGCACCTCCAAAGGATACCTGATCAACCAGGCTGTGACTCATACGTCAGGCTGCGAGCAGCCGCATCCAACAGCCTGGTTGATCAGTCCAGCAACCAGGAGGCCTGGTCGACGACCAGGCCACAGGGACGCTAAGCCCTGGAAGCACCTCAAGGTGACCAAAGCTAGAATATGCAGCAGTTGTATGGTGCCCATATCTTAAGAAGCACATCAACAAACTGGAAAAGGTGCAAAGACATGCTATTAAGTGGCTTCCAGAACTGAAGGGCAAGAGCTACGAGGAAAAGTTAGAGGCATTAAATATGCCAAAAATAGAAGATAGAAAAAAAGGAGGCAATATGATAACTGTGTACAAGATAGTAACAGGAATCTATAAAATTGATAGGGGAAGGCCTCCTGAGACCTGGAACTTCGAGAACAAGAGGTCATAGATTTAAACTAACTAAACAAAGCACCCGAAGAAATATAAGAAAATTCACTTTTGCAAACAGAGTGGTAGACAGTTGGAACAAGTTAGGTGAGCAAGTGGTAGAGGCCAAAACCGTCAGTACTTTCAAAGCGTTATACAATAAAGAGTGCTGGGAAGACGGGACACCACGAGCATAGCCCCATCCTGTAACTACACTTGGGTATTTACATTTAGGTAATTACACTGAAAATATTCTGCCTAAGAATCATGCCAGGCCTCTAGTCTCTTCATAGAGGCAAAGAGAGCAAATGACATTCAGCCATTTTAGGGCTGGCAGGACTGACAAGGACCAGGGACATTGACTACACACTTGGCCACCATGACTTCTTTTTATATATATATATATATATATATATATATATATATATATATATATATATATATATATATATATATATATATATATATATATATATATATATATATATATATATATATATATATATATATATATATATATATATATATATATATATATATATATATATATATATATATATATATATATATATATATATATATATATATATAAATATATATATATATATATATATATATATATATATATATATATATATATATATATATATATATATATATATATATATATATATATATATATATATATATATATATATATATATATATATATATATATAAAATGACCCTGTTTGACCTCAAAAAACCACGAGCTTGAATATCCACCCAAGACATATTAGAAAAATTGAGAGCAGTGTATTTGAAACCATCATGGGCCTGGGGGTAGACCAGTGGCTGGCAAGACTTGACAACACTATGGACAACCTCAGATATTCAACCTTGGACACCAACAAAGTGTCCACCGAAGCGGAACCAGTGGTTCACAGGCATTCCAGACTGAAGGGGTAGTCATAAACATGGAAGAGGATATAAAATCTAGAACTCCATCTTGTGACCAAAATTGCTCAAGAGGAGCATGAGCAGGTTGGAGGGGAAAAAAGGCCAGAGGCAATTTGCAGATCAGAGCCTCACTAATACTGATGTCAAACTCGAGCAGCAACAACTCCGCTGAAAACCATGCAAGAAAAATTCCGTACACCTGCTCGACCAATTGCTGAGTAACTTGGGGCAAGACCAAACTCGGATGGCGATCAGGATGGTGGAGCAAGACCAAAGGAGACAGGGAAAGACACTCCAATTGAGAGTCCCAGATGGGACCCCGCCATGTCTGAACTTGGGACAGAACCAACTGGGACTTCCGCCAGTTACCTTGAGATGATTTCGGGGCTTAGCATCCCCGCGGCCCGGTTGTCAACCAGGCCAGATCACCAGGAACTTAAAACTGGTAAACTAGTAAATAATCAGATACCTGACAAATCGACATGTGGACTGACTGGGTGCACAAATCAGCCAGTCGCCGAGGTAGGCTAAAATACAAACCCCTGAAAGATATAGCTGGGCAATAACAATTTGTGCTAGTATAGTGAATATATGGGGAGGAAAATTCAAGCCAAAGGGCAGAAACTGAAAGTGGCAAGCATGATGCCCTACCACAAGGCATCCTAGCATTCCCGGTTGAAAACCCTCATCACGGCCCTTGTGGATTTGTTCATTTGATGTATCACACTATTGTGATTTGTGTGTGTGTGTGTGTGTATAAGTACTGAATTCTTCATTATATATTCATGTATTAGTTTGTTTTTCATCATATATAGTGTACTCTCTAAACTTGGGAAGTTGTGATTGATTTCAGACAGTGAAACGTGGAGACTTGCTGTACGTTCGAGTCACTGGACACATACATGCCTTGCTCCAGACTGTCAAGGTTCAAGCAACAATGGGAAACTCAATTCGTGATCTTTTTGATACTAATATTAAGGTAAGCTTCTACTTTAAGATATGTCTGCTGTATTGTACTGTTCTTAAATTGCAGTTATTTTGTGGGAGGGGCCCACCTCAATAACTTCCTATTACTATAACCTGGATGCATATAAGCCTTAGGAGATGAGACCAGTACTCTGTGACCCGTGAGCACTTAGTGGGTGCCACAAGAGTTATATGACAGAGTGCTGGGAAGACGGGACACATGAGCATAGCTCTCATCCTATAAATACACTTAGGTAATTACAAACAGAATATGGCCCACTCAGAGAGCAAGGCAGAGCTTGGGGATCAGAGATCACCACAGAACTGAGCAAAAGTTTCACCAGAAAGTCAAAAGGCTGCAAAACAAGTAACTGCTAGGAGACAATTTGTAACCCTATCAATATAATGCAAACAGTTATTATGGCAAAAACACCAACTGGTTTCACTTGCCTGCCACCAGATGGCAGGCTCTTTCATGCACCTGCTGTGCCCAGGGACACTCACCTCTATAGGATCCTCATGTCTTCTTTTGATTTGAAAATAAGTGGTGTTGACCATCCCTGGAACAGTAGTGGGTCCATTACATTGTTTTGTTCCATATTTAGCTTAACATGTGCATTCTTTATCACCAACCTTGTGTGTTCCTTAATCTGACAGCTTGCTCCAGCTGCTGTTGGCTATGTATCTTCTTTGGTAGCTAGCCTTTATCTGGCTAATGACTTGGGATTCGCTTCAATGAAGGCAGTAGTTTTTAGTGGTGCCACCTGGTGGTGGGTAGCTTCTACTAGAGGGTGAACAAGGTAGCTACTGGGTACTGAGTGCATACATTTCTGAGTTAGATTTGTATTGCTGTTTTCTGTTTTGGTCCACTCTACCTTTCTGGTGACCTTTCTTAGTGTGAGTGACATAGAAATCAAAAAGATATTTAATGAGCTAAAAAATGGGAAAAGTGATAGTGGAGACAAAGGTGGGAGAAGAGAGGAGGAGGAGAGGAAGAGGGAGTGGAGATAGGATGGATAAAGTTGGAGATAGTAAACAATGAAAGTAACTCTATTACAGGCTCATCTTCGTATTGAAGATTCCACACCTGAGCCAGCAGATCAAGATAGTGACGGCCGATGGTTGCTGCGGACACGGTTGTGTGTCGAGGTATTGGAAGTGGATGCGAGTGATCATTATTTACTTGTTGGTACCAATGGAGTTACGATTCCAGCACATATGAAGGATAAAATTAAACTTGGGAAAGTTACGTTAAATGATCGACCATCTATAATCTGGTAAAAGACTGATTCAGTAATTGTTCCTTGTTTTGTCTGTAAAAATGTAAAATTTTTGATAAATGAAAATAAGCATTAGTAGCATAATTATACTAAAACTATTGTAGAAGTAATTTCACAGAACAAATCCACAAGGGCCATGATGAGGGTTCGAACCTACGTCCGGAATGATCCCAGATGCGCCTTAGTCGACTGCGCCACGACATGGTTGTGGCGCAGTCGACTAAGGCGCGTCATGTCGTGGAGCAGGCGACTAAGGCGCGTCTGGGATCATCCCGGACGTAGGTTCAAAGCCTCATCACAGCCCTTGTGGATTTGTTCATTTGATATATCACACTGTGATTTCTGTGTGTATAGAGTTTCACAGCTTTTATTTCTATTCATTGCTCATACAATACTGTTCATGTATTTAAGATTTCTTTATTTTTTATTTTTTCTGAGCTATGTCATCAAGTTGCTCCTTAACCTTTAGACAGAGGTCATCATCAATTGTTGATTCACAGGGTAATGTAGTTAACATCATATGAAGATTTATATGATTTATAATAAGATTATATAAGATTTATAATTTAAAAAACTGTTGTCTGGGTTTTACATGTATGATAAAAATATGGATATAATAGGTCTATGTTGACCTATTATATGCTAGGGTGCCTGACAGCTGGGTGGATAGCACTTCATATTCGTAGTCCTGAGGTTCCGGGTTCGATCCCCGGTGGAGGTGGAGACAAATGGGCAAAATGTTTCTTTCACCCTGATGCCCCCTGTTACCTAGCAGTAAATAGGTACCTGGGAGATAGACAGCTGCTACAGGCTGCTTCCTGGGGTGTGTAACAAAAAGGAAGCATGGTCGAGGACCGGGCCACGGGGACGCTAAGCCCCGAAATCATCTCAAGATAACCTCAAGATATGCTCGCCTAGTTGTGCTTGCAGGGGTTGAGCTCTGAGCTCTTTGGAGCTCAGAGCTCAATGTGTGTATATAGTGTTTTACACTATATACACACATTGTATATAAGCATCTACATGTTTTACACTATATACACACATTATATATAAGCATACCTTGAGGTTACCTTGAGGTGCTTCCGGGGCTTAGCGTCCCCGCGGCCCAGTCGTCTACCAGGTCTCCTGGTTGCTGGACTGATCAACCAGGCTGTTGGACGCGGCTGCTCGCAGCCTGACGTATGAGTCACAGCCTGGTTGATCAGGTATCCTTTGGAGGTGCTTATCCAGTTCTCTCTTGAACACTGTGATGCGGGATTGCCAGTTATCCCAGAAGCAACCCCTTATGTGTAGCGGAAGTGATCCCCCTTATGTGTTGAACAGTCTTGGGCCTCTGATGTTGATAGAGTTCTCTCTCAGAGTACCTGTTGCACCTCTGCTTTTCAACGGGGGTATTCTGCACATCCTGCCATGTCTTCTGGTCTCGTGTGATGTTATTTCTGTGTGCAGGTTTGGGACCAGCCCCTCTAATATTTTCCACGTGTAAATTATTATGTATCTCCCGCCTGCGCTCAAGGAAGTACAGATTTAGGCGTGTATTTTGTGTGTATTTTACCTCAATAAACTTATTTTAATTCAATTTCAATAGCAGGTACATACATATTTTGACATTTTTAGGCGATGTTGTGTTTATAAGCTGAACAGCAGTGCTGTTAGCTCATGCTGCATGCACCAGCCTTGGTTGCTCACTCAGTACTGAGGCTCTCACACCCGGGAATGTTTGCCAAGATTCTTTTTTAAGATGGAGTCTGTTTACTATCGGCCGTGGCTGGACTTTAGCTACCCCTATCCCGTGGGGCATTTAAAATCGTGCACGAGACCCTGATACGTATATGTATGTACTGTATTGCGCCATTCCATGACAGATATTCCCTAAATACATGTATATATTGCTCCTTTTATGGGTTAATATAATGTTTGGTTTAGTGTGATTCAGTGCTGTTAAAGTTTTAAGGAAAACTTGGCTAATACTACTGCATGATGCATACTCATCAAATTTTCATAAATAATTCTATAATCTGAAATTTTTCAGAAAAGTGCTTGAGATCATTATTTCCATTTGCTTAATATTGAGACATTATTACTTGTTTTTTATTTGTAGTGAAATGGAGGAAGGGAATGTTAAGTGCTACAGTGAAGCTCTGAAAACACTTACCATGTTCAACAATCCCCGCAATATTAGACATCTTGCGGCGAAGTTCAAGATTGATATGTTCTCTCACTCATCGTTAATGAACTCACTGAAGTAAGTGTTATTGCTGTTGATTGAAACAAAATATTTTTTTGAGACATGCCTTTTCAGTAACTGATGAAAAAGAAGTGTACAAGAATAATGGAAAAAGAGTTTATGATGAGAGTAAAAGATGTAAATATAAATTAGTAGTCAACCTATAAATATTGGCTAGTGTAATTTGATGTTTTAGTTAGAGAGTTTACATTTAACATTATTTTCTGGGGAGGATCCCATGTTTTTCCCTGAAGCTATCATGCAGAGATTGCTCCATGCTGCAAAACGCATCAGTCGTGGACGTTATGTTCGGCCTACTGGGGAACACGGCCGGAACCTGCTTTCCCTCAAAGGCACAGGGAGCGAGTGGAGACAACTAGAGATTACACAGAAATAAAAAAGCATTGAAACCCCAAAACAACTTCACAAATGATTCACACACAGATAGAAATTCACCCAAACTTGCTCGAAACTCATTAGTATTGATCACCAGCAGATTACCAGCTGGGGCAGTCCAGCCCCAGTTTGCACCCGGCTTCCCCTGACCAGCCCATTGCTGTTATGGTGGCTAAAAGCTCTACCTGTAGTGTTTCTGCCCGCCAGTCATGGGCATGTCCTGCTAATCCAAGTTAATTACAGCCCATCTTTGGACTTCATCCTGCCGGAACCATATGCTTGTTGAATTGTTCCTTATTTTAGTGTTGGCTTCACATGTCTGCTTTCTATTGGGTTTGTTGTGTGGGATTAAGCTCTTGTGTTTCAGGTTCCATATGTTCAGAGATTTATTCTCTGGGTACTTGCTAACACTGCCCTTGCACAGAGTGCAAGGGCACTCTGTGGTGTGTTCAGGAGTTTGTACCCGAGAGGCTTGGCCACCGGGGTAGAGCGCTTCACTGTTGACTATTTACAAATGTTTGATTACTCTGGAATCAAAATACAGTACTATGCTTCTCTCGCAGCATTGTTAATATTTGGGCTTGGAGGTTTTGCCAGACTAAAGGTCATGGTGGTCAGATATTTAGTCAATGAGTCTGGTCCTTGTGAGGTGGGGAGCAGGTAAGAGAAGGTAATTTCTAGAAGAAGGGTAAGATGAAAGGTAAGAATGGGAAGAATGATATGAATGGGATGAAGGAAGAATGGGAAGAATTAAAAATAAGAGGAAGGTAAGAAAAAGTAAAAGGGGTAAGAACAAGGGGTAGGCTTAAGTCATATTTGGTAAGAAGGTTAGAGCATTTAAGTATGTGCTGTGAAAGGGAAGAGTCAACAATAACAAAACCAGGATTAAGGTTCATGTTGTGTATCAGAGCTGATTCGACAAATACGGGGTCTGTGAAGAGTAGAGGCAGAAAAGATTATTTTAGAAAACCAATCTATAGGCTGATTAGACTCCCTAACATGACAGAAGAGAGCATTGTTTGTGTCTGCAGACTTAACACTTTCTGTTAAAACTTTTTGGCTCCCTGGAGCTATCGGGCTAATGCGTGACATATTAGACTGTGGCATTAGTCTATGGAATTCAGCTTACCGGGGACCACGAGCCAGAACCTGGCCCCCTCAGAGGTGTTCAAGGAGCAATGGCCCTGGAAAACCCCCCTATGGTTGGGGGGCTTTTCCTTATCTGCCATCAACTGGGGTTAGGCACCCAGAAAGGTAGGCGTAACAAAACAAACCCCACATGGTAAGAAAAGAACACCAAAAAAAAAAGAGAGAGAGAGAGAGGGGCATAACTCCCTCCAATCCCCATGGAACAAGCAAACGTCACACTCCACTGTCGTGCTGCTCATCCGGGCAGCCCTCCCATCCCTGAGAGGGGGAAGGATGGGGGAGCCCCGAACCTTCTTGCGCCGGCTACTCAGCACTCCAGTTCGTTTGCTAATGTGGTCCAGGGCAGACGTCTTCTCTGACATCGATTTCCAAAGGCAGTGTTTTGCCTTCATGGCAACCTCTGCAGTGTTGTTGTGTGCGGTGACCAGGTGTTCTCCAGAGTACCAAGGCTGCATGCGCTTAAGGGCATCCTTTCCTAGGCGCCCTGTGAGTACTGCCCTTGCATGTTAGGGGTTCCTTTTCCTGATGCGTTCGGGAAACTATTTCCGTAGGGGTTTTTGCTGCTTGGCATTTACCCCGCCCTTCTCATGTTGGTTGTAGTGTCAAGGTGTTGTGCAGCCTGCCTACCTACATGGCGGCCGGTTCCTGTTTCCTCTGGAGTCGTTGTTTTTTTGAGGGTTTTTTCTTTTTTTGTTTTCTTGCCTGGTGGGGGGTCTGCTTGGTGTGGCTATAGTTACACTTATAATAATTTGGTGGCCCTCTGCTAGGCCCCCCATGATTGAACACGTCGCAGGGGTTTCAGTGTTTTCATTTACCTCCCTTGTTACCTTTGGGTCTTGACCAGTTAGCAACACTTGCCTGTGCTTCCCATAGTAGTCAGTCTACGGGGCCTGGAAAACCCTGTCGGGGCTTGGTGGACCTATGGATGCATCTTCTGAGTTCTAGCCCACCTCATGCTGGTTCGAAGGTTGCTATGTGCCCTTGTCTCAGGGTGACAGTCACCTCTTTTGCCTCTTATCATGCTGCCTGTTGGGTCAACAACACCTTTGACACTGAGTCTTGCGAGTCGTGTGTCTGCTTGTTCTCCAGTACTATTCTGATGACATTGTTGTTAGGGTACAGGCAGCATCCGTGTTGCATGCTAGGTTCAGGTTGCTGCAATATGCTAGGTTGGTTCCAACCCAGATGCCCCACGGCTGCCCCGCAGTTGCCCCAGCTCTTGCTGCATACCTCCTGCAAGACCCGGATTCCGCCTCCGTGATGGATTCGAATTATTTGAGTGGCGAGAAACTTCTATTGTTATGCTGGGTTTACCTGGAGGGCGAGTTTGAGCGCCTTAATGCTTGCTTGCTCGCCCCTGTACTTTCGCGGGATGTTGGCCTTGTGCAGCTGCACGTGTAGGTTCCTACCCTACTTGTTGCTAAATCCTTGGTTGCTGAGGATTTGTTTGCGTGTGGGCATTTGGCTTCAGTCTTGGGATTCTTTTCCCATCTCGAGCTGTCTTCAGTCTAGCTTGAGGAGGATGTAGAGGTGTTGAGTGCCGGGCCTTCATCTGGTGTCCTGTCCAGCGTCGTCCAACCTGTGGTGCTGTTGGGCTGCTCCTTCCCCTTCAGGGGGTTCGTGGCTGGCAGGGCAGGCTTCTTCCCCTGCGCTTCGTCAGGTCATCTCAGAGTGGGTGCGCTTGGGCGTGGTCGAAACTACCCTGTCCCTCAGGTGGGTTTCCCACCTTTTTTCAGTGTCGAAATGGGACTGTGTGGATCTGAGGTTCATTCTGGACTTGTCCTGTCTGAACCCCTGGATTCCTTGCCCCTCCTTTTGGATGACCACTCTGTCTCAGGTTCAGTTTCTCTTGGAGCCGGGTGCCTGGATGGTATCCCCAGACGTCAAGGATGCGTATTGGCACGTTCTTATTCATCCGGGGTTCAGGGACTAGTTAGATTTTGTGGGGGGGGGGGGGGGGGGTGTCTGGCTTACCACTTTCATTGCCTTCTTTTTGGCTTGAATCTGGCACCTCGTGTATTCACGCGTCTTACCCCGGGTAATGGTGACTCGTCTGCGTCTGCTAGGGGGTTCAGGTTCTGGCCTACCTCCAATAGGCTTTCATGAATCGAGGTCCGGCTCTCCAGTAGGCTCTCATGAATTGTTAGTCTAGTGTGTGTACCTAAGGTTTGGAAGCTTCTATGTTGGTAACTTGGGGAACTATTCAGAGATGCAGGCGATGAGTCACAATAACGTGGCTAAAGTATCGACTTGAGAATGGTCCAGGACAGACCAAAACGTCGTCGTCCTTCACCTTCTAGTGTGTGGTCTGGTCAATATTCAGAGATCAACCAGAAAGGGGCATTTCATTACATTCAACACTATTTTTCTGACTGTAAGTTTAAAAAAGTGGCCTTGTCACTGGAATAATTATTTAAAAATTGAAATTCATTCCGTTACTCATAAAATATATTTAGTTTTGTATTTCCATTTTAGGCACAAGTTTGCTGATCGAGAGATGTACAGAAGCCTGCGAAAAGCCCAAATGTCTCGATGGGCCCATAAGTCAGTAGCAGATGGAGTGGTGTTCTTCAAACGTGGCCAGTATGAGGAGGCCTTCCAGTGTCTCAATAAGGCCCTTCAAATCGACAGTGAAAATGTTGAAGCCTTTGTTGCAAAGGGCGCTCTGTAAGTTTGGCTCTTGTAGAGACTTTTTTCTGTGTGTGTTCTCATTAGATTTTAATAACAGGAAAGATAATGTATACTTCTCATCACATCACAGCACGGGTGGTACAAGAACAAGGGGGACACAGTGGAAACCGTCTACCCAAATGAGCCACAGGGACGTTAGAAAGAACTTTTTCAGTGTCAGAGTAGTTAATAAGTGGAATGCATTAGGCAGTGATGGGGTGGAAGCAGATTCCATACACAGTTTCAAGTGTAGATATGATAGAGTCCAGTAGGCTCAGAAATCTGTACACCACTATATCATCATATAAGCAAGCAAGGAACAATTACACAGCAGAAAGGATTTTTGAGAAAGGTATAGCAGACAAATGTTAAACAGATCCAGGCCTTTTCTGTAAATTCATTAAAAGCAAGCTACATGTAAAGGATAAAATCCAGAGATTGAGAATGGGAAATGGGACAACTGAGGTTGAAAAAGAAATGTGTGAAATGCTAAATGAACAATTCCAAAGTGTGTTTGTGCAAAATGAGGATTTCAGAGAACCGGACTCGATGCCAATTTCAGAGAACACCATAGAATACATAGAGGTTTCCCAAGATGAAGTTGAAAAATTACTCAAGGGGGTAGGAAGAAATAAAGCAGTTGGACCTGATGGAGTTTCACCTTGGGTGCTGTGAGAATGTGCAACTGAGCTGAGCATTCCACTCCAAATAATATTCCAGACATCCTTGTGCACAGGAATCTTAGCAAATATATGTAAAAAAGGCAAACATAGTATCAATCAATAAAAATGGTAGTCGCGAGGAACCTCTTAATTATAGACCCGTATCATTAACAAGCGTGGTAGTCAAAACACTAGAAACAATAGTTAAAGCCAAATGGATTGAACACCTGGAGAGTAATGGCATAATAACAGACAGTATGGTTTTCGAACATTAAGATCCTGTGTAACAAATCTACTTAGTTTTTATGATAGAGCCACAGAGATACACAGGAAGAGGTGGTTGGATTGACTGTGTCTATCTGGTCCTAAAAAAGGATTTTGACAGAGTCCCACACAAGAGACTGTTCTGAAAACTTCAAAATGCTGGAGAGGTGATAGGGAGGCTTCTGACATGGATGATAAATTTTCTAACTGGCAGACAGATGAGGGCAGTAATCAGAGTAAATGTACCTGACTGGAGGAGTGTTACTTGCAGAGTACCACAGGGTTCAGTTCTTGCACCAGTAATGTTCATTGTTTACATAAACATTCTACCAGAAGGCATACAGAATTATGTGAACATGTTTGCAGATGATGCTAAGATACTGGGGAAGATAGGAGACGCAGACGATTGTGATGCCCTTTAAATCGATCAAGGTAAAATAAGTGTTTGGAGTGTAAATTGGTAAATGGAATTCAATGTGAATAAATGCCATGTTATGGAATGTGGAATAGGAGAAAATAGACCAGACACAACTTACAAATTGTGTGGAAAGGAATTACAGAACTAATAAAGAACAAAACTTACAAGTGGTTTTGTATAGTAAGCTGTTGCCAGAGGAATACATAAAGAACATTGTGAGAGGAGTGTATGCATCACTTTCCAACTTCAGACTTGCTTTTAATTATGTGGATGGTGAAATACTGAAGAAAATGCTCATGACTTTTGTGAGACCAAAATTGAAATATGCAGCTGTTGTATGGTGCCCAAATCTCAAGAAGCACATAAGGCAACTGGAAAAGGTGCAACGGCATGCTACAAAATGGCTTTCGGAACCGAGAAACATGAGTTACGATGAGGGACTAGAGGTGTAAAACATGCCAAAACTAGAAGATAGAAGAAAAATAGGTGATATGATCACCACTTACAAAATACTAATAGGAATCGACCAAATTGACAAAGATTTCATGAAACCAGCAACTTCACCAACAAGAGGACATAAGAGGACTAAAGAAACAAAGGTGCTGAAAAAATATTACAGTTTTCTTTTGCAAACAATTCAGTAGATGGTTGGAACAAGTTAAGTAGGAAGGTGGTGGAGGCCTAAACTGTCAGTACTAGTAGTTTTAAAGTGTTATACGACAAAGAGTACTGGGAAGACAGGACACCACGAGCATAGCTCTCATCCTGTAACTACACTTAGATAATTACCAGTTGATTGAGAGGTGGGACCAAAGTGCCAAAGCTCAACTCCTGCAAGTTCAATTAGGTTAGTGCATCACAGTTGGTCTTCAAGATCACACCCAAACTGACTGTCAAGACAACACCTAGCCCAGCCTAGATGTCAAGGCATCACCCAACCTTACCTCTTAAGACCACATCTATCCAGCTGTCCAGTCCTCAGCCAACCTTACTCAAGACCACACCCAACCTGATGGCAAAGACCACACCCAACCTGACTATCCAAACTATCATGACCTCACCTAACCTGTCAAGACTACACTTAGCCTGGTTGTCAAGACCTTGCCCAATCTTACTTCTCAAGACCACACATATTTGGCTGTCCAGTCCACAACCAACCATACAGGGAGCCACGAGGGCTTCCCTCAAGAAACTCGGTATTGAATGCAATGAAATACCAACTTCTGGAGAAGCCCCAGGGGTTCCTTGCCTCCCTCCCACCCTCCAGATTTGTCAGTTCATTGTCAGTTTGTTCATCAGGTCTAGAACTGACTTGGAAAGCCAGAATGAGCCATCTGGTGGTGATAATCTGTACTAACAAGTTTTGAGCTCATTTGAATGAATCCCTTGTTCTGTGTCACTCGTTTGCAGTAGTTGTTTGGCAGTTTTTGAGGTTTCATTTTCTGTTAACCCTCCAGTTGTCTATAAAGCTGCACTGACTTTCTGGAAGCTTTTCCTGGTGAAGTGGTGGAGTGTCACCCAATTTCTGCGGCTCTTTGAGAGGGCCAGGTTCTGGCTTTGGTCTCCATTTGGGCCAAACAGAACTCTACATGGTTGATGTGACCCTTTAGTATGAAGAAGTCTCAGTAAGATAGCTACTGGGGCTCCTCCAGAAATTGGCAATTCATTACATTCAATGCTGGAGTTTTGCGTTTGATCTCGATCCTATCGCTGCCTACTTTGTTTAATTTCTCCTTTCATCTAGGAAGCTGCCTTTAGCTCCGTTCTTCATGTTTTATTTTTTTCCACTTACTCCTCATTTCCCACATCAACTACTCTCTGGCTTTATAATGACTTCCTTTCTCTGTATGTCTCGGTTTCGACTTCATAATGGTGAAGACATCATACAGTTCCTTTCATCTTGTGTGTGTGGGTTGGATTATTTGTTTTCAGCTACATTATTGTGACCTCATTGCAGCAATAATAATAATATTAATGTTTATAGTTAATTATTCTTAAATTTCTCTAAGTTTTTATATATATTGTACTCGGTTTTCTCAAGTACTGTACTCGTCTCATTTCTCACATTCACATTATTCTAATGTATTATCGCTCTTGTTTTCAGGTTGGCTAATTTGGGCAGGTTTGAGAAGGCTGTTGAAGACTTTGAGCAGGCACTTAAGTTCAATCCAAAACACAGCAATGCTTGCAAATATATATGCGAGACACTTGTTGAACTTGGCAGACAGTAAGTTTTATTGTATTCTTTTGTAACGACTATACTCCAGTCACAAACTTATTTTAAGGAATATTTTCTGTTATCAAATTTGTTGTAGTATAGTACATTTTGAACAGCAGAGGAGAAGCACTCCTAGAGCACTGTGTTAGTGTTGATTTTTTTTTTTTTTTTTTTTTTTTGAGATATATACAAGAGTTGTTACATTCTTGTACAGCCACTAGTACGTGTAGCGTTTCGGGCAGGTCCCTGGAATACGATCCCCTGCCGCGAAGAATCGTTTTTTTCATCCAAGTACACATTTTACTGTTGCGTTAAACAGAGGCTACAGTTAAGGAATTGTGTTGTATTGTCTGCAATGCTTTGTGGCTGCTGGAGCTCCATAGAAAGTGTAGCATTACAAGCTCATAATCCTTTGACATTTTATTTGGATGTCTGAGTTTCCCAACTATTTGTTCCTAAGTTGCCACATCAAACTAAATTTTTATACCTAATTCATCTAAATAAACCTACAAAACTATGTTCAAGTTATTACTTACCTTGCTGTTGAATGCTGTAGGCGTATGGAAGATGGTGAGGAGGGGGGAGGAGGAGAGGAGTTACTGTTTGGAAGGGGAGTCCCCTTCCATTATCACATCAGGCAGTGAGGACCTTTCTGGTGTGCTCTCCCTGGCACGTTTTATCCGAGTGCCACTAGGTCCTGGTTGAGGCTCACTGCTCGATTTTCAACTTTGCAGTTCTTCTCATACTTCACACATTTTCTTAATCAAGAAGGGACATCCTCTACTACCTCTACTCACAGCTATTTTCTTAGGTTGAACCTTATCAATGGCTTTCTTGAGACCCATGGCGAGATATACAATAACAACTTTTATGCTCAAATGGCCAAAAAAACGACATAAAACTGTAAATCCTTGTGAAAAATTCAGGAGGGATAATCACTGGGCGGGAGACAATGGTAAACTGAGGGGTGACGATTGCCGTGCCACCACGCGCTAGGTCGCCCTGAACGCGTATCAACAAACTCGCATTCCGAGGTAACCCTTGCCTTCCGAGACATTTTCCGAGGAAATCCTGCTCGTATTCCGAAAAACTTGCATACAGGGACACTCGTGTTCCGAGGTACCACTGTATATGATATCATATTACCTCGCCTTCCCCTATCACTATAGAATATTTTTGTTAACAGAGTTGATATATGATTTAATTGTATAATGACTATTAGTGAGCCCATGTTTGTGTTTTCTTATGATGCTTGATGTGAGCTCCTGATACATAATGCCCGAAACGCTATGCATACCAGTGGCTTTAGGTATTGTATTTTCTAGCTCTATCTTTAAATCCAACATTATGTTTGTAACTAATCCTCTATGTATGTACTTTTACCTGAAGAAACAATTGGTTTGATTTGATAATACAGTACTGTATTTTGTAAACCATTAGACAGCGTTTATCGTCATACGTTGATTCGCAGGATTTAAACAATTATTGTCTGGATTTTATATGTATGGCACAAATAAGGATTTAATAGCTCTATGTAGATATAATGGAGCTTATGTTGACCCATCAAAAAAGATCCACCTGTTGTTTCATGATTGCACTGCTATGTGAATGCATTTATCATCATAAATATTGCTAGGTGAATGCAGTCATCATCGTTGTATAAGATTTCATCATAATTACATGATAGAGTATGTATGTTGTCTCGTATACCTCGGTGTGAGCTAAGTCGGCATCGTGTGGTGACAGACGCCACTCCACGTACCCACTGCGCAACCTTTCACAGTGCCTCCACCCAATAAAAATCTAAATATTCACTTATTTTTATATTTCTCTTAAATTTGAAATACAAATTAATAATTCTATAATGAAAATTTGTTTGAAATATTTTGCACATAGGTGGGTATGACCATTTTTCCATAGCCGGTGTCCTAGGGTTAAGTCTCCTTTATATTTTACAGTGTTGCATTATATATATATACTACATATATATAGTATATACATTACATATATATTTTTTCTTACAGGTTAGAAGAAGAAGAAAAAATGGATGAAGCCGAAGAGAAATATAAAAAGTGCTTAGAAATCAACTCTGAACATGCTGCAGGTCTGGAAGCACTCAACTCTCTCAATAAGTATGTTTTACATTCATCTTCTATCAGCTTATCTCTGTTTATTTATCTGATCATTTTATCCAATTTGTTTCATCTTGGATTAAATGTGAATAGTATGTGTATTAACCTTTAAACTGCACAATACATCAACAGCTGGGGTTGGTAACTGTTGCGGAATTGCACGCCACAGTTATTGATGTGTTGGAGTGCAGCGCAAGATTTGAAAGTCCCGCGACTACACAGGGTTTACTACAGCTTCCTCAGGGCTCTTGTTATCAGACGCCATTTAAAAAAAATCGTGGGCAACATTCCCGGGTGTGAGAGCCTCGGTACTGAGGGACTCGCCAAGGCAGCTTGTGACCACAGCATGCAAGACTCACATGCAGCATGAGCTAACAGCACTGCTGTTCAGCTTGTGACCACAGCATGCAAGACTCACATGCAGCATGAGCTAACAGCACTGCTGTTCAGCTTGTGACCACAGCATCACCTAAAAATGTCAAAATATATATGTACCTGCTATTATTTAGCAATGATAGTATTACAGAAGACCCCTGACTCCTAAAAAGACCAGGATTCTGATACTATCAGGATTGTTGTGATAATTAGTGCTGTGCTGTATGGTGGGAGGAGTAATGGTGAGGGAGGTAGCATCTGCTGACTACGTATTCACCTAGTTGTATTAAAGCTAGAATATGCAGCAGTTGTATGGTGCCCATATCTTAAGAAGCACATCAACAAACTGGAAAAGGTGCAAAGACATGCTACTAAGTGGTTCCCAGAACTGAATGGTAAGAGTTACAGGCATTAAATATGCCAAAACTAGAAGATAGAAGAAAAAGAGGAGATATGATGACTACATACAAAATAGTAACAGGAATTGATAAAATTGATAAGGAGATTTCTTGAGACTTGGAACTTCAAGAACAAGAGGTCATGTTTTGACTTGTCCCTCTTCTTCGGGGTTCAGGGACTGGCTAGGTTTCGTGGTGGAGCATCAGGCTTGCAGCTTTCGTGGCCTTCCTATTGACTTGCATCTGCCTCCCCGCGTATTCACGCATCTCACCCGGGTCATGGTGACCTGTCTGCTAGGAGTTTGGGTCCTGGCCTACCTCGATGACTGGCTGGTATGGGCTCCAAATCGGTCCGTTTGTCTGCTTGCCAGGGGTGTGGTTCTTTCCCAGCTCGCCAGGTTCGGGTTCTTGGTGAACTGGAGGAAGTCCCATCTGTTTCCATCCCAGGTTCGGACCTGGCTGAGTCTTGTTTGGGACACTGTTTGTTAACATGTCTCTTCCTCCTGAGGCATTGCTACGGCTGTGGTCCCGCCTTCAGCTTTTCTGGGGGAGGGGGGTCCCTGGTTACTTGGCAGTTGCTCGAGCAGTTGTGTGGGAGTTTGAACTTTGCCGTGCTGGTCTACCTGCTGGGTTAGGTTTGGCTTCGGTGCCTGTTCTGGTTCCTTCGGGGATGCCCCTTCCACCTCTCTCACAATTGCTGGGTTCGTCTTCCGGGGCCCTTGCGTCAGTTGCTGCGTTGTCCGGTACGCAGCTGGTTTGGTCTTCTCTGCTCTTCATGTCTGGTCTTTTTGACGCTGGTTTATCGCCATCTTTATGGTGATCAGGTGGCTACATTGATGGTGTCCCACCTGAGAGCTTCATCTCGGTGACAGTATGAAATTTCCTGGGGTTCTTTTCGCCATTTCTCTCTTTTCGTAAGTTGTGTTCTATTTCGGATCGGGTTGTCTCGTCCTTTCTTTCTTTCTTGGCTTTTTCAGGTTCGTCATTTGATGCCTAATACTTTCGCCTCGTATCATGTGATGCTGGCAGAGCCACTCCAGCTTGCGTTCGGGGTGGACGTCTTGTCTGCCCCATTCTGTAAGTTTTCTCGTGCTTTGTTTCACCTCCAGCATACTCATTCCCCACCTGAGCTGTCCTGCTCCTTGGTCAGGGTGTTTTCCTATCTTTCCTCCCCTCAGTTTGTGGTGGCCCCCTTCGGTTCAGGATTGTTTTTCCAAGGCTCTGTTTTTGTTGGCATTAGCCTCTGGGGGGTGGGTCGGGGAGCTTCATGCTCTCCAACGGCACAGGGGTTTCTGTTCTTTCGGTTCTGGTGGTAAGTTTGTTCGTTTGCAACCATCTCCTTTTCTGGTTAAGAATGAGAGGGCTGCTTTTCGGAGGGGTCCTTGGGTCATTAATGCTTAGTTGGTCAGGCCAGAGGTGCATCATGTGATCGTGTCTGGTTGCGGATCTCCATCATTATCTGCACACTTCGGCTTTGGTGGCTGGGGATGCGCTTTGGGTTGATCCGGTTTCCCTTGTCTCCTGTTCATGGGCTCGGATCTCCCAGGTCGTCCGCAGGGTTATTAATTCTAGCCAACCTGTGGTCTATCCTTGTGCCCATAATGTTAGGTAGCTTGCTGCTTTGGATGTCGTGTTTGGCAACATGTCTTGGGCTGATATTCAGGCATTGGGATTTTAGAGGTCAAACAGGGTCCTGGCCACCCGTTATTTGGTTAACATTCTTGGTCCTGGGCATTCGTGTGTGGCTTTGAGTTGCAAGTTGCAGCCAGTTGTCTCGCCTTCGAGTTGAGCTTGTGGTAGCTGCCTCCCGGTTAAGTCCCTCTTTTTCCTTATCTTTGGTTATGTAGCTCCAGGGAGGCGAAGGGGCTCCCCACAGAAAACCGGCATTGAATGTAATGAAATGCCATTTTCTAGGTGAGCCCCGGAGGCTCCCAGGCAACCCTCCAACCCTCCCTCCGGTTGGCGGTTTCGATTTGCTGTTGATGCTTAGCCTCTGAACTGGGGTTGAGTAGCCGGTATGGTGAGTCCAGGGCTCCCTCCTCTCCCTCCTCTCCCTCTCCCTGGGGGAGAGGGGGGGGGGAAGCTGCACGGAAGAGCGACACGGTGACATGGTGTGACTTTTGCTTTCTTCCTTGAGAATTGAGGGAGTTCTACCTCGCTGTTTGGCTTTCAGTTGTAATTTTCTTACCATGTGGCGTTTGTTTTGTTATGCCTACGTTTCTGGGTACCTAACACCAGTTGATGGCAGATAAGGTTAACCCCAACCACAAGGAGGTTTTCCAGGGCCATTGCTCCCTGCGCCTCTCTGAGGGGGCCATGTTCTGACTAGTGGTCCCCAGTAGGCAGAACCCCATCGACTATTCCCCAGGTCTAAAGATTGCATATTAGTCCGATAGCTCCAGGGAGCCTACGGGGCTCACCTAGAAAATGGTGTTTCATTACATTCAATGCGGGTTTTTTAATCTACAACCACCCACTGATACATTGCTAAAACACATTAATAGTGCAAAGTTTGTCCAAAAAAAAGTGACACCTGTCTTTGGCATGTATAGAGCCTGCCTTCCTAGTCTAGTGCTTGCCGCATACCAATAATGAATATATGATGCATAATAAATAGTACTCGTAATTTGGTAATTATGAACATGTTAATCCCATACAGAAAGCTGAATCGTGTGAAAGAACAACAGTCTGGTGATACAGATTCTGTTCAGACAGTGCTTCGGGATCTTTTGGAATTGGAAGAAGAGTTTAAGAGGTATGGAAATACTTTTCTCATCTACTTGTATGCTTGTAATTATCTCTATTGACTTTTTCACAGTGATACCTGTTTTACTGGGTTAAAATCCATGCCAGGCCCTTGGGATTTTTTTTCAAGGATATTCCTGCGTGTGCCCTAAGCCTATGACTGGCCCACTAAGTGTTACTTGTTTCTTGTTTCTGTTTTATTTAGGTGGAGTAGGAGTATTTATGACTCTTAATGTTCACTTCAGTAAGATTATGTCCCATGTGTGTAACAACAACAACAACTGCTCTGTTGAATGAAAGTTGAAATCTTGTTGTGGCTGTAACTGTGCACTGTGTTAGATAATGTTCCAGTGGTCTGTTGTGACTGTGCACTGTGTTAGATAATGTTCCAGTGGTCTGTTGTGGCTGTAACTGTGCACTGTGTTAGATAATGTTCCAGTGGTCTGTCAGGCATTTCTCCACAGTGCTGCTATTTCCTCTCATCTTCTGGAACCTGTAAGCCTATTTCCCGTGCACATGGGTATCCAAGCCGGATGCGATGTAAGTGCACTTTTGTTGTTTTACTGCTGTTTTACCAAAATAAGTGGTTTGTAGTTGGTTGAATTCTTGTACCAACCTGCAGATCCTGATTCTAGTCAGGACTAGAATCTGTGATGCCAAATCTAGTATCACCACAACACAGCAGGTTATAACCTGCTGTGTTGTGGTGATACTAGATTTGGCATCACAGATTCTAGTCCTGACTCCTAGTAGGCAAGAGTGTCTCGCAAAGGTTACGCCTGGTGCATCTTTCCAAATCATTTCTGGAGCAGCAATTACCTCAGGAGTAACTGAAAGGGCCCTCTCAGAATAGAACATTTAGTACACTAGAGTACTAGATGTACTTTAGTACACTAGAGTACTTCTAGTACTGTACTAGTACAGTACTAGACTCTTTGGAAAAGTTGTCTTGTATAATATTTATCTATAATAAACCTTTGTGAAAAGCACTGTCTTTGTATATGATTTTGTATATATTTCTGATGCCTATGGTTATGTTGAAGTAAGACGGAAAAATAAAATGAAGTATTTATCTTTCATATTTCAGAAAGCGCAACCGCACTAATTCAGAGTCCAAAATTAGTCCAAAATCCAAATCGGACGCACGGTCTAGACGCTCTACATCAAGAGGTCAATCAAAGAGCAGCAGTCATGCTCACTCCAGGTCAAGAAGTAAATCCATGTCTCCCTTGTCTAAAAAGCTAGCGCAGCAAGAAGGAAAATGGCATCCACCCTCCAACATTAACACTACTGAAACTTATTTGGAGGGTAGTATGCCTGCCAGCATGAATGTTGCTCCTCCTCCTCCTCTACCTCCAACAAATTATGGTTACCCCATGACTGGATGGTCCCCCTCCACTATGGCTCCAGTGATAGCCAATTCACAAGTGCCGCCACCTTCAGCAATGTTCACACAACCACCACCAGGCTACCCAGTAATACCACCTCAAGGTTAGATCATCTATTACTCTCTTCGTCTGGATATATAACATTTTAGCTCCCACAGAGGGGAATAATTTTTGGTCACATTGTAATTTATTATTTTTCAGGTATTCAGGTTGGAAAATTCTGTGGTTCTCAAATATTATTTTTTCTTATCGCTGTTTTATATATCTGGAAAGTGTCTTTGCATTGCATATCATCTTAAAACTTTCTTGACTTATTTATTGTGATGTAGGGAAGGATCCTGAAATTATTGTGCTACTTTTACATTTGTGCCAGGTTTTGAAATCATTTAATGTATCATTAGTGGGGTGAGGAAACCTTGAAGTCATGCTTAAAAGTTACTGTATCAAAATTTCTCTACACCTATAGTGATGCCATGGGATGCTCCCACTACTGTTGTACTTGGATGCTCCCAGTCCTGTTGTACTGGGATGCTCCCACTACTGTGGTCTCATTTGCAGTTAATATCTAAAGACATTTTGCACTATAGCTGATTTGTTTTTATATATATAAATTGCAAGAACTGTTAAAGATTAGATTAAATTTAGAATGTATGTCTTAGAAGCTAACCATATTTTATCCACATCTTGGGGCAAATAGGTGCAAACAGCCAAGTTTGAAACAGCACAAAGTCAGTACCACCAAGGAATACATGAAAGAACGTACTCACCTCATGCTACTCGAGTGTTTGGGTACAGCAAAAATCATCCCAGGTCCCCAAGAATGAGAGTGGGTTGCCCACAATTAGGACAAATCAGGGACCTCGTATCGCAACCAGAAAGAAGCAGCTGACCCAAACTCAAACGAAGAAAGATCCATCAAAACATAAGGTCCTGAACCTGAAAGAGGAACAGAAACATTCATGTGCACTAATCAGGGAGAAACACAGAGGCTTGCAAACCTCCACACCTAGAATGCCTCTGAAGATTCTAACAAATTCAGAAGCACTTTTGGGGAGGAGCCACCAAGGAATCTATTTCAAACATCGAAGGCAGATGTAAAAAACTTTGCATTAAGAGAATACCCCTCCACAGAGGAAACCAAAGACCAATTTGGGTTGAAGGGCACTTTATGACTCTCCCCAGGTTAACCCCCTTCCTCCTTTTCCCCCCTCCCCTTCCCCCCCTAGTAAGGAAGTAAATGAGATGTATGCCAAATTTTGCAAAATTTACGATGAAAGCACACAAACGTTCATACCAAAACAGAGTTGCAGACCTAGGAAACAGGACTGGTTCAACAGAAATTGCGAGAGGGCCAGAGACCAAAAGACTCAAAAATGGAATCAGTATAGGAAGAGGCCTAACCCCCAAACATACCAGCGATACAAAGATGCGAGACAACTAGACGGCAGTGAGGAGAGCGGCAGAAAGGCATTTTGAAAAAGGGATAGTGGACAAATGTAAAACAGAACCAGGCCTATTATGTATATTGATTAACAACAAATTGCAGGTAAAGAATAATATTTAGAGGTTGAATATGGAAAACAGATTCACGGAAAATGAAAAAGAAATGTGTGAAACATTAAACGAAAAGTTCCAAAGTATGTTTGTACAAAATGAAATTTTTAGGGAACCAAACACAAGAATTCCAGAGGGCAACTTGGAGTACATAGAGATGTCTAGAGTCGAGATGCATAAAATGCTCAAGGAGCTAAGTTGGTCCAGATGGAGTTTCACCATGGCTTCTGAGAGAATGTGCATCTGAACTCATTATTCCACTTCAGCTGATTTTTCAGGCATCCCTGTATACAGGAGTCATAGCAGATGTGTGGAAAAAGGCTAACATAGTTCCAATCTACAACAGCAGCAGTAGGGATGACCCCCTCAATTATAGGCTTGTATCATTGACAAGTGTAATACAGTAGTCAAAATTTTTGGAAAAAATAATTAAAACTAAGTGGGTAGAACACCGGGAAAAATACAATATAATATCTGACAGTCGGTATGGTTTTCGATCTGGAAGATCCTGTATAACAAATTTACTTAGTTTCTATGATTGAGCCACAGAGACGTGGAGTTTACATAAATGATCTACCAGATGGAATACATATGAACATGTTTGCTGATGATGATAAGATTATAGGAAAGATATGAAACTTAGATTATTGTCATGCCCTTCAAGAAGACCTGGACAAAATAAGTATATGGAGCAACACTTGGCAAATGGAATGTAATGTGAATAAATGCCATGTTATGGAATGTGGAAGTGGAAAACATTGACCCCCACACAACCTATAAATTATGCGAGAAATCTTTAATGAATTCTGATCAAGAAAGAGATCTATGGATGGTTCTAGATAGAAAACTATCACCTGAGGATCACATAAAGAACATTATGTGAGGAGCCTACGCCATACTTTCTAACTTCAGAATGGCTTTTAAATACATGGATGGCGAAATACTAAAGAAATTGTTCACGACGTTTGTTAGACTAAAGCTGGAATATGCAGCGGTTGTGTGGTGCCCATATCTTATGAAGCACATCAATCAACTGGAAAGGGTGCAAAGACATGCCACTAAGTGGCTCCCAGAACTAAAGGACAAGAGCTACGAGGAGAGGTTAGAACATTAAATATGCCAAAACTAGAAGATAAAAGAGAAAGTAGCGATATGATCACTACGTACAAAATAGTAACAGGAATCGATAAAATTGATAGAGCAGAATTCCTGAGATATGGAACTTCAAGAACAAGAGATCATAAATTTAAACTAACTAAACAAAGATGCTGAAGAAATATAAGAAAATTCACTTTCACAAACAGAGTGGTAGACGGTTGGAACAAGTTAGGTGGGAAGGTGGTGGAGGCCAAAACCGTCGGTAATTTCAAAGCGTTATATGACATAGAGTGCCTGGAAAACGGAACACCACGAGTGTAGCTCTCATCCTGTAACTACCCCACACCCCAGAGACAGAGGTTTTCAGGCAAAGCCTTATCTCAAAACAGATGCTGAGGACAGAACAGTGTTTCTCCACGAGGAAGGATCTGCTGTCTCAGTAATCCCCTGTGAAACAGAAGGTAGCAAATTCTTGGCAAGAAGCAGCAGCAGCAACCACCTCCACTGTTAATGGAGGTGAAATTTAGGAAAACCTTTCCTGTAAAGCAACAGCTGCCTGATAAGCGGAGTCCTTAAAGGGAGATTCGGCCAAAATCAAAACCAAGAGATGACACGCATCACAGGCCTCGGTGTGGAATGCATCACCCACCCAGCAGGCAGCATGGTGGAGGCAGTGAATATGGCCATTAGAGTTTGATGAGACCGAGATGCATTCTTCAAACTCAAACTAATTGAGTACAGTATCAAGAGAACTGGTCCACAATGATCCCTACTGAAAACTCCTAATGGCTTGCCAGGTCCCAAAAGATAATCCAAGCAGGAAGAACCAGGCATAGTCTGCCTGATATCATCAACCAGGTATCAAATATTACAGGCACCAAAAACAGCTCACAGGCATAGGCAACTGAATGGCCATGTCCCAAATTTGCACAGTAAAATAACAACATACTGGAGTGAACGATATGGCAGGAAATGCAGAACAGAGCCAGTGAAGAGTAGAGGTGTCATAGGCACAATCAGAGAACACTGTATGAATTCACAGAGAAATTGAACCATGATGAGGGTTCAAACACCCAATGCATAAATTCGAACCCTCAACCTGGCTCCTGTGGATTTGTTTAACACAGTATGAACATCAGAAATTTACAGTTGATCAGTATCCTCCCAGCAAGTAGAAAAAATATTACCAATATTGCCAAAACAAAAGTGGAAGTCTAAAAAAAAAAAAAAAAACTTGACAGTTTTCTGCAAGAATTGCTGAACCAACCAGGCTATAGTGGATATATGGGCCTATGAGCTGCTCCAAGTAACAGCCTTTTGGGCCAAGCACTCTCTCGTATGCCAGGGCCAGGCTTGGGGAGTAGAAGAATTCCCAGAATTCTCTCCAGGTAAGATCCAAGTAAGACTGTAAATGGCATAAGTGGTGCACCTTAAAAACTGCATACGAGTACCCTGTGCAACTTGGGTGGAGTTATCCAGGTTGCTAGGAGATAGATAATTAGGGTATTGGTACGAGGAGGAGGAGTCTGTCTGAAATATTCTGGCACATTCCTAGGCAATACAAAACATTCCCGATGTCAAATAGGGAAAGTTTTTTATTATTACAGGCATGGCATTTGAATCCAATTATGCGAGTCGTGAGGATGAGGAATATAAAGCTCGAGTTGATAAGTTCTTGAAGCAGTTGGAAGGATCCAGGTAATGTTTATTTGGTTTTACACATACTGTACTTAAATTATTAATATCTATTATGACAGATTTGACAGTAAATATAAATTTTCCTTATTCAGGAATCTTAAGCTACTACAAGGAATATTTGAATGTATAAATAAATCGCATTTGTTCCCTTTTCATCTTGTTATATATACACAATACTTAAAGTTTTATCAAGCACTTCTTAGTAACCTTGATGCTGTTCCTATTGTGTACTTGATGTACTTGACCATGTGATGATGGACTCTTGCACCCACTACTGGCCAGGCCCGCTGACAAAAAGGACCGAAGTAAAAAGAGCAGCACCAGAGACAGGGAGTCCAGGAAGAGAAGAAAACACAACAAAGGTAATATTCACATTAAATATATTTTATATTGAGCAACAGAGTACTTGGCGGGGAGCTGCCCCGTGCACCCTACAGCAGGGACACTGCTCAACCACTTGCCAGTCTGCTCTCCACTCTTTTGTGAAGTTTTTTTCTGTTGTACCTTTTTTCTCATTGCTGCTTCTTGCCGTTTAACCTCCCACTTCAGTGAGAGAGTTTATTCTAATTATATTATGATATTTTTGTTTCACGTTGCAAGCAATGTGAAATACAAAATTCCTTGGCAAATATTTCAGAGTCTGCTTGAGAGGAACCCTCAGAGAAGGGAAGTCCCCATGGGAGGAGGACATAGAAATTTCCAAAGACGAAGAATTGCAACTTCCGCTAATTTAGCCATCATTACATTTCAGAAATAAATATTTTGCAGCTGCGATGAAAGTTTTTTGGATGGACACACATTAATTAAATTTAAATGTCTTTAGATTAAATAGTGCAGTACTGTACTGTATTTAAAAAAATGCAAATTTGTCGAGATTATTTTAATTGGAATGCAATATACGTATTTTATTCTGTATTCCTTTCCATTTAAAATAGCGAAATATTGGAAAATGGAGGCTAATAAGAATTTTATGGAATATTAATTTATGATGTAAAGAATATTTTAGCGTGTACAATATACTGTATCTAGGAAGCCAATTAAAAGTGGGAACCCCCAGAAATTATATGATTATCCCAGTTGCAATTATCCATCACTATCCTTGGCCGATTATAGCAAGATTCTTAAACAGGGTACCGACGATGTTTCCTTGAAAGTAATTAGCCTAACTAAATTGATCTTATTAAGTTGTGAAATATATAAGGCACAAGGTGACATATGCTCAGGCTCTTGAGATTGGAGCAGTTAAAACATGAGGCTGAAAAAGAGTGGGTAACTATGAGGTGAAAGCACTAACCAGTATGAGTGTATGGCACCAGGCTGTTGTAGAAGAGGCAAGCTTGTACTCTGGAGTTGTTGTGGTATATGCTTGTGACTTCAATGGGACTTGATTCACCAAGGAGAATTATCTTGTGAATATATTTACTCTGCCCATCTGTAAAAGGAAAGGTCTTTATGACAGTTTAATAAGTGTATAGAGATGCAGACTTCTTGGTTCTTGGTTGTAAAATGACTAGTAGAATTTAGTCAGGAGAGTCATTTTTCTTGGCTATTCAGGTTTCTTGGAGGGAACTTGAATTTCTGTTGAATGGTTAAACTGAAGTTATTAACTGTTTATTGACTTGTGTAGTAAAAATATAATATAAAATGGTTGTTGATTTTAGAAAGTACATGTAATATTGAATAATAGTAATAGAAAATGTATTAGTGTTGCCAGAGGCTTGGCCACTAAAGTAACAATTGATGAATGTGGTGGAATGTGAACAGGGGAAAATTAACATTACAATACCTGAGTGAGAGTGTGAATCGAGGCTGGGTTGATATGATATAAACACCAGAGGTAAGATAGAGGAGCAGAGTAAAGGTGTAACCATATTAAAAAGTGTTTGGCAGCCAAAAAGCTAAAAAGCAACAAATATTAAGATTGTTGAACTCGTATGGTGCCTTGTATAGTACAGATTATCTGTATTACCCAGCATGCCACAATGGGCCATTACAAGAATAGATTGCAAGAGGAGTTTTATCATTGCTAGTTAGAATCTATTATTAACATGTTGAAATATTTGGATTTAGTCTTTTGTTAACTCTTTTGAGCTTTAGAAATGTACTATGGTGACTTACGACACTGCCTTGACACGTCAATTCTACCATTGATTCACACCGTTCCAAACAATTTGTCTGAATCTGTTCCTGTAACATCTTCCCATTTCTTGCAGTCATATCTAAGATAGGAAAAAGAATCCCCCATATGCTCAGTTGTAGCACACATTATGTGATATAAATACATACAAGCAGGATAAATGTGTGCCTAAGAACAAATATTTTTCTTTTAGGTAAGTAAAGGTTCCTTGCATTCTATTATTACTTCAAGAAGTTATCCATTGGGATGTGCTATTACCATTCTGCTGGGTTTGCACTTCATTTTTCATTTGTATATTTCTTTGCTTTCTTATGCAGTACAATCGTATAGACAATTATATTTTATAATTGTATATTTTATTAATTTACAAAATTATTAATTTTGGGTTGCGTGTGTTATTTGAACTCCTTGCACAGTGACATTTGACTATTTATCAGATGCCCGACACAGTGATAACTATGAGGCAAAGGTATTCACACACCTTGGGGACAACTGTCAATGAAAAGGTGGATTTTGTGAAAAACTAGAGCTTTCCTTGTTATTTACCCGTGTTATAAAATAGTTGGAGGGTTTATGTAGTGAAAATATAAATACAGTACTGTATGTCTAATTGTACTTTGCCTGCAGTTAGTCCAGTCAACCATTGCCATCAATCCATTGTGTGATACAGTGTGACCTTGCTGTGTTATGTATTTTTCTGTTGTAACATTAAAAACTTTGTAATATTTGTCTTTTATGATGAGGTCAAATGTGTTTATACTGTAGTTTATTTCCAGTGACCATTAGCATGGAAGGAAGACCAGTCAGACCACCACCAGCCTCCACTCATTTCCTAAACACACAACACACAAATTTAGGAGTTTATTATTTCTTTCATGAATGAACTGTACTTTTTATGCATGATGGAATAAGCTTATATAGTGGAAATAAGTGTGAATATATAGAGTGGAAAGATTACTGTTGTGTGAGGGAGGAAGGAGCAGGCAGCGTAAAACATCGTGTCGGCCATTACAGTTGGTTTACTGTTTTGATCTGTCGTGTTGCATTTCAGGAGAATTTGAGATTGTATCATAAGCTAAGAGGAGCTGGGTCTGGATGTAAATGGAAAGTGACTATGAGGATTTTGTAGCTTGATAAATAATGGTGTGTTTCATGTGTCAGTGACTGTGGGACCATGGTCTAGCCCTCTATGTTACACCATGTTGCCACTGTTACTTGGTGCACTTACTTCCACTCTTGATGTTCAAGCTCTGGGTCACATTTTGTCTTAAAGTTGTGGATAGAAATGGCTTCAGTAACTTCTTTCAATGCATTCCACTTGTCTTGCATCTTTATGACTGTTGCATATCCTACTCCCACTGATGTTCTCTTTTGCCATACCTTCTCTCAATTTAAACAGGCTGTCCTTGTCCACTTTGTCTATTCCTCTTTGTATCTTGTACGGCATTACTATATTCTCTTATTAATTCTTCTCCCCAACAGTTGTGAGGTTGAGTTCCTTTAAGGGGCCGGAAAACTAATATTTCAACCTACCCCAAACTCTCAATATTTTTTTGCTTATCTACTTGATAAATGTTCTGACTTTTCCTAATGGATCACCATCCTAACATGCACAAAAAAAAAAAAAAAAAAAACAACTTTTTTGAAATCATTAAAAAATGAAAAATATCACCAATTGTATTTTTTTCATTATGGTGTCAGATTAGATATGATCTTCATTTTGTATTTTTAGAATTAAGTTTGAGAGTATAGATTGATATAAATAAATTGTGAAATGTCCCCTTTCAAAATAAATGCCAAAAATACACAACAATGTATAATTAAAATGTTTTTTGATGTATGGCCAAAATTATACATTGAGAATGTAGAACAAACCACTATATACAAAATATGTAAAAATTTTGTTAATCAGAAACTGAATTTATAGAAGTTTTTTAAAGTTGAAAATCTAGTTCACCGAGAAAACTAAAGTTGAAGTTATCAACAATGACCTAAGAACTCCATTTGCTCTGACTGATGCCTTGGCAGGTACAGGGAGATATATGGAGGTACAGGGAGCCGGTGGCTGAGCGGACAGAACACGGGACACATGATCCTGTAGTCCCGGGTTTGATCCCGAGCACCGACGAGAAACAATGGGCAGAGTTTCTTTCACCCTATGCCCCTGTTACCTAGCAGTAAATAGGTACCTGGGTGTTAGTCAGCTGTCACGGGCTGCAGTAAATAGGTAGTAAATAGGTACCTGGGTGTTAGTCAGCTGTCACGGGCTGCTTCCTGGGGGTGGAGGCCTGGTCAAGGACCGGGCCGCAGGGACACTAAAACCCCAAAATCATCTCAAGATAACCTCAAGATAGAAGATGGCTTAATACATTCATATCAGCCTGGATAGCTCTGGGGAGCCTTTGGGTCTCGCCCAGAAAATTGCCTTCCATTACATTCAATGCTTTTTTTACGTATAAAATCCACTTCTTAACATGTTGTGTTGCAATTTTCATGATGCTGTTACCAAATAATTGGAGATTTGTATAACATTTTCAAGTAATTTTCATGTTATTCAAATATTTTTTCGATACCCGGCCCTTTAACCTGTTAAGGGGCATTGCACACCTGTTATTGGCAAGAACTTCAAAGTGCAATTGTTAAGGACATATTTTTGTTGTTTTTATAAATGCTCAGGTGGTGTTAATGTCAAAATGTTTCCAAACTAAACTATTTTCATTTCAAAACAAAGAGTGACGAAAACATTTAAAAACATTAAAATATAGCCTAATTAAAAAAAAAAAGGACAACTCTCAAAATGACATTTGTTGGTTGGCGCAGTTGAGGGGTTAAGCTGTGTTACCTTTACCTTGAGGTTACTTTGAGATGATTTCGGGGCTTGGCGAGCCAGCGGCCAGGCCTCCTCGTTGTTGGACTGGTCAACTAGGTTGTTGGACTCGGCTGCTCGCAGCCTGACGTATGAATCACAGCCTGGTTGATCAGGTGTTGAAGTCTAAGCCCTCTCAACTCTGGTATTAGTCTTCAGCAGTTGCAAATCTATGTGCCATCTCAAATATCTGTTATTTCTTCAGGAGGTACAGATTCTATGCCATTGCTGTATTCTCCAGTAATGGTCTCACATGGGCAGTGTATGTATATGGACTTGATAGTATCCTTGTTTAAATTTGCATTTGCTGATATGTTTGCCAGATTGCAATATAACCCTGAAGCCCTGATCACAAGAGCTTCTTCAGTTAGTGTTAGGATTTTGTTCATTCCTACATCTTTTCTTCTTGTTGGTTCTTATCTAGTTATTTATGCAAAAACACATCAAAATTTTTCTAGCAGTCTAGGAAGATGCTGTCTAACCATTTATCATAACTATTGCCTTAGTTTGGTAATCCCTGTCATATAATTTCAATAAAGCTAATCTGACATGACATATTCACTCTGAATTTGTGTTGCCCCTCCATTACCAAATTTATCTCCTAGTTTTCCATTTTTCTTGTTCCGATTACTTTTTCCAGAATTTTGCATAGCATGCTTATTAGTGACACTGATCAATACTTTACTGCCTCTTGCCTATCCCTTTTCTTGAATACTGGAATTATTATAAAATGGCCTTTTTCCAGATTTCTGAGTCTCCATTCTCTTAGTGCAAAGGTTCTTAAATGAGGTGTGAGACTGATTTCTTGGGGTATAAGGATTATCATTGTTTTTAGATATCAGTATGGATAAATTTTGAGGAAGCTATTATGTTTATAAACCTCTGAAATCAAATTAATTGACTTAAAGGGTCTTTCAGAGCTCAAAAGGTTAAGCTAATGATATTTTTTTTCTTGAAGTAGCTTAGAATGAAGTTAACTCTGTAGAGGTGGATTAATAAGGTTTTGTAAAGTTTTTTTCTGACCATACTTGTAGAGTGCATTGAAGATACTTTAACATCTTATACATTACCTTAAAGTACTAATAAGTAACATTTTCTTGGCAATTTTCTAAATAATCTCTTAGATTCTCACAAGAGAAGAAGCAGAAGAAACAGATCCCGAAGCAGAAGTCGGAGTAGGCGTGGCAGAAGTGGAAGCACTAGTAGCAGCACTAGCAGCAGCAGCATTAGCAGCAGCAGCAGTAGCAGCAGCAACCACAGCACTACAAGCAGAAGCAGCAGTACAAGCAGCAGTAGCACTAGCGTAAGCTCTGATGTTAGCAGCAGAAAAAAGTACAAAAAGAGAAAGAAATACAAGAAGAATGAGAAGAAAGGCAAAAAAGTTAGTAAAGCAGAGAAACTACACAAAGAGAAACATGAGGAAAAATCCAAATATCCATCAAGCATCTCAAAAGTGTAAGTTCATTCTGTTGTTTAATAACACTCTTGAATTAGCATTTTCTTTATTCTTTGCTTGAGTTGAGTTTTTCTGAAATTTTTGACATGTTTTTATTCTGCAAAAGTTTCAAAACATTTATCGTTTCAGCATTTGAATACGGAATTGTACATGTAGCCAGAATATGGAAGAGCCACATCATAGCCTGAGACAATTATAGAATGCAAGTAAATAAATTAATACATAAAATGCCGTCTCTTAGGTACATAATGAGCCATCTAACTCTGCAGTTACTTAGCTTGGCCTAGCGAGCAAACATTTCATTACTGTTATAGTGCCAGTATATGACATTGAAAGTGTTTGTAAAACAATGTAAAACATAAATTTTCTGGTTAAATAATGTTAAATTCCATTAGGTCACGTGATGAGACATGAAAATTATAATGAATGGGAAAACCTGTGTTTCAGTCAACTTTTCTGTCGAATGTCCTTCACAGATGAAAAAATGTGAATATAAGATGATTTATACTTCATTCATGTAACTATGTTTATGAAGCAATTAAAGATATTATTTTAAGACAATGAGTATAATTTTGCATATGCTTACGATTCCATCGACACCACCTCTTTACTCTGAATACTCCGGAAACCTGATCAGGGGTTTCTGTTTAATATATTTGGAGTAATGTAACAATTATTGTATACAAGACTGGAGGTTCAGATATACTGTACCCCATGTCCTGTATTATCTAAGGTAAGTTTCGTGGCTTTTTTGTATTGAATTTGCTAACAAATTTTTGATAGTTGCATTTCTAAGTATTTTTTGTAATAAGTCAATCTGGTTTAATTGTTACAGGGAAGATGATCCTATTCCAGAACTGGAAAGCTTGAATGAAAAGTTATCAGCTTATTATAAGAAAGTAGAAGCTAGTCAGAAACAGCCACTTACTAAGTAAGTATTTAAAAGCAGTATGATATTGCCAGTTTTTATATTCATTAAAACACACATTTTATTTTATTTGTTTCCATAGCTAACATCGCCATATGATCACTTTAGATTTTGATCATATTTGTGAGACAGGTTCATGGTTGTGTAACAGTATGTGTGAGACAGGTTCATGGTTGTGTAACAATATGTGTGAGACAGGTTCATGGTTGTGTAACAGTATGTGTGAGACAGGTTCATGGTTGTGTAACAATATGTGTGAGACAGGTTCATGGTTGTGTAACAGTATTTGTGAGACAGGTTCATGGTTGTGTAACAGTATGTGTGAGACAGGTTCATGGTTGTGTAACAGTATGTGTGAGACAGGTTCATGGTTGTGTAACAGTATGTGTGAGACAGGTTCATGGTTGTGTAGCAGTGTGTGTGAGACAGGTTTATGGTTGTGTAACAGTATGTGTGAGACAGGTTCATGGTTGTGTAACAGTATGTGTGAGACAGGTTCATGGTTGTGTAACAGTATGTGTGAGACAGGTTCATGGTTGTGTAACAGTATGTGTGAGACAGGTTCATGGTTGTGTAACAATATGTGTGAGACAGGTTCATGGTTGTGTAACAGTATGTGTGAGACAGGTTCATGGTTGTGTAACAATATGTGTGAGACAGGTTCATGGTTGTGTAACAGTATGTGTGAGACAGGTTCATGGTTGTGTAACAGTATTTGTGAGACAGGTTCATGGTTGTGTAACAGTATGTGTGAGACAGGTTCATGGTTGTGTAACAGTATGTGTGAGACAGGTTCATGGTTGTGTAACAATGTGTGAGACAGGTTCATGGTTGTGTAACAATATGTGTGAGACAGGTTCATGGTTGTGTAACAGTATGTGTGAGACAGGTTCATGGTTGTGTAACAGTATGTGTGAGACAGGTTCATGGTTGTGTAACAGTATGTGTGAGACAGGTTCATGGTTGTGTAACAGTATGTGTGAGACAGGTTCATAGTTGTGTAACAGTATTTGTGAGACAGGTTCATGGTTGTGTAACAATATGTGTGAGACAGGTTCATGGTTGTGTAACAGTATGTGTGAGACAGGTTCATGGTTGTGTAACAGTATTTGTGAGACAGGTTCATGGTTGTGTAACAGTATTTGTGAGACAGGTTCATGGTTGTGTAACAATATGTGTGAGACAGGTTCATCGTTGTGTAACAATATGTGTGAGACAGGTTCATGGTTGTGTAACAATATGTGTGAGACAGGTTCATGGTGTGTGTAACAATATGTGTGAGACAGGTTCATAGTTGTGTAACAATATGTGTGAGACAGGTTCATGGTTGTGTAACGATATATGTGAGACAGGTTCATGGTTGTGTAACAATATGTGTGAGACAGGTTCATGGTTGTGTAACAATATGTGTGAGACAGGTTCATGGTTGTGTAACAATGTGTGTGAGACAGGTTCATGGTTGTGTGTAACGATATATGTGAGACAGGTTCATGGTTGTGTAACAATATGTGTGAGACAGGTTCATGGTTGTGTAACAATATGTGTGAGACAGGTTCAATGGTTGTGTAACAATCTTTCAATAAACTTTGGCTTGATTATACTTATCTTAAATTATAAGGCCTGTATATACAGTAAAAGTATTTAAATCCAAAGGACAAGAATGTATTGTTCTTGTAAATTGGGAAGAATATATTTATTATCATTATATACTCAATAGCTCGGGTGATAGAGCTTCTGCCTCACACTCACGGGATCTGCGGTTCGTGTCTCCTAGAGCCCAGGTGAATGGAATCATTGTATAGTGTTCTAGTTATCATCATGATCATCATCATCAACAGGGCAATGAGTTTGGTGCACAGAAGAATTTTTCATTCTGCTAAGTAGCTGTATTTTTTAGACCTGGATATAATGAACCATTTCGTCAAAATAGCTTTTGTTAAAGGGCTCCAATTACTGTATATATTAAAAATCCATATCTCAAGGGAATGAAATTGGCACACTTCCGAGACAGTATGAAGTACTGCAAATAGAACAAAGACTAAACATTATTACATGCTCAGAGTTGCCAGTTTAATATATAACCAGCTTGCAATTATATTTTTTTGTAAGGATAAAAGAAAGTATAGCAGAGACTGCATTAAGAGTGGAAAAGTTGCAGATGAGCACTAGCTGGAGGCCCCTGATGAAAGTGTGTCATGGTTTCTAGAAGAATATTAAGAAAGAAAATGGAGCAACACAGAAGCTTTTATTATACTCTCGAGATATTGTAAAGAGCATTATATAGTGATGATTACATTGCTATGTAGAAGGAACGGCTGCCACACCCTGGATCATGATGGAGATGTAACAGACTTAGCAAAACCTCCCAGAAACGCAATGGAAATGTATTTAAAGCATTTTCTAAAAATTTGTATTAGATGTTATATGGACAGTGAATTCTGGATAATAAAATAGGATTTTCATAGATATAAGCGAGAAAACAGGCCAAATGGAGGAGTAGGTTTGTATATTAAGGAGGAACTTGTATGTACAGAACTTTTAAACTCTTTAAATGATGTGGCAGAGGATAATGTACTTGGAATGAATGTAGAGAACAACACATGATGCACCCCCGGCCTGACCAACCAAGCATCAACAATCCAAGGACCCCTTCGGAAAGCAGCTGTCTCATTCTTCACCAGAAAAGAAGACGACGGCTGCAACCGAACCATCAGGACCATCTACTATCAGGACCGAAGGAGCAGAAACCTCTGCGGCGGAGGAGAGCATAAAGCTCCCCGACCCAACCCCCCCACCCCCAGAGGTCAACACTAACGGGGAAAAAAAAAAGAGACCTGGAAAAACAACCCTGAACTGAAGGGACAACAACAAACCGAAGGGAAGAGAAGAGAGAAAAAAGATCACCCAGTCCAACGACCAGAACGGCACTGGAGGTGCACAGGCAGGCCAGAGGTGAAACAACGCACGAGATAGCTTGCGGAACGGGACAGAAGTAACATCAACACTGAACGCAAGCTGGAGCGGCTTGGCTAGCGCCTCACGATACGAAGCGACAGTATCCGGCAAAGATGACGGTCCTGAAACAACCATGAAAGGAAGGACAAGATAACCCTATCAGAGACCGAAGTACACCTATGCAGCGATAGGAACCGGAAGGACCGCCAGGAAACTTCATACTGCCGCTGAGACGGAGCAGGTATATGGGAGACCAACAACAAAGCCACCTGTGCTCATACAAATGATGAGAAACTCAAGACAAAAACTCCAGACGCGAAGACTCGAGGAGAAGAACGAACCAGCCTCATACCAAGCATTCTATGTCTGCCATTCTATGGCAGGCATAGAATGCTCCCAACCACATGTGGGTTTCTATAGGGCACTGCTCCTTGCACCTCTCTGAGGGGGCGAGGTTCTGGCTTGTCGTCCCCAGTAGGCAAGAACCCCATGCACATTGATGCCAGAAAGTTATACATATCCATTCAGCCTGGATAGCTTCAGGGAGCCGACGGGGCTCCCAAACATAAACATTTTATATACAGACAATTATTATCAGGTTCCTTGCAAGCTAAGTTCTTGCCGGAACATGAAACTGGAGTATATGGCACAGTAAAGCCACGAAGGAGGGAAATGCCAGTGTTTGAAGAAAATATTCCAGTTGGTAAGTGCCAGATAAAAAAAGTGTGACGATATGTTTGTGGTGCGATGGAAAGACAGACGTAAAATAAATGTGTTGACAACCATTGACAGCTGGTAAGATGGTAGACAGTAGCAAGATTGACACTGCAACAAAAGAAACCATGTTTAAACCAGATTGGGTCATGGGTTATAACATAAACATGTGCTTGGTTAATAAGTGTGACATACTGGCTGTCAGGCTGTCAAGTGTGTACATTAAATCGTGAAGTGGACCAAGAAAATAATTTTTCACCGTGTTATCATAATCATGCTAAACAGTTTTAATATGTACCTGGTGAAATCAGGCAATAAACCAACTTGGCATGTGTTTAGTTTTGCCTTTCTGACAATTGTTAACAAACATTTAGTAAAGACATTCCATTTCATTTAGAGGTGTTCTCGCCCCAACATTGCATCATGCTGCTCTAGACAGAATGGCATTAAAGGATGCCTTTCTGCTAAACAGAATAGAGCTCTTTTTTACCTATGGGAAATCGCACAAAAGGCCAACATGAGTACATTGTTTGTAATAGCACACAAGAGAAGTCACAACATGGTGCAAAGTGTGCCTGTGTGTGTTGTAAACTGCTTCAACAACTATCATTCTCTCAAGATCTTCTGAGTGTTTCGTAATGGAGCATAAACATGTATATAATAATTGAGGGAGTGTCTATAGTGTAAAATTAATAAAAAAAAAATTGAAATTTACTGTAAAACAAAACTTTTACTGTGTATGTATGTGACATGCATATATTTGTGTATTGGTGTGCTGCAGATTTTATTATATTAGAACATTTAGTGACACACACTGTTGAACAAATTCTGTGAAAAAAAGTGTGAATAAATACGTGAAATATTATATTATAAACAAATAAAAACAATCCGCTGCAACTCCTGGCAATTGAGTGGCCTACACGACTCTCCCGGGACACTCACAACTTGAGCGAGCATGTGTTGGTGACATCACCACCTCTCTATTCCGCAACAGCCATGGTAAGTCAATTTTAATCCCCCGTCCCCCGTGGTGAGGGAATGCATTTTAACAATATCAGAAGAATTTTGTATTCTGGGAGAGCCCCTTCGGCTCCCCTGGAGCTATCCAGGCTGATATGGATATATTAGACTTTGGCATCAGTCAATGTGAATGGAGTTCTAGGCCAGTGGTCCCCCCCCCCCCCCAAGAAGAGGCACGAGGAGCAATAGCCTATAGAAACCCCTGTGTAGTTGGAAGCATTCTATGTCTGCCATCGACCGGGTCAGGCACCCAGAAAAGTAAGCGCCCCAAAACAAACCCCTATTCTGATGAAGAAATTGCTACTGAAAGCCGAACTAGTGGATAGAACTCCCCAACAAAGATCAACAAACAAGCGTGACGTCACCACGTAGCCGCTCTACTTGTCTGGGAAGCTCCCCCATCCCTGGGAGGGGGAAGGGGGAGTCCCAGACCCTCACTCTTGTTACCCACACCCCAGTTCTGAGGCTGAATGTCAAAAACACTCAAAAAAAAAATGACGATTAGAGGGAGGGAGGGTTCCCGGGGAGCCACGACTTTCCACAACTGTTACTCTTACCTCCAACAGATGGCGCTGTTTTTCCAAAAAAACAACTTTTTTTCTGTCACAGGTGAGGCATGTATATAATAGATACATAAAAAGACGCGCCTATTTGAATGCAAAGTTGTTTCAAAATTTCAAAGCAATCGGTAAAGGGGTTTCAAAAATTTCCCTCACATGAAAAGCACAGTTTTTCAGAAAAGCATGTTTTTTTTTTACCGTCACAAATGTGACATCTATATACTGTAGTATGTATATAAAAACCTGCCCGGATGAGAATGGAACGTTGTGTGAAAATTTCAAAGTAATCGGTGGAGAACTTTCAGAGATTAGCGGTTATGCACAAACGATCATTTCCATTTATATATATATATATATATATATATATATATATATATATATATATATATATATATATATATATATATATATATATATATATATATATATATATATATATATATATATATATATATATATATATATATATATATATATATATATATATATATATATATATATATATATAATATAATATAATATACACACACTGTATATATATATTAACACAAATTTGTTTTATGTACTGTATTGTACTTGTTTTCATGCAAAAAACTTTAATTTACAGAATCTTGCCTTTGTCTTGTAAATTGTATACATATAAAGGTTTATAACTTATTTGCATTGCAGAGAAAAGAAAACTAAAGAAATTATCTCGGCTGATAAAGAGGGGTAAGTGAAATGGAGTCCACACCTTGGGTTTTGTCCTCAAATATGACCTTATCTGAAGGATTGGGTAAATCTTTGGTAATGTTTTTATCTTAGTTTGTATATAAATGTACTTATGATTGAATAATTTGTAATAGACAAAGTTGTTGGTCAAAAAATAAACTTCAAGTTGAAATTTGCAGTTCTGTACTATACTATAACTTATCATAACCTGAAGTAGGACAGTATTCATTTCTTTCTCTATTTCAGATTGTCAGAGCAGCCTGATAGCATTACTCTGATGATGAATGTAATGAAGAGCTATGAACAAGGCTTTCGTTTGTCAAAGACAAAGTTAGCAACTAACTCTGTTCCCAACGTGCAAGGAATTCATCCAGCATTTAGAGAGAGTGAAGAAGAGGATGATATTCTGGATCAGCCAATTTCAAGCACTATCAGTCAAAACAAATCTGTGGATAAGAGCAAGGATGTAGTTGAAAGTCCCAAGATTCAATCTGAATCCAAGTCACATTCTAGGACGAGTTCAAGATCACTGTCTAAGAGCCATTCACGATCACGCTCTAGATCATGCAACAAGCAAGGTTCTCGTTCCCCATCACACTCGAGATCATACAAACAAGATTCTCGTTCCCCATCACAATCTAGGTCACATCATAGGCGAAGTTATCGCTCACAGTCACGCTCTAGTTCACACTACCATGGAGACAGCCGCTCACGATCCCGTTCAAGAACCCGTTCGCGGCTCAGTCCAAAAGGTAGGGAACGAAATTTCTCACATAGCAGTAGTCATGGCTCTGCCTGGCATAAAACTTTTCGAAGGTCAAGCAGATCGCCTATACATCACTCTTATCGTTCAAGAGCACGAGGTCAATGGGGCTGGCATAGAGGTGGTCGGTTTAGGGGAAATCCCAGAGACAGTTATAGGGATAGAGAAAGCCCTAGAGATAGTTATAGGGATTGGGGAAGCTCCAGAGGTAGATATAGGGAAAGCCCCAGAGATAAATATAGGGAAAGAGGAAGCCCTAGGAGTAAATATAGGAGTAGAGGAAGCCCCCGAGATAAATATAGGGATAGAGGGAGCCCTCGAGATAAATATAGGGACCGAGGAAGCCCCCGAGATAAATACAGGGACAGGGGAAGCTCCCAAGATAAATATAAAGGCAGGGACACTCCACAAGGCTATGGTACTCCAGAACCACTGGATAAACATGATCGTGAAACATTGATTGAAGCTGCAAAAAAAAAAATTGAGAGCCAAATTAAATATGCAACCACTGATCTAGATGATATTGAAAGCAAATTGGAGGCCTCATGTTCCAAAACTCCAAGTCATTGGGAATCTTCAAGAGGTAAATCTCCAGGTAAACCTAATTCTTTGGTTCCAAAAACTCCAAGTAGGTGGGAATCACCACCTCCTCCTCCTCCCAAAACTCCAAGTAGGTGGGATTCAGTCCATTCCAAAACCCCAAGTATTCGAGAATCTCATCCTAAAACTCCAAGTAGATGGGAACCCAAAACTCCAAGTAGATGGGAACCCAAAACCCCAAGCAGATGGGAATCATCTCATCCGAAGACCCCAAGTAGGCAGGAATCATCTCGTCCCAAAACCCCAAGTAGGTGGGAGTCATCTCATCCAAAGACCCCAAGTAGGCAGGAATCGTCTCGTCCCAAAACCCCAAGTAGGTGGGAATCATCTCATCCGAAGACCCCAAGTAGGCAGGAATCATCTCGTCCCAAAACCCCAAGTAGACAGGACTCTTCTAGTAGAGGTCTTACTAGTAAGGATGACAATGGGTCTACTGGAAAAGTTTCTCCAGAGAGAGGATCCAGATTTAACAAATGGGATAAAAAAGAGAACGGTAAATCTGAAGAACCAAAAATAGGAAATTCTCTCACAGAAATGGAAACTTTTGTTGAAGCTGCTAAACAAAAGAAATTAGAGGAAATGAAAGAAAGAAATAAAGAATTTTTAAAGCCTATTGTTGAATAAGTCAGAAGACGAGATGCTGTGCACCGAGGATGAAACTGCTTTTTCAAAACTTGTAAAAAATACAGTATTTTCATAGTGCATTTGATTACAGCACTTTGCAAAAGAAATATTCACCTTGTATATAAATCTTTTAATTTATGTTAGAGTGAAGCTTTACTTTCAGCAAGATGGGAATGACGAGATTCATGTCTTGTGAGAACGTATTACAGAGCTCGGTTATTGTAAAGTATATTTGTCAGTTCTGTTACTGTATTGTTATACTCTACTGCTTTGGGTTTTTCTTTTATATTTTTTATTAATTGTATTTTTGTGAACTTTATGCAGTAATTTTCATTGTATATCTTGTGAAAGCAATTTTAATATCTTGTAGGGTATTAAAGTATTAGAGACTTGTTAGGCTTAAGACCATGTAGTTGATACCAATAAAAGTTAAGTGTTTTTTGTGTAAATTTAATAGAAGGAAGTATGGGTTGTACGTGCTTCATGTCAATATTTTTATCCACAATACATTGTCTGTGAACTTGGTATTAATTAATACAAATAAAGACTAGAAAAAAATATGCTAAATATTGAAAGTAATTAACCAAACTATAATGTATTAATTATCTACTTTATGTATTTTGTGGTATTTTACTGCCAATAAAGTATCCAAATATGTGTTATCTTAATTAAGGGCCTCATTTTTACCATATCTGAAAACATGGAATTTATCACTGTTAAACATAGTGTTATTTTCTGCTGCCCAATCGAAAACTTTATTAATATCTGCTTGTAGTTTATCAGTCTTCAGCAGAAGTAATTTTCATGCTGATTTTTTGTCATCAGAAAAAGATAAGAAGCTGGGACTTGTGTTTTTGTCTATATCTGATACGAGAATAAGGAAAAGCAGTGGTGCAAGGACTGTACCCTGAGGTACAGAGCTTTTAACTGCACTTGTACTCTATTTTATTTGGTTGACTGTTACTCTGTGTTATGTTCGACAGAAAATTGAATATCTATCGTCCTACTTTACCTGTTATTTGTATTGACCTAATTTTGTGAGCTATCACTCCATGGTCACATTTATCAATGCCTTTGCAAAATCCATGTATACCATATCTGCATTCTGTTTTTCTTCTAATGCCTCTTTAGATTTTGTCATAGTGATCAAGTAGCTGTGAGAAGCTTGATTTTCCCTCTCTAAATCCATGTTGGCCTGGGTTGTGGTCTCCATGAAACAGGAAACCTGACTTACGATCACACTCTAAAATATTTTTATTTTGTGGGACGTTAGTGCAACTGGTCTATAATTCGTCGCCAATGCTTTGCTCCCTCCCTTGTGTAGAGGAGCTAAGTCTGCTGATTTAAGCGCATCTGGTATCTTCCCCCCATTGGATAGAGGTAAGTATAGTCCCCCGCCCTGAGTGAAATACCCTCAGCAGATGGAACCAGATACTAGGAAGGGTAAGATACTCAGATACTCAACAACCCACCTTAATTGGCTCCCCCTCAGTCCCAGAGGTCATACATGAAAACCCTGGAGCAGAATCGTATTTCATGTTAAGGTTACCATCGTCTGACATGCCTCTTCCCGTTTGTCAAGAGTCGTACTCCCTCTATATAAGTAGAAGTATTCAAGATTTGTTTTTGCTATGCTTAGGGGAAGGGAAGGAGCCTAATTTTGATATTATGTATGTTCTAAGTTTTGGTTGGGAAGGAGGCAAAATTTAGCCTGTTGACAAAGATGTCAGGTCGCCGCCGGTTGAAGTAGTTTCTGCAGAGTATCAGAGGTAGTGACATCGAAATTCACAGATGGAAGAGAGGAGATTGGTCACATGCTGGCAGGGGTGACCAATGAAGTAACCTGAGATCACGTGATGTTATGGGAGCCCCTGAGTGGAGCCTGAAGCCGCGGGCGGCCGTCATTCCACTGTATCGTCGTGGGAGGAGGCTGTGCCAGTTGCAGCTCCAGCAAACCGAGGATTTGCACAAGATTATAACGTTAGTTGGACATGTTGAAGAGCAGCCTTAGGAGTGACACTGCGAAGCTTTCTGGGGAAGTTTAGACGACATCGGCAAGTTGTGGACACGAGCAGCTCGAATTCCCGATGATCACCTATGTGTGGTTGGAGACCAGGACCTAGATTCAGGAAGCTCTGTGTATTTCTTCGTAAGTGGGTTTGCTACGAAGGTTCCTAAGTGCGCCCTAAGAAGATGCTTAGGTGCTATTCAATAAGGTATACTTAGGAAGAAAAATTGTTGGTTCACCTGCGTGCCGATAGAGGTCACTACTGTGTTTCGTTTGGCCAATCAGAGAGCAGCAACATTCTTCATATTGAAGATTTAGCGCTGGCTTATCGCAGCTCTACTGCCTCCTATTTACGTCGAATTTTCTTATAAAATTAGTATATTTCGAAGTAAAACAATGTTTTTTCAACTTCTACAGCCAGCACCGACATTGTAGTAAACAAATATGTTACATTTGTTGTTTACCTACGTAATTCTAAGAGATACTGTGTAGCTGTCCTTGTTGCTCGGAAGATGCGCTGACAATTATTGTATATATTTACTGAATTTACCCAAGGGCCACTAACTATCTAGTGACCTCGAAGAGGACAGAAAGCCGGCGGCTTGTTGAAGGGCCCGCCAATGGTCTTAATTACATTTTTTAGCTGGAATTTGGCATTTACGGCTTCAGCGGGTAGGCGGTTCCATGGGTTTATAGCCCTCTTGGTGGAAAAAACATCTGTTTTCAGTCCTACTTGAGAGAACATACTCTCCAACACTATATCTGTGATTGTCCTGTTATCAGTGACTTCATACCAAATGGTATGAGGTATTTTGAGCTCTGTAATTACTTCATACACTCAGGAATATTGGAAGATATTCTTGTGCTGCACCCAGATTTTGCCAGTGGAGGCTAATAGATCAGCATTAAGTATTTTGTTCTCTCCTAATTCCATGTATGACTGGCCATCCTGTGAGGTGAGCTTGTAGCTGGTTTTTGATCTACACTGTGTGGTCCTTTAGACAGAATAGGGAAGCAGCACATTGCTGTGTATACCTAAACATGTTTAAAAATACATTGTTTGAGAGGAGTTTTGTAGAAACTGGTAAGAGTAATTATAATATAATGTTTCCATGATTCAGTGCTTACCTCTTGTGAAAATTGCTTAGAGTTGTTTAGTCAGAGTTGATTTGTTTTTTCTATTGAGGCTGGTATTTGAGATGGGAGTATTAGATAAACTTATAGCTAGTTTTTTATCTACACTGTGTAATATTCCATATAGAATAGGGTAGCAGCACATTGCTGTGTATACCTAATCTTCTTAATAAAAAAAATCAGTAATAAAGATTTTAAATTATAGTTTGTATTATTACAAATACAGTACTGTATTATCCTTATTAAATCATGTTGACCATGGATCATTAAGATCTCATGTTGATATGTAATACAAGTCATATTTCTTTTGAACTGCTAATCCATGCTAATCATTCATTAAATTGTGTATTATGTCTCAATTTTTCACTTCCTTGGATATACTGTACAGTACAAAAAGATAGGATAAAAATAAACCAGTAATATTTCTTTCATTATATTTTTCATTTAAATAACTGCATCAATATTTTTACAGCTGACAGGATTTGTTTTACCATACAGGTGCATTATTTGTTAAAAAAAATTTGGTTTATTGTTACACACAATGGTGCTACATAGCCTTCCCAGCTTGGTGCCTTCTTTTAATACTTACTGATTAAAAAATAAATAATAAATACATTTTATTCAGGAAAAGTACATACAGTTGATTTACAAACATAATGTTGGATTTATAGACAGAGCTAGTACATACAATACCTAAAGCCACTAATACTCATAGCATTTCGGGCAAGGTGTGGGGGAAAAAACACAGACTAAAACTTAGTACAGCCTGTAATCGGGATTAGGTATAAATTGTGTTGAAAGAAGGAATAAAAAATACAAAAAGGGGGGTTAGCATAGCATAACTCAGCAATTGCACATGTTGGTGAACAGCGTTGTTTAAAAAATAGCAAGACATGGGTTGACATTTAGGAGGTAAGTTAGGTTACATGGAGTTAATTAGGCAGTACTTGGTTTAACTCTTAAACTGGTTGAGAGAGGTACAGCCTTTGACATGATTCGGGAGGTCATTCCACATTCTGGGTCCCTTGATTTGTAGAGCACTTCTAGTTTGGTTACACACAGCCAAATTGAGTAACAGGAAGAGGTCTTGGACACAAATTTGTTCCATGCTAAATGTAGAGGAATCAGCTGAGTATTCCTCAAATAAAATAAGTTGCCTCAGCTTATAAGGTAAATAAAATAAGCATTTCTCAAATAAGTAGCTGCCTCACCTCACTGCCTTACTGCTACATAGCCTTCCCGGCATGGTGCCTTCTTTTGATAATTACTTGTTCCACACCCAAATTGTATAACAGGAAGAGGTTTTGGACCCCTACTTCCCTCTCTCTTTTTTAATAATCTACAGTATATAGTCATAATTATAGCTTTAAGTATTCAATGAATAAAGTTTGTGACATTTTTACCCTTCTCCTTACCTAACATCATTTGTGCAGCATATTTTTATTTTATGTCTCACCCAGATTTAATTTCAAAATAAAACCAAACTAAATAAATTAGAAATGGGTATGTATAGCTAAGGTACACTCTTACTACTAGGTGAACAGGCGCATTTGGTGATAGTAAATGATCCCATCAGGCAGGGCTCATCACCTTCTCTCATATTTCATGTTCACCAGTGTTTATTTACTTAATAACTACTGGTATAATATCTTGCTATTATAAAACTAATTCTACTATCATCAAACACATATTTACTTCAAGTTTCAAGCAGAGAATGCATATATAACTAACACGAAGGATTCCTCTTCACTAGATTCACCAGCTATAATATTTTGGTCATGTTCCAATATCATAAATCGATCCCAGTGTTATGTAGTAGAGAAAAAATGACTTATATCCAGTTTACGTAAAGCTACGAGTGGTCGAAACCACACTTAAATCCCGGAATGAACTTACGAAGGTTTTTCCACTTAGGGTACCTACTTGAATACGGACCTAGCCGCCACGAAGGCGCTAAGAAGGAATTCGCTCTTAGCTAAGAGGAAAAACCTTCGTAAGTACCTTCCTGAATCCGGCCCCAGGCGGATAAGCAGAGTGACGGAACACTGGCAGTCACTGTTCGGACACCAAGCGGCCGCTGTGCTATCCAGAAGAATTTAGTAACGTATTCACCTAGTTGTGCTTGAGTGGGTTGAGCTCTGCTCTTTCGGCCCGCCTCAACTGCTACTAACTACTATTTTATTTATTTATTTTCTACACACATCCCCAGGAAGCAGCCCGTAACAGCTGTTTAACTCCCAGGTACCTATTTACTGCTAGGTAACAGGGGGCATCAGGGTAAAAGAAACTGCCCATTTGTCTGCCGGTGCCTGGAATCGAACCCGGGCCACAAGTCCTGCGTGCTGTCTGCTCAGCTACCAGACCCCAAAATACCTGCACCCATGTGTGCAAACGGGGGAGCACCAGGAGTGTCTGGGACCCCTGCAACCCCCATAGAAGACACCAAGCTACAAGCATGCTCCAGTTGAGTAGGTGGAGCGACTAGGGTGATGAGAGGAGTGAGCGCCCAGGGT